CGAACAAAGCCCCTTATTCCTTAATTGGTCGAAAAGTCGAGACGTTTTTTGTCTATTTTAAGCAGTTGTTATTATACCACATTTGATACGAAGTTGTTTGAAGACGCTGCCACGCTGCTTCCTAATTATATCTTATAGTAAACATATGCAAAGATTATATGGGTTGACGTTTTTCTAAGCGAAGCCGGCAATATATTACGTCTACAATCATATATAGACACAACTAGACAGGCTTGTTCTAAATTAGGTTTCACCTTTGCTGCAAGATATTTTTTTATCAAAAAGATGTAAATAAAGTTAACCCAGCCCCCTTCGTACAATATTTCTTAATTTCTTAATTCAAGTATATCACTGAATATACACTCGATCGTGCATCTTATCAACATTTTTTAGAAAGGGTGGGAAGATGGCCACTTGCAATCATATATTTAGTACCTAGAGTCTTAAAGGCAGTTTTCTCGTCTGCTTCATCAAATAAAATTTTTCCCCCGCTGGATTGAAGAAATTAATCTTAAGGTCAGTTCACATGATCTAATTTTGTCAGATCAAATCACTTTTGATCGATGTTTTATAGTCAGTTGACTTGCAATATCTATATAGGGCAGCGAATTAACGAATCAACAAAAGCCATGCAATGCTTTATCAATAATAGATTACATTCCATACGTCAGAAGTGCATGAATTGAATCCGAGACTGATTGGATCTTGCATGCATGTGTACAACTTTTAAAACGAGTATAATGCAAAGTATTATCGGTAAAAAAGCTACAAGTCCACAACCTATGCAGAGTTCTAGAAGGTGGAGCATCAAGGATTTACCAACAAGTATTTCAGAATGATATAAGACTACACAACTGATCTATAATTGGTACTCTGTACGTGAACTTGGTTTTTTTTGCATTTCAACTGCTTAAAATTGTTCAAATTTCAGAATGGTGTTTCTCGACGCATAATTGAGCCTTGATCAGAAAGGATGATTGTATCCTAACTTCAACCCTAAAGGACCCTGCGTGCCATAACGTGATGCGAATTATCCACGGATGTTTAATTGAAAAGTCACCACAAAATTCAATGGTCATTCGTGTTTTATAGTCGCCCTAATCTTAGTCTAAATCAACCATTACCTTTGCATGTTTTATACAGTATGCATGCAATTGAATCATCTAATCTGTTATCTCATCACAAAGTCTTATCTTTCCTATATCCTATTATCCTCTACAACTCTACCATGGCCCATATATGCCCTAAGCCCTCTTAAAACTAAGCCGCCGTATTCTTTTACATAGCAGACCAATTATCAACACTCGTTCTAATGTGACTTCAAACTGATACGAGTCACGAAATTCAACGCGCTTAATCGTTAGTCTTATTGACACTCGAAAATTTCTATCTAATGCCCAATAGGATTTCAGCCCGTCTCAGCTTCTGTTAAATTCTCGAATGTAACAAGACTACAAGTGCTTAATTTCCACCGAAAACGGCGAGTTGTGACAATAGCAAAAAGAGTAGAAAAAAACCGCCACTAAAATACGAACACATGTACGAATATCAATATATAGCATTTGATAACAACCTATAGGTACAACATATGTGCATAAATAGTAAAAAAAAGCCAATAAATCATACCAAATATTCGCCCTTTATCTTCATACCTTATCCCAAGCAATGTTATTCACATTAGGAAATTATGATCGGAATTAATTAACCTTTATATAACTATAGATATAAGCGTCTGCCGTGCTGGAAAAAAATTGCAAACGAGTTCCAAAAAGAGGTAAAAAATAATACTGAGCGATTAAGTTTGTTGGATTTTTTCAATAAAAAAAGATAAATATATCTATCTATATATATATCATCGCATCTTGTCGGTGGGCCTATAGTTTTGGCCATTTTAGTACTTGCAAAATATAAAAAATTAGAAAATTATCACATACTGATTTATATCCCTTTGAAACTGTGGAAAAAAGCCCTAGGACTCCAGGTATAACCCCTGATGAGCGTGATCGGTATCTGGTATCTTGAAACTGCTCCCATTCATCGAGCTATCACGCCAACAGGGATTAGACAACGGGCGAAAATTATCCCATTTAAGTGCGCGAAATATTTCCGTGACGACTTGCTGTTGCCATGGTCTAGAAATGACACTCATTGACTGACTGACGACAACGAATACTGCGTTGTCCTATACAGTTTTACGATCAATATTCTATATATTATTTCTATGAAGTTTGAAAGAAATGTGGCCTACCTCGTGACTATGCATGCATATATGACCTTGCGCGCCTTCACAGCTAGTCAACTTTACAAGTGCCTCGGATAGATTTTAATACAACCGCCGTATGTTCCACGAGGACAATATTCATAAGTTTGTATATAGAAATTATTGTACTCTAATTTGTCAGTTATGAAAACTGTCCGTATATTAGCCTATATTGGGAGTAAGTCATGAGGCTTCTCTTATGAACGCACTAGGGGTTCTCGGCTATTAGAGGATATGGAGGAAGATAATAAATGTCCTGCCGTAATAGGATAGAATCTAGCTTTAAATGCCAAAAAAAATCCTTCTTAGAATTTCACTGATAATTTAAGTTTAAAAAATCGTCAAGCAGACCTTGGACTCAGTAAATACCATGTCCTCAAACGCGCTTGTCATAAGGGATGCTTTACTTGACGTATGACGTCAAAATTAAAGTACGTTTTCTTTCAATAAGTGCCAGGAACATCCTGAAGAAACCCATATAGCGTTTTTAGACACAGACGTATAGGATATTTTTTTGAAGTAAAAAAATTCTCGATGTCAAGATGGTATAAAAACTGCGTTAAAGTCGTGTATAAAGTCGACGTATAAACATGTTTAGGCAAACGAATTACCCATTTCGCTTATTCGTGATCTTTCTTGGTACTGTTTTCTGGCATGTTGATTGAATAGATCAATAGATTATCACGGATTAGATTTCTGATGGAAGTGTACTTGAAAATTTGCTTAATCCTTTGATCTGTGTGGGCCTGATATAAATTCCATTCGGATGGCAAAAAAACAAAAAAAAAAAACCGAATTCATGAATTCGGTTCCTCAGTCGTTTTTCTTCTACGCATTTACAGAAACATAATTTTTCGCGCTCATTTCGTATTCAAAGCCTTAGCCTTGTTTGGGAAATTCGATTATTGAAACAGACACCTTATCTTCATGGTAACCTAGATGTGGTTTTAGACGATGCATATAGCAAACAAAAAGGTCTTTTTTATTGCGTCAAAGAAACGAATAAAAGCTTTAGATTTACTATATTTTTTTACATTTTCGATTCTATTGTTGAACTAACCCAAACCTGGGTCTTACTTTAACGGATCTTACCTTATCTGAGGATATCGACAAAGTATGGCGCGCGCGTTTCTTTGTGGTCTTTCTCGTTCAATGTCCGTACGATTTTATGAAAAAGCAACAATATACAGTACAGATCTATTTAGCGCACCAGTTAAGACCTTTTAATAATGAAGGAGTGACGACGGGTGTTTCCTTCGATTTCTTAGCACGAGAGATGTTCTAGGCTTTTAGCCACCCTGAACTACCCAGCTGGGGTTCTAAACTTGCACAATAAACTTTACGAGAGTTCAACTTTGTCACGTTGTTATTGCTTGTTCGAGAGTTTCCAAACAATAGTCATGCCCATGGACCGGTAGAAACACAATGATAGCAGCTTTGAAAAAAGGGAAAATATTATTCGTATAGAAATCTGAGGACTAACCGATCTCATGTCGTGGCAAGCCTTAAACCATGCCCATGGTTTCGGATTTTAGGGCCTATATATGTTTTGTGAGAGTCTTGACTTCTACTTAATTATTCGCAGTATATATTGCATGTCTGTTGTCAGTCACCAAGAAATCGCCACGTATCTCAGAACCGGATTTCAAGAAAGCAACAAAAAATAATCCATAATTACACTGCGTATTTTGAAAATAATCCGGGTGTCGAAATAGCGTTCTGAAGCCTTCTCAAACTCGTTTTATGTTCTCTAACGCCTGATAGAGTGTAGTTTAAATATTGAAAAACACATCGTGTTCGATAAAGCGTTCATAATTCCTGTATTTCGTTTATTCAAACTAGAAAAACGAGGAATACATCAATTTGTCTGATGAATAAATTGAATGCTGTTCTTAGACTTCGAGACCTCGCAAGCAGTTTGAAACTTTTAATCTATGGACTCCTTCACAGAAAAAAATGGAAACCTGTGTACATGAATGATCGTGCAGGGAGCGTTAATTTTGTGTGTTATGTAAATTTGCAAAGGCGTCATGTAGGCTGCACGATTAAGTACAATGTATTCGCCACATATTTACGTGAAACGGAACCAAAATAAGATGGCTGTTAGACGAAGTTGAACAAGTTTTCCGCTTTCGTTATGAAAGGCCGTTTGTCTCTGCAATATCATGCTAAATTCGTCGGTACAGACAAAACACTCCTCTTATATGAGAGCTGAGCGTGCAAGATTCGCATAGCGATGAAGCAATTTGGATAAGAGCAAGACTATAATTGCCTAAAAAATTCAGGAAAATTAACTTGCGTAAAAATGCATGGCGTTGCTCTTTACTAATTATTTTTTCTCCTGCCAATTTCAAGCCGAAAGCGAAAGATTCTATCGGCTTTTTATCCGGTTTTCTAGCGTAACACATCATTATGAATAAAGAAGTCTTGGCAGGTTTTTTTAAATGAATCGAAAATTCCTGCTTCGAATCTAAAATGTTTGACAAATTACTCAGCTGCTCGCGAACTCCTCCCCGTATTACGATTGCCATTATGTTCGACGAATAAATAGCTGTTTAATTTTGCAAACTGTTTAAACTTTCACAAATGCGCAATGTTGCGTTGACGAATTAGACCTCAGTGTAAGCATAGTATGGCAGGCGTAGCTATATGAAATCGTCGCAGACACGATGGAAAGTCGCACACAAGTCAGCATACGCAGCACAACAAAGAATAACATCAAAATATTATTCGTACTTACATTTACAGATTAGAACGTGCTTTGAAATTCTAATTGACAACCACTTTCGCCGTAAATACACTCCCAGCCTCAATATTGTTCGTTTATTACGGCGTAATCCCACCCCTCAAATACTTTCCATTAGACCATAGGTTGCTAAACTTTCTTCCCAACGGCTTACAAACCCAGCACGTATTCCGAGAAAGACACGGTAGAAAAAAACACGGCAGATGGCCTTAATCAATGCTTTAGAAAACGCAATGAAGAATTCTCAAACATAGATTACAAGATTCCAATCGCACTGTAGGTCTTTTGGCTACGATTAATAATTAATACATTGTATTATTCAAAGCTGAAATTGGCGTGCGCTTTTGTATTTGTTCACGAAGTGTTACATAGAATTCTCGACTGCATCTGGCTAGAATTTTCGGCTGCGCAATTCAGAGAGAATCTTAAGATATTTCGATATCAAGCAGGAAGCCGTTGCTATCATATTTCGCCTTCGATCACGCTGTTCCTGCAAATTTACGAAAAGCGATATCTTTGTAAAAAAAAATTCGAAAAAAACACCCTAACAAATTGTGAGTATTAATATTTACTTTAAACCATTCTACGATTTTCTTTCGGAACTTCCTGTTTTTAAAATTTCTCGTATCGGAGCTTATATAAACTAAAGCGATGATGTTAACTAACAATTCTGCGCTGCAGGTCCGTACTAGAGTTACAATCGCCGAAATTGTTGATGAATATACTACCCGGTATATACCGAACAAATAGCAACTTTTTTTTACAAGTTAGTTTAAATAATATGAAATAAACTACAGCAGAATCATCGCATGTGCTAACGCTGTTGAACGAAGCTTATAAGCGATAAGGAATCGGATGTCTACACCGGGGCATAACCATTGACTTGTGTGTGCAAGAACCTGTCTCGTCCGTCACGTCTTTGCTGTGAAAATGTCAAGCCTTTGTAAATTTATCAACTAATTATGAGTCCACAGAAGTAAACTAACACGGTATAACAAATATTAGTCACGTAGTCTCGATAAGGCTTCGTAGGAGGAGCGCGAATAACATGGCGTTTCGCGTACATCAGGGCTTCCTTGCCGTGTTCTGTGACTAAATTTGTTATGACTACCAGTGGCACGATTCGGGCCACTAAGCAACACTGTTTGAGCCGCGCTTGCAAGATTCCACAAGCCAAAATGTTTTGTAAATACGGCGGGATAATGTACAAGAAACGTACTAGATTGCACTACGTATGGCAAATCCGTGGATCTTGGAAACAAACATACCGCGGGAGCAATTAGTGTAGAATCAACTACTATGTTATACATTTGAATTGATACATTTATAACTGTTCGTGAACGACGCTTCGCCGCTTCCACGAACAGCGATCGAATGCTGGCATTATTCAATATTATGGCGCATTACTCTTCCTTCCTGACTGCAAGCGAAGTTAATCTATCGGTAGATTTAAAAAAGAAATCGATTCCTTACCTGTCTATTGTTTTCTAAGACACTTTTTTTTCTGCAATCCCTACGCCGCCAGACATCGCAAGAACAATAATCATTCAAGCTTTCATAGAAATATCTGGACTCCGCCCCAGCTTTTCACGGCCGTGGAAGTGGTATTCAAGATGGCGACCGAGCCCGAGGGAAGCTCGGAAGAACAAGAGAGCCATTTTTTGAAGCCGATCGTGTATTCACCCGAGGTCGAACAAGCCATTTCAGAAGTAAGCTTGATTCTAGGGACGTAGAGCTATGTTTTGCGTGTGGATAAAACGTCCACGCGTGAATTGTAGCTTGGTTATATTGCATGTAGTTTGTCTTAAATTTTGCTAGTAATATGATTTGATATAGTATTTCAATCATTTCATATTGTACCCCGTAACCAACGGCAGCCAGACAATTTGAAAAAGTGCAAAATAAAACGCAGTCGATATCTGTCTTTGCTGTTTTGTTTTATCGTAAATATCAAGAACGCAAGATGTCTATTTTCGGAATTTGTTTTTATTTTGTGTATTTAACATGGAACATCAGATAAATACTTTTGACAAGAGATCAGATAGAAAGGGAGGGATTTTGAATCATAACATATAGAAAACATATCTTGCTAAACATCGTCCATATACTGGTTTATCTATCATATACATTTTTATAACAGTTTTACACAAAGCTATTGGTATGCTGCTGTTGAATATACAGTACAATATACTGTACAATATTTTACTATTATAAAGAACCTAACTTGATATGAAATTTATGAATTAGATCAATATAAATATGATATTTCGTATCTCAAATGATGATTCTGAAAGAGAACCTAGCAGTTTAGCATGGATGGTGATCAATGCATGTTCTTTTACATCAATCCCTGGCATTTTGCAAACTGTTCAACATACACATGCTCAGATACTGTAGTATTCAGCAAGAGTAATAGACTTTAGCATTTATTACATACACTACATTTACATGCACGTATGGTGGTTGCTCGTTAATTTGGAAGTGTACCCATAGAAGCAGTGGCATGATTTTTACAAACAAGAAGCAATATCTTGTAAACATTTTTCAATTGTCTGAAGTTTGCTGGCTTGGCCAACAATATTTCTTGTCACTCAGGTATGATTTTTGATATCTTGATAACTTGCTTTTATATCAAAGGTATTCCACAGCAATGATCCATTGGACAGTAAGGACTTCAATGCCGTGGATTATATCAACACCATATTTCCTACCGAGCAGGTACAGATCTATCTGTGTACTAGCAGTCCACGGCTATGAGGGTACTCGTATTTTTTTAAGTCCCAATTTTTTTGAAAAAAACCCTAAAATGTCTTCAGGCAAAAATTGATATGGATCTGATATGTTCTGATGTGAAGCAGTTTTAGTCTGTCAATTTAAATTAGTTCACTTACCATGTTAGGAGCTCTGACGTACTTAAATATCAATTGCATAACTTCAAATATACCGGTACATATATATATAGTAAAGTATGTTTTGTTTTCCTTCCTTATACCTGTCATTCATTATGAAATGCACATTGTTAACTCACAAACTCAAGGATGCTAATTTTTATTAATTTATTTTTAAACTATTTACACATTTTTCTCATAGCATTAGCAGACCACAATCACACAATCGGATCTTGGTATAGGGCTCATTGTTCAAATGCCATCTATATTAAGTAGCCTTAGGTAATACGGCATATGAATATAAAACCACTTCTAATAGTTTGTTTGTAAAGTTTATCATGTTTTCTCATGAAAATTCCTCCTAGGGAAATAGAAATTTTATCTTAAAAACTTAAAAAACCATGCAGAAATGCAACCACAGAGACATATTGTAGGATGATTGAGCGTTGAGTACTTCCAGATCCTCACAGTGGTGTTATGGACCCTTAACAACCCTTAACCCTTTTATTTTAGTCACTTACAAACCTTGATGAAGTCGCAAATAAAATGAAATTTAGAATTAGGTGAGTGAAAATCTCTAAACTTACTGTCGTCAGTCATGCATGTGGAGTTCTTGTTGTTGACATGAAAATTGACTGTTTTTGCAGGGGTTTGGATGGGGAAATACGCCAGGTAATTCGTGGTCAAACAAATGTTGGATTGGAAGGCCGACAGGTAAATGACAAACTGCCTTGATTTTATATGGATTGGTGAAATTTATCCAATCTTTTTAATTAAGTCAGAGTGAGGCTCTACCAATGCTTTTAGTGACAAGAGCAAATTGTACTAAATTGCACACATTTACTGTTAAGCACAAAGCCATGAAATGCAGTGACCATAATATCATATGTATTTTGTTGCAAAAGATATTTGGTTAATTCAGTCATGAATCAAGTCATGCAAACAAATACTGTACTGCCCAACACACACAACCACTAGTAGAATTTCTAGATAAAATGCAGGTTATAATAAAATACAATGAGAAAAAAAATGCATAAAAAACAATAGACATAAATGGTTAAGTGTTCATATATTGATTGATGACATTCGTGATACATGAAAACATAACGAGCAATTGAGAAACCCTTTGGTGATGTATGAGCTCTCTGGTTGAATACCATGTAAATATCAAGTATTGCATTGTAATCATGACACATTCTTTAAATTTAAGGCTTTAGAAGAAGCACAACAGGCCATTCAACAGCTGTTTGAAAGAATCAATGATATAAAATCAAAAGCTGAAAAGTCTGAAAAAATGGTAAATTTAATGACCTATTTGAATGATCAGAAATATTGGTACATGGTAGATTACCCAACCCTGTTTGTCATACTATAAAGTACCATACTGTAAGAGCTAGATCATACCAAGCTTAATTTCTGCATTTTGACTAAATGTAAGCCATCATAACAAAAAATATAATGATTATCTATATAATCAAAATGTTGATGAATATGGCCAGCAATACCAATTGATAACACATGAAATTGCATGGCTATAAGGTATATGGTATGACTGTTTGGTAAACCAGTATATATGGTATTCATCTGTCTTTTAGGTGAAAGAAATCACAAGAGATATAAAGCAACTGGATTGTGCAAAGCGACATTTAACTAATTCCATTACAACGCTAAATCATTTGCATATGTTGGTTGGTGGCGTAGAAAGTTTACAGTAAGTACTAAAATTATCAGCATAAATGCGTTGAACAATCAGTGTGAGAGGGGGGAACACCAGAACAACCACTATGTGGGGACAACCCCTATGCCTATGGAGGGACCTAGGGGACAACCAGTATATAGGGACAAGTATGTGACACAACCAATATGAGAGGACAACCAGTATGAGGGCAACCAGTATGGTGGGGCAACCACTATGGGAGGACAACCAGTATGGAGGGACAACCACTATGGGGGGGGGGCAACCACTATGGGGGGACAACCAGTATGGGGGGACAACCAGTATGGGGGGGCAACCACTATGGGGGGACAACCAGTATGGAGGGACAACCACTATGGGGGGGCAACCACTATGGGGGGACAACCAGTATGGGGGGACAACCAGTATGGGGGGGGCAATCACTATGGGGGGACAACCAGTATGAGGGGACAACCACTATAGGGGGACAACCAGTATGGGGGGCAACCAGTATGGAGGGACAACTAGTATGTGGGGGCAACCAGTATGGGGGGCAACCAGCAGTGGCATAGCTAGCCCAACAATTTAATCATGCTATGCTAATATTTTGGTGTTTTATTGACTGTGAAAACAATGAATTTCTAAAGAAATGAATAATGATAATAACATAAAATTTGCATAGCATGACTAGATCGTCAGGCTGGCTACGCCACTGCCAACCAGTATAGTAGGACTGGACAGCAGCAATATGTGGGCCAATGGGGGCAACCAGTATGTCAAATTTGGGAGTCTAACTGGATTGAACTATGTTAATACCGTGGGCCCTTTTTGTTTCTTGTTGGTTGACTGGGAACGTTTGTATTGGGTTACCAGGGCATAGAGTCTAATTTTGAACATTTTCAAGTATATGTTCTCACAAGCATTACCATTAGCGCGAAAATTAACTGCGAATTAGACCAGCCACTTTTGTGGTAATCTAAATTAAGGCGATTATTGACGAAGAGTTTGTCATAAACGTAGGACCATAAATGGGTTTCGAGTGCACTTTACAAAAGCGCTTCTTAAAGCACGGTTTCCTTTTCATATACATCTTATAAAACTGTTCCAGAACTGCCGAGTGTGTTTGATATACGACGATTCGGTGTGTTTCAAAGGTCACGCCATAAATTTTATGTACTGCGTAAAAAGATAAATTGATTATCATTGCGCGAAGATCAAATCAAGCTCATGTCCCAAGCGTTTTTGTTTTGTGAGATTTAGTTTGCATTTGCGTTTGTAAGGGAACCATGCGTTGCCACTTTCCGCTGTATAGGCGGTGTTTTCCTTTTCGAGGCCTACAGCCCTCGCTCCGTTTTAAGATTCTAAAATATCTGCGCGTGAATCGTTCTGTGGGTTTATACAAGACAGTGTTTCTTACGGAGATGCCAAATTTGGGGTGCCCACGTAAAAACTTAAGCACTATTTATATCTAGTGGCGTTTTTGCCAAGCCAGACTGCCTGACGACATAGCAATCCATTTGTGGGAGATGAATCGGCTCCCTTCAATGTGTCAATCTGTGCATGAAAAGTTCACCCTATGAAAGGGAATGTGGATGCGCCGAGTGGCATACAAGGGTCTACTTAGCAATTGTTCTAAACAAAAGCTTAATGAACTTTGGAATTTGAACGTGTTATCTTTAGAACCTACATATACATCAACCTATTTGAACCGGGTTTAGTCGGTTAGATATTCCGATACGAAAACCTGTAACCCGATGTGCTACGTTTGCTATTGTAATACGAAAGACCACTTCAAAAACATTAAGAGAGCTTTAAGGTTTCAAGCAACGACGCTTCTATGTCCCCTGGGACCAGCTTGCGGCGCAAATGGCTGGAATAGTTTGTTTATTCGAATTTTCTTACAATATCATCGTTTCCCCCAAGTTTGCGATGCGAGGTTGTTTCGAGAGCGATGCCCATTAAAAATATTTGAGGAAGCATTTGATAAAGGATTTATGGTTAAACCCACAAGAATTCAAAGATTCCAAGAAGCTCTTAATGATCTCTGTTGACCTTGTCCTAGAATGCTGACACGAAAACGACAATATAAAGAAGTTTCTAATCTTCTCCAAGGAGTTCTCAACGTTCTTGACCATTTCAAGAAGTACTCTGGCATTCCTCAGATTGCTGAGCTTGCTGACAGGTAAGTTCAACTTTTATATCTGCGGTTCATATTCACCCGAGGGGAGGGGTGTGGGGGGGAGGGGGGAAGGTGAGAAGAGGTCGAGGGCGCAGATCGCTGGGCCATTATTATTGAAGCTGGTTTCCGCTTAGGTAAATAATCCTCAGGCATGAGACGTTTTTGTCTGCAAGGGCAGTCTGTTAGTTTGGATGCTTTCCAGGATATAAAATTATTTCCTATGAACAACCTTTGCTCCTCCCGACCCTGACCTGGGGCTGGGCTCGAATGCAGCATTTAATACAAAAGATGGCGGCATGTTTTGCCGTGATGGTGCCATGTGAATAAAAATTCTCGGCCAATTTTAAACCGTAACGTTAGCAAAGTTAAAATCTTTGTTTAAGACGTTGCATCATTGAAAGGAAGTCTGGTTAGCTTGAAAGAACTTCTGTGTTTACAAGCTAACAAGGTGATATTTTTCCATCGGAAAATATGAAAATTTCTTTCGGCAAAAGAGCATTCTTTGTTTAAAAAAATCAGACGGCATGCGCGGAGATTAAAACTCGCAAAACAGAAGCCAGTCCTTATACTAATTCAAGTGGCATAAATATTTTTGAATCGTTTCCTTAACTGATTCAAATTTTGTAAAAAAAATCTTTTACGATTGACATGTCGCCATGGGTATTAAAGTTAAGGCTTCTTTGGCTGGCATCATAAGACTCGTGACCAGGCTTTCGGTGGCCGACGAGTGGGCAGCTACAAAAGGGGGGGGGGTTAGGGCGAAACTCACCCTTTCTGCATGCATTCCTGTCCAAAAAAAACGCTAGTTGAAAAACCTGTTCGAGATTTTTCGACTTTTTTCGAGAACTACCGTGGGTCATGATCCTACAGTCTTGTCAAACACTCGTGTCAAACAAAAACACCTCTCATCTAACCTCGTAAATGGCTTAAATGGCTTTTTCTCGTGCGGTGCAGACAATCTATGTAAGGAATTTCTACAACATTACTTGCAGTCAGCGATATCACGCGATACGCTTTCTGTATGATATAATAATTGTTGTGTTACCAACAGTTTAATGGCCAAAATGCTTCTTAGTTCAAAAAACAGATAAAAAAAGATCAAAATCTTTGTGTTTGAACAAACAATTGTCGAATAATCCACAGGTTGTTATGCCAATATAATTTTATGGATGACTTGAAGAAAAAATTTTTCCTGTATTGTTGTATATGGCACGCGTTCAAAACTAATATGTGTATATTATAAACAGTATATATATGTATCCTTAACCGTACAGGTCAATTTCATAGTCTTTACATCACGTTTCCTAATCGAAAGGTAATAATTTTTATCGTCAAACAGTATACCGTTAGTAGCATAGCCAGCCTTTCGAATACTTAGTGCTCCCAGACTGTGAAAACAATCAGTTTCTAAAAAGAATAGATGGAAGAATTAAGACGATAACGTTTAATTTTAATAGCGGAAGTAAATCGTGGCCACTTCGATCAAATGATGTTATAAAATGCGGAAAATTTTTCACAGTAGAACTTTAATTAGCTGAAATAAATAACATTCTGAATAACTCGAATATTTTAATGCTCAAATCGTAGAGGGGAGAAAGCGATGAAAACATGTCATTTTCAACAAATTCAATATTTGTTTCAAGATGTCCTAAAATGATTACAAACTTGATAGTAAATTCACTTACAGTTGTTAGTCTGATGAAAATAATTTTAAGTGGTTGAATATATTTTGACAAACTTGCTGATTATTGACTGCACGAAGCATGAAATTAGGTCGAAAATAATTCAAATTTGCGGTGAAGTATGTTGTACGAAGTGATAAATTTCTTTCCTTATACAGAGTGAAAACAATTCAACATGAACTTGGTACACAGGTTTTAACGGATTTCGAGGAGGCGCTGTCTGCACGCGGTGTTAAGGTATTGTCTACCGCGTGGACTATATTTTTATCGCTAAAAAAATCGTATTCTCGGAAAGCGCATTGCAAATGATTTGTTTACTTGTGGGATGTATCAATCTGCATGCATGCATGTGGGCCGAAAATGGTGGCAATATCGCACGCAATCCTATTGGAAGTGTGTTTCAAACGATTTATGCGTTTCTGACGAGCCGAACGCTTGGTATAAACTATGCATAGCAAGACATCTTAACTGATTATCTCTTGTTTTAACGCGTTCGGCTTATGCAAAGTACGGATTTTTTAGGGGAAAGCTATCCTCGCTTAGAGATAAACACAAATATATCTACGATTCTATATATTCACTGTTATCTTTGAAATCCACTTCGATAACCGCAAACTAACCACTGGGTCACTTTGCTGCACGGAAAGCAAGCCTTCCACTTGAAATATGTTTCCCTCTAGGTTTTTCTACTTGATTTAACTCTTGATGTATTTGTATCGAATACCCTCCATATTTATAAAAAAATACACGGGAATACAAAGCATATATTTATGTATCAAGGTTTTTTTCCCCACAGCCACCTGCTGGACCGAATTCGTTGCTGGCCGAAGCCTGTCAAGTTGTTTGCGTTCTAGACATCAAAGTTAGGTGAGACTATTTAATTTTGGAAATTGAATGCAATTGAGTACAAAGTGCTTGTAAAATTGAAGTGCTTTTGTTTGTTTAGGGAAGATTTAATAAAATGGTTTGTCAAATTACAGTTGGACGAATACGTTCAACTGTTTAGCGATACACAAGAGGTTTGTTGTCTAACATTGCGGTCACGACTGACCAAAACAAATTGAATGTTTTGCTTTGTTTACAATTTGCTAAGCACGTCATGTATGAAAATATAAAGCCACAAAGACTCTTGTATAATTTATAAAATTCTCAGTTATGGACTTATGCACAGTGAATTGCAATTAAACCTAGAACGCTAACTTCATTTTTTTGTAAAAATTAGCAAATGATTTTAGTTTACATAGTTCTAGACATTCCCAGATAATTACTCTTTACGTCTGTCTTAAACGTTTAAAAAACTCGGGAAAAATTCCTTCAAATTTGGCCTAAAAGATGGACCAAGTTAGCGTTCCGGGTTTTTTATAGTTCACTGGTTATGCAGTCTCGCTGTCTTTCGAAAGAATAACATGCATGTGGTAATGGCCGTTCTTGTCGTATCCTGATGTTTCCCCACTTAACCCGCATCCCCCATCATGAGGCGGGGGGTGGTTCATCCTATGACCTGTCTTCCTGCTCAGCAATCTCGTTCCACGAGTTTACCTGAATCTATCCGTAAGACTGAACTGCTCTGAATCAAGCTTTGTGTATGTCACGCTAGACAAAACAAAGATGATCCCATGCTATCCAGCTCTGTTCATTTTTGTCCTAATCTGTACCTATATATAGGTTGGCTGGCTGGATAAGATTGACAGAAGATATTCATGGCTGAAGAGAGCCTTAGTCAAATTTGAAGAAGATTTCAAGGGAACGTTCCCCCCTGAATGGCATGTCGAAGAGAAGATTTGCGAGGAGTTTTGTCATATTACAAAGTAAATATCAACTTTACCACAACATTCTCTGCTTCGATACTGTAGAAAAATACCTCTTCAATCGCACCATCTTCAGGGATACGAAATTTTGAAACTCAGATTGTAAGATTAATATGAATTTCATATTTCGATTGCATAAACGAGGTTCAGATTTGAATATCAATTACACTAGCAATGAGAAAACATGGACCAATCAAATGCGATATATTGATCAGGTTAGCCAATCACAAGCGCGATACGTCAGCGAAAGGCAGCGGTGGTGAAAGTCATTTCTGAACCTTGATTTATCTCGCAGCCTATTGATAGTTTTTTGCTGGCGCTTGGGTGAAATTGACAATCCGAATATATGCCATTTACTTTGATTTTAACCTGTTTTATTTAGGGACGACTTAGGGAAAACAATGTCCGCTAGAACGGATGAAATTGACGTGAAACTACTTCTGTTTGCAATCCAAAGGACAACGACTTTTGAAGGTTTTCTCGCAAAACGATTCGCCGGTAGTTTGTACGAGACTAATCAGGTATTTATTCAAACAACAGGCTTTGCCCCAGGTGAAAGCATGGACCACTGTGGGTAAAGAGGTTGGTCGTGTCGAATCAGCCAATTGGTCGGGGGGGGGATGAAGATTCCTAAACATTTGACTCACAAACACAAAGTCATAAAAGATAAATTTTAGAGATAGTAGACACATCGACTCTATTTTGGATTTGACAATTTTTTTTCTCTTCATTTGCAGCCGAAAACTGGTGAAGGCGAAAAAAACAAGGTATGCATGAATGATATGTTTTTGGCACCTTGAACAAAGCCCGTTTTTTTTGGAAAAATACCAACTACCTTCAACACTCATTCACCTCTCCTGAGCGAGTCAAAATATAATCAAATACTGTTGTTTTAAAGCTGGCCCATTTTCCGTGGTCGAAAATTTCCAACGTTCCTGAGCTCGCGTGCAAACAAACAAACAAAAAATTCACTCCGGCGAAAAATTCTGTCTAGTGGAAGAAATCAGTCTTCAACCACTGACCTTGTCTACTTAACTTAGTCTTATGAGTATATATATATATACAGGTCAATGGCCTTAATGATCAGTGAAGACACTTCATGGGTGCACCCCGCTCTCCAAATTTTGATGCCTGTACTCTAATCACATTCTCAATGATAATTTCATAGATCGCTGCTTCAAAAGAGTCGCGATTTCTTGGTTTAATCTCGAGATGTTTCGAACCACATTTACATGTTTATATTGACTCCCAAGACAAGTGAGTACTCAGAGGTGATTCCGTTTGGATTGGCGTTTTTCAAAAAACCTGTTCCTGTGAGCTAGTATCAGATCAGACAGGTATACTAAATCAGTTTCACATGAAACTACATGTTACTTACCACAATATTTGTTTTCGACAGGAACCTGGGTGAGTTACTTGACCGCTTCGTCACCGACTTCAAGTCTGTCGGCATGGCCCAGATCGAAAGTGACGGAAGCAACGTGATCCTGCCAAGCGCTGGAGAGCTCTTTGTGTTTTACAAGAAATGTTTAGTGCAGTGTTCTCAGCTCAGCACTGGGCCACCGCTTCTGTCGCTTGCAGCGACGTTTCAGAAATACCTCAAGGAATACGCCGCGAGAATATTGTCCGCCAATATGCCCAAGTACGATAATTTAATATACGATACACCACAAACGCGAAGACCCGAATGACTATTTCTCTATAAAACTAAATAACCAAGGAGCAGTGTGGCAGCGTCTTCAAACAACTTAGCATCAAATGTGGTATAACAACTGCCTAAAATAGACAAAAGACTTCTCGACGTTTCGACTTGAGGGCCTTCGTCAGGAGAGTTAGTATTTAACTAGTTAGTCATATTAACTCTCCTGACGAAGGCCCTCAGGTCGAAACGTCGAGAAGTGCTTTGTCTATTTTAGGCAGTTGTAATACCACATTTGATGCTAAGTTGTTTGAAGACGCTGCCACGCTGACCCCTGGTTATATAAAACTAAATACTGAACATTTAAATGGTCCATTGTTGATCCATAGTAGATTTTTGCTAACTACAGTAACAGTACGTGAAATCGTGAACCCATTCACACTATGCGATTGGTCATATACGATTCTTACCCTGGCGTATGTGAACGTATGAACACGTATACAAACATCACATTTCAAATTCTTCAAGCAACGAAATGAGCAAAATTGCGACGTTGGCGCTCACTGCCATCCGTCAGAATGATAATCGCGTACAGCCAATCGTAAAGTGTAAGTAAGGTTTTATGTACGAAGATTACAACGCCATTATCATTGCCTGATTTCAATCTTGTTCAACCTTCCTTTCAGAACAGCCACTCAATCTGGCGGACTCGCGAGTATACTGAAAGACAACGAAATAAAATTTAACAAAGAAGATCAAACATTGGCCTGCTGTATTCTCTGCACAGCGGACTATTGCTTGGAGACAACGCAACAGGTATGTCAGGGAGAGAACAGCTCTCGACTGTGGTTTTTAAACATCATTCATTGTCAGAATCAGAGGCGAAGACGGTCGGTAAGCCTTGGCGAAGATTTCGTTTTTTAATTAATCATCTTTCTTTCTTCGCTTCCCAACGCAGCTGGAGGAAAAGTTGAAGGAGAAAATTGATGTGGAATTATCAGAAAAAATCGACCTTGTTAACGAGCAGGATATATTTCATTCGTGAGTATACTCTAGGATCAGGTCTTTGCATCTGTAAATCTCTTGTCCTTCCCTCCCACTGACCTATAGTATAATTCCTGGAGGGAGTGCTCGCCATCATCAAGTGAAGCAAAAAAGATGGCGGAGAAGTTACTGAAATCTCCCTCCAGGAGTTATAGTATAGCTCAGTGTTCCCACCTCTCATATCTCATCATTCGTTTTCCATGCAGTGTGATATCAAGTTCCATTCAGCTGCTAGTTCAAGACACTGAAAATGCTTGTGACGCCCCGCTCACTGCCATGGCTAAAGTAAGTGAATAGAATCAGACAGTTTTTACTAAAAATGCCCCTGTTACACGGTGCAATTCTTCTTTTGAGAGATGTAAATTTAGCCACCACCAAACTCTTGTGTTTATTACACTCCATGGACGTTTCTTATACGCTTACATTTTGAAGACTTTTCGCTAGTTTGCATCTCTTAAATGTGGAATTGCATTGCATGAAAAATTGGACCATGTAACACAGCTTTAATTTTATTGCGCCATTTTCAGCTAGTTTTATTGGCCACTCGTCAGCTTTTCCCCTCTTTGCCTAGATCAGAAAGTAATCTGTGATGCAAAATGTCAATTCGCAACACTGTTTCTGCTCTGTAGGTTCACTGGCAAAGTATCGAGGCAGTTGGTGATCAAAGTACATACGTGACTGCCATAGCAACGCATCTTCAAAACATAGTACCCGTCGTCCGTGACTACCTCACATCAGTGCGGAAATATTTCACACAGTTTTGTGTCAAGTTTGCAAAGTGAGTCTTCGTGTGCTTTTCTCATATTCCTTCTGTCATTTTGCCCATCCAGTGTTTCTTTCCAGACCAGTTGATGAATCGTTCTATTTCTCTTGTAGTTCCTTCATACCAAAATTCATCAGCCAGATTTACAAATGCAAGCCAATAAGTACAGTGGGCGCCGAACAGGTAGGTATGAGGCATGCGTACAATGTGTCAGACATAAGGCCCATTTACATTACGCGATTTGTCGTGTAAGATTCGTACCCTGGAGTATATGAACGTATGAACACAGGTACAAACATGACGGTTTAAATTCCACCCTGCACAATATGCATGAAGATTGTGGCATAGGCCCTCTTTTGCATCCGTCAGAATGATAATTGCATACAACCTATCGTGTAGTCTAAATAGGCCTATAAAAAATGACAAGACTGTAGAGTTATTGGAAAGAATACGATCTCATTCGTACAAATATAACCAGGGAGCAGCGTGGCAGCGTCTTCAAACAACTTAGCATCAAATGTGGTATAACAATTGCCTAAAATAGACAAAACACTTCTCGACGTTTCGACCTGAGGGCCTTAATATGAACTTTCATCATACTCTCCTGTCGAAGGCCCTCAGGTCGAAACGTCGAGAAGTGTTTTGTCTATTTTAGGCAATTGTTATACCACATTTAATGCTAACTCATTCGTACAGCTGCATTAGGAAAATATTTTCTTTTTTAGTTGTTGCTGGACACTCATTCTCTGAAAACCATTCTGTTAGACTTGCCTTCACTTTTGTCTAATGTATCAAGGAAAGTCCCGGCAAGGTGAGAGAAGTGGTTTACCCGTCAGCAAACAAAATAGGCCTTTTTTCCATTAAACTAAATGTTAGACTAGGAGTGATCATCGGCGCCACTGTTAATAGCATCCGAGAATGAGTAAAAATCTAAAGTTTACTTGCAAAATATTGAAAGTTTTACACGTCTGGCTATTTCTTTTCACAACCTTCCGATATTTCACAACCGAACTGCCCGTTTTTACTAATTTTGGGATGTTTTTTCCAGCTGAGAAACCCAGTATTGATGAATTGATCTGTTTCAACATTCGGTTCGCTAAAGAAATGATCAATAAAATTTACAATACGTAATGTTGATGCTTTTCAGTTACTCCAAAGTGGTTTCAAAAGGCATGGCCAAGGCGGAGATGATATTGAAGGTAAGTCTTACGACTGAGAATATCCTCATGAACAAGATATCTTCAGAATGAAAGATATTGATGATGCAGGCTGGAATTTTACGTTTAAACTGTCTTCTAGGTTGTTATGTCTCCTCATGACCCTCCGGTTGGATTCGTTGACAACTACATCAAGTTGGTTGGCGATGCTGACACTTCAAACTTCCAGAAATTGCTGGATATGAAGGTGAGAGTCTACATGGACCTCTAGCTTTCTTAGCTTCGCCTAGTGAACTCATAGCGCTTCAACAAGGAACGAAAATTTTTGAAGCGTAGGCCTTTTACACATCAAAACACTCATGACTGTCCACTCGTTCTCATCCATCAAAAAGGGCTTAATCGCGGGTAAAGTTGGCATGAGAGTTGATCGAAATTTTTTTCCAGGGTTTACGGCGTAGCGAGCAACACGCCATGCTGGATCTATTCCGTTCACGTCTTCCAACACCGAGCACTCCAGACGCCAAGAGCTCAGCGTCGCCGGCAACGCCCGAGCTCGAGTCGAGCAGAATAAAAAGACTGGAACGACTAATTAAGAAGCAATTTTAACAAAGACAACCGCTGCGCATCGCTGGCTCGCAAAGAAAATGGACAAGGGTTAGGTAACGCCAAATTACTACTTTTCTTACGAATGAGAAAGGTGCCTATAAATTTTATTCAATTTAATTGGATTATGCAAACACACAAACATAGTTGTTTCGTAATGGAATAAGAAATACAATTCGTGCGATTAATGATTTATTACAAATTGTGGTGTCAGAGAATAGAGATATGTTCATCCACCATTAATTATCAAATATTTACAATCTAAATTATACATTGCCTTGATGACTTGAAATGTTCTCTAAAAACTAGAACCCAGAAATGATATTTGTCGAGATGCCCAGCTGTTTTAAATCTCGGTATCGTCTTTCCGCCTTGGATTTTTTCTGTTTGTTTTGCAATGGGTCTAGCTTCAAACTCGATAGAGTCTCTGTGAAAAACTCTGGTAGAGGAGCTCTAATGATCACCGGTTTTGTCTCGAGATCGTCCAGCATAATTTCCTTGGCATGAAGATGAAGTGGGATTAGTGCTCTTTGCCATGCTTGGATCTTGCGTTTCCCACTTTGAGTATTTGGAACTCCACTGAATCCCAGCATTTGAAGTAGACGCAGCGGAATTACCTGAAGAATCCATTTCATATAATTTGTTTAAAAGCAGTAAAATTATTGATCCCTAATATCTCAATTGCATTCACTGTTAATTCTAATTCCAATCCTAATTCATAATCTTAATCCTGATTCTTCTGACCACTAAGTCTATGTCATTGTTGCCAACTCTTGCAAACACTTGAATACTTCTTTACCTGTGGTTGTTGTTTTTCAGATGAATACTTGTGATCCCCCAGTACGGGTGTTCCCAGTCCTTGTGCTAAATGCACTCGTATCTGATGCTTGTAGCCTGTGACGGGTTGTAGTTCCAGAAGAGAGCATGTATTTCTGTTTTTTGCAAGAACTTTGTATCTTGTATGGGCTGGTTTGCAATCTGTGTCCTAAGATGAAGAGAGATTGTATTAAGTTTGGATAAAAAAATGCCAATTTTGTAAGCTTGTTACAGATATTTCAAGCACGTCTTCATTGTCAACACATAATATTTCACTATCATAGTCAGTTAAACTTACATATTCATCTGAAATTTCTTCTTCACTTAATGTGATCTTGAATCTGCCATTCACAGTTTGTTCTTTCAGCGGGATTCTTATATGTCCTTCCTCCTCATTTGGGCTTCCCACGACCACAGACCAATATGTCTTCTTCACTTTGCGCTCTCTGAATACCTCACCCAAATATTGAGCTGCACCTTCCGATCTGAAAAAACATAAGTGAAAAGATCTTCAAATTGATTGATGTTAATGTGCTGCGATTGGTTATTCTCAGATTGATCCAAAGACACTCTATGTGTACCATTTAACCATTAGGAGCAGCTTCTGGCAAACTATCTTACGATTATTTACAGTGAAATACAGTATAACAGTGTATATACAGTTGGTACATATGTGTGCATTAACAGTAAAATGTGTTCTGTCACCCACTTTGCAAGTAGCAGCACCCCAGTACTGTCTCTATACACAAAACAAAAGTAAAAATAATTAATGTAAACATTTATACAAGTATTGCTCATGCTTATTGTCAACGTTGAGAATAACCTGTCTAATCTGTGAGCAAGTCTTGGCCTATTCTTCAGTCCTTTGGCATTTGCAAAATCATCGAGCATTTCAGTCAAGCTGATGGGTGTGTTGGAATTTCCTGAAAATTACATGTTTGTTTCAGAGACGTCCCACAACAAAGCATTTTGTGGTTATACTTTTTCTATTACCAGTACACTTACTGTCAGTTATTAAAGTTACATAATTGATAGAGACACACCTTGTACTGTTAGTCCATATGGTTTATTAATAGCTATGATGTCATCTATAGGCAAATAAAATACAAGTTTGATATAATCAAATAAAATGTCTTATACACAAAATTGTCTGGCAATAGATAGTATAAAATGGAATATAAGATCAAATTGAATAGTCCAGTTTGCCTATTAAGTCTCTATACTGACAAGTAGCACGCATAATTTTGCAGGTACTTGCAGCTTATTTTTTTTACCTAACTTATAAAGAACAACTCTTTTGTGATTGTAGTTAACGGCTAATTTCCTGTTCCAAGAACTTCCAAAATCCAAAGGCTACTTCCCCAACCTGGGGACAATCTGGATGCCGTCAAACGAGACATCTATATTTTAACGTCGCAATTCAAATACGCAGTAAACTTGACGCTCAAGCGCTTCAATATATAAACAAACTTTCACTTTACATAATATTTTAATGTACTCACGTTTATTATATATTACACTTTTCAGCAGACCTTGAAGTATTTTATTTCTTCTTATTGCCAAACTGGGCTTCATTGATGATTTTGTAGAAAAACACGACCGTGAAATTGCGTTGGATTGCGTTCAAACTGCAGATACAATCGACATACGAAATGTCAAAAGTCTATACAGGAAAATCTTAAATATTTGCCTCGTTAGCATATAATAATAACAATAAAAAACATGCAGCTAAACCACATACCTGTTTTATATTGCATCGATATTTGAGATCAATCACAATTTATTTTTTCCTTTTATCTTATGCAGCAAAGTTCGCTTTGTATAAGAGTCTATCTAAGATTTGAATTTGACATTAGATGATGGTGATATGACCAAGAGTTGTATTTTTTTGGAACTCGTTCTGGTTTTGCCCGATGTTATTTTGTGCGATCGGACTCAGTTTGCGGGCTCGAGCAAGCGTAAACACACGTGGTCTCAGAAAGCAAGATGGCGAAAAGTATTCGATCAAAAGCAAAGCGTAAATTACGGGCTGCAAAACGTGAAAAAATTGCCGCTAAAGAAAGATTAAAGTTGTTAGCAATACAGGAGGAAGAAGGGGGAGTTAAAATGGTTGAAGATCCAGCAGAACACAACGAAGAAGACAATAATATTCCAGCTTCTTCAGGTGAATATATCAAAATATAAATATTTCATTCTTATTTCTCTGTTGTATTGCCAATGATCAATATTTTTTATTTCTATAGGCTTCAATAGTTACAACTTATACGACATAGTAAGGGAGCGCAGTTTTGATCTGGGGGATCTGTCTAGTTCAGCCTCCTCCTACTAGATAACACACTACCTTCCCCCCCTGAAACCCTAAATTCCTTTCTTTGAAGAGGAGAATGTGATGGGCAATACCACCTTTTTTATTTCACACAATACTTGACCAATTTTGGCTATTTTTTGTACACAGATACCAATACTAATGTCTGACTCCGTACACTACCATAATATGCAATGGTGACATAAGGGTATTTTATTTTTTTTCTTGTGGTCCAAATTCATATGTTAGCCTTTCCTGCAATATGTTTGGCTATGTGAGCAGTCTGTATGAGGCCATACAGACCACGCAAGATTTATAAGCACAGAGCCAACGCTAGAATATGAATTCAGACCGCAAGAAAAAAGAAATATTTTACCAGTTTAGTCTGCCCGTATAGGAACAGACCTCCAATCTGGTAAATAACATATATGTATGTCTGGGATATTTTCAGGAGATGTTGATGAAACCATGGATGTTCAATCTGTTAAAAAGGCAAAGAAAAAGAAACTAAAGAAATATAAATCTAGTTCTGGTGGGAAAAATATCAAGAGACTAAAGAAAAATATGAAAAAGTACAAGTGGTAGAGGTGAACACTCAGGCATGCAGTAAGTTATTGCAATTCAGAATTTAAAATTAACTCAGAATTATAGTTAATTCAGAATAGAATGATCAAGGTGATCATACGGAAATGTAAATACATGATCAATCTCACACTCAAGCCAAATTGATTTGAGTTCTGGTTACATAAATTCCCGATATTAACCAGCATACTGGGATACTGCCAGAGGGATATATCATATATTAGTCTTGCATATTTTACAAAGTGTAAAAAATGTAATCTTTGTAAGGTCCTCGAATCAAGAATTTTAAATTACCAGTTTGAAACAATTTTGTTCAGTACATGTTGAAAACCTAGGACAAACAGTGCATTAAAATTAAAAATCTAAATTTTATAAGTTGTGAGATTTTCTTCGTGAATTCTACGAGTGCAAAGTCCTGGGGCTGGTTGTATAAAAACATAGTTAACTTTTAACTATAGTTAGTGACATAATTGACCAATCAGAGTCATGTATTTCTGAGTTAACTACGCAAAATGTAGTTAAGAGTTTTATACAACTGGCCCCTGTCAAAGACTTATCACTTTTGCAGACTTGTTTGCCGAAGAAACACTGTGTTAATCCATACTAATTCCTCCTAATTGACTGGCAAACATAAGCAAACATTCAAGGGGGTATAACACATATGATAGATGGATTTAACTTGAAGATGGATCTGCTAAAGGTGATGTGAAAATGGCAAATAAAATGTGCATCGCCCCAATATTTAATTCCCATTTTTTCATGTCCTGTCAAAATGTTCCTTTAAATCAGCCAAATATTTTATGAACTTGCATTTGCAACTTGACTTGACTGTTGTGCTGAGGTATTCTATATATTCCAGCATTATGTAATTGTACTTGTAGACATCAACAATGTACAAACTAATGTTGTAAATTTATATTGTCTTTTATTGGGAAGAAAATAAAACATAGTTAAGGGTTTATCATTGTGAAATTATTTTTCCTGAAAAAGTCATAAATATTTCTACAAATCACTTGTCAGTGCCTGGTTGAAAATAGTCCAAGATTTGTTAGAGGTGACTGTAGTTCATATGCGATAGTTCAATAAGTTATCATTGTTCAATTGAGACGCCATGCCATATACAGAGCCTTGAATTTATCAAAGCCTGCAAGCACACCAGCTCCAGCGACACCTCTCAAGATGTTAGCACCAGCTCCCTTCATCAAGGACATGGGGCCCTCGTTACTACAACAACTTGGATGAAGCAATCAAACGACCCCTTGTATTTCACAGCTTCTCCGGATGTCATCATCATACGTCTTCGGATGGTATCAATCGGGTATGATGCAAGACCTGCACTGACAGTCACAGCATAACCAAGACCAAATGATAGAATAACACCTAAAAGCAGGAGAAAATTTATAAGGATATTTCAGGTTTTTCTTATCCAAAAACAGCTAAAACCCTGTCCAAAGGTCTCTTCTAGTGGGGGAAACTTCTGAAGGTCCTAAAACTAATATACTATAATACATACATAACACCTACCTGCATCTTCTCCTAAGATTATTGGCTTCAGAGTATCATAGAGACCAAAGTAGAAACCACGGTAGACAATGATGCCTACGCAAGAAATGGCAAATCCTCTATAGAGGCCCTGAATACCATCACTCTTTAAGGTCTTTCGGTAGACATCAACCAGACCGTTGAATTGACGTTCAGCACCCTTCCCAGCAGCCTTAGTGTCGTTAGCCAGCCTGGTTCGAGCATAATCCAAGGAATATACGAACACAAGCGACATTGCTCCAGCACAACCACCGGCAACGATGTTCTTGGTGAACTTCATGGCAGATGAGTCCGCCTTATTGATCTTGAAAACTGCTTTTACTTTGTCTTTGAAAGCAAAGTTAAGAGCTTGTGTTGGGAAGTAACGGATGCAGTTAGCCAAGTTGCCTCTCCAGAAAGGCAAGAATCCTTCAGAACGATAGGTTTTCATCGTGCAATCGATGACACCCTTGTATGGCTCTGCAAGACGTCCAGACTTGAGCATCTCATCTTGATTTTGAACCAAAAGCTTGATACGTTCGATAGGAGCAGCCGCAGTCTTTGAGATGACAGCTGCAACACCGCTCAGGGCAAAGTTCTCTGCAAAGCCAAGCTTCCTTTTCTCCGCCATATTTCCTTAGGTTTCTCTAAAAGAAAATGCAAAATGAAAACCAATGCCAAAGAAACTGAAGACATGCCATTGAAGAAGAAAGGTTTTTTATTATCAAATGAACAGTAGCTTCTCAAGACATTGGTCTTGGATGCACAAGTATGATATTGTAAATTTCACATTTGATATCAGATGATCAATCAATTACTGTAATCCTGAATGTTTGTACCAGTGATTGGCTGAACTAATTGGTGAAGCAAGAAATTCTTGACCTCTATTTTACCCAGATTTTCAGTAAGCTGAGGGATAACAAAAAGATCAAGAATATACTTCAAACTGCAAATCAGAACAAGCTCTACTGAAATGCTTTATATATTCAGTGGCTTTTTTTTATTTAAACTGAAAATCGACTAAATAATTTTAAACTGAAAATCGACTAAATAAAATGGTTCTAAATGCGCAACTTTGCGTTACATAACCGTATTGAGAGATAGACTAATATAATACAATATCTTACACGGGTTTCGACATAATTTGGCGAAGCAGTACAAAGTACAAAAGCTTGCAAAATTATTTTAAGACACTTTGAAATTCGAATCGAATTCGTTTGTATGCAAACGCGAACAAGCGCAAACCTCAACGGCAATCGAAAGTTTAAAAATTGAACATTTCTTCTAAATTTAAACGATTCAATCAGCTTTTCTAAGAAGCCTTCAACAAGGATCAATTTTCGGGTCTAAACTCGCCAAATGGCAAACGAAAGTATGTGTCAGCTTGGGGACGCGACGCAAAAGCGTAAATTTTTATCGTACTGTCTTAAATTGATATCATCAACGCCAAAGCGTTATTTAACGAATAAAATAAGCCTCAAAAGAGTGCATTGGTTCCTTAAAAAATCCACCAGATCTCTCAAAGGCAAAGGACAGAAAATGTATTTCACAATACAATTATATACTTGCCCCCATATATGACAAAACCCGGCAAATTTCAGACGCATTTTACTCGCGTTTTTCGGCGCGTTTCCGCAACGATCTTGCGACGAAACGAAAGAGCAGTATAACATAAAGTATATTAGCACGTTTGATCGTGAGATCATGGATAAAATGCTAAGAAAATAGCGTAAAACTTACATTGCACGTGTGTTGAAGTTGCCTCAGGTGGAAGGTCTTGAAAAAAGATCGGACTGCGGAAGACGATTTGTGACGTCACAAGTTATGATGACGCCTTGATATAAATTCCCGGATGTGCATAGCAACCTTTGGTCTCTGTTATTTCCCATCTTCCAAACGGCCGTGCAACCACTTTCAAATTTCAATAGACGTAAAATAGTCATCATATAAAGACTGTCCCTAAAATGATGATACTCTAGATCCAAACCTGACCAAATTGATGGAGTAGATTCAAAAACGTCAATAAATTTAAAATCGGGATGATTGCGTAACCGCCTTTTAGTTGATGAAAAGAAGTGAAGTTCTATAAGTAGTTTTTTCAGAACTTTTATTTCAAGGGTTTAGGCTGAACCTACATTTAATAGACCAATCTGTGCGTTTTCCTTTAGAAATATTGCAAGCTGTCATGCAGATTGACTGAAAACGGGTAAAAAGACAGCAACAACAATAAACTGCTCATGATCTTCTTTTTCCGGATACTCGCGATCGGCTCACGATCGTACTCCGAAGGGTGGGAACATCCGCAACGTTGGAAACTACGGGCTCATTTCTTGTTATAAACATTGCGAAGTAAACAAAAAACTTGTCAACAATGGACAGAAATATTTTTTCTCTCTAGAACGACCGACGTTGTGTTAAAATGGACAACGTTTTACGTAATTGCAGGACAATGTCGTAACGACGAAGCCAAAAGCCCTTCGGGAAGAGAGCAATCTATGGAAGCAAGGCTTGTTTTAAGCGCCAAAACGCGAAGGGTGTTCTTTATACAACAATACCGACGCCAAGGTCTCTTGGAGGTCAAGACGTTTTCTTGGTCATGGCAGATATAATTTGCGTTGGGGATTTTGAATACAGACGAAAAGATTTAATAGGTCATGGAGCTTTTGCTGTTGTATTTAAAGGCAGACATCGCGAGGTAAGAACGCAAAAAATATCATGAAAATTTGGCGACATTAGATCATAAGCTAATATACATGTATTTTCGGTTTGGCTTTGCAGTATTTGTGCCCTGTCATTGGAGAATTTACCAGTATATTCGTTAAAGGATAACTTCAATGTGTTATATTTCGCCGAAAATATATAAATCGTAGAAACGGGAAGACTATTAAGTACAACAGGCTTTTTTTGGACAGGATGTGAAATTGAATGACAATTACACAACTTTATTATACAACTCCGATATCGTATTAAAGTTGACACGAATTGTTGGGTCATATGGATTGTTTTTAAATTAATTTTATTATCTCTCCTTTATGTGCGATTATTTCAATCTTCATTTATTAATACAACAACACGCCATAGATGAAATTTAACTTGTGTGTAATTACCACTCGAAAAATCTTCCTAAAATACTCAAAGGGGATAAAAAAAATTACAGAGACGTGATGAATGTGTGGCAATAAAGGTTATAACAAAGAAGAACCTGTCAAAAGCACAGAATCTCTTAACAAAAGAGATTAATATTTTGAAGGTCAGTTCATGTTGTTGTTTTTTATTCAATATCAAACTCTGACCACAGCTGAAAGTTTGACAATAGAGCAATATGTAGTATCACAACATTGATAATATCAACAACACTGAATATTTAATCATCTCCAAAATTAGCGTGTAACATTGCTCCACGCTGGGAACTGCATTGTATATGCACACTAAGGATAGATTTTTGGTTAAAAAGATACAGTAATTAACCTATTCTACATGAAATACCTCATATGCCCAGTTGAGTGGATGTCTGTGCTTTTGAGCTGGTTGTCAACTTCATTTTTGCCATTTCCAGGGACTCAAGCATGAGAATGTTGTCTGTTTATATGATTGCAAGGTAATGGTTTGTAGTTTTAAATAATGCATAAAGCATTTGAACCCTCCAACATCTCTGGACACAGACTGTTATTTTAACATTTCATGAGTGTTAAATTAAATCCTAGTTGATGCCCAATGATTGATTGAGTCAGGCCTTCAATGAACTTGTGCACAATTTTCAAAACACCTGTCTAATAAGTTTCATTTCCATATCTTTAAACCTGTTTTAAATATTTTTTAGGAAACTCCAACACAAGTTAACCTTGTCATGGAGGTAATTTTTCAATGGAGACATACAAAATGTGTGAAAGAATTGACAATAATTACCAATTGCCTGGGTATAGCAATGCTGCATGTCATCGTCTTTTCATCATTATCAAGTCCCTGCACATTGCTATGCCTACCTGCTGTTTTAACTGTGAGTTATAATGCTTACATGCTAAAATTGCTCATTTATTGTAATATATTATTGTAGTATTGCAATGGTGGTGACTTGGCGGATTATCTTCATGGTGAGTATTACTAATGTAACTATCTGTCAGCACCATAATTTACTGTACAAAAAACAATAGCCTCACTGCACCCTGGGATGATTAAATTTCTGGAGATGCATATCTTGATTTATGACTGAAATTTCCCCCAAAGATCGAGCTGGGAAGAATGAAACACAATATATTAATTCTTTTACAGCAAAAGGGACCTTGAGTGAAGACACCATCTGTATTTTCTTAAAACAAATTGGTATGAAAAATCTTATTATATATAGAATTGTTTGAACTATAATTGATTATTTAAACATATTGAATGGTAGTAGGTGGTTGCCAACTACAGTGTATACCTACTCTAAAGTCTAACTTTTTCTAAAGCAATCATTTTTCACTTGCATCCTACAGCTTCTGCAATGAAAATTCTCCAATCAAAAGGCATTGTCCATCGGGATCTAAAACCTCAGAATATCCTACTTAGTCATTCAGGTGTTTCACACCCCAGACCGGCAGACATCAAAATAAAAATTGGTAAGCGTGATGATGCTTGTTGACGTAATTAAAGAGCATATGACGTTTTTCTCTGTTTTCAACATATTACTCCCAGCGTCCCAGTATTACTATATTGGCCAAAATCTTCGAAAAAGCTAGTCTATTTTGGATTTGAATTTTCAGCTGACTTTGGGTTTGCAAGGTTTCTCCATGGTGAGATGATGGCAGCAACTTTGTGTGGATCACCAATGTATATGGTGGGTTTTTGTCATCAGAAAAGACAACCTTTGTTTGTATTATTAATCAGAGTCAAGCCATTGTTTTAATTCATTTTTCAAGGCCCCTGAGGTGATCATGTCAAGAGAATATGATGCAAAAGCTGATCTCTGGAGCATTGGTACAATTATATACCAGTGCCTCACAGGACGTGCTCCCTTTATGGTGGGTACTTCTAAATAAGTGTTCACATCAGTGAGGGCTGGTAAGGGGGGTGGGGGGTGGGAAAGACACCTGCATCTCTCAAGGATTTCAATTTTTTGTTTAATCTCTTCAAATCCAACATGATGATTGGGATTGATCATTGCAAAGTTTTACTAAAGTTAAAGAGTAAAAATTTCATTTAATCTCTAAAATACCTAATCCTAGAATTGTTTTCCTCAAAAAAAATTCTGGTACCACACTGGTTGAAAGTCTTATTTACTGTAGATAGATCATGATAGGTCATGAAAGATGAACTTGTATGAAGAGTTAATCTATAATACAAATGTTTCTTTTTTTTTCACCAAAATCTAAGAGACAGCATTCATAATAAGAGGTATTTTAACAGGCCTCTACTCCGCAAGAACTGAAGAAATATTACCAGAAAAGCAAAACCATTTCACCTGAGTAAGTTTAAAGAAGAGTTTAAAGACTTCATATGATTTCCTTTGCTTGTACAAATTAACACATCTGGTTTGTGTGTCACCTGTTTTGGTTATCCTATGTTGAACTTTCTTTACCCTCATTCACCTGTAGTATCCCCAGTGATACCTCATCTGCCCTTGAAGACTTGCTTCTCTCGATGCTGAAACGAAGTCCGAAGGATAGGATCGAATTCAGTAAGTGGGAGTTAATTTCCTTTATACTGGATAACTCCATCATAATTTCTAATTATCCTTTAGTAAGAATGTATTATTGCCATCAAACTTAGTATTGAAGCCTAATAAATTATCTTTTGAAATCTAGAAGACTTCTTTCGACATCCATTCTTGGCCGGTGCCCTGGTTCGAAAACCATGTAAGTCTATTGGTAATACACGATGAACGTGTGCTTAAGAAAGGATAGGATTGCATTGGAGTTGGTGATGGGAGAAGATAAGTTTATCTTGGTGATGATTTTTTTCATTTCAGCCGCACCAGTTCAAGTGCCGTTGAGGAAACAGTCACCACGTTCAATCCCGTCTTCGCCAGTGGATATCTCACCTGTAAGTGCTGTACGGTCGCCTTCACGTGAATACCACGTGAACGTTTCAAGAAATTGTGTACAGTCACCTTTTCATAACCACGTACTGTGAAACGTGAAAACTCACAAGCTCGTTTCTCGGGAAAATTTTCTAGAGTGCTGCGCGCGATCCTACTGGTGACGTGAGACTGGATATATTTCGTCGGGTAACACCACCATATGATGCTACTCAGTTATCACCCTCGGGATATCAATTCAACCCGCTCATGTCAGGTATAATATGAGATTAAAGACCTGCTAATGGTCCGTGTTATGTTCGGTTATCGTAGTGTAATCGAGTCTCATAATTCTCATCGATGTGATTTGGTAATCTTTAGGCTACGTGACTGGGTGTTCACCTCAAGGTTCAAGGAATATCTCCGGCCAAAACGACGTTTATTCGGAAGAGGTTAGAAAGGATAATAATTGTATTGCGTTTTGTTCATCGCAATTATCGCTACTCTGGTTTGATTAATGAACTGGTCGTAATCACCACACAAATATTACATTCACGACCCAACGTTTCGACACTCCGGTCTAGGGTCTTCATCAAAGGTGATCTGATGTTGTTTGATCATTATGTACTCTCCAAGTTTCATCAGCAGATTTATTTTCATCTCGTGACATTGCTTGTATTAATAATTTTCATAATTTACTGCATTTAGGACTTCGTCATGGTTGAACATCAGACATCTCCTGATCAAAGCGATGGTAAGTGATGTTAGCAATTCAGCGGCAGCCTACGTCGGCAGCCTACGTCGGCAGCTTACGTCGGCAGCTTACGTCGGCAGCTTACGTGGGCAGCTTACGTCGGCAGCTTACGTCGGCATTCGCAGACGTTAGAAAATGCTGGTTTATACTAGCAGAAGTCTTTTTCTTGGCCACAACAGTGTTCTAATTCACCCTACGACAAGTTTAGATCCTCACTGAAACATGTATTAAGCTTTCTGCCTTTACTTCTGGTTCGTCTTGAAACCTTAAAATATAATTTTAGAATTGTTTTTTAATTTCATGATAGGTCAAATCACGTCCAATGCTTCAGACCCGTTGTTCCCAGTTTTCAGCTCTTCGCCAAAGGCCAGCAAATTCCACCGTCCTGAATCACCGCTGGCCACTGGATCTCAGCGAAAAGCTACGTTCATCGTGGGCTCACCTTCATCCGGGTCTCCTTCGTCTTCGCCTCTGTCACGTGGCTTATTTAATCGCTCGCCATCGCGAAATTCGCCATCTCCCAAAGACGACAAAATGGTCCCGCCAAAAAGTTCGCCCTCGAGTAAAACTTCCAGCAGTCAAACGTCGGGTAAAAGTTCCCCTTCTGCGCCTATACCAATTGGCGGATCCAGTCCCCGTGAAACTCCACAAACACGCGACGACGGATACAGTAGGTCAGCGCCCATTATGGTACCACATCCAAGACGGAGTTCATTTTCAAGTAGTTTGAAGACAACGCAAGCCTCTCCAACAAACCCAATGAGCCAATCGCCGAAACCCTCTGTCCCTTCCAAAACGCGTTCACCTTCTGGTGTATCCAATTTTGGCACATCGTCGAATCCCAGACATTCACCGGTGATCACTCCGACCCATTCCCCTAAACAATCACCTGCTGTTTCTCCTGTCCAGCCCCCAAATATGTCACCAATCCTTTCTCCGACTCAATCCCCTAAACAATCACCTGGCTCAACCCCGACCCAATCTCCTAATATTTCACCACTGGTTGCCGTCTTTTCTCCGTATTCTCCGAAGAAAGCCCGAGCTGGGACCGAAGTATCGTTCTCAAGTCTTTTAAACAATTCCCACAAACCGATCGTAAAGACTCGGTCATCTCCGTCGCTCTCGACGACCGGAGCTTGGGCACTGGAGGCGAAGTCAAGACGAATGTCCCCCATTTCGAAATTTGATCTCAAACCGTTGGAAAGTCCTCCTGAAACTACAGGCATGGAGAGTTTCGGCTTTCCATATCGCAGCCCGACTGCGGGTGCATTAGCCCGTGTACAAGGAGGGGCACCCGCCAAACCTTCATTGCTTAAAAATGTCCTAGGCTCGTCTCCTACACCCTCGTATGAAGGGGATGATATGAAACCACTCAAAGGGATTTTCTTTGGTAAGTGACCTTTGTCAATCCGTCATTGAGGAGAGCACCCTAAGATCCTGAGTACATCTACACGCTTAAAAATCGTCATGTTGACGCAAGTTGTTTAAAACAGGAGTGAGCAATGTTTTGCTGCACCCTGTGAACAGTATTGTTTACAATGTTCTTGAACCATCAATACTGCTGCAACTTGTTGGCAATCATGTCAACCGTTGCAACAACATTAATGGTTGAACAAGATTCAACAAGATACAAGATTGATCAATACATGGGGTGCAGCACAACATTGTTCACTGCTGATGCGACAACCTGATCAATTTTTTGCCGTGTAGTGTACATAACGCCCAGTGGGAAGGTATTTTTCTTCCTCAATTTGACGTTACGTCACTGAGTCAAGTGGCGACCAGCATAAAGAAAAAAATTGGTTTTTTGGTACATGCATGTGTTCAACTTTGAACCTTCCTCAAAAACCTCATTCAAACCAAATCTTGAGCAAATATCCCCTGTGTTTTTTTTCCAGCTCAAGGGGTCAGATTTGATGTTACACCAGGTCAACAGCAAACGGTTACAAGCCAAGTGTTGAACACCACAGGAAAGTTAGAAGGGCAAGTGATCGTGGATGTCCCATCTTTGTCCTCTGAGACACTCATGGAGGTATGGGCAGTGAGAAAACTTCAAGATCAAACTATCTAAAATTTTATCTAAATTTCGCACCCTATTTCCCTAAGATTGATATCTCCCACTCAATGAGTTTGAGTGTGAGTGAGCTCTTAAAATACAGGCGTTATAGATTTCTGTACTCTGTTTAAACGGTATAACGTGTGGTTACATGACAACAATTCCTGCCTCTTTTCTTCACAGCGTGATCATATTGAGGGAGTAAGAAAACTTCGCTTATCGCTTTCGTACGCAGACGCCATCATCGATGTTTTACAGACGAAGAGTACTCCGCTAAGAGCGTTGTCAGAATCAATGACCGTAAGACAGGTGTGGAGTTGGGAAATGATTTTGAGATTCGATGCGTTTTATACATTGATTGTACATTTGATTTACAACGATAGATCATTTGAAGTAATTCCTTGACCGTTTAAAATTTCATTTCTAGACCGATTGTTTTAATGGTGAGCAACTGATATTCGTGAACAACGAGTACAGGTAATGAAGGTATTCTAATAGCAACCTCGACCAGAGCGAAAGAGTTTTTATCAGTTTATGATGATGCTCAACTTTCATTTCTGAAGAGGACAACTACCTCGCCTAAATACACGCCCTTCGAAACAGAAATCTGTTTGAGAGATTTTACCACAAAAGCGTCGTTTTAATGAGTTCTTACTGTTATGAATTACTGCCAAGTATTAAGACCTTATTTCGTGTTTTATTTAGGAGACTTTAGATAATTTTCGAAATGATTTAGAAATGCTTATATCTAAAATTACGTCCATTCCCATTTTTTTCAACATATTTTATACAGTTACAGTGGCGTAGCCAGCCCGACGATTTTGTCCCGCTATGTAAATTTCTAGTTATTATATTTATTCATGCCCTTAGAAAACTATTGTTTTCACAGTCAGTGAACACTAAAATATTAGCATAGCGGGGCAAATCGACAGGCTGGCTACGCTACTGTACAAGTTATAATATTGTTTTAACTGTTCTTCACTTTCAGGAAAGCAGAGCAGTTGGCTTTGTGTATTAAAGTGCTTCGTTTGTTAAACTCCATGTTGGTATTTGCAAAAGAAGAAATAAAATATGGCCGTCTGCAGCCTTCAGATACTGTTAAGTCATGTAAGTTTAGTCAGTGTTTGGTCAAGAATGGTGACAAGCAGTTTGCAATGTTAAAGACTTTCTAAATTCCTCGATATTTCAGTGATAAAAGATCTCAATGAGAGGAATCATCAGTGTTTGAATCGCGCCAAACAGATCAACCAGCAGATGTCGATACGTGTCAGAGATCTGGACGCCAGCGTCTTGACGGTAGGTGACATCAAGTATACAGTAAGCTGACGTAGTTGAGAAACTCTTTAAACTAACTTCCTAGCATAGCACGCTAACTTTTTTTAAACTTTGACATTCCAGCTGTCGGCGGATAAACTGATTTATCAACACGCTTTGGAAATGGTAATAAAATTAGGCCTCCAAACCGACCACTGTCGCCTTTCTGTTAACTTACCGTGTCGGTGTTTCATGATTTAAACATTTTGGTTTTTCGTTTTCAGTCGCAGATCGCAGCCCTGGACGAGTTGTTTGGCGACGCGCAGTTGGTAAGTCTTGTGGCTTTATGTTATAACGTGAGTTAGAGCATCAGGCCTAATTTACTACTGTCATATATCACTAATGTATCCATTCTCTTTCCTTCCAGTGTAAGGAACGTTACGAGAAAGCCGTGTTGTTGTTACGAAGTCTGGAAGATGATGCTCGCAGTGAACGGGACAGAGCCTTACTGAATAAATGTATCCTTTAACGCGATTACCTACTTGCAGATTGTCCCAGCTTTAGGTGACGAAATGCCCCACCCTTTAAGGGCAGGTTTCCGCACGCTTTTCTCAGGGACCTCCCACCTCTCGGGAACAGGTTGTCAGAGCTTTTGAGAAGCAGTTTACCTCACAATTTACCTTAACGTAATGTAAACAGATCAAAACGCTCTGAACTTTAGGATATCTGCTTTAGAGAAGCGTATCGCTCAGCCAAAAATTGTTAAATTGTCCTAAGTCAAGTTGACGTGCTTTTTTGTGCGATTCGATTACCATTATGGCATCTTTGAAAGATGCGAGACGTGTCATTGTGCGAAGGTAATAAATTATTTTATATATAGAGAGAGAAAGAGAGGTCTGGTGTTTGCTGGATTTGGTCCAATATTTATCACAGAGTTATTAAAATATATATATATATATATATAGTCGGGGATGGTATGTAATATTTTGTATTATCAATTGTAGTTATTTTTATTATGACAAATTGTACAAAAACATGAAATATATGTAAAGTTAAAAAAAATGCCTCGCATATAAACGTTTAATTTGAAGTGTTTAATTAAGATAATATGTGTGGAAATGCATTAAATTGTTCATTCTAACGGATCTCGATTAATTGATTGATTTTTACTTGAGATCCCCAGTTCCAAACGACAGGTTTGTCTTATAATTTATGACTTCGATAACCTTTTAGATAGATCTTTTAGATAGATCTTTTGGATAGATCTTTTGGATAAATCTTTTGGATAGATCTTTTGGATAGGTCTTTTAGTAGTTTGTCTGCCAAGAATGTATTTTTTTTAAGTTCTTAAAACATACATGCATGAGCGGGCGTTTTTGGGCACAACAAACTACTGCGAGCATCCAAATTTGGAATTTTTGTGTTCATACATTATAAATGTTAGTATGCTTGCATAATTATCCATAAATGAATAAGCCGGTAAACAAAAAAATCAATGAAATATTCAAGGCGTCAGAAGCAATGGATGTAATCCTCGTCTATTTGAAATGAACGTTTATTTTTTGCCTCAATATTTTGCTACGCGTGGTACTGGTCGATTGGGAATAATAACTTGGCATACTAGACGTGGTTTGGTCAATTCTGCAAAGGTAAATGTGACATGCTTCGTTAGATTACTTATATTAGGGATGCGGCCATATTGCATAGTTTTGAAAGCGAACATCTCGAGGTTTTTTTCCTGTCATATAGGTATATATTACTGGTACAATATTAGATTAAATATACTTTGAAACCAGATAATGCACGGTTCATAAAAGCTTGCAATATTAGTATGAAATATACTTGAAAATGGAGAATATAAAATGTGGTTCTAGTCATCTAGTGCATATTTGCCCGGAAAAGGGCCTGCGGAGGAGGTGCGAGGCGAGGGCCTGCGGAGGAGGTAGATTCTAGTGCCCGTGAGCTGCTACAACATACTAAATATATTACATCAAATGTTATATGGTTTGCAGCCCGGCCATGGCATTATTTTCGTTACCATCTGATCTTTCGCCCTCCTGTTTCGAGCTACTAGCCTTCGAACTAGTGTCCATGCTCTCGTTTCTCCTCCGCCTAAATCCCGCCAGGCGGTTACTTAGTGTAAGCGAGAACGTTCGTGATCGTTTCATCTTGTATGACCGGTTCTTCTTAAACTTTGAGACTGCCTGCATTGTCAACGTTGCCGTCCTCATGGACGCATGAGCAGTTTGAACATTACGTAATTTAACCGGTCCTATCTCGGTGAATATATCGTCCTCAGTCCCCTCACTCGAACTCGGCTTACAGTACAGCACACATATGCGGTAGACTTGCAACATGACCACCAAAGCGTTCTTTGCGATCAAAAACAAGAACATATTACTTTCACTGATATCGTATTCAGAGGCCACAAACAAACGCAATATTAAAAAAGGTCCATCCTGAAGCAGCATTGGTGTCAGAAGCTGTATCAAGTCTATATGAGTGTGTATAAAATTTTGCACTGTGCTTTCGAACCGTTTCAAAGCTTTCAAAATCCTCAAAAGAACTCCATCTTTTTTTTTAACGCTGTCGTTTTGCTGTTGGTTTTCTCTACCGTGGGATATAGGCTTTAAGGAGTCCAAATCCATTGTGTTTCGTCGCTCACGTTGCCTTTCGAAAGCCTTCCTCTGCGCTAGTTTGTAAGTGTACAAGGCAGGAGCAACACGGTTTGATTTTTTACCAGTCGTAATTTCGATGTTCGTCTCGCTTTTTTCTCCACGTTCCTTTTCCTTCTCGAGTTTCACTTCCTGGTTTGCTTTGTCCTGTGCAACGCTTTCGACGTTTTGAATCGTAACGGAAAACTGCAGGAGGCTGATCGACCACAGGGCTATGAGCAGGTTTATCATGCTAAATGAAGAGAGATATATCAGTTTCATAATCATAAAAGTACATCATCACTGCTTTAAACCGTTACGTTTTAATCTGAGGCGATGCCAATGTTCAGAGGTCGGTTGTATGAAAGCTGAACAGCGCTATCCACCGGATAGTGATTTTTCTAATCGCTGTAAAACCGGTTAAAGAGAATCCTCAATTTAGAAATTCTAAGGTTAAGGCCAGGTTATGTCGAACAACGGGGAATTTTGGAGCGATTGTAAAAACCACTATTCAGTGGATAGCGTTATCCGGTTTTCATACAACCGAGCCCAGCTGTTGAATTAGCTCTCGGAAGCTTTTGTCCAATTGGATAATGCTTTTCTATGCTTTCTAAAGAACGAAGCTATGCTATTGGTTAAAACAGAAATGTATTGTAAAGTTTAGCCAATGAAAATCATTCTTGCGAGGAGCTGCGACCCTTATTTATCCGCAAGTAAAAATTTACCCTGAAAATTACTGACCCTGAATTAGATAGCACGTCTCGAACTTCGTAAATTTCCGTCAGTTCTACAATGTCAGCGGCGGCAGCAATGTAGATGAGCAACAACTGCGACAGTTGTTCACGTGACATTTGTCCTTTGGGCAGCAACCACCGGCCAATCACGAGCAAAAGAAGAAACGTCTGGTCCAATGCGGACACGACTTTTTCATCATCGGCAAACAGCGTGTTTAGGCCCAAACTTTGAATCTGTAAGATCAAGAGAAACGAAATAATACATCATTGGGATTGTCAAGCAAGTTCGAAGGCACATGAATTGTTTGACACGATAAACATCTCGCGTCTTGTAACAAGTTTGCAAACATGCTAGCAAGAAGTTCTTTCCAACTGCTTGTCACAAGTTTCCTGGAGTATTACACACGAAACTTGTTTAACGACATGTTACAAAATTGTTTTTCAAGATCGTTTTAACTTGGAACATTCTGGTTCTAATGCATCACGACGATACGTCATCTATACTCTTTGGAACAGGAAGTCTGATAAGAGATGCAGTCATGCAGACTCCCTGGAAATGATATCGATAACTATGACCCTTTGAAACTCAAGAGGCAGTAATCTTGTCTGGAGAATGATCGAAGAATAATAATATATGAATCTTCGATTTCAAAATGTTATCATAATCTTCCATGATCTTCCTTGACGTTCCAATTATAACCATCTATACATAATTGCATAGAATCGTCGGAGAGACTTATCCATAAGTTATACCCTTTGTTTTTAAATTTGTAGTTGCTGCATAGTAGCCCTTTTTCGCAACGAAGCGCGTTGCTATTTAAAATCTTAAACGTTCACCTGGTTGCCAATATCTGTCACGTTCGTGGAGCATCTTATGCCAGCATCCCCAGTCGTTTCACTCATCCGTAAGCAACTGCCCAACTGAAGTCGTAAGATTCCAAAACATGGGATTTCTGCCGTAGTAAAGACGAATATACTGGGACAAAACCTGAACGAAGCCGATGGATAATTTTAGAACATGTTGAGAATAAATAAGATGCGTGCAATTGGGTTTTACACGAGGACTTGTCGGGGGTTTAGTTGATATGTACGACTGAATTCACCCATGGCCCATGGCCATGACTTTGACAAAGTTGATATGTTGAGGAACAGTGCAGTTCTGTGATGCATTATCAAAAAACGCATGCATGCATGCAGATATGATTTTTGGCACTTCACTCGATGCAGGAATATTCTAGAGGTTTAAAGGGTCTTAATTTCGAGTGGTATTACAGTATACACACTTCAAATTCAAGCCAGGAACAGTTGATGGAAAAATGAGTCAACTATAGGTCCGAAATATAGTTGACTCATTTTTCCATCAACTGTTCCTGGCTTGAGTCCGAAGTGTGTATAATACCACTCGAAATTAAGACCCTTTAAACCTGTCAGATAGTTTTGTCAACTTATTACATATACAGATATACATATACAGATAGTTTTGTCAACTTATTACATATACAGATATACATATACAGATAGTTTTGTCAACTTATTACATATACAGATATACATATACAGATAGTTTTGTCAACTTATTAGACTGTTCTGAAAGCAATTTCTGAAGGATTGCGATGCATGATTAAGTGCATGATATTATCTAAGATGTACTGAGCTGTCAGTATTCTAAACACCGGTGATTTTGAGCTTTTAAAAATATCGAGAAGCCAAAGAAATGAAATATTTTCTTTGTAAATGTAGTGTGTGCAAACAAGTTGGCTTTTAGGCATTTTCTCGGGCTAATTTTTATGAGATGTTTTCCGAAACATTAAATGTTTGCAAAGAGCTTAAAATTTCTAGTGATCATGACCTTTTATGGTTTGCACCCAATTTTAAATTGAAATATATCAAAACTTTTATTTCAGCAAACACAGATGTCTTGATCTGTTGTTCTAAGGATGGCTAGCCAGTTCAAGATTCAGACTGACGGTAAGAAAGTCATATAACAATTAACGGTGCATGGCCATGGGTTTTTTGGTTACTTGAATTAGGAAAGACAAAACTATACCAGTAATTTTTGGCGAAAGTCAAATCAGGTGTCTCATAATTCAAATACTCTTTGATGCATTCAAAATTATATTAGCTAATAATTTCTATAACATAAGCCTAAATAGAAAAAGTCGAGAGAAAATTTGCAGTACGCTCGCGGCCTTGCATATGCATTTAGATATATCATCCGTAAAACGGGATTGTATATTTAAGATAACATTCACCGTTTGTATAGCTACCTGACCTAGCAGGACGCACGCTGAGTTCTCATTGCCAATATCGTCCTAATAATTGGCACAATTAAAAGTGTTTCGTTATCTTCGTGATCATACGAAATTGCTTCGGAATTTTGATGCGGCATCGGATAGAAAGTAAATGCATGCATGCATATAGCACCCTCTCGCGCTAAATATTATCCGCTTTAAAAGCTTTCAGCTTTAGTGTTCGACTGTTCGTGTTTTCGCACATACGTATCGCCAGGGATACAAGAAGTCTTGAAAATATTTACATAAAATGATTAAGATTTTTAATTAAATTGGTTATTCTTGCAACTAAATAGAAAAATTTCACTTCGTACGTGTTCGTAAATTGCAAAAGGCTTAACGTAAGTCGAAATTTAATTGGAATGGGAAGATTGAATTGTTAAACATATATAAAGAAAAATTTATATCCAGTGTTACTACATGCATGCTGAACGAAATAAAGGACACCTATAAACTGAACTGATACGTGCTCGCGATAGTTTTATCAGCTCCTACAACTTTCTTCGATCCTAGAGGTCCAGTAAAGTCAAAAGATCATCATGCATTGTTCACTCTTATCGATTTAGTGTTATTGCAGATGGAAATTTAGACTATCAACTATAGGTTTATTTATTTACTTTTTACATAAATTTTATTATTCTATTTCTATAATATTTTTTTTTATCATACACATATATGCATGGAAATGAAAACCTGAACTTATATAACGGTACATCTCAATCATCTCCTATACCTGTCCAACAAGTCTAAATATGATTCTTCCGTGTATGAATTCTTTGATAGACATTTTTTTGACAAATATTTGCTATTGCATGTGTACTTTGTGTCCTGTGAGAAATGACAGTTGGTTCCTTCACGAAATGCCATTGTCTTTTAAACAAGAAATTCACGTCCAGGCAACGAATTGACATTCGTTCGAAAATATATATCAATTCAATTCAATATCAATTCTGCCCAATAAATTTGTTACATGATGAGTAATTTATTTATAGAAATTCATTTAAAGTTAAAATCTCAATATACTTTAAATGCATCAACCCCATTAAATAAGGTTCCATCGGCCTATATTCGGCCTACCAGATGTCGTTGTAAAAAATCCCAAATAGATGTTTCCAAAATATAAACATGCGGTGTTTTGTCGACAGCAATCATTAAAGGAGGGATTAAAATGTAAAATTTATTAGAAATGTCTATGTAGAGGGAATATATATACCTTCTTCTTTATTTAAATGTCAACTGTTTAGCGTTTATATAAAACAGAACCTAAGCCTTTTGGAACCGGACAAAATGAAATTTGACCTACTGGAGTTGTTTTGTTTTATAACAAATATTTTCCCTGACGACAATTTTATTTTGTAGTTTACATATTGCTTGCTGTTCAGGCAAAAACATATTTACAATAAGTGATCTCTTCAAAAACTTCGCTTTACATGACAAAAAATTTATCCCAAAGCGTTGCCGTAGGTTTTAATTTCTTTGGGGGCTGTATATGCGTGTATCTCATTGACATTCGCGATATAACAATCGTATCTGAAAAGACTTTTCAAGTAAATGGTCTTTCAACATATATAGAATATTTATGTGTTGCATTGTCTTCATGCTAAATTTCGTCTTTATATAAACAATATTTCAAATGAATTCGGCGTTGCCTGTAGAAATTTATGTACTTTTAAATTCAGTTCACAACTTCACATATACATACGTTCTGTATTTGTAAAGTACCGCATATATGCATTCACGACGGTTCTACCTACCAGTAGTATTCATGCCCTTTTCGATAAACGACCGTAACCAACGTCTCCAACAGCAAGCACGATAAACAATATCCTAAGATATACCAGTATCGCTGATCTTGTGTGACTTGTATCAACCACCACACAGTAATTCCAGTGTGAAATGAAAACAAGAAACGACTAAGTAATGCCGCGATGTAGGTGAATATTCGCTCCATAGAACGGGCTAATTTTTGGCGTTATCGCATCAGTTGAAATCTCCTAATTTTGCCACAAATTTCGACGTCTCCTGTAGCGATATTTTGTCACTCGCTCTGATAAATCTTTGCCCGAAATCTCGAACGGCAAAGCTCGAACGGTCGGAACTCGGAATTCGTTTAAGCTTTATATGCAAAATGCGTGAGGTCATCTCGGCTCATGTTACACCTGCAAATGAATTTCAGTCTCAACAAAGTAAATATTGTCACGCAAACACCTAGACAGTTATATTAAGCGTTGTGTCAACAAATTGCGAACGAAATGATGAAATTTATTTTGTAGCCTTTGTGCACAGTTTGACAGGCAAACAAAACACGTAAAGGAATAAATTGCGAATTCCTATTTGTATGGGTGGAATACCGGTATATCAACGCGTATACTAACAAAATTAATCAAAAGTAATTAAAGATTAATTTCCTAATTAACAACCTTGCAAACTTGCAACGCCTAACCATTATAGTCAAGCGATATCCCTACATATTCCAGTGGTAACATCATTTTCCAGCACCATTGCAAGTTATCCAAGGCCGAGCTCGCTTATCTAAGATCCATTATCCCAGCACAATCCCAACAGATTACAAACTTGGTCTTAATCCCTAACATCAATCCTTAATCCGTAACACTAATCCCATTGTGACTAACATAAAAATTATTACATCCAAAGTCGAGAGTTGGATCTATCAAAAATGGCTAACAAGATCTTAAGAAATTAATTGAGATTTCAAATTTGTATAAAAAATATTGCGAGCTGATTGATCTTGCAATTTCAAAGAAATTTTCAAAATAGAACGCAAGTTTATCGTTTTATTAAAGAAGCAAACTAAATGTTTTCAACCTTAATACAAAGATACTGTTTACAACTACATATTCAGTGCATAATATTCAAGTTGACTCGTTCAAGAGAGATGTAAGAGTGTTATTGATAGCTTTAGTTTTTGATAACTTCATCTCATGCTCGTGCCCAGGTCTTTTCATGCTGAGTAGTAGCTGTGGAGCATGAGGAGAACCAATCAACTGCCGTGAATCTCTTTCACAGCAGGCTCAATCGCTGAACGCAATATCTAAAGGCTCGTTCACACCACACGATGCAACTCGGATCCAATTCACGTGTGATGTATGGAATGTAGTCAGTTATTGATAAAGCAGTACCGCATTGGCTTTCCTTATTTGCTGCCCATATACATTGCAAGTCAACACACTATAAAACATAAATCAGAAGTGATTGGATGCAACAAAATTGGAAAATTTGAAAAATTTGTTGCAAGTTGTATTACAACGTTATAACATTACTTTCAATATTATTATTTATCAATTATTATTAATCAGTATTTTCCGAAATCGGTAAAGGCGATGTTACACGGTGCAATTTTTCTTGCAACTTGCAATGCACTTTTACTTTTAAGAGATGTAAATTAGTGAAGAGCCTTTAAAATGTAAGTGTAAGAAGCGCCATGGAGTGTAATAAAGACAAAAGTTCGGTAGTTGCCAAATTTACATCTCTTAAAAGTTGAATTGCATTGCAAATTGCAAGAAAAATTGCATCGGGTAACGGAGGCATTTGCTAATAATCGTTGGCTCGTTGCCTCCTCACGGCACAGGAAGATGTCGTGACGACTGACGAGCGCTGCCGAAATGAAAGATTGACGCCCACAATTTGCATATTATATGTGTTGACAGGTTCATTTATAACTTCCAGCCGAGAGGGAACTCAAGCATAGGCAAGAATCTATACGACAAAGAGGAATGTCGTTTGTCCTCGTCGACATTATATAAAGGTAAGTCGTAAATACTTTGTATATATATATACTGAGATGCACCATTCTGCTTATGAATGTTTGTAGCTATAACGAACAACCAGTTGTGATTGGTATATCTGAAAATAACTGTTTGCTAAAACGAATACGTTTTGGCGTCGTTGTGTGGCGGTGAATAAGAAGCATGCCAACGCGTATGAACAAGCACAAGCAATTAGTTTCTCGTCTAAAATTTGGCTATCGTTTCCAAGCTTTTGAAAAAGACCTTTAACAAACCGGTGTGATAATACTTTTCCGAATTGCATGTATGAAAGAAGATTTTACAGAATGGGCATTAATGCACATTTGAAAAAGCATTTGGTATATATAGATTTATATAGATTCTAGATTTTTAACAAACCGATGTGATTATACACCTTTTCCAATTGCATATATGAAAGAAGATTTCACAAAATGGGTATAAAATATCGATTCTGTCTATAAGTGATGGGTCCATATTTCCCGTGGGAAAAATGAGGTCTCATTATAAGCTTAAAATTGCGTTGCAAGCATCTGTAAATTTGGGCAGGCTGGGACGAACATCTCAACGCGTGCTGACAACAAGAATGTTTTAATTAAAAGACTGCTTTGGGAGACGACTCAGCGTTCACCTTTTACAGGGAGTATATAACAAAACGCAACACTAAATATTTCTAATAATTGCCTTCATTTTAATCACAAAAGATCAAATAATCACGAATTGAAGCATTCAGTAGGTGGTTGCGTTTTATTAATACACTCTGCAGTTTTTCACCGACGAATTTGCGGTTCTTTTAGGATTCAACCGCTTTGCGATACCGCAGAAAATATCGGTAAAGTGTGATTCCGGCTGTGAAATGAACAAGCCAGTACGCAAGCGGCTCTTTGCTAAAAGAAATGCATGAGAAAGTACAGACGTTTTGCTTGACTTTGAACATTCCGAAAATATTTTTATTGTTTAAATACAAATAGAATTTCATTGAATTCCCAGCTTTTGTATAGTCATTCGCACTTCTTTTATGTGAATTTTTCCCCTAAGAAATACCCTAGTAACTATTGAAATATATCCTGTTAGTGATGGTGCTTAAAAGTTAAACCCGTCTCAAAGTCGAAATACCTCAGGTAAAACTCGTTGAGGCATGCCCTACCGAAGGATTTAATTACAGAAATATTTAGGCTGATTACTTTGGGCAAGTAGCCAGTTTTTAAAAGCTTCTAGCTTAAAGCATCAACTGACAAAAGAACTGCAGGGATTCTCCTAAAAATTGTTAGAAAAAAATTAAAAATGGGACACAGATTTTGCATTGCAAAATCGGTAGCAACTTATTAGGGACAATACGGTGAATACGTGGCGCTTTTTACACTATTTTTTACCATCCCCCGCTACCCCTGTGACGTTGTAGGACGATTACCAAAACACTCCTCAAAACGAAGAGCCCACATACCTCCTCCCACCATAGATTCTATAGTAAACGCACACTGGATGTGAATCGTCAACGTGACGCGAATTTGCAGTTTTTTAAGACAAATAAATTCAATTCTATACAAGAAAATTTTGTGAATATAGGCTCCAAAGTGTGCCACACTTTAGTAATTAACGTGATGCGGCAACGCGACACGAATTTTCAGTTTTCAGAATCATATAAATTAAATGGACCTTTTCGGTAATACGTCACAACATTATCGCTTTAAATTTCGAACCACCTTAAATGAGATGGATTTCAAGTTTTGCACTGAAATCCATTTCATTTTAATGTGGTTCTAAATTTAAAACGTTGTGATGTTAAAATCTTGTGACGCAATTACCGAAAAGGTCTATTCTGAATGCAAAATGGAATCTAACCAATCTATGGGCGCCAAAGCAATCAAAATGCATTATTGTTAAGTAATCTATATGGATATTATGATAGGTTAAAATCTATTTGCTTTTGAGAAGTAAAAAACTAATATATTAATCTGATTCGTCGATATCAAATTGCTGTTTTCCTTAAGGGGAAGTTTCGACTCTGCGGAAAATAAAGATATGGGTTCACAAAGGGTCAAAATTGTAGCTTTGGTCATTGTTGTGGTGGTAGTCATAATAGTGGCGGTGACGTGTGCAGTGGTGCTGACGCAATCCTCCGACTCGACGACGTCACGGAAATCCACGGGCATACAAGGTGCGGTGGCGTCTGATTCCGAAGTCTGCTCGAACATCGGTGCTGACGTGATGCGTGAAAATGGAACGGCTATTGACGCGGCCATAGCAACGCTGATTTGCCTGGGTCTCATTCATCCCCATTCCTCTGGGATTGGGGGCGGGGGCTACATGCTGTTGTACAAGCGCTCTACCAAGAAGGCGACGTACTTGGATTTCCGAGAAACGGCCCCCGGGGCATCTACATCTGATATGTTTGTAAACAAAACCGATGAGAGTAAAAAAGGTGGGTGTGAGAGGGTAAAGGGACAACCACACCCAACCTGACAACAGTGCTGGGGTTTAACAGATAATATTACACGCACGATATGGGCGAACCAAATAACATTAAGGTTGGTTCACTATAGTTGATCAGATTCTGTTTTACACTATGGTTGTTTTCTGTTTTATGCCACAAAAATTTGCGGTCGTTTTCCTTGATAAATAAGCTTTTTGCATGTTGGTCTTCACGGTAATTGGGAAAAAATGGGTCCTTAAGTAAGTCCTAAAAACATGCAGAAGAACACACTCGTCTTTAAAAGCTTTACCTCAAAGGAAGACTGATCTAGCAACATGGTTGTCGCTTGTTTCAGGGAAACTCTCGGTAGCCGTTCCAGGAGAAATACTTGCTATGTATGGTGCTTGGAAAACACAGGGTCGCTTGCCATGGAAGCGCCTTTTTCAACCAACGATCGATTTGGCTGAAAATGGATTCAAAATTGACGAACCATTGGCTATTGTAATCAAGAGTACAATGAAAGACATCATTAAGGAAAAAGGTTTTAAGTAGGTTGATGATGACAATTTATTTTCTATCAGTTTTTGATAATGACCACACGAGTAGGGCATTTATTGTTGTTTCTTTTCTCAATTTGACTTCCTCAAAAGAAGTGCGGGTTATAAACAGGGACAAAACTATGGAATGGCTGTCAGAAGATTAAGAAGACAAAGAGTTCATTCAATAATTTTTATAATAATTTTCAACAGTTTTGAAGCAGTTCTGAAATAAAGGTTTACAGAGCACAAACTATCTTGAAATAGAAATTGGCAGCCGTACTATTCTGCTACATTTTTACCAGTGCTTTCTTTTGGGTTGGTATTTCTTGTCTCGTTTGACAGGCCTATGTTTTTTTACTATTCAGGGAGATTTACTTTAACGATGACGGCCAGCCACGATCGGAAGGCGAGACCATAAAAGATCCAATCTTCGCTAAGACACTAAAAGAGCTTTCAGAAGATCCTTTCAGCTTCTACAACGGCACCATTGCCAAAGAAATGGTGAAGGACATTCAAGATCGAGGAGGAATTCTAACAATGGACGATTTGAAGAACTTCACGGCAACTAACAGACGCGTTTTGTCAAGTTTCGTGAATGAGGATACTCTGTATACAACGTCGGCTACTTCAAGTGGATCTACCTTGATTATGATATTAAATATTTTAAAAGGTACTCGTTGAATTCTCTTGCAGGGATTTTGTGCAGAGTTACAGAATGTAGTATATCCTTACTGGACCTCCGGCTATCCGTAATAAATATGTTATCCTGATTTATCCTGACTGATAGAGCTATCCAGTATAAATAAAGTTAGTTAAGTTTAGGTTTCCTTCTGTAGTAACACTGGATTAATAAGACATGATCCTTACTGGACCTCTAGGAAGAACAATTTAGAACTGATAGAGCTATCCAGTATTAATAAAGTTGGTTTAGTTTAGGTTTCCTTCAGTAGTAACACTGGATCAATAAGAGATGATCCTTACTGGACCTCTAGGAAGAACAATTTAGAACTGATAAAGCTATACAGTGTAATAAAAGATAGTTTTGTTTACAAGGTTCCTCCTGTAGTAACACTGGATCAATATGATCCTAATTGGTCCTCTAGGAAGAACAGTTTAGAACTGATAAAGCTATCCAACATAATAAAGTTTGTTTAGTTACTTTAGGTTTCTTACACTGTTGATACATCCGTTTTATATTTAGGATTCAAGTTCACTGCAGACTCTATATCACCCAGCAACGTCATACTAACCTGGCATCGTATCATTGAAGCACTCAAGTTTGGTTACGCATATCGCCCATATCTGGGTGATCCGGAATTTTACCCTGAAGTGGAAAAGGTAAACTGTTACACATCAGTGCCACTTTCTTTCTTTCACTCGTGTCTTAAAGGTAATTAGACACTGCTTGGATCATTAAACAATATCATCTCATTATAAAAGAGTATTTTATTGTATAAAGAGTATTGTATTGTATAGTAAAAGAGTATAGTATAGTATAGTATTGTAACATTGGATCGTAAAACTGGATCGTAACACTCATGAAGAGAAGATAACATATGAACTTCAGTATTTTCGTCTTTTAGAGCATAGATCTTCAGATCAACGCCACGTATGCTGAAGAATTGCGTCAGAAGATATCAAACGACACCACATACAATACCTCGTACTACGGCGGATTTTATGCTAATCCTCAAGATTCTGGTACGACGCATTTGTCTGTGGTTGGGCCTACAGGCGACGCTGTGTCTGTCACCAGTACTCTTGGATACTAGTAAGAGTTCCTCGTGTAGAATAATTGTTGCCCGGTTAGACACTGCAATACTGTGCTTCTAAAGGCCCGATTTTTGCGATTTTTGTGCGATTTTCTTGAACGAGTGAATTTGTTACATATATTAAATGCTTCTGAGGGGGGGGGCATTTCGCGCCAAATCGTTGCTGTTTGCTCACGCCATATATCCAAACTTGTTGTAGTCACTAAAGTAGCCAGTCTTGACTTCTTTTACAGTTTTGGCGCAAAGATTCGCTCATACAAGACGGGGATAGTGTATAACAATCACATGAGCACATTCTCTTTACCAAACATAGCGAAAGTTTATCAACCCAAGTCCTCAAAAGCTAATTACATCGAACCAGGAAAGCGATCGGTGTCTACTGCATGCCCTACGATAGTTGTGGATAAGAATGGGATTGTAAGGATGGTTGTGGGTGGATCAGGAGGTCTAAGGATCACCTCGGGTGTACCTCAGGTGAGGAATTCTTTACATAAGTAAAGAGTCTAGAACGATGCTCGAAAATCTATATTTTGTTCGTTCGCGATTCGCCCTATTAAACCAAAGATCTCTAATAAGTATTTTTACTCCAGGTCATAATGAACAAACTTTGGTTTGGTTTAAGCCTAAATGACTCGATCGATAGACCTCGATTGCATCATCAACTTCATCCGAATAAAGTGTACTACGAGAAAACCTCCCCCTTCGATGTTTCTTCAACGATTATTGATGGCTTACGGGCTCTTGGACATGAAGTGACAGGGTGGACTAAATATTGCGCCATTCAGGGGGTCTACAGGGATGACTTAGGAAATTTATTTGCTAAATCTGATCCCAGAAAAACTGGAGTCGCTGTTGTGTTGTGAGCAAAATACTGTTCGCGACTATGTTTTGTTACTGTAGTTTGTATACTAATGGAACAATGGGAAAATGGTTAGAAATTCCGTTTAGACGAAGAAATGCTGTTATATAGTCTTCCATGTTACATGAAGCAATTGCAGTATTAAAGGACATCAGCAACGAAAATTTTGATTGTTGATCTGTGTTAAACATACCTAAGGAATACTTAATTTCGTATTTTTACTTGCCTATCGCATTTAGTTGTTGAGAAATTTTTCACTGGAATAATATGTATATTGTAAGGTTGGTTTCAACCTACGAACCGGTGGCTCAATGGTTAAGGCTACGTTTTGAACTGTTCAAAAACTGTCTTAAAATGCTAAAAATGGCTTGAAAAGACTAATATCTTTCATTTTAGAGCATATTTTGTTGGTTTTTGGAACAATTAAAAAGTGGTCAAAATTGCCAAAAACGGTAAGTCTTACCCCTTACCATTTTGGTCAATTTTGACGACTTTTTGAACTGTTAAAAAACTATCTTAAAATACTAAAAATTCCTCCCTAAGACTAATATCTTTCATTTTAGAGCACATTTGGTTGGTTTTTGGAACAATGAAAAAGTGGTCCAAATTGGCCAAAATGGTAAGGCTTACCCCTTACAATTTTGACGACTTTTTGAACTATTCAAAAACTGTCTTAAAATGCTAAAAATGCCTTTCTAAGACTAATATCTTTCATTTTAGAGCACATTTGGTTGGTTTTTGGAACAATGAAAAAGTCGTCAAAATTGGCCAAAATGGTAAGGCTTGGTGTTCAGGCTTAGTGTGTTCAAAAACTGTCTTAAAATGCTAAAAAAAACTTCCTGAGACTAATATCTTTCATTTTAGAGCACATTTAACTGGTTTTTGGAACAATGAAAAAGTGGTAAAAATTGGCCAAAATGGTAAGGCTTATTACCCCTTACCATTTTAGGGGTTGTTTACATGAGCCCGGTTACCCGAGATTCAACGAAGCGTGAGAGCACTTTGAGGTATTGAAAGAAGTCTTTATGACACCAAACAAGCACATGCTATTGTTGTGGTGATTATACGACTGCCAGGATCATGTTATCTGCTCATTTCAATACCTCAAAATCATCTCACGCTTCGTTGAATCTCGGGTAACCGGGCTCATGTAAACAGCCCCTTAGTCAATTTTGACCACTTTTTGAACTGTTCAAAAACTGTTTTAAAATGCTAAAAATAGCTTCCTAAGACAAATATCTTCCATTTTAGAGCATATTTGGTTGGTTTTTTGAACAATCAAAAAGTGGTCAAAATTGGCCAAAACGGTAAGTCTTACCCCTTACCATTTTGGTCAATTTTGACCACTTTTTGAACTGTTCAAAAACTGTCTTAAAATGCTAAAAATGGCTTCTTAAGACTAATATCTTTCATTTTAGAGCATATGTGGTTGGGTTTTGGAACGATCAAAAAGTGGTCAAAATTGGCCAAAACAGTAAGTCTTACCCCTTACCATTTTGGTCAATTTTGACCACTTTTTGAACTGTTCAAAAACAGTTTTAAAATTCTAAAAATGGCTTCCTAAGACTAATATCTTTCATTTTAGAGCATATTTGGTTGGTTTTTGGAACGATCAAAAAGTGGTCAAAATTGGCCAAAACGGTAAGTCTTACCCCTTACCATTTTGGTCAATTTTGACCACTTTTTGAACTGTTCAAAAACTGTCTTAAAATGGCTTCCTAAGACTAATATCTTTCATTTTAGAGCATATTTGGTTGGTTTTTGGAACGATCAAAAAGTGGTCAAAATTGGCCAAAACGGTAAGTCTTACTCCTTACCATTTTGGTCAATTTTGACCACTTTTTGAACTGTTCAAAACTGTCTTAAATGCTAAAAATGGCTTCCTAAGACTAATATCTTTCATTTTAGAGCATATGTGGTTGGGTTTGGAACGACATCAAAAGTGGTCAAAATTGGCCAAAACGGTAAGTCTTACCCCTTACCATTTTGGTCAATTTTGACCACTTTTTGAACTGTTCAAAAACTGTCTTAAAATGCTAAAAATGGCTTCTAAGACTAATATCTTTCATTTTAGAGCATATGTTGGTTGGTTTTGGAACGATCAAAAAGTGGTCAAAAATTGGCCAAAACAGTAAAGTCTTACCCCTTACCATTTTGGTCAATTTTGACCACTTTTTGAACTTTCAAAAAACTGTCTTAAAATGCTAAAAATGGCTTCCTAAGACTAATATCTTTCATTTTAGAAGCATATGTGTTGGGTTTTGGAACGATCAAAAAGTGGTCAAAATTGGCCAAACAGTAAGTCTTACCCCTTACCATTTTGGTCAATTTGACCACTTTTTGAACTGTTCAAAAACTGTTTAAAATCTAAAAATGGCTTCCTAAGACTAATATCTTTCATTTTAGAGCATTGTGGTTGGTTTTGGAACGATCAAAAGTGGTCAAATTGGCCAAAACGGTAAGTCTTACCCCTTACCATTTTGGTCAATTTTGACCACTTTTTTAACTGTTCAAAAAACTGTCTTAAAATGGCTTCCTAAGACTAATATCTTTCATTTTAGAGCATATATTGGTTGGTTTTTGGAAAATCAAAAAGTGGTCAAATTGGCCAAACGTAAGTCTTACCCTTACCATTTTGGTCAATTTTGACCACTTTTTGAACTGTTCAAAAACTGTCTTAAAATGCTAAAAATGGCTTTCTAAGACTAATATCTTTCATTTTAGAGCATATGTGGTTGGGTTTTGGAACGATCAAAAAGTGGTCAAAATTGGCCAAAACGGTAAGTCTTACCCCTTACCATTTTGGTCAATTTTGACCACTTTTGAACTGTTCAAAAACTGTCTTAAAATGCTAAAATGGTTCTTAAGACTTAATATCTTTCATTTTAGAGCATATGTCGTTGGGTTTTGGAACGATCAAAAAGTGGTCAAAATTGGCCAAAACAGTAAGTCTTACCCCTTACCATTTTGGTCAATTTTGACCACTTTTTGAACTGTTCAAAACTGTCTTAAAATGCTTCCTAAGACTAATATCTTTCATTTTAGAGCATATGTGGTTGGTTTTTGGAACGATCAAAAAGTGGTCAAAATTGGCCAAAACAGTAAGTCTTACCCCTTACCATTTTGGTCAATTTTGACCACTTTTTGAACTGTTCAAAAACTGTCTTAAAATGGCTTCCTAAGACTAATATCTTTCATTTTAGAGCATAGTTTTGGTTGGTTTTTGGAACGATCAAAAAGTGGTCAAAATTGGCCAAAAACGGTAAGTCTTACCCTTAACCATTTTGGTCAATTTTGACCACTTTTTGAACTTTCAAAAACTTCTTAAAATGCTAAAAATGGCTTTCTAAGACTAATATCTTTCATTTTAGAGCATATGTGTTGGGTTTTGGAACGATCAAAAAGTGGTCAAAATTGGCCAAAACGGTAAGTCTTACCCCTTACCATTTTGGTCAATTTTGACCACTTTTTGAACTGTTCAAAAACTGTCTTAAATGCTAAAATGCTAAAAATCTCTAAGACTAATATCTTTCATTTAGAGCATATGTGGTTTTTTGGAACGATCAAAAAGTGGTCAAAATTGGCCAAACACGTAAGTCTTACCCCTTACCATTTTGGTCAATTTTGACCACTTTTTGAACTGTTCAAAAAACTGTCTTAAAATGCTAAAAATGGCTTCTAAGACTAATATCTTTCATTTTAGAGCATTGTGGTTGGTTTTGGAACGATCAAAAAGTGGTCAAATTGGCCAAAACAGTAAGTCTTACCCCTTACCGTTTTGGTCAATTTTGACCACTTTTTGAACTGTTCAAAAACTGTCTTAAAATGCTAAAAATGGCTTCCTAAGACTAATATCTTTCATTTTAGAGCATATGTGGTTGGTTTTTGGAACGATCAAAAAGTGGTCAAAATTGGCCAAAACGGTAAGTCTTACCCCTTACCATTTTGGTCAATTTTGACCACTTTTTGAACTGTTCAAAAACTGTCTTAAAATGGCTTTCCTAAGACTAATATCTTTCATTTTAGAGCTATTGGTTGGTTTTTGGAACGATCAAAAAGTGGTCAAAATTGGCCAAAACGGTAAGTCTTACCCCTTACCATTTTGGTCAATTTGACCACTTTTTGAACTGTTCAAAAACTGTCTTAAAATGCTAAAAATGGCTTTCTAAGACTAATATCTTTCATTTTAGAGCATATGTGGTTGGGTTTTGGAACGATCAAAAAGTGGTCAAAATTGGCCAAAACGGTAAGTCTTACCCCTTACCATTTTGGTCAATTTTGACCACTTTTTGAACTGTTCAAAAACTTCTTAAAATGCTAAAAATGGCTTCTTAAGACTAATATCTTTCATTTTAGAGCATATGTGGTTGGGTTTTGGAACGATCAAAAAGTGGTCAAAATTGGCCAAAACGGTAAGTCTTACCCCTTACCATTTTGGTCAATTTTGACCACTTTTTGAACTGTTCAAAAACTGTCTTAAAATGGCTTTCCTAAGACTAATATCTTTCATTTTAGAGCATATGGTTGGTTTTGGAACGATCAAAAAGTGGTCAAAATTGGCCAAAACGGTAAGTCTTACCCCTTAACCATTTTGGTCAATTTTGACCACTTTTTGAACTGTTCAAAAACTGTCTTAAAATGGCTTCCTAAGACTAATATCTTTCATTTTAGAGCATATTGGTTGGTTTTGGAACGATCAAAAAGTGGTCAAAATTGGCCAAAACGGTAAGTCTTACCCTTAACCATTTTGGTCAATTTTGACCACTTTTTGAACTGTTCAAAAACTGTCTTAAAATGCTAAAAATGGCTTTCTAAGACTAATATCTTTCATTTTAGAGCATATGTGGTTGGTTTTGGAACGATCAAAAAGTGGTCAAAATTGGCCAAAACGGTAAGTCTTACCCCTTACCATTTTGGTCAATTTTGACCACTTTTTGAACTGTTCAAAAACTGTCTTAAAATGCTAAAAATGGCTTCTTAAGACTAATATCTTTCATTTTAGAGCATATTTGGTTGGTTTTGGAACGATCAAAAAGTGGTCAAAATTGGCCAAAACGGTAAGTCTTACCCCTTACCATTTTGGTCAATTTTGACCACTTTTTGAACTGTTCAAAAACTGTCTTAAAATGGCTTCCTAAGACTAATATCTTTCATTTTAGAGCATATGTGGTTGGTTTTTGGAACGATCAAAAAGTGGTCAAAATTGGCCAAAACGGTAAGTCTTACCCCTTACCATTTTGGTCAATTTTGACCACTTTTGAACTGTTCAAAACTGTCTTAAAATGGCTTCCTAAGACTAATATCTTTCATTTTAGAGCATATTTGGTTGGTTTTGAACAAAAAAGTGGTCAAAATTGGCCAAAACGGTAAGTCTTACCCTTAACCATTTTGGTCAATTTTGACCACTTTTTGAACTGTTCAAAAACTGTCTTAAAATGCTAAAAATGGCTTTCTAAGACTAATATCTTTCATTTTAGAGCATATGTGGTTGGGTTTTGGAACGATCAAAAAGTGGTCAAAATTGGCCAAAACGGTATTCCTTACCATTTTGGTCAATTTTGACCACTTTTTGAACTGTTCAAAAACTGTCTTAAAATGCTAAAAATGGCTTCTTAAGACTAATATCTTTCATTTTAGAGCATATTTGGTTGGGTTTTGGAACGATCAAAAAGTGGTCAAAATTGGCCAAAACGGTAAGTCTTACCCCTTACCATTTTGGTCAATTTTGACCACTTTTTGAACTGTTAAAAACTTTCTTAAAATGCTAAAAATGGCTTCTTAAGACTAATATCTTTCATTTTAGAGCATATGTGGTTGGTTTTTGGAACGATCAAAAAGTGGTCAAATTGGCCAAAACGGTAAGTCTTACCCCTTACCATTTTGGTCAATTTTGACCACTTTTTGAACTGTTCAAAAACTGTCTTAAAATGCTAAAAATGGCTTTCTAAGACTAATATCTTTCATTTTAGAGCATATGTGGTTGGGTTTTGGAACGATCAAAAAGTGGTCAAAATTGGCCAAAACAGTAAGTCTTACCCCTTACCATTTTGGTCAATTTGACCACTTTTGAACTGTTCAAAAACTGTCTTAAAATGCTAATAATGGCTTCCTAAGACTAATATCTTTCATTTTAGAGCATATTTGGTTGGTTTTTGGAACGATCAAAAAGTGGTCAAAATTGGCCAAAACGGTAAGTCTTACCCTTAACCATTTTGGTCAATTTTGACCACTTTTTGAACTGTTCAAAAACTGTCTTAAAATGCTAAAAATGGCTTTCTAAGACTAATATGTTTCATTTTAGAGCATATGTGGTTGGGTTTTGGAACGATCAAAAAGTGGTCAAAATTGGCCAAAACGGTAAGTCTTACCATTTTGGTCAATTTTGACCACTTTTTGAACTGTTCAAAAACTGTCTTAAAATGCTAAAAATGGCTTCTTAAGACTAATATCTTTCATTTTAGAGCATATGTGGTTGGGTTTTGGAACGATCAAAAAGTGGTCAAAATTGGCCAAAACGGTAAGTCTTATACCCCTTACCATTTTGGTCAATTTTGACCACTTTTTGAACTGTTCACAAAAACTTAAAATTCTAAAAATGGCTTCCTAAGACTAATATCTTTCATTTTAGAGCATATGTGGTTGGGTTTTGGAACGATCAAAAAGTGGTCAAAATTGGCCAAAACAGTAAGTCTTACCCCTTACCATTTTGGTCAATTTTGACCACTTTTTGAACTGTTCAAAAACTGTCTTAAAATGCTAAAAATGGCTTCTTAAGACTAATATCTTTCATTTTAGAGCATATGTGGTTGGGTTTTGGAACGATCAAAAAGTGGTCAAAATTGGTTAAAACGGTAAGTCTTACCCCTTACCATTTTGGTCAATTTTGACCACTTTTTGAACTGTTCAAAAACTCTCTTAAAATGCTAAAAATGGCTTCCTAAGACTAATATCTTTCATTTTAGAGCGTATTTGGTTGGTTTTTGGAACGATCAAAAAGTGGTCAAATTGGCCAAAACGGTAAGTCTTATCCCTTTAATACCATTGGTCAATTTTGACCACTTTTTGAACTGTTCAAAAACTGTCTTAAAATGCTAAAAATGGCTTCCTAAGACTAATATTTTTCATTTTAGAGCGTATTTGGTTGGTTTTTGGAACGATCAAAAAGTGGTCAAAATTGGCCAAAACGGTAAGTCTTATCCCTTTAATACCATTTTGGTCAATTTTGACCACTTTTTGAACTGTTCAAAAACTGTCTTAAAATGCTAAAAATGGCTTCCTAAGACTAATATTTTTCATTTTAGAGCGTATTTGGTTGGTTTTTGGAACGATCAAAAAGTGGTCAAAATTGGTTAAAACGGTAAGTCTTACCCCTTACCATTTTGGTCAGTTTTGACCACTTTTTGAACTGTTCAAAAACTGTCTTAAAATGCTAAAAAAATGGCTTCCTAAGACTAATATCTTTAATTTTAGAGCATATTTGGTTGGTTTTTAGAAGAATCAAAAAGTGGTCAAAATTGGCCAAAATGGTCAATCCAGACACCGGTAGCCCAAGACAGACACAGTAGCCCAAGACATAATACTTCGTCTAAAAAAATTTTCGTCCTCAAAAAGATTTCTTTAAGATTCTCCTTTTTGCGAAGTAATATGTCTTGGGCTACCTGTGTCTGTCTTGGGCTACCTGTCTGTGTGTGGCTTGACTTTTTCTTTGTAAAATTTAAGAAAAATAGAAAAAAAACTAGAGAAATAGATAGAAAAAACTAGAAAAAAAACTAGACAAAAAAAACTACACAAATAAACTCGAAAACTAGACAAAAAAAAACTAACTAGAAAACTAGAAATTAGAAAAAAAAACTAGAGAAATAGAAGAAAAACTAGAAAAAAAAGCTAGAAAAATAGAAAAAAAACTAGAGAAATACAAGTAAAAACTAGACAAAAAACTGGAAAAAAATAGACATAAAAACTAACTAGAAAAATAGAAAAAACTAGAGAAATAGATAGAAAAAACTAGAAAAAAACTAATAAGAAGAAAAACTAGACAAAAAAAAGACATGAAAACTAACTAGAAAAATAGAAGAAAAACTAGAAAAAAAACAACTAGAAAAATAGAAAAAACTAGAGAAATAAAAGTAAAAACTAGACAAAAAAACCAACTAGAAAACTAGAAAAAAAACTGGAGAAATAGAAGAAAAACTAGAAACAAAAACTAGAGAAAAAAAACTGGACAAAAAAAACACTAGACAAAAAAACTAACTAGAAAAAAAACTAAGTGGAAAAATAGAAAAAAAAACCTAGAGAAATAGAAGTAAAAACTAGAGTAAAAAAAACTGGAGAGAAAAAAAAACTAGAGAAAAATAACTAAGTAGAAGAGAAAAAAAAACTAGAGTAAAAAAACTAGAGAGAAAAAAAACTAGAGAGAAAAAAAAAACTAGAGAAAAAAAAACTAAGTAGAAATTAGAAAAAAAACTAGAGAAATAGAAGTAAAAACTAGAAAAAAAAAACTAGAGAGAAAAAAAAAGAAAAAACTAGATAAATAGAAGATAATACTAACAGGTTTTTTTTAACTTAGAAAAAGTACTAAAAAATACTAGAGGTTTAATTTAGAATTGTCAAGTCACACAGAAGAACTTGCAAAATAAAAACACAAACACCACCAGATGAAAAAGGTTTACTTCTTAAACTTTACAAAGAAAAAAGTTATCTTTATAAATCCAAGTTTTGAAAATTGTCACATAACTCATCTCATTTCACACTAAAATATATGAATTAATGAGAATCTGGGTGCCTTTCAACTTTCTTCAACACTAAAGTAAAAAAAAGAATTTCATCAAAGAAATAATCAGAGAAATATATTTAGAAAAAAAACTAATACTAAGAAGAAATTAAAGAGAAGAGAAGTATAAGAAAAAGCCAAAGCAACTGCCAAAATCTTTTCAATTGTGAAAGCACAAGGAAAAACATGCAAAATCGAAACAACAAACACCAAAAGACAAAAATCAAGTTTCTTCTTAAACTTTTCAAAAAACATTTAGAAGCAACTGTCAAAATCTTTTCAATTGTGAAAGCACACGGAAAAACATGCAAAATCGAAACAACAAACACCACAAGACAAAAATCAAGTTTCTTAAACTTTTCAAAAAACATTTAGAAGCAACTGCCAAAATCTTTTCAATTGTGAAAGCACACGGAAAAACATGCAAAATCAAAACACTAACACCACCAGACAAAAAAGGTTTACTTCTTAAACTTTACAAAGAATAATTTCTCTTTATAAATCCAAGTTTTGAAAATTGTCACATAATTGATCACATTTCACACATGTTATCACACACTAAAATATATTAATTAATGAATCTAGGATAGGGCTAAAATAATTCAGGTTCTTCAAGGGTGCCTTTCAACTTCATTCATTCTAAAGAGAAAAAGCATTTCATCAATCCTTTTAGGCAAAAAGTGGCAGCAAAGTTTGTATTTCAACCTGACATCATTATTAAAAGATATTACTCATTATCTTACTTTAGTCATCTGTTTTATGCCAATTATATTTTTGCCATTTTCAATAAAAAGAATGTGTCACATGCATATATTCAACCCAGACATATGTCACTATTTAATTTGAACACAGAAAAACTGGGTATCACCCTTCTGAGTACTACAGAATATAAATCACAGGGATCTCAGAAAAAATTTCTCCCAAGTTCTCCCACTTTTTTGTGGATATTTATTGTAAGACCACCACAGGAATTTTAGTAATCAGCCAGACTGGTTCAGCTGTTATAGCATCAAGTTTCATCATTGGTTTCACACATGGTGACCATAGAAGCAAATTTCAATTTCATAGTTGTCATCTCAACAATGTAGTGGCTTTTTAAAATCAAATGCTGACCATCCATGACAAAATCAAATTACCTCTGTGAAGAAATCTTGTCACTTCCAAAGTTCATCTGACAGTAAAGTTCATATCAACAGCTCATGTTGCACTCTTGACCAAGAAAAATCTTGAATATAGATACATAAATAAGACATGATTAATATAAAATTCCATTTTCAACTATCTTAATTATCGTCTAGTTTTTGGTCAGGTATTCTATGGTTATACTTCATCCCTCTACATATAACTATGGTTGCTATATTTATTTAAAGACCACCACAGGAATTTATTACTGGTGACACATAGTGAGCATAGAAGCAATGTTAACTTATTAATCTTAACAAAATTTGTGACTGCCTGACGATTTTCCAAAAAAAGATCCTAGTCGCAGCAAATTCCCCCTTATACTAAATGACAAAATATATACCCGGGCAGTTGATATGTATTACAAGGTCACTACAAGAATTTCAGCTGCAAGGCTAATATAACTTTTGAAGGAACAATCGAATTACCTCTGTGCAGAAATCTTGTCACTTCCAATGTTCATCTGACAGTAAAGTTCATATCCACACCTCATGTTGCACTCTTGACCAAGAAAAATCTTGAATATAGATATATAAATAAGACATGATTAATATAAAATTCCATTTTCAACTATCTTAATTATTGTCTAGTTTTTGGTCAGGTATTCTATATATTTATTTAAAGACCACCACAGGAATTTATTACTGGTGACACAGTGAGCATAGAAGCAATGTTAACTTATTAATCTTAGCAAAATTTGTGACTGCCTGACGATTTTCCAAAAAAAAATCCTAGTTGCAGCAAATTCCCCCTTATACTAAATAACAAAATATATACCTGGGCAGTTGATATGTATTACAAGGTCACTACAAGAATTTCAGCTGCAAGGCTGATATAACTTTTGAAGGAACAATCGAATTACCTCTGTGCAGAAATCTTGTCACTTCCAATGTTCATCTGACAGTAAAGTTCATATCCACAGTTCATGTTGCACTCTTGACCAAGAAAAATCTTGAATATAAGAAGACATTATTAATATAAAATTGCATTTTCAACTATCTTAATTATTGTCTAGTTTTAGCAAAAGGCACATAAACAGTAAAGTAAAATACTTAACTTTGACCAGACAGCACAACAATCTTGCTCAGAAAGGTCCGCGAACGGTCCACGTGGATGGGATCGCCATTTTGAATTCGGCGGCCGGGCGAGTCTTAAACTGATTTCTATTTTCTATTTCAACTGTTCTCTTGACGTTCGTCTTGATAACTGGCTGTTGAGATAAACGTTAATGACATAATGTTCAGTTCTGCTTCAGTCTATGGGTGCTGAAATTCCTCATGACATAAATTTTCAGTAAAATATTATCATCATTGCAGGCAGAATTAAGCTCGAAACTTTAGATAACCTTGTACGCAGAATATTTCATATTGTATATGGCTTTTTGTTATTTCTGGCCAACAATTAGCAGAAGGCACACAAACATCAAAGTAAAATACTTAACTTTGACCAGACAGCACAACAATCTTGCTCAGAAAGGTCCCCGAACGGTCCACGTGGATGGGATCGCCATTTTGAATTCGGCGGCCGGGCGAGTCTTGAACTGATTTCTATTTTCTATTTCAACTGTTCTCTTGACGTTCGTCTTGATAACTGGCTGTTGAGATAAACGTTAATGACAAAATGTTCAGTTCTGCTTCAGTCTATGGGTGCGGAAGTTGCTCATGACATAAATTTTCAGTAAAAAATTATCATCATTGCAGGCAGAATTAAGCTCGAAACTTTAGATAACCTTGTACGCAGAATATTTCATATTGTATATGTTTTTTTGTTATTTCTGGCCAACATTTAGCAGAAGGCACCCAAACATCAAAGTAAAATACTTAACTTTGACCAGACAGCACAACAATCTTGCTCAGAAAGGTCCGCGAACGGTCCACGTGGATGGTTTTCTTCGGCATCGCCATTTTGAATTTGGCCGGGCGAGTCTTCTATTTCATCTTTTTTCTCTTCACGTTCATCTTGACAACTAGCTGTTCAGATAAACCTATATACAACGAAAAAAAAGGGCTCGGCTCAGCTACACTGTACTCCTTAAGGAAGGCCTACGGCCTTCCCGTAGATTAGTGTAAAGGCCTACAAGTGGGAACTAGTCAACTAGCAGCGTGCGGGGGACCAAAACGCTCTAGGCAAACGGTCCCCCTACTGGGGTCGGACAAAGCAACCGCAGATTACGCATATAATCGCCGGAACCCACCTTTTAGTCAACGGCGAACTCCTTCTTCCTCGAACAATCTTCAATCTTGCTGAGCTTCGATCTTGCTGTCCACCTTCGATCGCCACCAATCTAAAGAAATTTTTTTTTAACGTTGAGATTAGTTTTATAGGCGATAATTACCATGTGATCATAGCAGATCACGTGGATGATAATGTACGACAACATGCCGATCAACTCCGAACATCATCGTGAGCGATGTTACTATAAACGAATCACTAAACGCCTAGAAAAAAGTTGTACTTTCCTATATTTCAACATTTTAAAAGCAGTGCATTCTAGTTTTGTTTTGAAGCACAATTTGTTTTTTGCTTCTAGTTTTTTGGTTTCGGTTTAAAAGGTGAATTGTCGCTGTGTGCCGAATTCTTTGTATTTCTGATGTCAAACAATCCTGTACTTTTTGGTATCATAAATATAAGCTCCTTTGTTTTGGAGACATACAACAGTTTTTTTTTATATTTTAGCCAAAACATATAGCAGCAATTACAGATTCACTAAGTTCATTCTCATCTTGATTCACAAATTTTTAAAGGACTTGAGTCGATTCCATGCGGTCTACAATAGCTGGGCGAACGTCTTACACCTATAAAAGTCAGTCAAAGATTGTTGTATCTCAATTCTTTAGCTTCAGTGATAAACAACATGAAGAAAAACGTCACTTAATCACAGAAAACAACACAGATCAGTATACCATGAGAAACATTGAAAGGCCTTTATGATCACTTATAATAATTACCTTGGCAAACATTTTGCAAGAAAACTCTCACAAAGTCCAGTTAACTGATAACACTAAATGACATGCCTCCGAATAGCTTTTGTTCCGCTCCGAGAAGGTCATCGTTGGCAGTTCCTTGGCTAGCAATAATAGAACAAAATGATTAGGACTCCATATTCTGGATGGCGTTGGCCTTGCAGCACTTGTCCACAGGATGTAAATTGACAGTCATCTCGGGCAGTCATCTCAGGCAGTCATCTAAGGCAGTCATCTCGGGCAGTCATCTCAGGCAGTCATCTCAGGCAGTCATCTCGGGCAGTCATCTCAGGCAGTCATCTCAGGCAGTCATCTCGGGCAGTCATCTCAGGCAGTCATCTCAGGCAGTCATCTCAGGCAGTTATCTCAGGCAGTCATCTTGGGCAGTCATCTCAGTCAGTCATCTCAGGCAGTCATCTTGGGCAGTCATCTCAGTCAGTCATCTCGGGCAGTCATCTCAGGCAGTCATCTCAGGCAGTCATCTCAGGCAGTCATCTCGGGTAATCATCTAAGGCAGTCATCTCAGGCAATCATCTCGGGCAGTCATCTCAGGCAGTCATCTCAAGCAGTCATCTCGGGTAGTCATCTAAGGCAGTCATCCCGGGCAGTCATCTCGGGCAGTCATCTCGGGTAGTCATCTCAGGCAGTCATCTCAGGCAGTCATCTCGGGCAGTCATCTCGGGCAATCATCTCGGGCAGTCATCTCAGGCAGTCATCTCGGGCAATCATCTCGGGCAGTCATCTCGGGCAGTCATCTCAGGCAGTCATCTCAAGATATTAGTCTTAAGAAGCTATTTCTAGTATTTTAAGGGGTAAGCCTTACCATTTTGCTCAAAATTGACCACTTTTTCATTGTTATAAAAACCAACTAAATGTGCTCTAAAATGAAAGAAATTTGTCTTAGGAAGCTATCTTTAGCATTTTGAGGCAGTTTTTGAACAGTCCAAAAAGTGGTCAAAATTGACCAAAATGATAAGGGGTAAGCCTTACCATTTTGGCCAATTTTGACCACTTTTTGATTGTTCTAAAATAGAATTATTGGCACGGTGATGTCTTCCGAATTAATATTTTACTAAATTCACAAATTATTGTGAAATTACTTACAGTGAACTTCTTCTGTACATTAATCACTGAATAATCATTGAGCGGTCCACGTCTCAAGCATCTGAATTACGATGCGACAATGCCCTCTTTAACTCTCTTTCCACAACACGTTGCGTTAGAGATTGTTTGCTTCGGCTTCTGTCCTTTTCCTTTCATTCCTTGGTGCTCTTCCTTCGAGACGAAAGACTCCGTTTCATTGTGGGCGTGGAGATCTCTTCTTTCAATGCAGGATCATCTGGTATCGAGGTGAGCGATGATGAAAGGAGAAAGGACTTTGAACGCAACGGAGGAAGCTCCTTCATGCGGTTTAACGAACAGATTGACGAGCAACATAATTCTGGAATATATGCAAAAAATGAAAAATATATAATATGCAAACAAATCTATCTGTCCCTATCCTTCTTTTGGTAGATGTGAACGAGTCATTTAGTTACTATAAGAGCTTTTATACATCAGGGGCCGGTTGTATCAAGCCCGTTTAGCTTAAACGGTGGATAAGTCAAAATTAAATAACACTCTTACAACTCTCTTGAACGAGTCAACTTGAATTCTATGCACTGAATATGTAGTTGTAAACAGTATCTTTGTATTTAAGTAAAAAACATTTAGTTCGCTTGATAAATAAAACGATAAACTTGCTTTCTATTTTGAACTTAACCACCGTTTAAGCTAAACGGGCTTGATATAACCGGCCCCAGTATTGTATAAAACTTTTTAACTACATTTTGCATAGTTAAATCCTAGTTAGCGACTCTGATTAACCAATTCTGTCCTTAACTACAGTAAAAAGTTAACTATATAGTCTTTTATATACAACTGGCCCCAGAACATTCGTAACTAATTGCTCGTTCACATGTATCAAAATAAAAAAACCGCAGATAGAATTACTTTTATGCCAGATAAAACATAACGAATGATCATCAACAGAATCCAACCCTATGCATCTATTCAATCGTTGATTTCATAAGTATCATTTCAATGATTTTAAACTTTTACATGCGTGTACGTACGTGCAAAAAACGCGACAGTGAAAAGCGGCCCTAAGAATGGAAAGATGCTGTAAACAGACAATCCAATTTTCAACGTTGGAATCCCTGCCAAATGAACACGCTGTGCATTAAATTTCATTTTTTATCTTGCCTTATTTTCTTAAGAAACAACAATGAAGTTATACAGTTAGTAACTGCATGCAAGCAAGCTGTTTCGCCGTGACTTGGTGTGAACGCGTGTATATAATTGACTTCAAGCTGGGTGTAGAAAACCTCTTGTACGCAGCACAGTACATAGGCAAGCAACATATCTCCGAAGAAACCGGATTTTCTATTCCGGACTGCGATTAGCTTACTTCGAAACTCAGGCTCCGATCACAGCCGACGGGACTCGCGATTGTACGATTTCTACGCTTGGCGTATGTTATTTGCCATGTTTGCTAACAACGGTTATAAGCTTATCACTTTTAATGCGTATTAAAAGTGCAGCAATTGCTGTATCGTGGTAAATCTAATACTTCAGAAGGACAGAAAATGCATCGTGTCAAAAATAACCTTCTACTTGAGCGCGGTTTTTTTAAAACCGAACCATTAGTGGTTGATTGTCGAAGAGTTGGATTAGCATAACTCTATCTATCAAAGTAAATATCGGCCCAGACATTGTATTATTAGAATACCTCCCAACTCACATTTAATTCCGTGGAATAACTTGAAATTTCCACTCGCGGATAGTAGCATAATCGTAAGTAATCCGGCACAGCGCCAATCGCATGCAGAAACCTGAATCCCAAACCAATTCTTCTATGGGTAAAATCCCAGACCCTGGTTGCATTACTTCAGTAGCTTCTTCCACGTCAAAGCAACAAAAACTTCTGTCATCTATAAGATGTGAAATTTTGATCTACACACCAGCCAAAAATTGGCATGCTTTTGAAGGTTAATCGACATGCGAACGTGAAGTAATACTGCTCAAATTTCCACAGTTTCCCAACAGCGATGGAAATTATAGACTCCTTTTGACGAAACAAACTCAGAGCCGTATATAAGTAAAACAAATTAATACCGGGTTTCTATAACACTATAGTAACAGTTTCGTGGCAATCCGCGTCGCAGCCTTAATGCATCTTATGCCTGTTTTCCACTTCAACGGTATAGACAAATCAACTTCAAACGTAGCGAATTTCTTTGTTTCCGAAGTATTCGAACTAATGACTTTAAAACAATGAGATACGCCAAGTTTCGCTACAATACGTTTGAAGTGGAAAACGGCCTTAAAACTAGCTAATATACGACACGGACGTGAAGTGATACGTCCATTTTTCCACAGTGTCAAAACAGGGATAAAAATTATAAACTAATAAAATTGGCTTCCTATAACACTAGCCGCTGTTTTTCTCATGTAACGGTTCGCGTCAAAAATGCGGTAGCATCTCAATCTTTCTAATAATAATACATTTCAATCCGTACTAGAAAATTGCTAGGCGCATCTACGACAGTACGCCTAATAGTATATCACCAGTCACCAGTAAGCTATACGTATATTATGGTCCTAGTAAACCCTGTTCGTTCTGCACGCGTTCTGCGCTCCGTTTTCCACGAACACTCGAGTCCGCGTCACACGGCGCCCAAGCATGAGAGAAAAACATCTGGCTCACTGCGCTGTTTTTGATAACATCCTCATAAATATGCGCGTCGCTTGATATCCACTTAAACGTTCAGTCGACCTGTTGTTGTCCAAAGCGATAAACGCGAAAAAAAACTCACAAAAATAATATAAATTTCTACCGAAATTCCCATTCGAAAAGCCGACTTCTACCTCGGCTGATAACCATGCGATATTTTTGCATAATTTTTAGCTTTTTGCTCGGATTTCGGGCTGGGAAAAGTCCGGCAAAGATGGCAAAAACTTGGCCCACAACAACTGACACATTGTTCTCTGACTTATCTATCTGCAGTATATTAACACTTTGCGTTTTGCTTCCGTCTAACGCCCCTCAATCGGGCAACACGATGCTAATTATTCAAACAGGATTTCAATTTGTTACGCACATCCATCGCGTGATTAAAAATAAGGCACTTCACGACGCGTTAATATTCAATTTTCGTTATTAAGCACGTTGAAAAAGCCTATTAAAACGCCACTAGGCCTCGCTTAGAACTACACCGACATTTAACGCGGCCTGCTTCGAACCGTAATCAATTTTTCCCATCTGACAGCGAAGTGCGAAAACTCTCAGGTTCTCTTCCAGAAATCGTCAAAAGGTACGTGGAAATTTTACGAATACGTCTTTTTTACTTAAAAATACTGTATATTTACTCGGCTGGGGTTACTTTTAATAAGGTGAATCTTTGAATACAAGTATTTTGTATTCTTTATAGTTCACCTTGAGCATTTCAAACGTGCTATTGAAAGATAAGAAGCGAAGGCCTTTGTATATTATACCACAAAATGGACAAACACCTTGTTGGCGAGCGTTTTAATGGCTACACTACAAAGGAGGGAAGAAAATTTCGTCACGAACATAATCTTGGAAAGGCCGCTGGCTACAAGTGCTTTAAGATTGACACTCCAAACGAAAAGTGTTGCTCTAACACCGACCGCGGACGAATGAAAAGATTTCTACCTGTGAGCCACTCTGCAGAGAAAGGTGATCATAAGCATAGTTCTTTCATGACCAATGTTAAATGTCGTTGTATCATATACATGCAAAGGATAGTTGAGGAAAAGGTAGTTTTAAAACCATCAATTTAAACGGTATAGCTTCGCTTAGGGAAGAGAACGGCAAGTGATATACATACATAGTCGGTTTAAACCTATAATCCAGCGATTTCAGTGCAATGACAATGATTACCAAGGTTTTTCGTGACAATGCTTCGAGTATGATATATCATTTTTCAATCACTCAAACGAGGACGCGGGCGTTTTGACATAAAAATGGCGTGGAACACTTCGCTATATTTCCCCTCCTCAAGGTGCCGTTATAAACGATCCTAAATCCTCCTTTTTCAACCCAAAACAAAGATTTCATATTAACCCGCACTATTTTCACAAATATCCGTACGACAATAGTTCGCTACACGCGAAAAGTCCTCTTTTATTCGTTTCAAGTCGATATGCCAAAGTTATCGTGTTATTTAAAACTGAAATGTTTTGAAAGAGCAAGGTGAAAAAATAATACCTAGCTTATAGTATGAAAGGATTAGTATTTAGTCTTAAAAACCCTTAAATTGGCGTCACGCGCGGTTGCAAATTGATAAGCGAAACATTAGTTTGTAATCGAGGTTTAAAGATCATAATGTTGAACTAAAAACGATAAAAGTTCGACCAATTGGTGTTGATTCAACCTTTTTGCCTCAACGAAGCAATATTGCTGCCTGACGTGCCTCGAAAACGTCTCGTATTTACCGGTTAAACCAATACATTGCAAAGCCTGCTTCAACAATTATACCTATCTTTCACTGATTAACATAGGTTACATTTTTCAAAAATTTATGCCGTTTGTAAGCTGAATCTCGCACAGCACTGCTAAAAAATTGTGCCCTTATACCAAATAGCTCAGGCTCGCATAGATAACGCAACAACAATGTGGAATTACGACCTCAAAAAATCTTTCGTGTTGTGTTTAGTTTGTTGATTCGTAATGAAAAATTGAAAATATAATATAATTATCGCGAACATATTTACATAGCTCATAAAATTCTATGCTTAATCAACGAGATTTTTCCAGCGGAATATACACAAGGGCGCGGATCTAGAGCGCAAGACTTTTCTTTTAAGGCATTAAACGCAAGTTAGGTCACGCATAAACTCTTAACCATGTGCCGTTATCGTGCCCTTAATCCCCCAATATCGTGACGCAGGCCAGAACTAAATTCGCTTGGTGCGCGCGCACGCGAGATTATATTTTTTGGCGATAAATTTCACGTATTAACTTAACAACTAAACATATTTTGCAGTTACACTATCTAAGTTCAGTTCCTAATTCTGACTGCGTTCAACACGATATACTAAACTTTGCATCCAGCCAGCGCACATAAATAAATTACCTCTTGTCTGAATGCAGACTGCTTAATTCAAGACTAATTCAAGACTGCTTGCATGAAAGATGTTTTTCACTTATCCTTCTGCGAAATTATCTTAAAGACCGCATCGAATAGAGCCGTAAGCTTCTTTCGCGATCTATAGCCCTTGCACCTAAACTATAAAAGGTTTTAAACACAAAGATAACATTCCAAACCCTGGTTTTACGAGGGTTAACTTGAACCCAGATTAGTGGCTAACACGTTGGAACCCCACTTGACCCAGGATGAATCTATCTTTCAAAAAGGAGCCAAGATGATCTTAATCGTGTTAATAATTGCGAAAACTGACTCACGTTGAACTGAATAAGGGTCGGTCAAACACGCGTTACTCCGTTCGGTTGCGTTGTGATATTCACCCGGGCAATATAACAAGCTAATTATACCCTTCACCTTAAGCACATGTCTGTCTACACTTGATGAAAATTTGAGAGAAAATTGTGTTCGAAAGACTAGCCCAGATCTCCACTTCTTTTAACATAACTAGGAAGAAAACTTTAAAAGTATAAAACTTGTTGAAAACGATTGTTATTGATTTTTAACTGATTCACGAGGTTCGGAATTGGTGATCTTCGAACCTTCTATTAGTGCTATATTATGCGGCATTTTGCGTTGAACGGCAAAGAAGATGAACCGAAGATAAAATCATTTCTCTGAAGGCATAGGGAAACCTCTCGTCTGTCATTTCAGCCATATTAATATTAGATGAAGAAATAACACACATTATCACCTCAAGTCAAGAGAGCAGTGAAGGAGTCTTGGCACACACGGAAACATATTGCTTGACCATTAACAGCCATGCAAATATATATCAAATATGTATATATTACGTTTCCACCGTAGATCCCAACAAAAATTTCACCCTTATATCTCGTAAGGCTATGTTACGAGCCAATTTTGATTGAGTTTGCATTGCATTTTGGGATGAAGGCTGGGCCAGTTGGAAGACGGTTATTGGCCCAGAAATTGCGCCAGTTCTATACTTGAAAAATGATGCTAGAAAATAAGGCCAACGAGGAAACGAGTGAGGATCTCGAAGATCGATCTGAGAAGAACAAGCTTTGCTTTTCGATCGAACACTGATTTCTAGTTCATTGATTAAACATGAGATTTGTTTAGACATTGCGTGTTACAGGTTGCAAAAAATTCGTAACAGCCTTTACTCGGTAAGCCAGTCCTTTGTAGAAACGCACTTGTCTTTTGTGAGGGGGAAAACTTAAAATTCTACTCTTCTGGGTGAGTGAGAAGAACAGACAGCTTCAATCGCCCCTACGAGAAACCACATTTGGTTCATGATAAAGTATACTTATGAGATGAGATCGATTTTTTCAGCCCGCTAACTTTGGCGCTGACATTCCTCCTTTGACACAATATAACTAGTGTTTGGATACGAACGTTTCGACCTAAGTTATCATTAATTATCCGCCTCTAGTTCAGCTTTAACTGACAAGTCCAGCCAGTGACGTAACAAACTGATGCGAGGCCCTTTTGCGGGTATATTTGGTACTGTGGCCCGTGGGGGTCACTTGCTGTTTACAGCGGAACCGAGTTACATTATCTATCCTGGTGTAGGCTATATATCAATGAGGACACTAGTCTTTGTGGGTTCTGTTTGTCAGTAATCATGTGTAATACTCTCATTCATGCCAGGCATGTTTCTTTACAATCCTTGTATAGACTACACAATTAGGGCACTAGTTCTAACCCCACCTAACGTGTGTTATACGCCACAGATCTAGATTTCCCCAAATTAAAGGACCTGTACCGCTCTATAAATCTTGCACAACAGAATGTGGATAGCCAACTATATTCATTATTTCCCAAACCTTTTCAACAAATCCAAAGAAAATGAACTGTGCAAGAGATTTCAAATCAAAAGTGACCTTCACTATTTTGGGATATTCAAATTTAAAATGAATCTTTTCAAGCAAAAAAAGCACAGGCTATTATCAGGAATAGTCCGGATGACAAGTTGACAACACCACATCAAGAATCATGTCATTTACTTTAATTTAAATACCTGAAACTTAAAGTCCTATATATACTTGGTTTAATAATATGTCATGCAACGTGATCATCCCCTCAATTTTGTCATAAAATACGAGTTTGTTGAACAAATTCAAACACATAAGATTTCCTATTTTAACAAAAAAAAACATTCAGTGATTCGGGCATTTTAACATGACCGCCCGATAAACAACAATAGGCTTAAGATCTGGTTTTAAACGAACGACCAGAATTGGCACTATACTGCTGAACTGAGTTGATCCGAAGATAGTCAGAAGGTGAAATCTGTGCTTATCTTTGATCATGTCGTTTCAATATTTTTGTATTCTTTTTATTCTTTCTATTTGGAACATCTGCTGCCCCATACTGCGTGAACTGCAGTCAACCTTTCGACTTTTTGGCGCGTGTTCATTAATTCAGAAATCGGTTTACATCGGGAGAGGATTTCGGTGACGAATTTACATAAAGTATTCGTGAAGATTTTATCGTTCGTAGCATAATTGAACGCTATTTATCGCCAATCTGTGCCTTCTTCAAAATTTGATGCAATTTTAGGCAAGGAAATCAGTTCATTTCTTCACATTAATGTTGCAGACATACTGACCATGGTGTTATAATGAACATGTCATATTACGACAAAAATTATGACATATAATTTGTGAATGCAAGCAGATATATGCTTCTGAATTGATTCAAATATCGTTGCTTTCTCCAGCGGAAAAGAGCAAAATTAGAATGACATTTTTTGTCCTTTTCAATTTTAATAGCTCTCCCTATATTTGAATATCATTCTGGCTTCTTGCAAAAATGAATTGGGCAACGTGTCGAGGAGAAATATATATTCAAAATAAAGGTTTCAAATATATTAAGGTTATGAAAAACCGACACATCTGATGCATTCAATCATAGTTTTTGGGGACATGCAACTTTATCTTTCGAAAAGTGTTTGATGAGAAATGAAGCATATGTATAGCAAGTCATATACTATCAAATACACTCAATAAATTATCTCTATTTTGATTGACGAAACGGACGTTTTAGAATCACAAAAGTAAAAAGTAATTGAACAAAAATGATTTCACAATCGCGCGCGTTTTCCGATGCACCTTTGTACAGTTTGCATCCAATATTTAATCATTGTCCAAGCCGAATCGATGCTTATTGCAATTGAAATTATGTAAAGCCATGGAAAGAGAAAAAGATTAAGATATACCGATTTGCTATTTTTAATGCAGCTCTCATTTGCATATAGAAATCCTGTTGATAAATTGTAAGATAAATTGCCAGATGACGGCAATGGCTCGCAAGGTCGAAAACAATCCCAATCAATAGCAATGGCGCCTCAAGTTCAACAAAGACAGGCAACGCAAACGTGATTTAAAATCATTCGCTTGTGCGAACGTTTTAAAGAGAATCAGTTTAAGAAAAAACATTGTGTTTGTCCATATTAGTGTATATTCGTCCGTGGGTTCAGGTAAAACGAAATAAACAAATGCTAGTATATTTTAAATGATTTTTTATATCATTCCCCATTGTGTGTTTTGCATATTAAAGTCAAACTATAAATACTTAAACTTTTCTATAGCGAGGTTGCATATAATATACATTACTGCCACTGAATTCATCAGAGAAGCTATAGGATATTCATTAAAATGATTTTAAAAATGACGAAGTGTCTTTGAACAAAAAAATACTGTTGTGTTGATGGATTAATATTTGGCACTGATTATCAACCGTTGTTGTACTTATGGACAAGGGTCTCATATACGATTTTCGCTCTTATTCGTGGAATATCAACAGGTCTAGATATCAGAATTGTATTTATTATTAAATATTGTGTTGTCTGCAATGATAAAATAGCTCGCTGAGAACCGTTTTTATCGCTTTCAGACGGATTGTTTGAACAAAAATTAACCATTTTGTTTAATATATACTTGCATCCTACTATATTTCTTAATTACTTGAAATATTCCCGCCTATATAGAACCGGTTTAACAAAAAGTCTAGCTTTCGTCCGGGAGTATTGAACTGACAATAGGTTGGCTGGCGCTTTGCACTAATCGTTATTATTTGTTTTTAAGATTTTTCATCGATGGAGAAGAACAAAGTCAAAGACATGGGCCATTTTTCACACATTGCCTTACGTCATCAACGATTTCCGCATATTTGCCAAGCCGACCCAGCAGCCATTGCGAAGCTCGCATCGCTCACGCCATCACGATCGGAACGCCGCCGTAACTTGTCGACGAACGAACCCGCGGAAACTCACATCGAGACTGCGTCAAGATGGTTATTCATGAGCATCAAATGGGCGAAAAGTTTGCCATATTTTGCCGAGCTTTACTACCCAGATCAGCTCGAACTGCTGAGGCAAAATTGGAGCAGATTATTCCTGTTCAACCTGATGTACTTCGAGATGGTTCCGAAGGCGAGTGCTGCCGAAGATGACGTTAGTGGCGCCCTGAGAGATGTGTTCGTGCGGTGGAGCGAGGCGAATCAGAAGCCAGAAATACCGGGAAAAATTGAATACAGTTTGGAAAAGATTCGTCGTTTACACATGGACGAAACGGAAACATTGCTTGTGAAATCTTTACTTCTTTTTAATCCAGGTAGAATAATTTTTATTAAATTCCTTTGCACGAAGCGTCCACTCAACACAGATTGAATCATTTTTCAATTTCATTTAGAAACTGAAGGTTTGGTTGATGCGTCACAGGTACAGGTCACCCAAAACAAATGCCACAGAGCACTGGAAGAACACGCGCTATCAAGCAATCCAGGTGAACGAGACCGTAGCGGAAGAATACTCCTCACCATCTTAACATTGAGTACGTTTGAGGAGCGAGACGTCGAAGCCATGTTCCTATCAACTGTACTGGGTAACGCCACCGTAACTTCTCTTATGGAGAACATTTTATGCGCTGATGCAATGTAACATCAAGTACTTCGATTATTGTAGTCTCTGCGCAGATTGCCGCTGGTTTGTAGTGTTGCAAATGTATAACATCGAGTACTTTGATATATTGAAGTAAGCGAGCAGAGTTCCGCTGGCTTGTAGTGTTGCAAATGGTTAGGTATAACATCGAGTACTTTGAAATATTGAAGTAAGCGAGCAGAGTTCCGCTGGCTTTTAGTGCCGCGGCACAACGATACGAATGGCATAAAAAGTAGCAACTAGCAACCCTTATTGAAACTGACACTTATTGTGAGGTAACAGACGTTATGACGACTCAAAGTATAATAACGTCATATGTGGGTTATACCGGGGTATTCATATACACGTAAATATATTAAATTTTGAATATTAAAAAGTTAAATACCTTCAAAGCGCCTGATTCTTTGCCTTTGCCATAAGAGTTGAATCAAAAGCAGCTTCGTACATTCTGAAAGGGAATGATAGAATAAATACTTTACTTTGCCTTGACTACCGTCTACCACGGTAATAAAGTTTGCCCTAAACAGACTAAAGTCGTGTCCGCGGTCATAGCCAAAACATTTAAATCAATTATAACGAGAAATCACAAATGTTCAGGCAAATAATTACACTAAGACTCTGGATGAAGATACTTTACTCACCTTCATACACGCTTTAAGTCCAAGATTCCCGTGAAATATAATTTACAAAGGATTATTTTCAACAAGATTTTCCGAAGCAATTTAGCTTCCTCCACAAAACTGACAACAACATGCTGTCATGCTCACGACTGGTAACCTGGTTCAAAAGATTAGTTCAAGCAACCACACAAACAAAAACCCGGCCCCAATCACGATTGGTCTCAACGGCACAAACGAAATGTGTACGATTGCATTTCAAAGGCTTGAAATGCTTGAAATATACACTTTACATTCGTACACTGCGCTCTCCAAAAAAGTGACACCATAGGCATAGCAATTATCCTATTGTTAAAATTTGAATGCCCGAGAGCTATTAGCGGCCCACAGGTGCATAAAAGCATCAGCATTATAAAAGTCGACTCACGAGGAAACATAGTCCAACTGACAAAGTAAAAATTTGTTCTGACACATTTATAAAATACAATTTCATTAAGTTATCTTGTGTGTATTCTTGCGTGTTTGAGAGTGGTTTAAGCTCAATGAGATCATACCTATACAGGGTGTCCCCAGAAAAGTCCCCTTCTGCAAATCTTCTGCAAAGTTCAAAATTCCTGATGCTCTTCCAAAACATCCCAAAACCATACTGGCGCGAAAAATTCCACGACACATTCAATTTTACGTCTCATTAAAAGAAGCTGCGTGTCAACCCGCTGACAATCCGAGCCCACAATGGCACCCTACGTTCATGGCTCTCGAAAGTCTCGCCAGCGACCTTAACAGCGTACTTATACACGTGATCATATTCGTGACGTAGTTGCTCACGCAATCTGACGTTATTGGTTACAAGAACAGTTTGGTTCTCGAGGTCCCGCTTCAGCGACCTGTGGCCAAAGTTTGGAGAGCCAATAAGAGTGAGGTTAGGAAGGTGCTCAAAAGGCGGGATATACCATAATCCCTTGGCATGAAACGTCCACTGACTTCGAAGATATTCCTGGAGTGTTATTCGCTCCGTCTGTCTAGACTCATTGACCTGTTGGTAAAACTCTTTTGCAAATTGAGTGAAAGCATCTGGTATTCCTCCTAAAATGTTAGACAAATAGTTTTTAAGAGTTTGGAGTTTTCAGAGAGAAAGTTTTTGAGATCCACAATTTCATGATTAATCATTTAGAATTTTATAGCACGCTTTACGTGTAGCAAAAATTCTCGAAAGAAAACACTCTTCCTTACCAATAATTCCTCCAGCTTTATAAAATCCATTGGCTAAAGGATGAGCACATAGAACGTCATAATATCCCTGAGCTTTGAGTATGTCTTTTAAGTATCTAGGGGTCAGATTGAAGTATCCAGTCGCTAGATATGATCTCGACCCTTTTGGTGCATCCTGAAATATCCTTGAGGTCACCTGCTCATCCTGTGTTATCCCTAGCGGACCCATTTGTAAGAGTGGAAATATGAGGGTATCCCCTTCGGTGGTTTCGACAGCAGACCGTGATCTTTCCGTCCAATTATTGATGAAATTTTTAACTTTCAAATTTGCAGTCTGTTTATATAGTTTGCCCCCGTCCCAATCTCGAAAGGGGTGGGGGGAAGATGTGGGATTCAAAAACGTTCTTCCGTCCTTTTGCAGTTCCAGAGAGAGGTCGCTCACCGTCTTCACAAGATCGTCAAAGAAGTCAGCAACTTTTGGTGAATTTTCAACGAGGATGTAGCGATCTTGCCGATTTGTGAAGTAATCGTTGCTTAAATTTGCCCTAGAAATAAGAAACACTGTGTAAGCTTGTATTTTTTTCTGTATTCCGACTTGCACCTGCCACGGTGATAAATTATACCAAACTTGGTTGAGGACTTTAATGTAACAGGGAAAAACACACGTCAAAATATCACATCTTGTAGCTCTTATAAGTCTTGCAAACAAGTTGTGCTCGCAATGCTTTAATTATCCCGAGCTGTTGACAAGTATGGGACAACTTGTTAACATGTTATAACAAACTTGTTGAATCAAAAGACTTGTTTCAAGGCTGTTCCAACAAGTCTGGTGCAAACATGATCCAACAGCATTGCTGCAAACATTGTCCCAAACTTTTTAGAACAAAATCAGAGCAAGCAGTTTGAACATATCTTGTTGCAAGCTTGGAACAGACTTGTTTAAAGACTTGTTGCATTCAAATTGTGCATCAATTTTTGCGTGTGTAGTGGGGGAGAATTTATTAACGAGTACAGTACAACTGCTTCGATTCCTTTACATTTTTGTCCCACCTTGGCATGAGAGAGGCAGGGATGGGAAGGAAATTAATGTATCATGCTCAGCTGGCAAAACAGGAGCCAGACTAGGTTCTTGACATACAAATAGAACTCTACTCACCCACTGATGATGAAGGAATCGTCAGTCAAATATACTTTGAGATGGCTAACTCCGATTGTTTCGTTATATTTCTCCGGCACGATCCGTCTCAGGAGGCCACGAAGCTCAGGCGTGTGGAAGAATGAGAATTTTGTGTTGTCAGGGAAGTCACGAAGCAAGGGTAGCAGCATTGTTCTTGAACTACTAGATTTTCCCCTCGATCCTCGAGTGTGGTCGAGCAATACGGAAACTTTGAAGTCCGAGTTAGCCTTCTTTGAATGCAGAAGACGATCTTTGATGCATGAGACCTACAATTCAAAGAAAGCTAGCTAGAGGCCTAAATATCTTTCTCAAAACAGGATCGGAGTAGCACCGTGACAATATTAATTCATCCATTACCTGTGCTAAGTCACGTCCATTATCACTATATTTTACTTTGTTTCAAATTTATAATAGACACACATGCCCCATCACTAACAATAACGGTTTTAATTAGATTTCTATTATTCTGCTAGTTCCAAATTGTCATGGTCATAAGGAAACTGTCATAAGGAAATCAATAATTACCAAGTCTTGTTCAAGTGTTCCTGTTCCCAAATACAAAGATGCCAAAGTCACCCTGTTCCTTGCCTTGGAAATATTGGCCTGAAAAGAAAATATAATTTGATTATGAAGTTCTTTATATTGATATAGTATCTGGATTACTGTATTTATTAACTTGATCTATCAGCTGAAATCTATGAATTCCAATGTAAAATATTTTTACTAACCTTGAGCGTATTATAAAACTCTGATGGTTCGTTTATGACTTTAACATTGTCTCCATTGATATAGAACGAGGGAGCAGAATTAAACAACCAATCAAAGCCACTTGCTGGGTTTAAAGCAACATTATCAACACTCATAAGCCTAACAGTTGTCCTCCCAATCTTGTGACGTAGACCATGCTGTAAAATTGTTGATATAGGCTTTGCAACATAACCTTGTAACACCACCATGACCAACTTGATTACTGTGGATCACACAAGACAAACGTACAATGCAACCTTAAAATATATAGAAACATGTCAAGGTCAGGCATGGACATCCTCCTTAAGATTAAGGATCAGCTGATCATATATTGCATTCCAAGAGAGATAGCAACCTATTCGCATTCCAATAAAACAGCTAAAATTTTAATTGAAAGTATAATAGTGTGAAATCAGCAGCCAGGGTATGGAAGTTTCTTGAGTGAATTTTGGGTAACTATACTGTAGCTGGTGAACAATTTCAGCATCTTGGTACATTTATAGTCATCATTACTTGTACTTAATTTACACAACTTGTATTCAATAGGAATGAAAGTCTGAGGCTAACGCATCTTCGGCATGGGTTTACATGAAATGAACCCACCGTTGACCCTCTACCTGAATCATCAGCAAAACAGATTAATCAGGTCATCTCAACCTGAGCATACATAGGTACACGTTCTAGTGCATATACAACCAGGGGAACAGCAATCCTGGGGATATTTAAGGGGATATACAATACTCACTCAGTCACTTATAATTTTTTCAAGCCTGCTTTTACAACAAAAACCTAACTAAATGTGCTTACCTTTATGTTCTTCGACATATAAGTTCTTTATCAATATTATAATAACATGTAGAAAAAATATAAATAAAAGATTATAAGTTTATAACAAAATATTATCAATTTTCTGAAATACTTCATGTAAGAATAAATTCGCACCTGCCTGTATAATGGAATGCGGTTGCTCACTTTCGCATACTTCGTTTCGTAACGTATTATTGAGAAGCCAAACTTCACAGTTAGAAAGACGTACTTCAGACAAGGGATTTATGAAAATCTACAGTTACACTTTATTTATTATATGCTGAAAAAAACTCTTCAGCAGCGCCTATATTTAATGTTGATCCTAATTAATCCAAGCACCATGTTTTTAGATTTTTCTAGTACTTCATGTGATATACAATATATAATGCTAATTTGCTTCTTCAAGATACTGCGTGCTCAAATTGTGGAGTTTTACTCCGAAAGAGAATTGCGCCTTACTGTTGCAGCGTTTACACCACAGCCCTAATAAAATAATAAAAATATAGGCCCATGCAGTGAATCGCGGGCTTTTGGTGTAAACGCAACGCAGTGCTAGACAACTCGCAATGCAAATGATGAAGCAATTTGCTCCAAAAAGTTGGGTGTTTCCAGCGAAAGAATGCCAGTTCTTGTTTGAATTAGGCCCTGATAGGAGTTACCACTCTTAAACTTTGTTAGTTTGCTTTATTCTAACGTTTTCGCAAACTAAAATGGATAGCAGACACAGCATTTTTGAGCGAGCATTTTTACAAAAACTTAAGTGCTCAGTGCCAGCAAAAGTAATCCCCAACGATGCTAGCTAGTTCTTTTTTGATTTCTTCAGGATCACCTATAGAGCACTTATTCTCATACTTAGTTATTTTGCTGTATTCTGAAGTTTTCTCTAACATGAATGACAGCATGCAGTCACCGAGCTTTCGAATTTATGACAAAGAACTGCCAAGCCAAATCGGTTTATTCCTCCAGCGTTTAAAACTACAAAAAATCACAGACAGCAAAGTATGCGGTTTGTCTAGGATTGCAACCAGGTTAGACAAAAATTCCGGCGTGTGGCGCGCGCAGTACCTTGAATTTGTGCAAATTTAGAGCTGTTTGATAATTTAATTTTGTCTTTCTCTTTTGCTGGGCACGGGGGATGGGGGATAGTTCGTATATTGCTGTTTCATTCTTTCATTATACTCTCTCTCACTCACTCGTTATCCTACAATCGCTCTCAATGTGAAATGCGCGTATCGCAGCAGGCATTGTAAATATCGCCTCGATGCCAAGGCACCGAATAACCTGGTTCTAGCAGACACGACAGCCGCATGTTAACGACACTCCCAAATTCGTATGGACTGGTCGACGCTGCCGGTGACAACGAACGGAGCAGTTTTGTGGAAATCTAAAAACAAACAGGAATAAACATGGTTAGTTCAGGTTAGGGTGGTCAATGAGAAATGATCCCTACTGGACCTCTCGGAAGAACAGTTTAGAACTGATAGAGCTATCCAGTATAAATAAAGTTAGTTTAGTTTAGGTTTCCTCCTGTAGTAACACTGGATCAATAAGAGATGATCCTTGCTGGACCTCTATAGGAAAAACAGTTTAGAACTGATAAAACTACACGAACTATAGAGACTATAGGGACTACAGAACTAATTGGAATAAAACTTTGAACATACCTAAGCAAGTTGCGAAGTGTTCGTGAGCGACTAAAGTTTTGGCGCATCGCCTATTCTTAAAATCCCACATTCTTAACGTCTTGTCATCAGAACAACTAACAATATATTTCCCACCAGGATGGAACATAACACCACGAACCCAGTTGTCATGACCCGTCTGTAGAAAAAAAATTATTATTATTATTATTATTATTACCATGTTCCAGTGTAGAATACGATTAACTTCTGAAATGTCCACAGATCTCTCATGAAAGTTGCCATATGTATATCATCACTACCATATACTGTGTAACTGGATAAAAATAATTATTTACCAAAAGCCGGACTTGTGCTCATCTGAAATTTCTGTGGGGTGCTAAACTCTCTAGGAGACAACGTGTCTCGAGGAACCCTTCGAAAGGTCTGCCCATAGATTGAATACAGAATACTGTATGCAATAACCAAGTGTAAGTGATGATCAATTTTCATGAACATGTGGCACATGAGTTCAGATAGAGTCTATAGACTATGCACAAGGAGTTTTAACAAGCAACTTACCAATGTTAGTAAACAAACACCAGCACTAATATCCCATAATTTAATTGTTTTATCTCGAGATGCCGTCGCCAGAAATGGACCAGGACTTGCACCTTTTTTACCAGTCTGTGAAAAGAGAAAACTCCTCAGTGCATAGAGAACGATACAAAACTGCCCCTGGCATCGAAATTAAACACAACACTTGAATCTGGATCAATCTTTTCAAAAAAGGAAAATTATCAAGATCGCAAACAGTGGTCTTCCAACAATGGTCTTGGCTACTCGGTGGCTACTAATGTTTTGCAAAAGTAGAACTTTAAGGAGCGTAAAAAATTTCAAAGAGGGAATGCAATATTTTGGTATAATATAGAAGTCACTTTCATATTACTTCTTCATTTTTATATTACTTAGTCCTAATACTTGAGTAATTGTGAATCGATTCGAATATGATAGATTACTGTAGCAAAATCCACTAACCTCAGCCACAGAGGCTTCGTTGACATGCGTGGTAGCGGAATCGGGCGCCCACGCGATATCTTCAACCACGTGATCGTGCTCACGCAATTCGCATTTACATTCCTTACTAGCGAATAACCACACGCGTACCGTCTGCAGATGGAAAAAAACACAACATATTGACGATAATAGGCAAGAATCGTCTAACGGGAAATGAAAGAGAAACTTTATATCCAAGACATATAAAAGAACACACACACACACATACACACACCTGGTCATTCGAACAACTTGCTAATAAAGAACCTATAGAAATGCAATAGATTGCGTTATCCAGTATTATATCCAGATCAGTACGCCTAATTATAGGTTCAAGATCACGTCATAAAGTTGAAATCAAAACGGACTACTCACCATCCGTATTCACCCTAACTCTTCGCACCCATTCTCGATGACCTTGTAAGGTTTTAACACAGTACCTGCAAATGAAACAAAGTTCATGAAATCAGTTGTCATAACGGGGTTTTTCTATTTAAAAGTTGCTTGCAATAACAGAACATGAACTCACCCGGTGGCAACTTCCCATATTTTTATAGTTTTATCCCTAGACGACGATATCAAAAAATCCCCGGAGGGCATGAAACAAACTGACGATACATTATGATCGTGACCTGAGGAAAAAAGAAAGAAAATATTGTAATTTTCATTTATTCTTGCTGTCACTGTCTTTGTTTGCAATCTATGTATACCACTTCAAAATTTTACTCTGTCCAATGCCAGATGCTTTCACTGGCCGGTAGAGGTCACTTTAAGTTGAGGATTCACAATTATATAAATCAGTAGGCGTATAATCTGTTAGCTAGTTAACACATCCAGATGTAGCTCTTTTACTCTAAATTTTTACTCTGTCTAATGCCATTATGTTAGATTGTTTTATTAACTGATAGGCCACCTCAAGTTCATGATTCAAAATTACCATGCAAATGAATCAGTGTCTAATCTGTTAGCTAGCAAAACGCATCCAGATGTAACCCACTTTAAATTTTACTCTTTCTAATGCCAGATGATTTTACCCATTAGCAGGGCTTCTATTGATGGCATATACTAGTTTGTTTCAAAAGTTCTCTGCTTATTTCCATTGCCAATCCTATTTTACCCCATGGGGACAAGCCCCACCCAAGACCAGTTATGGGGCACCTCCATTTAGTAGTGAACATAGCTAAAGAACTGTGTCTCTAATCATTCAGCAGATTCAATGCAGCACTACTGACTTACCATGCAGTGTTTTGATACACTCAAAACCTTGAAAATCCCATAGCCTAATAGTTAAGTCAGCTGAACACGACGCAAGGAATTTCCCTGTGTGGTCAAAAGCTAGATCTTGGACAGCATCCGTGTGCCCTTTTAGAGTTCTCTCAAAGTCACCAGCTTCATAATCCCAGACTTTTATTGTGGCGTCCTCTGATGAAGATACCATTACACTATAGAAAATGAAGATGATATGAAAATTATGTGCAACATTGAAGTGATTAGCAGGCAAGTTCTTATGGTATTGTAAGGTGAAAACAGAATAAAAAATGCAAAGCAGTAAGTACTAGACTAGTCAGGCTAGTATTAGTAGCAACAGTCAACACTCAGTCAGACTAGCAGTACTACAATGATCAACTGACATTGAGGAAGGTTGAAAGTTAAACACTGAATAAAACATTGCAAAGCAGTAAGTACTTGACTAGTCAGGCTAGTATTAGTAGCAACAGTCAACACTAAGTCAGACCAGTAGTACTGCAATGTTCAACTGACTTTGAGAAAGGTTGAAAGGGAAACACTGAATAAAACATTGCAAAGCAGTAAATACTAGACTACTCAGGCTAGTATTAGTAGCAACAGTCATCACTCAGTCAGACTAGCAGTACTGCAATGATCAATTGACATTGAGGAAGGTTGAAAGTGATTTTTAATATACAGCAAAGAATGTATGCTACACAAAAATTATATCCCGTGATATACGGAGACACGGATTCCAATTTGATAAAAAAGCAAACTAACATGCACTACCATAAAGTATACGTATATTAACAATTATAGCATTCTGTCCTTGAAGGACTGAGATCCCTTTAGGACTTGATTTTACTCTACTTGTTTCTACATCTTGCTACTTCCTTGCTCTTGCACCTCTCTCATCTCCATGATGTCACTCAAACATCTTAATTTACGATGTCCAATAAATGAAACCTAAGTCTTAATCCTACTATACTGGAGATTTCTCTCATCTCTACACTTGAAGTAGAAATGTCTTGGATTTACCAACAAAAGCAATCCGTCCGTTTGGGTGGGACATCAGCTGTTGTAGATTGATACCAAGAAAATCGAGTTTATGGAGAACTTCACCAGTGTCCGAAAAACTGAAGAGTGTTATGTCTGGTTGCTGGCGTCCGATGTGATACAGTTTGAAAGTATCATTATGTCTGAATTTACGTCGAAAAATTATCAAAATTGTATTGTTAACATAATTGAAAACTGCGTTTAGTTTCCATTCAAAACTCAACTGACTTGTCACGGGTACCTGAACAGAACGTTCCAGATGACCGTCCAACGCAATTACGTACACGAAAAAGAATTTCGTTTCATCGTTTTTAAGAAAAGCGCAAATGATTTTATTTTTATTGGAGACGGTGAAGGTAAAAGCTGAAGTCTCGTCGAAGTCCACACCTTCAGAAGGAATACGGAATTGGTGATTACGCTTGGCATTTGCGCGGTTGCATATATAGAAAGTGTTCATCCCATCACAATGGATTACTATCAAACCTTCGTTGGTCACACTCATTTGAGGTTTGCACAGTGGTTCGTCAATTATATCAAGAAAGCTGGCCTCTCGCACGATTCCAGTTCCATCCAATGTTAGTAATTTATACTGAGTGGAAGCATCTCCAGGGGATTGTGGCATATCAACCAAGACGCATACATTATCATCTTTGTCCACGGCGATACAGCATATGCGTGGGGTGTAGTTACTGTGTCCTGAAGCAATGGTACAAAACACCTCATTATTTTTGTTAATCGCGACGCCATCAAAACTTTCCGAAAGGACCTCCCCCTTGCTATTTATACCAAGTGCACGATTTGATATGTGATACCGCGAGGCGTCACGAGCCTCCCAAGGAACATGCAAATTTTTGCCCTTAAGATCTCTTAAAATGCTTGTGTTGTGCAGAACTGGGTGATATATATCCTTTCCAGTTTTTATGGTTGGCCAGTTTAAACAACCAATACGGAGGCTTGTAAATTTGATGGTGAGATTTATCAGCAACGTGTTGATCATGTGTATAGAATCTACACCGATATCCCGTTTCCTTTTGTTAAAAACAGCCAGTAGACGCAATGCCATTCCTCTATCAGAACCTTGCCACACAGAAAACATCGCTTGGAGCGCCGGCAAGTCCTGTAACTCTTTTAGGTAGAGCAAGCAATCAACGATGGCTGCTTCCGGGTCTTCTAAGCATTCCAATACCCTGCTGGTGATGTGAAGTTTGCACGCTGTTAATCTATCTTCGAAGCTGAGTCCCACGTTGCTGAATGCCTCTGTTGCCAGTCTTTTCGCCTCTTTAAAAGACTCCTTTGACGATTTGTAGCGCTCTTGAAACGCGATATTCAAATTCCTGATGATGTCTGATATTTTCATAGCTGCTTTCAATGCATCCCATTCGGCTTCCGCGATGGCAGATCCCTTTACACTAGACGATGTGGCACCCTCGACATCATCTTCTACGGTCGCTTTCGAAGCGCTCGGCTCGTCGGATTCACTCTTCGAAGCGCTCGGCTCGTCGGATTCACTCTTCGAAGCGCTCGGCTCGTCGGATTCACTCTTCGAAGCGCTCGGCTCGTCGGATTCACTCTTCGAAGCGCTCGGCTCGTCGGATTCACTCTTCGAAGCGCTTGGCTCGTCGGATTCACTATTCGAAGTGCTTGGCTCGTCGGATTCACTCTTCGGAGTGCTTGGATCGTCGGATTCACTCTTCGAAGTGCTTGGATCGTCGGATTCACTCTTCGAAGTGCTTGGCTCGTCAGATTCCCTCTTCGAAGTGCTTGGCTCTTCGGATTCACTCTTCGAAGTGCTTGGATCGTCGGATTCACTCTTCGAAGTGCTTGGATCGTCGGATTCACTCTTCGAAGTGCTTGGCTCGTCAGATTCACTCTTCGAAGTGCTTGGCTCTTCGGATTCACTCTTCGAAGTGCTTGGCTCGTCGGATTCACTCTTCGAAGTGCTTGGCTCGTCGGATTTACTCTTCGAAGTGCTTGGCTCGTCGGATTCACTCTTCGAAGTGCTTGGCTCGTCGGATTCACTCTTCGAAGTGCTTGGCTCGTCGGATTCACTCTTCGAAGTGCTTGGCTCGTCGGATTCACTCTTCGAAGTGCTTGGCTCGTCGGATTCACTCTTCGAAGTGCTTGGCTCGTCGGATTCACTCTTCGAAGCGCTCGGCTGCTCAAAAAACTCCCCGGTTCCCTCGAAAGAAATGTATAACCTTGTCACGCCTTCTTTGAAAAAGCTGAGGCTTGCCTGAAGATCCTTTCTGGACAGACCGTCGAGTTTCGATTTGATATCGTCGATATCGCGAACAACAATCTGCCTGCATTGCGTATCAGTAAAGTCGCCTTCATCCAGCCTGGAAGCTGTGTAATCACGCAGTTTTGTGCATAGTATTCCGACTGTAGAATTCAGTATTCCACTAAGTATCGCAGACATATCTGCTTTGAGTATTGAGGAATAATTTCGCTTGCGTTATTTCATGAAATGTAAATTATGTAATTGATAGGGCAGGACAGGGCAAACCAATCTTTTTTTTTGTGACAGAATGATTTCACGTGACAGTTCATATTCCAGCAAATCTTATTAGCACAAAAACCCCGGCTAGCTCAATAAAACAAGCAATCTACTAGCGCAAACGAACAATTTCACTAGCGGCTGGCAATACACGTGTTTAAATACTACCAGCAATCATGCATGTTTCCACGAAATCACGTTTCCACGAAATCACGTTTCCACGAACGCGTGCAATAGTTCAATGTTTATTATATCATGTCAATGTTTATCTAAATATATCAAACTCTCATGTAAGGCGGCGCTACACTATGCAACCTTCCTTGCAAATTGCAATACAATTCTACTCCTGATGCATCAAAAGTTGTCAAATACGAACATTTCTTACGATGTGCTAACGTTTTCTTAGTATTTCGAAAACTGTGACTACGTCGCGCAAGGCAGTCAACCATATCTTACCTAAACGCTGGGTGAAAAAGTACTTTGGTTACTGGACTTCTATGACCAGTCAGCGTATATCTACAGAGAGAAACGATATGGATTTTAGACGATTTTCACCAGTAAATGGACATGTCAACAACATCGAACACAATGACAACAATGTGATGACTCCATATTGAACGCACGAGTTTATGTGATAATGCAAAAAACAGCAGGATTCTTATAAGTCTGAAGCCCTAACATCCAAATACTGAGAAGGCTAGCCACATTGCAACGCTGTAAACTTTATCATGTTTACAAAAATGTTTTTCAATTATAATACTAGCAACAATACCCTTCCAGGTGTTAGTGAAATGTATTAATTCTCTTCAATTGGGTCTTTTACTAATTATGGTATTGTTTGCGATAGCTATATTGGCTATATCCAGCATATTATCAGATCAGTGTTGCTATATCCAGCATATTATCAGATCAATGACTTAGATTGCTGCTCTACCAACTGAGCTGTTGAGGTAGATGGGATTGGTAACAAGTACTGTCCACCGAACTCTATGCGTACTGGCACAATGACACAATGGGTGAAGAAAACATAAGATTTGATCTTAAAACCCAGAAAGGGGAACAATTTTTTACATTCCCTGAATCTTTTAATCTCAATGGTTTGACAAATATCACCGTAATATTTTACTATTACATTTAAATAGGGGGATAACTAGATTTTCATTGGATTTCATTAGATCCTCCAGGATTGACGCCCTTGGACAATACATCAGTATAAGAAGTTGACATGCGCACTCACCTCTCAGGAGGTTTCGGAATCCAGTCAGCCGCAGATCGACTCTTTTTATTTCCACCTGAATAAAACCAGCAGTTAATAAAGTTTGTTAGAAGGAAAGTAGCCAAATAAAGACCACTTTGGCTTTACACTCTACGTTTTAAAGCTTTTGTGCAGGTTTTTTTGTGTCGACCAGCCCCTTCCCAATGGTAAAACAATTGACTTAAGAATAGACTGGTTGACATACAAGCAAACATGTTAAGAATTTCAAGCCCTGTTTGCACTACACTCAATTATTGGCAAGAAATAGCTAAAATAAATATGTACTGTAGTATGTGTACCAATTTTATCCATGCTCAGTCTTTGTATTTGCAGTCTGAGCATTGGTTAAATGAAGTAGTAGATATATATTAACTTAAGTATCAATTTTAGCCATATCAATAATATTGAGGTTTAAACTCCCCCAAAGTGAAATGTTGTTTCAGGCAGCAACTGGTAACATTTTATTTACTATACTTTTAAATTTAATTGTAAGTTGCATTGCAATCCACACATCTTGTCTACTTTAGTCTTTTATATTTATGGCAATGACCCCCAAAACAATTCAACTTTTCTTACCTCCAAAATGGACTTCCTTTTCAGCTTCAGCCAATTTCGTCTCTAATTCCATCACCTTTAAACAAACAGAATTCAGATAATTTTTACAAAGTACTTAAAACCGCATCTCAAAATAAGTTGCTCTGGCACAAACCTTTTTCTGTAGTCGAATAACCGAGATCCATTTTTTTTCAAGTAATCCAGAATATTTTTTGTCTATTTCCTCTGGCTGAAACACAAAAACATACATGAATATGTTTGCCACACATTTCTAACCAAAATATTCTTTGCTGTTACAGATTTTACAAATTACCAGATCTTAAATGCACAAAAAACATGTAATTGTGGTAAAAAGACCATGCAAGATAAGACATGGAAAACCTTGGAACAGGAAATTAGGAGGCATTCACTTGAGAAAATAGAGATTGACAAAATTCAAGATCACCATTTGACCATATCTTATGTCATCAACTCACCAAATTTGCATCATTTTTAAAAGCTTCTAAAGTTGTTGAGTATCCAGAGGATTGAAGATAGTCTGCAATTGCCTTGTGCCTGAAACAAAATATTCTCGTATAACATTTCTGTGATATGAAAGACCTCATGAAGGCAACTGTTTTTAATTTCAGGCTTGGTACTGTATATTACTTTGTTTAACTCAAGTAAATTTTATCAGTATGAAATATTTGCATACCTTTGAAAATATTTCATTTATATCATTAGACAGTTCTTTCCCACAAATATTAATCTGACAATGGCTATTACACAGGTTGATCACTTAAGGTAGTGGTCTGAATAAGTTTGTGAACCCTGAAATGCTTAAAGATAGATTAGGCTTGAACATGAAAATGATGTGGAAATGGCAAATATATGGCATGATTCTCCCATATATGTCATCATTGCCATGCTATTCATTAACCATTTTTATATCATCTTTGATGCTCCTATTCTCAAGCTGTATCTGCCTAATGGCATTGCAAAAAACATTGTTAAATTAAATACATCAATCTGGAAATTGTTGCTACAATCCTGCTTGATCAAGTAGAATGGGGACATTTGAAAATCCAAAGAGATGTGAAATGAACTCAATGAGTGGCATTTGCACCCTGATGTTCCACTCTTTCATTATTCACTTCTTCTAAAGCTAAGCAATTTCACTTGTGGAAGGGAAAGCGCTGGTGCATGTGAGATTAAATTCTTTAACAGAGAGATTAAGTTCTTTAACAATAATAAAATGCCAAAATGTCTTCAAAAACGGTTTATAGATGGACTCTATATTGAGCAATGTGCCACTATCAAGACCCAATAGACTGGATATATCGAACAAGCAAAGTTTCTCATTATATAGATTACAACATAATAAACATCTTAAACAGCTTCAGGCAAATTACCACTTGAACATGGGAACTCTAATCCTAATATTTAGTAACAAATCATTGGAGGCTTTTCACTTGAAAAAGTTGACTAGCATCACACACAATAACAAACTAAGTCCTGGACAAATGGTTTACAATTCAGAAAGTCAATAATCAAAGGCATTCTTGTTTTCTTGAATGTTCTCTGGACAAATAAGTCTTTTGCCACTTTATCATTTTGATCTTACATCACTTTCACATAAGTAATTGGAAGTTTGCAAATTCATTTGTAAAGTTCAAAGTTCACATATAAATACGGTAAAAAGTAATTCATAAGTTCGATTTGCGAACAGAAATTCGGATTAACTGCTGAAACAGTATTCAAATACTTTCTTCACAAAACTGTTGCTCAATTCTATATTTATATATGAACATGTGAACTTTGAACATTTTGGCAAAAAGTTGACCATAATAATCATAACATATAGGTCACTGACATGCATAATTGTTGGGCATTAAAAAAATAAATTGCCAGGGTATGATTACAACTTGTCAAGTGAATTTTAGCACATTTGAGTTGGAGATGTAATTATGGTGTCTGTCAAATGTCTGTGAATGGAGACTCACATGCAATATCTCAATATGAATTGGAAACCAAATATAAACTTTATGCACAAATCAATGTGTTGGTCTTCACAAAACCAGAAATTAAATATCGACTTTTCTCAGCAGCAAGCATCATCAACACAGGCAATACTTCAGGTCTGTTGATGTGTGTGCACACATTAGTAATCATTAACTTGTATGTACAGTACAAATTTACATATTTGTAATAAAACTTACAATTCCTCCTTTTGTCGCGGTGTCAGCACCATTTTTATAGAACCAAGCATACAATAAATTCCTTTACACTTCGGAGAATGCCACAAGCAGTCTCATCACGTCCTATATCAAAGCAAAACATGGCAAAATATATGCAAATAAAGACACATAGAATACCATCAATGACCTGCCCCCTTGCAAAACAGACTTGTCATCACTAATCAAGTTCATAAACTCGAGATAGGGAACAAATAGATGTATCGTTTACTGAAAATATAAATATCTTCACAACCCAGACCCGTTGTTGACTAAATATACACGAGATCGCGAAGGGCGGTAGCCAAAATATAGACAACCATATGATCGTTTGTTGTCAACGGCTTTTGATTGCACTCTAAATCTAACACCGTTTTATAAAACGCGCAGGCTTTTTCTACCCGTTATCGCATCTCAGACGAAGTATTATGAACCCTTTCGGCCATTTCTCCTCACCGGAAACCGTGCCAAAACACAACATATTCAGAAGTGGCCATTGGATAGTGCACTGGTAGGCCACTGCAGATCAAAACGTTGCTGGTTCAAGCCCGTTTTCATCTAATTCCCGACCGTTTTCGGCACGATTTGAGAGCACATATAATAGTTCATATATTTACCTTGACGTACACATCGTATTCATAGCTCAAGTGCAATTTCCTGGGCGAAATAATGAAAGAAATTCAATCAATTTTGCGACGAAAAATGAAAATATTTCAGAGACCGGTTTCATCAACGATGTCCTTCCCAGCAAGCCTCACGCCCACGCATGCGTGCAACAGGCAATCATGGCGGAACTACAGGGAACCCATTCGTTGATTACCGTGAATATGCGGTGTAATTAATTCTTCAGATGCTCTAAATTTTTCTCAGTCAAGATTTAACGTTGAAATAAAACGTTTAACTCTATTAAATGGATATAAAAATTATATAATGCTCCGCCCTTACCAACTAAGATCTGACTTGACCAGTCTAGTTTACCTGAGTAGATATTTAAATGAGAATGCTTCAATGATTTCATTCGCATCACAGCTACAAATTTTGGCTTCCATGCAACTAAAACCAATACTGAACTAACCCACCATAAATTCCAGAGATCCGAAGTAAAAGCCCTCTAGCATTTGTCCAGTGTTAGTACAGGTGTAAATGAAAAAAAATGCGTGCTTCTTCAGAGCAATTCAGTTTCCGTTGTAAAAATGGTGTAACAAATGTTGAACCACCTGTAAGGCTGTGTTTACAAAAACTAAAACTTGTCAAAGTTAATTCGACGTTTTATTGAACGTGAATGACAGTAATTGCAAACCAATGAAGCCACTAGTCAAAACATTTCGAAAGTCCAAAACGTAGCCAGGTTAAACTGCCTAAATTTTGTCCTTTCTTATAAGAAATTCCCAAAAAAAATTCGAAAGGAAAATGGGGATGAATTTCTTCTTTGTCTGCTGTTTCATCGTGTATAATTTCTTCCTTGCAAACAAATACAAACCAAACAGAATTCATATAAATCATACAAAAATTTCTATTCTATTCTTGCACTATTTACACGCATAACTAACACTGTTACTTTCATATTGAATCCTCTCATTCCACTGATAATGCCTCAGACTCAGTCTTTCATCGACCTCGAAGATAGCGGATGATTGATTGTGTTTTTTTACTCCTGCACACGAGCGTTTAACTATGAAACAACTTTTCCCCAGAGATCGAACATATTCTTTTTCCATCTTTGGGCCTTCGATGTAAAAATGTGGACATGGTATTCATAATATTTCTACAGGATATGCCGGTGTCAGCACTCAACTGGTTACTGATGAAGTTGTGTTAGATGTAAGAGGACAAATCGTACGTATGCAGGAAAGCATCGCTGGAGAACGGTGACATTCTCAAAAGACAGACGTGTCCACAGCTACACTTGCAATCGTGGGGATTGGATGATACAGCGGAATAGTGTTCAAAACATTCTCATTCAGCGTTGTAAAAATACCAGGTCTTGAAATCTTCATGTCTGCCTCCCTTAAAACCCGACTTGAAGTTTCAGATTCATCACCTGTTTCACAAGAGTTTGAATTTCATCTCCCCTGAAAGAGAAATGCAACAGTTGTTTTAAAAACTGTACGATGATTTAAAATGTAGGATGAATATAGAATCCCTTATTTTCTGGATAAAAAAATTGACGTACTCTTCTTTCAAAAGTTGATTTAGTTGTCGTTTATGACTCTCTGACAAGGCTTTCGCCTTTGGCGTCCATCCATCCTCATCTTTAGCTCCGAGGTATTTTCGTTTCTGTTGTAACTACAAGAAGAATGTGCATAGTTATCACTGAGATTTGTTTATTTGGTTGTTTCATGTTAAAAACGCAAGAAAAACACAAAATATCCAGATGAAAATAAGATTCCAGGAAAAGGAGGTCCATGTGGTTAATCATCACATTACATTCCCTTACCTGGTGAAAAGATTTTTTAAATGTTTGAATGTTTCGTTCCATTCTTTGTAGTTCCTCTTTCATTTCACCTTCAGCATGAGACAGCAATGGTTGTCTCCACTGAATAAACTCCAAAACACTCTCGATTCTAGAGTAAAAAGAAATAATCTTTCTTTTAAAACTTAAACTGCGGGGGGTTTTCCAAACATTTTGTTATATATCAACTACCAAATCACACAACTTCATCTCAATTTCATAATTCTTTCCTGTTTTTCAAAAAATATATCGTCAACGGAAATGATTGACATTATCAAGAAACACTTGGAAACATTGAAATGGTATTTGCATGCGAAGTTGTAAAACCTTTTTAAAATCAATTCCTGTCTGTCCTTCGTGTCTTCGTATCTTTCAGCCAACATTTCCATTCGCTCCTGCAAGGCTAGTTTCTCGTCGTCTAAACACTCAAGATCTTCCATTTGTTTCGTATTCTGTGTCCTCAAAATATCCAACCTATAGCCACAGGCAGAAAATAAAACTAATCACAGGACCAAGTGTTTGCGACAGACGTCACAGCCAACCTGAATCAGTTAAACCAATACCCACTTTTGGCGGCAAAACAGAAGCGATAACAATTAATATTTACGTGTCCACAAACTTGCCTTAACTCGATATTCTAGAAACGCTATAGACATCAAACTATACTTTCAAACTTTCCTATAGTTTTTTAACGATTTATAGTTCGCCTTATGCAGTTCGGTGTTTGGCATGATATGCTTGGCAGAAAAACACTGGAGGCCATTGTTGCTATTGTATAACGTGCCTTTGGAAACAAATCCAAAAAGGCCACGCAATATTAAAAAATGCTACCACTGATATAACGCGAGTTTTTTGCCGAATTCCTGCCGCCTTCCGGGCATGATTATTAGAAGGCGAATATCGGCAAAGTCGAGCAAGATTTGTGCTCACGATATGATCGTGTGTGTTGTTTTCACTTCACATGGACCTACGTCCGAAATTCTCTGCAAATTACAGGAAAATTGCCGTACGCACCTTCGTTCGATTTCCTTTTGTGCTAATTTCTGTCTATTTAAGTATTCTACACGAAATGTCTGGCTTGCAGCCGTCAGGAACTTATAACAATCCTTTGGAGCCAGATCTGTATTCTTTGACGAGCTTCTGAAGGAAAGAAACACGAAATATTTCGGTGAATTTCGCAAGTTTAATTCTACGAATTTCGACCGCTAAATACTGGCTAATTCCTTAGAGATATTGCTGGGAAAAATCCCATCAAAGCACAAGACAAAATCACGCTTAATAATGTCTTTAATTCTTTATTCTTTACCTTAACAGAGGATTCGAGGAATCTCGTCTTAAAAGCTGCTTGATGTGGTTTTCGAATTCCCCACCAGAGCTCAATCGTTCTTCGGATTCCACTTGCCTAAATGTTTAAAAAAATACAATGCCATTTTCGTGAACTTCGTGAAATTAAAAAGAGTTCTTAGTTCTTACGAGTGGGGAAGCTAAAACTACGAAAAGTTTTGGGCCATATGAAAAAGACGAAACAAGAGAAGAGGTAGCACAAGGTATAAGCTTACAAGCCAGGGGGCAGCACAAGGCATGCTAACAATGCTCCCCCTCCCCAACGGTACGCCCTGCCCCAAATAGAGCTGGTACTCCCATTCCCTCCCCAACGGTACGCCCTACCCCAAATAGAGCCAGTCCTCCCCTCCCCTCCCCAATGGTACGCCCTACCCCAAATAGAGCTGGTAATTCCCCCCCCCCCGACGGTATGCCCTACCCCAAATAGAGCTGGTACTTCCCTCCCCAACGGTACGCCCAACCCCAAATAGAGCTGGTACTCTTAATCTATCGGTTACCAAATATTCTTATTCAGATAAGAAATCGATTCAGACTCACTTGTTTTGTTCCTTCCCATCTGATGAATGAGGAGCAGGCGAAGAAGGGCGATTTAGAAATCTATCGAAAATAAATGAGGTTCAATAAAGATTGCAGTTTTCTCGTCTTCTCAGATAGCTTGTTCCTCAAAGCAATATTATGAAGCTAATGGCGAAACACCAGCAGATATTGATGAGGGAAAATAATGATAATTTTTCTTATTGTGACAAGTAGCTTTGTAATTGAAGGCAGGCGAAAAGAATGGAAAAATGTAGTTATAATTCTCTTGCTTTTGTAAGACCCAGGTCAAACGTCGGACGTCTCGTAAAAACAACAGATAATGAGGGATTTCAGGTTATTTATTGTTTTCAATTTTGATAAACTTATAGGGACACTGCTTATAGCTTCAAGATTATCTTTGTGACTTGACGCGCGACGTGTTTATTATACTCAAAAACAAGAAACAGCTTTCTTACTTGAGTGATTTAGTTATGCATTCCATGGCGTCCGTTAGAGCTACGACGGTCGGACCCAGTTCCCAATCGCTTACCACCGTGAAGCCGATAAGGTTGACGAAACTAAACAAAATATATGAAAGTATATAAAAAAAAACTTTCACCTCAATGCCAAACTCCAGAGAATCCCGATTCATGTGAAGATACGAAAGTTATTCACATATTCAAACCAGGTGAACTCAATAATTTGTGAACAAACTATTCATTACCTTGATGGGACAGGATTTGTACAAATAAGATGCTGAACTATCCCGGTTTCGTTCGGATCAAAGCTGACCACTTGATCCGCTTCTGAAAAGCAAAACAGAGCACGAAACTTCAAACGCCCGTCCAGATATTTCACGAATGAATGACACTTTAAAGGTTTTCCTACCATTACAGAAGCGTTGTAGATTTCGTAACCACGGGAGAGTGACCGTATGAACACCGGCCGGGTGATAGCAATGGTAACGATTGCTCGAAGAATTGTCTGAATAATTGTAGGAAGAATAATTATGTTTTCGTAAAGATTTTGTGATGGTCTTCATACGAGAAAATCAAGCTCAAATGCTTGAGGAATTTTCAAAACGAAAACTACCTTTGAAAAGTTTCACTGTATAAGATTCGTCCTTGTTATCGACAGCTTCTCTCTCAAACTTTTCAGCGTCCTCAAAGCTCTTTTCTTTCTCAGAGTTTGCAGAGAGAGCAAGCTCCATACACTCGTAAACATAAAGCGATTGCTTCGTGGATGATTGAGAGAATACGCTTTCATCGCGACTAGACACACCGTCGCTTACGTCCTAAATGAAAAAACAGCATGCGAAAAAACTATGTCAAAATTACCTCATGAAAATGCAAAATTTTCCTAAAGTCATCAAATGTGGCATAACAATTGTCTGTAAAGGCAAAAAGACTAAACGAGTTCTCGTTTGTTTTAGAAACGTTGTTATACCATAGATAATATGAAGAAGTTATTTGAGGACTCCACGATATAAGAAGGCCACGGTGCTTCTTCGTTCTCACGATCCAATTTTTTGTCGGATCTAACTTCTGATGGATGTTTTATAGTCTCTTGCCTTGCAATACATACGGGCAGCAAATCAACTAAAACCAATGCAGTACTAATATAACGGCGTGGCAGCGTCTTCAAACAACTTAGCATCAAATGTGGTATAACAAAATAGACAAAGCACTTCTCGACGTTTCGACCTGAGGGCCTTCGTCAGGAGAGTTAGTATGAGTTAGTCATACTAACTCTTCTGACGAAGGCCCTCAGGTCGAAACGTCGAGAAGTGTTTTGTCTAATTTAGGCAGTTGTTATACCACATTCAATGCAGTACTGCTTTATCAATAATAAACTACATTCCATACGTCAGAAGTGAATTGAAATTAGATCAACAAAATTGGATCGTGTGAACCGACTTTCTGATAAACTTACAAATGGTCTGCTGAAGACGTCTTCTTCCTCGGAATCCAGCACAATGCAATGGTAGATCACACCACCGCTGGTTGTTATGGCAACAACAACAGGGTTTGTCGGGAAACATATGAGGGAACAGGAATCCACACCATAATTGTCCTCAGCTGGAGGGTACATTGGTAGACATCCTTGGAGTTCATAAAGAAATCTAAAAATATAACATTGTCTTGCATTTCAATTAACTCATAATCTACCTAAATGAACAGATAAAAATAGCAAGCAAAACACAATACCAACTACTATTAAACACAGGACCATTGTTAGAAGTTTAGCTGAGGGCTGCATATTCATATATTTGTCTGATGCCTGACTGATTTCGTTTAAAAGCAATGGTTTCTAAATATGGTTCTCAAGGCATCTATTGGCAGCCATAAGTTTTTGCAGGTGAACATTAAAAAAGTTTATTTCTTGCCCAACTGTCAGGTAACTCACCTGTTTCCTGACAAAGTCATCAACATATACAACACATCGCCATTTTCACGCAGAAGAAATACTGGGTGTACAACACTGTCTCTGGTGACAGGTGTTCTCTTGCTAAACAACTCAGAGCTCACAACCCCAGCAAAATCAAAAGAGATGACGATTTCCCCAAAGGCTTCTGCAAATGTTGCTTTTCCTGGCGAGCAAAGGCTTTGGTTGGCTGGAACTGAGCCAACACTGATTAAAACCAGTGGACTGCGAGGTTTGGTGATGTCGTAAACCCTGGGAAATAGGATAGAGACATATTCAATGAATTTTGTTTGGAAATAATATGAACAAAATGACTACTAAACAAAACAGATGTTCTACATTAAGGCCCGCTTGAAAGATACAATTAGTTGTTAAAGATTCTCATTATGACATTATGAACAAATAAACATGAATACAAATATCAAGGCCTTGGAATTGGTGGAAATCTAGGTGGGAAAAGGCTTGCAAGGCTGCTCCAATACCTCTGGTACAAACATAATCGAAAAATATTCCTACTATCTTGTATTTTTAAGCTTGTAGCAACGTTGTTATTATATCATAGCCGTATCAGACTTGTCAGAACAAACTTGTAACAAGTCTGATAATACCACTAGCATACAACTCATCATATTTGATAAAAAAATTAGTCATAAAACAACATGAAAAATAAACTACCTCATTTGGTTATCCGAAGTTAATACAACAATATGGGTATCATTGATTGAACCAGGGAACCATTTTGCTTCAAATATTGTGATTGATTGATGACATGTGTAGAAATGCTCATCCACATTAGTTGATCTATGAACAACAAAATAGGTTTATAGCACAATTAGGCAATGAAACTAATTTCACCGAAGATCTGTACGTTCTCTAAATCTTACAGTGTATAATCAAAGTTCATCTTTCTCGTCAGTGAACAGTTCTGCTAGTTAGTATTTACCTATTTGTCAGAACTTTAAAAGGCATATACAGAAATGTCAGAAGGTTAACGAAATGGTAAGAACCTGCAATTTATTTTGTCTTTTCCATGTTCGTACTGCGTGAACTTTCCTCGTTTCTGCGGCACTTCAACAGCACAGATACCATGTTGACCAATCAGGGCAAGGTACACCCCACTCTCGCTGAATACCATCTTATTGACGTTAAACAAAGGAGGACTGGTGCAAAGGAATGTCTGAAATGTAGTCACAATACGAGAAATAGTCACTATGGGAGAAACCCTAGCTACAAAGTACATGAATCAGTGCACTCAATTAAGTACCAAAGTTATTTGCTAATACTTTACTCGCTGACGACATATGCTTACCCATTCAAACAAAATTATGAAAATTTGTCTTTGGGTATGTTTAAACTAATGGATTTGTACTTAATTGTTAAAAAATGCAAGTGAAATCTACACACTCCTGGCTGGTAGTACCCTTACTACATGACCAACCCATTATGGTACAATTATAGAATACCAGGCCATTATAGGGTTGCATTTGCTTTATACACATTACAACTGATTCCTGTTAGGAGTCGGACTGGCAAGGTATTCTAGAATTGCTCCTCCCTTAGTTTGCATTTGATGCACAACTTTCGGGACTCCTTTCTTTCACTATGTCAACTATGCTTATGCAGAAACTGCAGAAGGGCCTGAATTTACGGACAATTTTATACTATTATTATAACCAAAAATCAATTCAAATCCGATTGAATGCACCCCAATTTTGTACATAATAAATCCTCAACTGGCTTTAAATCTAAAATACACCTTCTTAATAACCTATTTTAATTCAAATGTACACTTGTTAATTATTGAATGTACGCCATCATCGACTCTGTAGTTTGTACATTGTACAAAGGCACACAGCAAATATGAAATATTTGGCGTATTTTCCTCCAGCAGGAAAGTCTAAACCTGCCCTCCAACAATGCTCTTATCCCATCGTACCTGTAGCTTTGAGGACCGCTCATTCTTTGCCTTTAAATTCTTCAGATTAGCCACATTTATCTGCTTCTTTCTATCGTCCCAAAGAAATAAATCGCCATGGATCTCTGCAAGAATATTCTTATCAAGAATTGTCTCATCTTCCGGGAATTTCGCATGATTTTCAAACGTTTTAAAGATGGCATGATTTGGAAGAAAGGATTCCCAGCTCAAACGACTTTTGTCCGCATTTGAGGGAAAATTATTTGACATATTTCGAAGCGAAAGTGCTTTCGCCTCCGCCATATTGGAAGCGGTAAAGCGAATACTTTATGTAAACATAAACATTGAAAGAATTCAAGGATATGGTCTTCCATTGGTTACCTTACGAGTGATATCATTGGCTAACGGCTTTGCTTTTCGCATTCAAACTTTCTCCCTATTGGTTACTTTATAGCCTTGCTATTGGCTAACAGCGCTTGCTTACGACAACCTGTGTGTTTCATATATTTTCCCTCTTTCATTGAAAAATAATAAAGGGAAACAAGAATAGGCCTTCATTTCACACCAAATGTATCACGTAAAAATATTCCATTCAGTCGATATATATTGAATTCGTCATTTCGAGAAATTGGAGCTAGAAAAAAGGGTAAATGTATTTTCCCCTGGTTAGTGATTTTCTTTTCGAGCTGAAGGCAGAAAGTATATTTAGTTTTTCGAAAGGAAAAGTCAGAGACAATCGGTCAAAATCAGTTATAAAGCATGCATGAGGAACGAGGCATTCCCCAGAAATCCATCCACATCGGAATTACCAATGGCTACCGAATAACTGGCGCCAAAAAAATCCGGCCCTTTCAAGAAACTCGCTTTCAGGCCAGCGTAAACACATTTCGAACTATTACGATAACGTATAGTTTATTATTATCACCTAAAATACATTCAATGTTGATTGCCTTAAAAACTAACATTACAATATTATTGTCAAGAGCGTTGAAGCATTTTATTAGGGCTTTGAAATAAGTATGCAGATATAGTCAATGATTCCTAATTTGTCCTATATGGCCACCTAACAGGCAACAGTTTTTTTATTCCTCTGTATCCTTGCTTTCAAAATATGTGTTCGACCATCTTCGTTGCCGCAGTTGATTGCTTTGATATTCTTTTTGTTTCATTCTGAGGTCATTGCATTCAGTCTCGATCGCTTTGCAGTAGGCCAGACGCTGGAAAAAGACGAACACATGGAAATAATTAGGTCGCGAACAAAGGAAGCCACAAAAAATAAGCAGCTTTCGACCGTGGAGGGGGAAAACCGCAGTCGCCAGCCTCAGACGAAACCTCGGGTTTGATTTAATAAAATCCCTGAATTCATTATCATGACGTCGTTTCTTCTTTTCATAACACGACCGACCTTTCTATAAGTTGAGAATCTTTGATACATGTTATCTTTGACACTGAGAACGAAGCTTCAACGTGAATTATTTCATATCTTTAAACGTATTCTTTATCATGATGTATACAACTTTTAATCCGGAAAAATATGTGATAAGATCAAATCTTTATTTCTCATTTCGAAGAGTTTTTGTTTAGATGTTTCCCTCTCATTCTTATAACACTCACGTTTGGCCGCAAAAACTCTCATAATTCACGGTTACACGTCAAGGCAGGTGATATTAAAGTCCATCGTTCAATAAAAAAAGTATAAAATTATACTTTTACACGCTGCACAAAGGTTCCTAATTTAAGGATCTCTCGTTGCTGTGCCGGGAACAGTATATTAATTGAAATTGTTGACTGAAACGGTCTATAGTTTTATTATTGAAAATTTTAAATCAAGATGATGTAGCTATGTACGATCATAAATTTAGATTAGATGATCGGGCCACAAGGATCCAAATTTAACAGGACACGTTCAATTAATTGAAGCCGAATTTTCGACTATTTGTATACATGCTTCCCGGAGGAGGGCTCATGCAGTTGGCGTTATACGGTTCATTTATGTAATTTGCGGACGCGAATATTTTAGCGGTTCTCGCGGCTAGCTAAATATAAACATCAGAATATTGTCATGTTTGCTCACAACGTATAGTAATAAAATAGGGGTGGAAACGGTTTCTAAATATTGATCCGTTTAATCAGTAATAGGTTATATCTCTGACAGTTTAATAACAAGATTGTTTTAACAATTTAGCGAGCGTCCTTCGTTTTTGAAAAATGCATGGAAATGTTAAGCAATCTCGAAGTATAAGCTTTATATACACAGCCTTGTTTTTTACATGAAGTTCTACTTAATTTCTATAGTCAAGCGCAGGTATATTAGAAATTGATAAGATTCTTATCATCATCGGACCAGTATAACAAAAACACGGGGAGATTTTATCACTCACATATGTCCCGTTCTTCCCTCACAAGTATGCCTCTGTTTTATCGAGAGTTACTCCTAACTAGTGCACAAATGAAGAAAACTATAGTTTTAGAAAAGAAAAGTATGCTTAGAGCTAGCGAAACTATGATGGATTCGACGAGACATGGGAGATTAAACCCCGATGATTGGCGATGTATAACAATCGGTCAAGATAGATTGAGCTAGCCAGACTGTCTTCGTACAACGTCGCCGTTGGCTGTAAGCCTGTCAATATGGCTGGTTTGGCTTTGAAAATTAAAAATAGAAATTGATAAGCCTGATTTTCATTAACTTTTGTACTCTATTCTTCGAGATTTTCGGCAAAAATTTAGGAAACAACATACTGACGGTTTAATGATAGGATGTGTAAGTTGCACTTCTTTTGTAAAATCATGCAGTTCGTATTCGTACGAGTATTCCTAAATAAAGTGGACTTAAACCCTCGTATGGAGAAATAAAGGTTAAAATGATTGAATTCAAGGAACAGGTTGAATTTTAAAGCTTTTTTCGCTGCAAATTAGAAAAACAGTTTCACGCGTGTACATGAAACTAAGGCAATGGAGACTGAAACTGATATTTTTCAGTACAAAACAATTTACCTTTTCAAAACTTCTTCGGCCTTTTACAATTCCTGCACCGGCTGAAAATCCTTGAGAATCGTGAAGCACACATAGGATTGCAAATAGGACAACGAAAGCGGTGAAATAGGTCTTCATTTTTTTTAATTATCTTTCTCTTCACTTTCTGAAATACGTCTCCAGTGGTTTTGAACAGTTTGATAGCACCGTGGTGTTCGCTCTGAATGTGTTGTGGTAGATTAACAAATCCTTGTTTATATATACCCTGAACTGCCCGGTTCATTATTCATGAGGTTCGATTTTTTACACAGGATTTCAAGGCGGTCCGTTTGCCCCACTTAGGACATTGTTTGCAACGCCTGTGCGAATAATAGATTGGAAAATTAGTGAGAATTAAAATGGCCGCCGGCTTATATTGAGTAAAACGTACAATGCATGAATTTACCTCGGCACCTGCCGTTTTGTAAAATCCCATAGATGGTGGGGTTGTATCCGCCGTTGAAATTGATATTTCAGTTTGAAAGCAAGAAAAAAACACTTCCTCTTTTCAACATCATTGCCCCCGCGTCAGTTAAATGCCAAAAGTGACAACTTATTAATATTTCTCATCTTCGATATTCAAATAACAATTTGAAAGCTATAAGCGTTTGTAATTTTCAAATTAAACTGACACTGCACTTAATCGCTTTTCACAACCCCAAGTGTACATTTAATTAACGACTTCGGGATTTGAATGTCTTGAATTCATAAATAACATGTTGTTAATATTCGACGTTCACTCGCTTGACGCGTAGCGTGGCTTTGTGTATTGCTGTTTAATATATAAACACGCAAAAATGGATTAAAATAAACAGTTGAAAGGGAGGATTTTTTGCTGTAAGTTTTTCATTGTGGTTTCGTAATGAAAAAGCTTTACAGAACCTACACAAGCAGGTGAAATGCTCACAGTCATATGAGGCTAAATTACACTCAATTTGAGTTTTCAAATGCATGTCATTGAAAATTGCCACATTAACCAATGACGAATTTTATTTACTCTATGTGTATATCTGTTCTCTAAAGTACGTGTCATTTTCTGTTCGCGGGAAAACAGAGATAACTACTCACGTTGATATTTTTATGTATTTTTAACGAATATATTATCCAATGTTTTCAAATCAAATTTCATTCAGCCTACGTGGGTGCGCGCTCGTCAAAGCCGAGGTAAATTGCACGGGAAAAACTTCAGTAATTTCTTTCATTTTATCCCAGATTGAAAGCAGTTTCGCGGAAATTACCCCGACAATTTCAACACATACAAAAGATAACAGAAATTGGATAAGCTGGAGATAGCCACACGCACTTCCTGAAATAACAAATTGCGAGCAAATTATCCGCGCATTCCGCTTGCGACACGGCTTAATTGTTGAAGCAATGTTTCCGAACAAACGAGAACATCAAATGGGCGTTTCATCATTTCCTGATTAAACGCCAATTCACCATAGTTGCTTGATGTTTCGTATATGTATTCTGCCTTACTAGAATGTACATATATACATATATAGATGAACTTAGCATCAAATGCATGTGGTATAACAACTGCCTAAAATAGACAAAACACTTCTCGACGTTTCGACCTGAGGGCCTTCGTCTGGAGAGTTAGTATGAAAATAATAACTCTCCTGACGAAGGCCCTCAGGTCGAAACATAGAGAAGTGTTTTGTCTATTTTAGGCAGTTGTAATACCACATTTGATGTTGTTTGAAGACGCTGCCACGCTACTCCCTGGTTATATTGGAACTTATAAATAGATGAAAGTTGATTACTTGTGGTTGTATGCGTACGTTCATGAAGACGGGCGCCCCAAGCATTTAAAAATAGGTTCGAAAAATTCGCGCCAGTTAATCAGAAAAGTGAAATTCACTTTGAAAGCCAGCTAGATTTTAATAAGCAAACCGCGGGCAGACATCCTCATAACAAACTGGAGACATAATTCTGTTATACCTGTCTGAAAACTCATCAAAAGGCCAACCATAAGGCCCACTCAGTGATATTTGAAAACGAACAACATCTTACAAGGTGGCCCCACTGGTTTTGGCTAACCTTAGTTTAATTGCGCGGACGTGACGATGCAAAAAAAGCGATATGGATTTTCAAATAGGGTTAGTTAGTCTGGCTTGTGGTCTGTTTAGTTTACAAATTTCTAATCATGCATATAGTTTCGTATGATTTAAAGGTATTTGAAATGTGACTTTCAAAACACTTTGAACTGATGTTTAAGGTTCCCTGATTAAAATACAGTTTTTTAAACAAAAACATGCATTTATACATGCACCCCAGATCATTCAACCCACTTAATAACGTGGGCCTTATTCATATCCTACACCTTCACGTGATTCGTGCACATAACGTGTTTAACATTGCCAATATAAACACCGACTGTTAAGATAAGTTAGTTCTCATAACCTTGCAATGCCTACGCCGGGAAAACCATGCACGTAGCTTTATTTGCAAAACAGTTTCAAATCCACACTCCTATTAAATGGAATGTGCTTTCCATTAATCTACTGAATTGGCAAATATGTTGCCGAGTTTCTGACAACGGACCAAGCTTAGTTTACACACTATAGATCCTAAGTGTCGGGGAGCAATTGTATCTTTTCCCGATAGACAAATTTCTAGCCAGATTCTTAGGAAAGGTTAAGGGGAAGATTCAAAGATGCATGTGTTAAACAAGCTTATATAACTCTTGGTCAACTGCGCTCTATCGGAAACCGCAATCTCAGAAACATAAAAAACAAGTCCAACCGGGTACTGACAACATTGTTATAAAATATAGAAATATCAATTAATTTCATGCCGCATGTATTATCTTACCTCCCGTGGACACAAACTGTTTTCAACAAGACGACTGGATGGTCTGGTTTAATTATCACAGCGTTCTTTTGATATAGTTAAACGACGACAGTTGCATGTATAGACAGTTTATTACAATGCATATCCATAAAATCGTCCCGCGAAAATATTGAACATGCATATATATGGGTTTTTTCTTCTTCAAGCTTATGACTGATAATGTATAGATTATTCCAAAGGTCCCTACGTGAGATGAAGCAGACATATTGATCCAGCATAAACTATATACAAGGAGGTTCCTGAACTACAGTGACATGCATTCATTTAAACTGCATGCCGATTTAAACTGTTCGTCCTAGAGGTCTAATATAAGGATCATCTCCTCTTATTGATCCAGTGTTACTACAGGAGGAAACCTAAACTAAACTAACTTTATTTATACTGGATAGCTCTATCAGTTCTAAACTGTTCTTCCTAGAGGTCCAGTAAGGGTCATCTCTTATTGATCCAGTGTTACTACAGGAGGAAACCTAAACTAAACTAACTTTATTTATACTGGATAGCTCTATCAGTTCTAAACTGTTCTTTCTAGAGGTCCAGTAAGGATCATCTCTTATTGATCCAGTGTTACTATACAGGAGGAAACTTAAACTAAAATAACTTTATTTATACTTGATAGAGTTCCGGTAAGATCGTTTCCTATAGATCCAAAGCTATTCAAATTAAATTCTTTATATATAATGCACGCTTAATTTTTTTTCAGCTTATCTATAATCCATCCCCATTAATATAACGACCGCGTCCACGCGAATTACTGACAAATGTGAATATACGATTTAGGCTAAGGTAGACAAACAACGTTTATCATACACTTTACAGTATATATATATTAAACTGAAATACAAGACAATGTTCCTTCTTTCATAACGTTTTATATACGTTTTTAACGATTCTCAGACTCCATCCTTACGACAGCCTTATTTATAAGCCGATTGTTTTAATTCCTTACGTGTTATTTCTTTTTTATATCTTTTTCAATTTTTCTGCCTGCTTATAATCTTTGTCAACAGTCTTACAGGAGTCACGTTTTCATATATATCAGCCTTTGAGACGTCCAAGTTTTAATTCCAAGTTTAAAGACTTATTTAAACACTAACAGACGCGGACACGGAATATTCATTATAGAAGTTTCAATGTTAGTAAATATTGTTTATTCACTGTTGTTTTATCATATTCATTTCACTGTTGTATTGTTATTTATTTAGCTTCTGTTTGGATTGTGTTTTTGTTAATTATATCTAAGGTCAACAAATATACCTTCACTTTGTTCATAGTACACAAAAAGGGAAGAGCTGTCACCTCTATAAGAGTTCATTGAAAATAATCCTTTATCCTAGCTGCAATATATTAAAGTCTATACTTTAGGTCCTATTTTGGATGTAATTATACAATGCAACGATGAATAAGAGACAATTCTTGCGAAACCTCTCGGAATAACTGTTAGAACTTGAACAGTTCTAGAAAGGAACCGAGAGGTCTCGCAAGAATATTCTCTTATTCATCCGTGCATTGTATAATTACATTCAAAATAGGACTTAAAATATAGACTTTATTTATACGGAATATATGTAATATAATTTGAACTGTCAGAGTGAAATTTATAGGCTGCCTCGTGTAACGTTGGATCAATAAGAGATGAACCTTACTGCGGGACCTCTAGGAAAAACGGTTTAGAACTGATAGAACTATCCAGTATAAATAAAGTTAGTTTAGTTTACGTTTCCTCCTGTAGTAACACTGGATCAATAAGAGATGATCCTTATATACTGGACCTCTAGGAACAACAATTCAGAACTGATAGAGCTATCCACTATAAATAAAGTTAGTTCAGTTTAGATTTCCTCCTGTAGTAAGTTAGTAACACTGGATCAGAGGTCAGTTTTAAACTGATCTTCTCCAAAGTATAGTGCATCAACAACGCTCATATTCCACTAATTTCTAACTGGTAAAAATATCACTTTTCGGAGGGAACATTGCCCGATCGGATCTTCTATTGCGATCATCGAAGCGTGACAAACTTGTAAAGATTTAGTGTATGACTAATATCAGATCGATCAAATTGCAGTTTTGTGGTAAAGAAACATTTTATCATAACTGAAAAGCACAACAGAAAAAGGTAACATTAAAAAAGTATATATCCTTTTCTGAACGCTAATTTCAAGTGTTTAAAATACTTTGTTTGGTCCAACTCTTGTCACTGATGATCAATTTGTATATCCTTTTGTAGTACGAAATGATGTATTACAATTCCAATAAATAACCTCTTCAATTTGAATTATTTTTGAAGTTTAATGATCGATCGGCCAAAGCGAATGTATTTTAATTTTAAAAGTAAATGCAATATGTTTAAAACGTTTTATTTGTGGTAATCGTTTGAACAGGTACCGTGAATAAAATACTCTATAGTCTATTATTCCGGTACTCTTGAACAATACAAGGGGAATAAACACAGAATTAGGTAGTAATGACTTCTTTTAGGTACGGCGCGCGCAGTATGAAACACAACTAAATAAATAATATTTCTACTAACAGCTTTGTCATTTCCAAACTAATCTCCCTAGAGATCCGGTAAAGATCATCTTTCATAAATGCAGTGTTACTACAGGAGGGAACCTAAACTAAACTAACTTTATTCATACTGGATAGCTCTATCAGTTCTAAACTGTTGTTCCTGAAAAGGTCCGTTAAGGATCATCTCTTATTGATCCAGTATTACTACAGGAGGAAACCTAAACTAAACTAATTTTATTTATACTGGATAGCTCTATCAGTTCTCAACTGTTCTTCCCAGTGGTGCAGTAAGGATCATATTTTATTGATCCATTGTTGTATACAAACCGGCTCTTTAGGAGATTAACGACTACCTTTGGCTTTGTATTACAGGAATGCAGGCAATAATCATACTTGTAGCTATTCTACAGCTACTTCAAGGTACGGTTTCGTGAGAACTAAATGGCCCATGTTGCACGTTAAGTGAACAGTGTGCAAAAGGACTACACGTTGACGTAGTTTGCGGACGGCGCATGTTTCTGATTGGCCAATACGCCCACGGTAAACCAATCAGGAACACGCTCGATCTATCCGCACTACGTTACAACGCAGACTTTTTATAAAGATCTATAGTGTAATTCACAATCAGCTTAGCATCATATGGGTTAACTTTGTTAAAACTTCGCAATATACATTTACAGGTGATGTGAAATGCTTGGGTATGGCGGGCCCAAGTCAAATAGATTTAGAGTCAGGTAAGTTCTGCATGGAAATGACAAGATTAGATCGATTAAATTGGTATTTTAAACACGGTGAATTATTCAAAATTTCATGCAAAGAACTCAGTTCGAATAACAAATTTCTCATTTCTTGGCCGTGGGAATGACAATTCTACATATGCGTCACATTACTGTTGGGGTGAGCATAGAAACTTGGAACTATTCCGACAGGCACTACCTTCCACTAACTGAGCGTCCACAATTTTTTGCGCAGAGAAAGCAGTAACGATATGTACCTCACAGAAGCGTTCGCTGACGTGCGGCTCGCCTGGGTCGAGTATTGCAATCACTGATGTATTCTGGGGCAGACAATCCCGGGACATTTGCCCCTCGGACGATGGAGATGAACACGTGGACTGCGGGGGAGCGAAGGAGACCCCAGGGATAGTGAGGGGTATGTGCGAAGGAAAAGCCGCTTGCCAACTGGAAGCGAAGCACAAGCTGCTGCAGAATCCGGAATCTCGTCATTGTCCAGGTAATGAATATAGCTCATACAACTTTGTCGTTCGCGCTGTTTTGCAGTCATGCAAGACGCGTGGTTTCATGTGTTTTTCAGACATTTCTAAACTATTTCCCATATCTCAGGAGTTAACAAATACTTGAAAGTGAGCTACACTTGTGTACCCGATGCAAAAGAGGTGACAGTTTGTGACGGAGAGCAAACGACGCTGAAATGTCCAGCATCGTTTAAAACCTTTGTGAACTCTGTATTCTGGGGCAGGCAGTCGGTGTCCGTGTGCCCGGCGGACAATGGTCTCTCAATGTGCACTGGAGCGAGCGAAAGTCTGGATATGTTAAGAAAGAAATGCGACGCGAGCGATAAATGCGACATCACGGCGTCGTTCCACGAGGTGCAAAACGGTGCTGAAAACTGTCCTGGAATACAGAAATATTTGATTGTGAACTACAGCTGCAAGCCTGCTGGAACAAAAGGTGGGTAAAGGCGGTTCAAATTCGCACAAATGAAAAGAAAATAAGGCGAAAATTTTCGTACGAAAATTCTGTCAGGTGGAAAGGCTTTCAGCTGCCAATAAGCAACTTTCATCGAGCCATTTTAGACCAAAAAAGTTATGACTAGCTTGGATTTGTATTCTAATTTTCCCATTACAGCTTTTTTTACTGGAAGCGACAGATGTAAATATTCGATGCCTCGACGTAGCAAGTTGCCAAAAAACCTAAGACCAGCCATGCGAACGTTTCGCCTGCATGTTGTGGGCTCTCCGCCTTTGCCTAAGAGGCTTAAAACGTTTCATTTATGTAGTTGATGACGACGACAAGGAAGAAGATGATGATGACGACGACGATGATGACGACAGCGACGACAAACTGACCAAACCTCCCCCCATCAGGGGAGAAAATGTTCAGCTCACGAACGTAGAAAATAATCGCCTGGGAACGGGGGGATTGAAGGCCTTGGAGAAGGTTAATACCTTGATCAAGCAATCTGATGGCGGTCACCTGACGGACGATCAGGAAAAGGCAATTGAAAGAATGATTATTGGAGGATTGGAGGATACACAGAAGAAGAATGTGGATGTCAAGGTAAGGAGAACGGGTGGTAATTTTGCTTAGCGTGGTACAAATTGGGATGGCGAAAGTGGAATAATTGTTGACAAGCGTTACAGGCATTGAGGAAGGTTGAAACAGAAACACTGAATAAAACATTGCAAAGCAGTAAGTTCTAGACTAGTCAGGCTAGTATTAGTAGCAACACTCAGCACTCAGTCAGACTAGCAATACTGCAATGATCAACTGACATTGAGGAAGGTTGAAAGTGTAACACTGAATAAAACATTGCAAAGCAGTAAGTACTAGACTACTCAGGCTAGTATTAGTAGCAACAGTCAACACTCAGTCAGACTAGCAGTACTGCAATGATCAACTGACATTGAGGAAGGTTGAAAGTGAAACACTGAATAGAACATTGCAAAGCATTAAGTACTAGACTAGTCAGGCTAGTATTAGTAGCAACAGTCATCACTCAGTCAGACTAGTAGTACTGCAATGATCAACTGACATTGAGGAAGGTTGAAAGTGAAACACTGAATAGAACATTGCAAAGCATTAAGTACTAGACTAGTCAGGCTAGTATTAGTAGCAACAGTCATCACTCAGTCAGACTAGCAGTACTGCAATGATCAACTGACATTGAGGAAGGTTGAAAGTGAAACACTGAATAGAACATTGCAAAGCATTAAGTACTAGACTAGTCAGGCTAGTATTAGTAACAACAGTCATCACTCAGTCAGACTAGCAGTACTGCAATGATCAACTGACATTGAGGAAGGTTGAAAGTGAAACACTGAATAGAACATTGCAAAGCATTAAGTACTAGACTAGTCAGGCTAGTATTAGTAACAACAGTCATCACTCAGTCAGACTAGCAGTACTGCAATGATCAACTGACATTGAGGAAGGTTGAAAGTGAAACACTGAATAAAACATTGCAAAGCAGTAAGTACTAGACTAGTCAGGCTAGTATTAGTAGCAACAGTCATCACTCAGTCAGACTAGCAGTACTGCAATGAACACAAACTTTCCCACGTGATAAACCATTGCAATAGATGATTATTTCTGTATCAACAGGGCTCAACGAGAGCGGCCATTCCGAAGGCACACAAGGGTAAACCAAGCGGCGAAATGAATAACCAGATTGTCGAGTTGGCAAAATTGGTGGACGAAGCAACATCAAGAATAAACTACAAGAAAGCTGCCGTTGCCAGGCCACAAGCAAAGCCAGGATATCAAACCCCGGCAGTTGGAACCATGATGCGTAAGTATACTGTTAAATCAGCAAGTACATAGAATGCATCTGGTTACATTTCCAGTTAAGTAGAAACTATTCGACCATTTGAACTGCCAAAACGTCTGCCTTAGACAAGAAAAAATACTTAAGTCACGCACATCGACAGGTATTACCTAGCTCATGAGTTAACCAGTAATCCTTCCCTATCATCAAATAGGACAAAGGACATGCATGCAATATTAAACAAGCTTTGTTGGACGTTGTTATATCTTCTTTATTTCTTTCTTTTCCAGGTAACAGAGCGATGAAAAGGCTCAATGTACCACATCCGAAGATGCCTAAGTTTCAACCTCAACCAGCAGCAATAAACAAAGCCAATAACGCAGTGAGAGTTCAAAGAACCAACGTTCCAAAACCAAAGAAGGACAACCAGAATGCGAAGAAAAGTTTGATTTACGGAAAAATCATGCCCAACACCAAGCCATAACTTGTTTTGAACTTTAGAAACTTTATAAAAACGAAATGCATGTCGGTGATCGCTATCTGGTGCAAGTATTTAAAGCCTTTCTGATACTTGTGTCGGATGGGAACAAATATGTTGAAGCATTGATTACAAAGGTTTTGGGGGGAAATTCATGGATTTCTACCCGATCAAACGCTCTGGGGTCACATTTGAAATTGGGCATGAGTAAATCTCGCGATTAGGATCAGGTAGGATCACAGCAAGGATCAGCTAGGGTCACAGCAAGGATCAGCTATGATCACAGCAAAGATCAGTTAGGATCACAGCAAGGATCACAGTAAGGATCAACTAGGGTCACAGCAAGAATCCTGCTAAGATCACAGCGACATTCACATTTAAGACTAGGCCGATACAAACATAAAGTGGGAACTCATTGCATCCAGTTTCTATCATCATTCCAACTGGTTCCAAAGCCCATTTCCCTCGAAGCACAGTGGTATTCCACTGTAAGTGGTATTTCATTCATTTTTCTTTTAACGGTGAACGATTGTATATAGTGGATGTATTCAGTATTTTGTATTTCTGCCTGAAGCTGGGGGAACAGTCGTTTTTATTAAATTATTTTTAAACATCATGAATAGAAGTGTCGAATGTAGGTGTGGTAGGTCGATTCGATTCACTAACAACTAACAATTTGCGAGCGAAATTGATGCATGTAGCATCTACCCGTGACACGCTGTTGTAACACACTGTTGTTACACAGCATGTGGCAAATACATTTTTTAAAGCACTTTTTACATGTTTATGTACGGACGATTATCTCTGTACCTTTCAATCGCAGATTACACGATTTTGAAATCCCCTTCTAAAGAAGAGATTCTTCTTCCATTCTAAAGAAGAGTTCTTCTTCCATTCCAAAGAAGAGATTCTTCTTGCATTCTAAAGAAAAGATTCTTTTTCTGTTCTAAAGTACAGATTCTTTTCTGTTCTAAAGAAGAGATTCTTCTTCTATCCTAAAGACAAGACTCTTCTTCGATTCTAAAGAAGAGATTCTTCTTCTGTTCTAAAGAAGGGATTCTTCTTCTATCGTTGAAATAAGATAGCATTGTCTGACGAAGTTTGAATACAGTATCGTGTCGAATCTACTCAATACCAGGCCACCTAATTAAACGGTAACTAAAGCTCAATTTCATTCAAATATACTCTGTCTCTGACGTTGTTCATTTTTAATTCATGATCACGAAGGGTCTGATGATTTTGCAGGTGGCGACATCAGCCGAAATCAAAACAACTGAATCGTGTGAATTTATCGGGAAAAATGGCGAATTATAAAGATCGATATCCACACTAAAAATGGTGTCTTAAAAGTGGAAAATATACCAAATGATGCCTTTGGGTCTTCGTATTCTCTTGCTAATTCTAGCAGCAAGCTGTGCCGTTATTTCTGCCACAGCTGAAGGTATGCGATAGGTCATACTATGTACCTTTGAAGTTTTTTGTCTCAGGTCGAGAACATTAATCATATATATGAAAAAGAAAAAAATAGCATCGTTAATAATTACATACAAAATTCAGCACGGACAGCATACGGAAATTTCATTTCAAAACAATAAAATATCGCTTAACGGCCACTTAACATTTTATGCATGACTAGCTTCCTGTGCAATAATTTGACTCTAATAAATAATTACATCTCTCGAGGTGGAAAATCATGACCGTTAATTGAGTTCGTTTTTCCATTCTTAATTAGGACGTGATTAATGTGTACTTTCTGTACCTAATGCTAGCATGACTGCATGTCATGAAAGTTTTCGAGTTATGGTGCTATGATAGCCAGAGTGTTTATAAAATCAGTCGATATTTGGTCTTCAATTGAATTAATGTACTTTCTCAAATGTTTCCTTACTGCAACAAGACTAATAGTCGTTTTATAACAAGCATTTAAAATATGTGTTTGTGTCATATATGAATGAATACGCTATATTCTCTCACTTGAACAACTCAATCCCCACTCAACTAAATCCCCACTATGAAGAATATTTACTTCAGTGAAACAACTTCATACATACTCATTAAAATCACTGTTGATGCAGGAACTAAACAAGATGAACCCCGATTTAAGTTTCAAATGTGACTTAGCCAAAGTCAAAACTTGATTTCTATATACCTCCCGCAACAATCTATGTACATTTCGTAGATCTCGAGTTCCTTTCGAAAATGTCTCAACGAAAACTTCAAATTTAGCTCCAACAAGTCACAAAGTTCCAGTGTGAGTTTCAGTATCTTTAAACCTAAAACCCTCAATCTTCTTTTTTTATAGAAGACTTGTGGACAACACAAGACATTCGCGAGGAGGATCTTGATGTTATTCATGAGCTACAGCATAAGAAATTCAGCGACAATGATCTTAAAGATATAGAAACATTGCTCTCAACCAACACTGAAGATGATGTCCCGTCAAAAACCCCGGTGAAGACCTCACGTGTCAAAAAGGGTTCACAAACACAAAAGAAAAACAATACAGTCAAAGATAAGAGCGTTGAAAAAACACCGAAAACTACAGCTTCAAAAGTAGAACAAAATGCGATTAGTAAAAAAAAGAGCGAGGAATCGACCAGAAGCATGTTGGATGCAATCGTTCATCGAATTATGTCGCAATACGATCGTAAGGCGGTCGGGAAAGGCCGTACACACCCAAGTACTACTACGTCGACCGACACAAAAGTGGCGGGAAATTTGAAAGATAAAACACTGTCGAGTTTGAGCGAGTCGAATGCACAAAAGTTTGCCGAGAAATCTAAGAGTTTTATCAAACTTAAAACAAACATGGCAGCTGATACGGATAAAAAACAAAACGACAGAGATAAGGTAGTGTTTTTCCGGCTGGAAGGAATTGCACACAACATACTCAGGGTTTTGAAAAACCGTGAACGGACAAGTGAAGGTTTGAAGCTACGTAAGAAAATCAATCGAGAGGATTTGTTGAGAATACGAGATTTTATACGAACGACACGGAATCCAAAAGTTGACAGGAAAGCCAAAGTTCACAGCGCTAAAGAAGCTTTAGTTGCAATAAAAAATCTCATGAAATTGATTAAAAAGAATAAGTTGGGTGCGAAAGGAAACAGTAAAATTGGTGATGCTTTCAAAGAGGCGCAAGCTATGGATAGCGTTGCATTTATGAAGTCAAAAGTACCGAAAGATGGCAAAAATATTCCTGAAACTAAGGGAAAAGAATCGGAGAAAAAAGCTACAGAGATTTCTTCCAAAAATAAAGACTCCCATCAAAAACACGAGAAGAAATATTACTTGAAAAAGCTTAAAGACTTGAGAGTTAAGTTGTTAAAAGAGAAATTGTTGAAAGTCTTAAAGTTACGTGAAGGAGATAATTTGAACTTGGATTTAAAAAGGTTAAAAACGAAGCTCGAGGCCAAACGAGAAAAACGGGATGCGGAACAGGAAAAACCGGTTGGAGAACAGGAAATACGCAAGAAACAGGGAAAATACGAGAAGGAAAAATTAGGAAAACGAAAAGTTCATAAAAGGAAACACGTTATGAGAGGAAAGATGAAGTCAAACCGCGATAAGAAGCTTGCTAAAGTATCTCACAAAGAATTCACGAAGGATATTCGAAAAAAGATCAAGAAACTGAATGTTATTATGGACAAGGGAGAAAACGAACGAGGTGCAAAGAGGTTTGAACTCATACACGGCCATAAAAGTTTTCGAAAGAACTTGATTTCGTTGGCAAATCTGGACGCAAGTAAAATGACAGATGGAGATTTGAAGAAACTGCACGATAAGATAAATGAGTGGATTGAGGTTGAGGAAAAACTCGAAAGGGAAACAGAAAATGGGGAGGTGAAGGATGAGATTAGTTCAGGAATAGACACAGCCAATGATTTACTGTCGTCGCTCAAGTTTGTTGATGAAGACGGCAAGTACGGGGATGAAAGAAAATTGAAAGCAGAGGGCGGTGAAAAAAGGGAAAAGAAAAACCGCAATTTGGAAATAACTATCGATATCAACAAACATGGAAAGAACGGACAGCCAAGCGTTAAAATCGTGAAGGACAACGATGAGGTTGCGAATGTTGAAAGTCCAAATAGTAAAGGAGAAGTTAGCAACATGTACAGTAGCGGCGACAACCAAGCGACAGAAAATCCCACACAGAGCGTGGTGCTTGATGATGGAGCTACGAAGAGCTACAACCAATATGGAGGTAACCAGGAAAGGAACACGTATGATAGCAATGGTAACGTTGCGGCTACAGCGTCTGTGAACAGCAATAGTGGTAACCCCAACGTGGCATCTCAGTCGAGGAGCGTGTACCTCAAGGAAATGGCGAAGGCGTATATGGACGGAAAGGCTATAAAGAATAATAAAAACTTTGGGGAGAAATTAAGAAAAATGGAGGAAAACTTTGAAAACGATTTGAACAATATGGAAAATAACAATAACAATGACAACAACAAAAAATATGAAAACTACGTCAGCAACAATAATTATGGAAATAACATCATCGACAAAAACAACAAATATGACAAAAAAAACAACAAAGAAATTGTCAACAGCTTCGCCAACAATGACAAGGTTTTGAAACCAGGAACTGCAAACGTACAAAATGTTGGAGGCTCTTTCAATGCAAATGCTCAACAGGTAGAGGCGAGCTTTGGTGGAAATAGGCAGAATAACAACGATTATCTGACAAATGAGAACAATTTGAATAAAAATCGAAACATGAACAGCGGGAATATCCAGGGAACTGCAAACAGTGGGAACAAGAATTTGCCAGAAAACAATCCTGCAGAAAATAACGGTGGAAGTCATGATGGAAGCCCAGGAGATGCCGCGAACAAGGGTGGAAAAGGCAACAACAGATTGAATGGCGATACGGGAAGTTTTGGTAACAATTTGAACGGCGTATCTGGGCAAAATGAGGAGGCGATGAACGAAGGTATGGTCACTAAGGGAAGCCAGGGGATAAATGATGGTAAGGTTGGTAATGCAGGACAAATTGCTCATGACGATCAGGTTACCAACGTTGGCCAGGTACCAGCACAGGTTACCAACGTTGGCCAGGTACCAGCACAGGTTACCAATGATGGCCAGGTACCAGGACGGGTTACCAACGTTGGCCAGGTACCAGGACGGATTACAAACGTTGGACAGGTACCAGGACAGGTTACCAACGTTGGACAGGGTCCAGGACAGGTTACCAACGTTGTCCAAGTACCAGGACAGGTTACCAATCAAGGAATACTTCCTAATGGCCACGTGATTACGAATGAAGCTGACCTCGCCAGTCAACAAGCAAAGCAGGCGAATGAGGCTGAGGAAAATGACAATAACATAAACAAAGCAGCGAATCAACTCGCGAACACCATGAATGATGGAAACCAAGGAAACACAGCTGGTAACGAACCAGCAAGTAACCAACTTGGTGATATACATGGTTCGGCTGAGGTTAAAATAGATCAACCAAAAGTTGAGCACTTCGCGAAGAAACCGAAGTCGGTGAATCCCGACTACGATGACCAGGACTACGATTACGCCGAAGCTGGTGAAGAAGAGGCAGAAGATGAAAAAATCATGGCAGAACAGAAACAACTTCCAAAAAATAAGACGCCCTTCCTTCAGTCAAACAGACAGAACAAGTTCATGCACCAGCGCAATCCGAATACTCCCGAACGCAGCGATCATTCCCGACAAAGCTCGCCAGTAGCGTACGACGGAAGCCCGAATGATATTCAGCAAAACAAAAACCAAAATCAAATTCAGAGCAAAGGAAATGGTAGACCCGGGAAAATATTCTATCATTCCGGAAAACCTGTGTTACATCAGAACGGCTACAAAAAATTCGCTGCCAGATTTCAAAACAGACAAAAGCAGTTAAACTTCCAACGATTGAACGGAAGATTTGCAGTTGATAAGGCGGGGAGAACGGGCAAATATTATCACAATTTTGCTCCCAGCGGAAGGTTCTCTGGTAAAGTAAATCAACACAACTCTGAGGTTCAAAGATTCACAGATGGTGACCACAGACATGCAGTACAAGCTGGTTATTCAACGCAGCAAGTTCCAACGCCAAAAGGTACTTACGGGAGTAACGTTGGAGAAAATGAAATCGGATCAAACGGCAAGGATAATGAAGACATGAGTGGAAGCATATTGAATGGGAAATTGATAAAGGATGATGGAATGAATGAAAATGTTCACGGGAATAGAGGAAATGGTGGAAGCACTTCAAATGAAAAAACGACGGAAGGAAATGTGCAACATGGTGAAGAAAATAGTGGAAACATACTGAATGGAAAAGCGATGAAAGATGATGGAATGAACGTGAATACAGGAATTAAGACACCGGAACATCGGATTACTATAGGAGAAAAAACTCCCGAGGTGGATTCCAATACACCAGGGGAAACAGCTCAAGATGTGGGATCCATGCAACCAGAGAAGTTACACGGAAAAGCTTTGTTGAACAACTTTTTAGATGAAGAAACACTTAGAGCGGGCCATACATCAACTGGTGCACCTCAAAGTTCAAACATCGGTCCACAACATGATGAAAGTTCCGAAGGAGAAACGGAGGAGTTGGACGAAGACAGTGCAGGACAACAAGATTCGTCCAAAAATCCTCAAGGATTGCATCAAGGTTCATCAAACACGAGCCCAAGCAATTCTCAGGTCTTGTCAGCGGAATCGGACGAGACGGAATCTTCCGAAGGCATGTCGGACGATGAGAATTCGGACGACGACGTTCCGAAATACTCGGCTACACTCATAGATGATGATGATGAAGAAATGAATTCAAGTTCAGATGTTGAACCAAGCATGCAGGAAAATACAAGCCATTTGCATAGGCTTCACCAGAACAAGAAAGCCAGACATAGACTTCGTCAATACAGATATAAGAATCTACGCAGACTGAGACATAGAAACCGTCATAACTCAGCTCTTCGCCTGAAAATGGTCCACAAACACAGGACACATTTCAAGAACGATGATAGTAATTCACGGCAAATTTCCCAAGACAAACAATACGGCAACATCCACAATTTAAAACAACTTGTCAACAATAAGTTCTCAAAGCACAAAGCATTTGGGCATTTACCAAAGCCAAAACAACATAAAGCGGGCATCAATTTGGAAAAGATTCCTGACGCTGAAGCCATTATTCGTGGTGCAATCAGAAAAAAGCCGACAAAAACTATACACGTCGCGAAAGACAAACCAAAACCAAAAGTGGTGGCGCAAGCGAAAAGTACAAAATTCGGGACAGGTTCAAATGAGAAAGTCTCGAACGAAGCGGCAACCTTAGGAATGCTAAAACTTCAAAAAGCCGAAGTGAAGTTGGGTCTCTCGGGCAAAAAAACAAGTCCCGAGGGTGCAAAATTCATTGTAAAACAATCTCCTTCGCCTGATCAGCAATCATCGAGTTCAGCGGATTCTACCAGTGGTGGAGGCGGGGGAGGAGGCGGAGAGGGAGGCGGAGGAGGAGGCGGAGGAGGGGGTGTAGGGGGGTTTGAAACGAGTGGTATTGCCCTTCCTGGTTCCCAGGTCACGACACAATCGTTTATGGGCGAAGACAAATTTTCTAATCTGAATGCGAATGACGTAACCTCGTCGAGCGATGGAGGTGCGATGATGTCATCAAGTGCCAGCAACGGAATGACGCCATCACATGGCGGGAATGGGATGACGTCACCAAGTGACGCAGACCGGATAGCGGCATCAAATGATCCTACAGAACTTTCAGAGTACGAGCACAATGTCGACATCCAAGAGCGAACTGGTGCTGGTGATATAGTCCCTGTTGGGATGAGTTCAAGTAGCCCAGCCATCACTTCTGGTTCAAACATGCCTGCAGGCCCAACCCCGGGCGGGGCAGGCGCTCCACCAGAGCACGTACTACTGTCACCCGACAGCGCGAAAGGGGATGACCTCCTGAAGCCACTAGCCAACGACCCTGATGGTAAACTTCAAGCGTTGCAGGATCTCCGTGCTTTGACAAAAGCCCAGAAGGAAGAAGAGACCAGTGCCACTGAAGACTCCAACAAGATCTCAGATCCAGCATTCCTGGAGGAGATGTCAAACCGTATCTCGGTGTCGGGCGCCCCCATAAACAGCCTAGGGGTGGCCCATACCCCCACAATGCCAATACGAGATATTGAACAACCCGAGTCGACACTCGTAATCCCCGGGGAAAAGCTCAAACGAGACGAAAAAGGAAGTTCACATAAAACTGGTTTCCAAGAAAAGAACGCGCAGTTTACCGTCGATAATAAGGTCGTAGCTTTGGGGTCTGGAACTGAGAAAGAGAAATTCCTCACCAGTCCTAAGGCAGCTCAATTTCAACAGTTGGAAGGTGGTGCATCCCAACTTCACTTAAAAACCCCAGAACCTGAGAAATCAAGCCAAGAGGCCGCCCTCGGTTTTTCCCCACATAAACCCGACATAACCAATAATCTTGCACCAAGAATCACTGAGTTGGTGAAAGAAATTGTAAGAGAATCTTTAGGAAGTGGTCGTGAATCAAAAACGAAAAAAGGCAACGGCAAGGCAGCGGACGAAATACTCGACGATCCATCCAAAGATGCTGCTGTGCTGCTGAAATCTGAAAAACTGGAAACCAAACCGTATGATGGAAGAAAAAACCTCGGCGGCAGCGGGAGAGGGCCTGGAGCGAGCCATCGAGTGAGCCCGCAGGCACATCTTCAAGCGGAAAACTCGAAAGAAACCGTATTTCTCCCGAACGTGCCACCGAATGCCGATGGCGATCACGTGCTTTTTGGCGGTGAGCCGCAACCCACTAATAACGCAGGCACGATGAACATATTATCGAAGAGTAACTTGAGCGACAAGGAGAAAATGAAACTGATCAATGAATACAAGGCGAGCCAGAAGAGTTCGGCGGAGCCTTCGGTACAGAGCAAACCCGAGTCCCCGACGACCTCTCCCGAAGTTGACGAATCGAAGATCACCGAAATGCTAAAGAGCGGGAAATTCAACGAGCAGGACTTGAAAAGTGATTTTGCCGGGAAGGAGGCGGCGATGCAAGATATGATGATGCTGGAGAAAGAACAAGCTTTGGACGATAAGTTATCGCAGGCTCATTTGCAGGCTTCGCAAGCGAGCAAACAAAATGGGCCTGGAAACGGATTACCACCAGGAAGTCAACAACAGGGGAATACGATGTCGACACCGGGTAATCTATCCCCCGATATTACGCTCCCTGGGAATGTATCGCCGGGTGCATCATTGCCGGAAACTTTACCGGCAGGAATGACACAACCGGGAGATGGACTCTCATCGGATGTTGCGCTACCGGAGAATAAGCTCCCAGCTGCCGGAGGTCAGCCTCAAATGCCTGGGTTTCAGAATCAAATGCAGGGAAATAAGCCATCGGGAGAGAGAGATGACCAGTTTATGATGGCCAAGGATACACAGATGGATCGGTTGTTGGATCAAGCACAACAAGGGTTACCTGCGGGTATGGGAGGTGAAAATAACGCTGGTATGGTCAAGTCAACAAAGGTAATAACTAATAACAGTTTTGACAATAAACTGAATATTTCGTTTCTTGTATTTTGCCCTCAAACTTTCCCTACCACAGTCATGCATTTCTTTGCATCAAAAATCATATTCTGACATTCACAGGCTCCCCAATCGAAACTGATTAACGGTTTCAACGATGCGGTCAAATCATTCGACGACAGCGGTTTTGGCCACACCACACCGAATTACGACGCCGTCGATCCCAAAGGCATCAGCAAATTTGTCGACACAGTTCAAGGGTTGTCGCCGGCCGAAGTGAAAGCTTACGGAATAGATGTCAACAATGACGTGTACATCGATAAGCCCGCGCGCCATCGTGCGGCAGCACAGCGGTCTCAGCCGTCAGGGTATACGACAATGGGAGCGGAGACTGGACCCGACATGGAGAGTTTCAACAGCATAAGAAAGTCGAAAGTCGGCCGAAAAAAGTCGCGACAAAGCCGAAGACTGTGAAGTGTAGCAGTTACACTGGACCGTTGTATGAAGCTGGGTCAGGTTTTGTAAAACATATTTGTAGAAAATCACGCACCTAATTATGGCATTGTTTAAGGTTTTATAGGAACATGCACATAAGAAATTTAGTATAAGCAATTTCTAAGCGATAAAAAAGTCAGAGGGAAGTAGCTTAGTTTAGCTTCCAAGAGCGGCGACCCAGGCTATGAGCTATGCTCGCGAACATCTCAACTCAAATGCATGGTTTCTGAAGTTTAACTCAGTGGTGTATATACATATTGAATAAACTTACACCTTGCAATACAGCGAACAATGAAGTGTTTAACTTTTATTAATCATTTCATTAAACGAATTGTAAATATTGATAATTATATAATAATACATTATTTTCAGACGACACAGATCAATTACATATATGCTACATTAAAATTATTCATTTAAATTTGTTTTCTTCGACCTAAATTATGTGAATTGTGTATGAATTTAGTGAACTTGCTCTTTCATTTCTTTCTGTCTTTGACAGATTGTCTGACAAAAGCAGAATTCCTCTGTCTTCTAAATGCCCTGGGAAAATTCAGGAAAAGCAAGGAGTTCTTCGTCTTGTAATAAGAAGCACTTAGTGGACAACGGAATAAAATTGTGAATTTCCCAGAGTTATTTAGAAAACAAAAGTGAAATAGGGCGAAATATATTTGCGAGAGTTGCACTCTCTTTGAAGGTAATTGAATTCTAGGCAATTGTGAGATTATTTAATAAAATATTTATCATTAATTTAAAAATTATAGCATCTCTCCGATAGACTCTTCGGACATTCCTGGGATACTGATGGTTGTAAAAGAGCAACTTTTGGAAAACCGAGAAGGTTGTGTAAGATGAAACAGTCTCATTAGAGAAATCTACGGAAAATCTCTTTTACAACGTGATCTACAATATTCAGTACCTCGGAAATGTCTGAATGAATCGTGGTTAGTTTCCACTCAGGAGAATTGTCCTTAAAGGTTATTGGGGTTCTGGTCGAACCAGTGTGGCTACAGCTCGTTTCACTGATATTAAGACGAAATTTTTCGCTCGATTTTCTTTTCAATTGTGAGGCTCGACCGTAGCGGATTCCCTTCACCGGTCACAATTGAAAAGAAAATCGAGCAAAAAATTTCTTTCGATCGAAAAATTCCGCCTAGTGGAAAACCGGCTTTTCCCTGGTTCGATAGACCAAGGTAGTACCAGATAGACCAGTGTTCCTGAATGAAAACTGACCTCTGATTCCGCGCGAGAGAAGCCATCTTGAATAAATTGTTTAGGATTTTCTAGACGATCTTCCTTGCACCACATACTCTTCGAATTCATCTTCCTCGCTGTCGTCACTGTACTCGTTTCTTAGCAACGCTTTCGAATTAAACGACTTCATGGCGACCTCGCGTTCATATTCGTCCTTGTAGGCGTTTCGTCCGTGCAATTTGGCGAAGTCCTGGCGCCGACCCCGCCGACGGAAGATCCTCACGGCTCCCATCATCATGACCGTCACAATGATCCCAATGAAAATGGCCAGCACAACAAAAGTCAATTTTTCCATTCCGAAAAACATCACGGATTTCGCGGGCGTGATTTCTACGTTTTTCGCCAAGTTGAAGTTCACGACAGTGGTGTCAAAATTGTCGTACACTTGGACCTTCTTCGTCACGCTTTTGTAGTGTTCGGCGGAGGCCGTGACTCGGTACGAGCCCGCCGTAAGCAGTCGCCAATAGTCGCCATCTTTCGCCGTGCGGACGACATGAGCCGAGCCGTTTATTCGTATACTAGCGCCTGGGATCGGGTTATTATTTTCGTCCCGGACGAAGCCTTTTATCCCGCGATGCACCTTTAAATAGCAACGAGTCGTTCATCTCTACTGCGATATCGACTAAGGTTGGGTCAAACGTGCACCCAGTGAACTCTATGTGAACTGGAATCATACATTAATCGGTCGCCATTTTTTGAAATTAATTTAAAGTCGATTAGGATACCAGCGTCTCTTTCTGTTGTTTTTGACTGTTGTTTTTCGTCAAAAACAAAAGAAAATGACTTGCGCTGGTGCCCAATTCGACTTTGGCTCAAAGATGGCGACGTTATCATTCCAGTTCAAATGGAGTTCATTGGGTGCACCACTCAACATTAGTAGAAAGCTTTGACAATGCCTACGAGTTAAACTTTCCTACGAATATGGGCACCCAGAAGTACCCGCGGTCTGCCATGCACGCATACCAATTCTGGTAAACTTTTAGGATCTCCCCCTCCCCCCCTTGATCACCCCCCCTTGATCACCCTCCCCCCCCTTGATCACCCTCCCCCCCTTGATTTAACCACTTACCTGATGCATGTAGTAAAGTAAAGGCTTTCTATTCACCGCCCAGAAATGTTCCAATGTATTCGCGAACGGAAACTTACAGCATCCTAGGTACAAGGACAGTTCGAAACAATTCTTCTGCATATAATTATAATCCATCATGGAGTTTACTTTGGGCTTCCACTTGAACCCGGGCGCGATTCCTTCGGGAAACTTATCGTTCACGGCGAGGCCCGGGCATGAGGGATGTCCACGATGCATTGCGGGATTCATCCTTGAATATTTTGAAGCAAGATGTCGAAATATTGCGTCGTCGGCTGCGCCGTGGCCACTAGGGCTCCGAGGCGAGTCAAAGGGGTAGGCCGCGAGAAGGGTGCCACCGTGGAGGGAAGCAGAGAGAACGAAGGGATGATTGTCCATCCAGTTGATAACAGCCAGTGTTTCCAGTGGTAGCGCAGATTTCTTGGTCTCAAATCCCCCTGTAAAGGAAATGACAAGGCATATTAGTCGCAAATTCTTCAAACGTCCTTTGGGATGGATTCAAACCAGGTATCTCGCGCTAATATTTCAGCCAAACGGCGCTCGGAAGGGTTGTCCAACTAGAAACCCATTCTGCAAAATCTAATTCATCATATCTCCCTCCCTACCTGGGTAATGCTCATCCAGATCTTCGCCGTTGGCATTGAAGCGACCAATCTCCGAGGTACAATCCCCCTCCCGGGATTCGTTCACCCCATCGACATTCAACATGGGCAGTATGTGGATTCTTGTCGAGTTCACGAGTTTCGTGACCATGTCATCGCTGCCGTAGTTCATGCACAGATGCCTGATCAGAAGAAGCAGCATCTCGGGTCCAACCCGCTCGTTTCCGTGTACACCCGCAACGTACTTAAATTCAGGCTCACCCGGCTCGTGAATACCTTAAAGTAGAAGAAACATTCAGTCAAAAACAGTAACTACGTAGGAACAAAAATAGAGGAAAAAAGGAATGGTAGAATTATTATATGTACCTGGATTATCTGACAGTTCTACCACTTGAATCGCTTCACCATTCACAGTTTTCCCGATAGTGGAAATACGCATGACATCGGAACAATGCGGAGACAGTTGGTGCAAATGTGCTTCCATTTCGTCTGGTGTATTGTACACGTATTTTGCTACAAACTTGTTCAATGTAAACATGACGTTTGAGCTGATTTCTGAGCTCACTGCGACCTCCTTAATGATACCGGAATACCCAGGCGCATGCGCGATAAGTTTGTAGCGTCCTCGAGGGAGGATTCGGTAAAAACTACCGTAGTCTTTGGTCACGTTTATGATCGTTTTTCGCTTGTAGATCGTGAAGAACGCATTTCGAATCGGCATACGTGTTTTTTCAGAGATATCTCCTCTGACAGCTTGTCTCGCCTTGTCTAGGACCGCAAGGAGAGAGGGCTCGTTGTTTTTGAACAATCTCGGTAGCTCGTCATGGTGGACGTAGTGACAGCAGTGGACATGTGGGGTTATCGATAGGATGTTGAGGTCCAAATAGGTATAATCCTGTACGCTGTACGGAAGGCGTCGCCGGCCCGCACCGTTTGTGACTCCGCTGGGAAATTGGTCCTTGGAGTTCATACAACCGTGACCGCTATGCATGTCCGGGTATTGCTCGGAGTACGTGAGCGCCAACTCTCGGAGGATGTCGTCGTCGGCCGTCGTGAAGTTGTTGGCGCGGGCACTGGGTTCTACGCTTGCATCAAGAGGGTACCTGAGGGAGGAAATACTTCTTTGAAACACGACCGCAGAAATGTAGTTAGATCTAATTTTTTTTGCCAGAAATTTCTGTATAATCTCTTTGCTTCAAAAACTCACCTGGTCACAAGCTGCCCTCCCTCGATATTCACGACCAAAGCAAAGTTTTGATACCCCAACCATTCCTTAAACAATTTCACTTCAGCCGGGGCATCCAACGCCGTTCTTAAAAACTAAAAGACAAAACAAGAAACCATTTCAGGTTCTCTTAGCAAACAAAATTTATTGTCTTTCTTGCTGAAAATTCCAATAATCGGCAGATATCAAAGTGACTGTACCTTGGCCATGTCATATGGTGCTTCTCGCTTTGATCTAATCAGACCAGAATGATGGAACCATCTGGATAAATCTTTATCTCCAAGATCCCCAGAATCGCACTTCTTTTTCTTCCTATCTTCATACCTAATATGAAGTATTGGGTAGTAAATAGGTGCGGGTTAATACCTCTGGGTAGTAGGTGGGGTAGTTTCTGGTAAAGGGGGTAGGTGCTTGGTGGGATAGGGGAATGGTAGGTGGAGTTGTTACTGGTAGAGGTGCTAGGGGGGATAGGGGAATGGTAGGCGGGGTTGTTACTGGTAGAGGTGCTTGGGTGGGATAGGGGAATGGTAGGTGGGGTTGTTATTGTTACTGGTAGAGGTGCTAGGGGGAGTAGGGGAATGGTAGGTGGGGTAAGTTGGTTGGTGTAGCTAAGCACGTGGAGGTAAGTTAATGTTAAGGGGAGTGGGTTTAGGTATGTGAAGGCAGGGTAGATGGAGAAATAGTAGGATTGTAAGTAGTTAGTAGGTGGGGGTGGCAGGTAAGGGTTGAGAGGTAGAAAATCGAGATTTATTAATCATACCCGTCAACATCCAGGGCAGGGACAAAGATCACTCGAGTTGACATTAAAATTTTCACGATCCTCGGATCTCTATTTTGGTAGCCGGTGCATAATCGTTTTATAAGCATAAGAAGCAGTTCCCTGCCGACCGCGTCATCTGCTCGAAGGTTGCCAAGGAAACCAACCACGGGTTTTCCTAAAAAGAATCAATCCATTAAAGCCATTTTAGCAAAACTTGTTCACAACTGGCCTCAAGTAGAAAAGTATTGTTTCTGTGCCATTTTAGTGGCCTTGCCTATACAGAAATTTTAGTTTTGTAAACATTATGTGATCTCCTTGTAAATAGCAGCAAGTTAAAGGTCCATTTAGGTCAAGTCAGGTCAAGTTACACTAGGTTATCACTTTCAGTCTTATATCTAATATAAGAGCAAGCATGTAAAGAATGCATTCTGGTCGAGTTTTCAAGAGTTTTGTTCTTTAAAACTTTCCTCTTTATATATTTCAATAAATTGACTGTTAGTTGTGATTCAACTTACCTTCTTTAGGCACCCCAGGATCCTCAGAGACTTCGAAGGAGAAGATCTTTCGACCTTTCATACTCTCGCCTATCACAGATTTCGAAGTGATGTCGGGGTATGCTTTCGTGTACTGCTCAAAGAACTCGGACATTTGTTTGTAGTTGTGGTGAGGCCAGCTCTCAAAACCTTACAAGAAAACGAAGGGAAAATATCTTCAATAATCAATATCTTGAAAAATGGTAGAAAAACTTGTCAAGAACTTGTGGCTAGAACCGACATAACATTTTGGTCAAAAAATGATCGCAGTTTGCTGTGATTTCTTCTTTTGAGAGTGAACGAACCGAACGTTATGAACGTTTTGATGCATAAGTACACATATTCGAACATCAGTGACCTATTCATTCGGTCACATCAATCAGAAGAAGAAAAAATTGCAAGTTTAATTAAACAGGACTTATCACATTCCCCATTCATCGTAGTTGTCATGAACAAGTCATTTTCACCGATGAGAAATAGTCGGGATGTAAATTTGCCTTTATTTCTGTATTCAAATCGGTCATTGTTGACTGCACACACACACAGAAATATTCAATCACATCAGCCACCTTGACATATTCACGACACTCACGACTAAATGGGAACCAGGCATTAGCATGCCCTTGTAAGTCGTGTTAATCCATTTGCACGAAGCCCCTTGCCTTGATCACAAATTGGTCTATATTTTAACAATTGACCAACTTACCAGATAAATATTGATGTTTCGTGTTGGTCGGTGACTCTGTTGGTTCCTTTGTCATGATAACGCCTTGGTCTGGGCTATCATTCTGTTGTCCTGGAGGAGACAGCGCAACTTGAGACAGTTCAGGTTTAGCTTCGGCTTTAACAAGCGTGAAATTCACAACCAAAGCCAAGCCATCGGGCACCGTTACTTCCTTCGTTTGTGTCCTAAAGCCGTACGCGGCCGCCATGAGCTTGTAGGTCCCGGGAACGAGAAGACGCCAGTAGTCACCATCGTCAGCGGTGAATACCATGTGTTTGATACCAGAGACTGTGATGATCGCGCGCTTCAGTGCTTCCCCCTGGTCCGAGGTCACGAATCCGCGCACGCCTCGATGAACCTGGGTCAGGAACAAAATCAACGGTAGCTTGTGTGCGTCCCAGTACGAATGAAGACGGCTGGCTCTAGGGAACTTCGTGCAGCCCATCTCGACTGTAATCTCAAAGCAATTGCTATGGAGGTAGTTGAAGTCTTGCATTCCGCCAGAAACGACGTACCACTTCGCGCCGTTGGTGATGCCGTTCTTAAAGACCTCCTTAGGAAAACCAGGGCAGGGTTTCGCATGCTGCATCACGGGATGCGCACTGGAGTACGTCACCGCCAGCTGTCTGAATATAGCATCGTCCGGGCTCTCGCTGTAGGCAACCCGCCCGTTCCGAGTGTCATCGAAAGGGTAGTTTGCGACCAGGGAACCACCATGAAGGTTGGCTGATAAGACAAAGGGGTTGGAGGTGATCCATTTCATCAAAGCCAGGGTCTCGGGTTGACGTTTTGCTGAGCGAAGCTCTTCCTGGGTGTCGAACCTAACCAAAAAGAACGGGTATTCATCAAATATTACATCACTTTTTCATGTCATTAGTGACATCCATATGAGTAAATTTCAGGAGGGAACCCAGAGGGCTGGTACCTACCTATACTAACCACCTTTGCTATTGGTTGATGAGAACAATAAAAAATAATGAACTATGGAAATTGATCTTCAAAATCATAAACAATGTTCACTATGTATTGTTACAAAAAGCAAATTGACAAAACTCAATCATATTATGTACAAACTCATTGAATGCAGACGCCTGCGAACGCACCAGTCAAAATTTCAAAATTTTTAAACCATTTGTTTACATTTTCAAACCCTAACATTTGACTGGAAAACATATGGAGGAATTATTATTTTAAAATGTCAAGATCCTCTAATCTCACAGGCCTAACCTCCTGGAATTAAATCATTAACATTTAATGTTTTCCAGCCAAATTTCAGAGACTGAACTAATGTCAATTACCTGTCTGGGAAATCTCTGTTGAGGTCAACATCACGAACATTCTCTCGTCCAGCAAGATCATCCTCGATAACCGCTTGTTCGTAGCCATCTGGGTTCATCGAAGGCATAATGTGAATCCTTGTGTTCTTAACAATTGCCCCAATTTCTGGAATCTTTTGGTAGTTTTCACAGAAAACTTTAATTAACAACAGCAACATTTCACGACCAACAACCTCATTCCCGTGCATGTTCCCAACATATTTAAACTCCGGCTCACCAGGTTCGTGCTTTCCAGGATTATCGGATATTTCCAAGACCCAGAGGTTTCGTCCTTCCACAGATTTCCCCACACTGTATAGTTTGGTTATTTCAGGAAAGCTTTGGGCAAAATTTTTCAAGTACTCTGTCATTTGATCATAATTGTGATGAACAAATGTAAGAGGCTTGCTCCATTTCTTGACGACATTTTTCAGATCATCGACAGTGAAAGGAATGTTTTGAAGGGTTGAATGAGTCAGGTAATGCACAGGAGCTGCTGTTGACATTTTGAATGAGTTGCTGACGTCTCGTCTAACTCGGTTAAGGAAATGTTCAATTTGATTTGCATCATCAACTGGTAACTTGAATTCAGCTTTTGCATAACCTGTCTCTGGGACAACAATATCTTTTGTTACACATTCATGCTTTTTAGCACAAGCAGAAATCTGATATTGTCCTGGCACAAGAAGTCTCCAAAAATCACCATATTTTGCACTTGTCACACTATGCTTCACCCCTTTAACGCTTATAACAGCACCTTCGATTGGATTACCGTTTTCATCCTTCACAAAACCATGAACACCGTTGTTTGTTTCCTCCATATATGAGAGCAATGCTTCCTTGTTACGTTGCCATTCTCCTCTTAAATGCTTCGCCTCAGGGTACTTACAGCAAGATAGCTCAAGAGTGATCTCAAAGCAATTGCTAAGCAGGTAGTTGACATCTTCCATGCCCCCCGGAACATCATACCACTTAGCGCCATTTGTTATCCCACCAGGAAAATGTTCCTCGCACGATGGATCACCTGTGCTCATTGTCTTGTGCTTTGTTGCATAGAGCGTCGCAAGATGTCGGAACACCGGGTCATCCGGAGTGGGGCTCGCAAGACCCTGGGCTACGTGCAATGGATTGCTATCAAAAGGATAACTGGCAACTAACGAGCCACCATGTAAATTTGCGGAGAGCACAAAACGATTTCCACGAATCCAATTTATCATGGCTTTAGTTTCTGGCTCAGCATCATGACCTAAGTCATAGGTTGCCATACCATTGAATTGATCCGGAAAGTTACGGTTGAGATCTTTGCCATTTGCGTTCGGCCGACCCTGGATACCCAGGCAGTCACCTTCTTTTGCAGCTTCGAAACCATCCGGATTCATACTTGGCATAATGAATATGTTAGTTGTATCAATTAGTTTTGTCACACGTCGATTATGACTGTAATTTTTCAATAAATATTCAACTAGATAGATCAAAATTTCCCTGCCAACGGCTTCATTCCCGTGCATATTACCAACATATTTAAACATAGGTTCCCCGGGTTCAACATCATTGATTTTATCCGTAATCTGTACAGCCCAAAGATCTCTTCCCTGAACGGACTTCCCGATCGAATGCAGTTTAGTTATATGTGGGTACTCAGCAGTAAGCCGCTGTAAGAGATTTGTCAACTCGTCGTAATGTGTATATTTGTCCATTTTAATACCGTCATCGTCTTGGCCAGGTGCTATACTATGTGAGCTATCAATCACAGAAGAAAACAGCGTAAAACAAACGCTATAAACGACGAAAATAAAACAAGAAATTTTCATTTTTTTAAATACCATGTATTTTTTCATCCATGATTAATAAACTATCAACTAGGGCCAATCTTTTCACGCACGCGGAAGTGAAAGTCCCACGCGTGACGCCCACGCGATACGTCATAATAATCTGCGCTGGAATGGAGGATAATGGCACAGTACAATAGTACTTTGCGTCGGCGCGAATATTTTTCTATTACGCAAGACAGTTTGAAATATAACAGAAACATGTTTCTAAGCGTCGAAATTAAGCCCGTCCATTGACCGCGGTGCAGCTCAATAGCTGATAAGGCCATTTTCAAAAAGAAAAAATTAAATATTGATCAATTCTTGTGTGACCTATAGCATACCATGTCAACCGCTCTCTAATCTGTTGAACAAGATAAACGAACTATCCGCTAAAATACAAAAAGGCTTTGTCAAAGTGGGCAAATATATGCGTCAAATTGTTAAGAAGCACTCAAGCTTTTTCCGAAAGAAACTAAATTGGGTTGATATTGCAAGTTTTGGAAATATATTTTTGAAAATGTGGCAAGCAAGGTTCAACCTTTGCACGGTACATCATGCATGGATTATGATCTCCCAATATTAGTCCAGCCTTTCATAACGTTGCGCAACCCGATCACTGAATTGCATAACAAGACTACAGCTGAACTGACAATCAGTCTTGTGACTCTGTTGACTGAGTTGTGAACTTGTCTATGTAAGCTAGAAAATTTCAAGGGTCAAAACAGTGATGGGCTAAAAGTGCTCTCAATGACCATTTAAGATCTTCATTACATCGGAAACAAGCCATTTAAAATCACTCAGTAAGAAATCAAATCAGGAAATGTCAAGAAATTTGTCGAAAAAACGTTCATTTTACGCTGAAGTCTTGTATTAATGTATTTAATTTAAACATTGCGTTAAGAAAAATATTGGATTGAAAGATGATTGACTGTGTAGTATTCACCATGACTAAACTGCACAAGATTTTTCAAACATATTTGAGTCAAATTGCAAAGATACAACTCATACAAGATTGCTTGTTCACTAACATGAAAATACCAGATAAATATTATCAAATAACATTATGAAATGGAAACAATGTATAAGTAAGCCACATTAGGCACAGTACTGTCACAGTATCGCAGCAAAAAAAATTGTTTAGTGAGGTAGTCTGTTTCCAAAATGGAAAGCTTGAACTCTGAGCGCGAAAAGGATGATGGGTTATGCCTGGGCTGCTATCATGCCAAGTTCAAGTCAATAAATTGCCTTTAGGCTGCCCTAAAGGTCTGTTCACACGGTCCAATTTTGTTTGAACCAATTCACTTCTGACGTATGGAATATCGTCCGTTGTTAAAAAGCAGTACTGCATTGGTTTTAGTTGATTTATAGCCTGCGCGCAGCCCCATACCAAGTTACCAACAATCATATACATTGAAAGTCAACAGACTACGAAGCATGATTTGTTGGATCCAATCCACTTTTGATGGATGCTTGAAGCATCCATTAAAAGTGGATTGGATCCAACAAAAATTGGATCGTGTAAACAGACCTTAAGACTCTCTGTTGTCAATATATCCTATGAACAATACTTAATTCCCAAAGATAGGAGTCTAAACGTACACCGATTTATAAATTATAATCGATGTTTGTGATAATTGATGTTCTGGAAGGACAACTTCATTAAATTGAATTAGCCACATTTACATATTCCCACGAGGTGAAACAATCATTATATAACATGTGTTGTCACAATGTTGAAACGACATCTTTTAGCTGTATATACGTTTGTTATAAGCCCCAGCTACGCGTGTTTTGAACCTCTAACAGCCCAACTCTCGGTCTCTTATTGCTTACACTTGACTTGATTGAATTCACTGCATTAGTTGTCAGATGGACTCGTAAAAACAACTGCGTCATTTGCATTGAAAAGAGGCACGCACACGATGAATTGTTGCATTCACTGTAGTGGAATTTCATTACCATTGGCACTTGCACTGGCGGCCACTGGTCGCATGTTGATAGCCGTCAATCCACTAAGAGCCATTGTACTAGTCCTCACGAGTTTCAGCACTTTCCACAACACGTATCTTAGCGCTCTGCGAAATCTTCGGTCAAATGTACCGTATAAAATAGGATTAATCGCACTGTTGAAAAGACAGAAGAAAACGCTTGCGATATAATAGTCTTCAGGCCAAGTGCACTCCGGTAAAAGGTAGCAAACTCCTCCAATCGAATACGGGGCCCAGCACACCAAAAACGCTGCTGTAACAGCCAGCAACATTCGAGAAATTTTAACTTGAGTGATATTTCGTTTCATGGTGTCGCTTTCAGAACGATCTCTATTGATGCTAATTTTCTTCATCATTTTCGAGACTTTGAGCGTGACTTTAAAATTGCAAAACAATATCACGGCGATTGGTATACAACTGGTTATGAAGCCACAGATTAAGGTAAAGTAATAATCGTGCTTCCATCTTACTGCACAATTTAACAACTCTCTCTGGTAGGCGAAATGAGGAATTTGCCAGGCTGAAAAAGTCCACAAACCACCGTAAATCCAAGTGGCAATGATCAGCCACTGCATTCCTTTCGAAGTGGTTTGCACCCATCGAAAATGAACGCTCGGGTATGTGAATAAAACGTAACGTTCCAAACTGATGCACGTAATTGTTGCGACTGAAACTTGGCATAGCAGGAAACCTAAGCTTGCCTGAGCATCACACCAAACGTGATTAAAAATCCAACGTTGTTTCACGGCAGAAATTGTCGCAAATGGCATGACGAGTGCGCCCAGCGAAAGGTCTGTGATTGCTAAACTGACGATGAGATAGCGAGTATGCCATTTTTTCGTAACAAACAAAGCCAGTATTGACAGCGAGTTCCCTACAACTGCTGCGATGGTTAGGACAGAAAAGATGAAACCCCTTCCAAACTCAGCAAATTCGCTGTGCTCGGATGGCCCATCGCTTGAATTCATGACGAATTGAACGTTCGTGACAAGAACAACATGAGCAGCAATATACTATAGTAAAAAAACAACTTGTTTTTGCCGTCTTAGACCACTTCACCAAGCAAGTGTAAAATTTATGCGTCGTCAGGGTATGGAAATTGACGGAATGTAATTAAATATTGGAACAAAATCGTCTTAATTATCACAAGCATTTCTTTTGAAAACCGCCAGATTTCAAGCAGTTCTTTACGAATGTTAAATACGATTTCAGACAAAGAGACTCTGCAGGAAGTAAACTTATAACACGGATGCTCGAACGAAAACAATTCAAACTTGCTTAGAAAATTAAGATGCCGAGGAATGACAGGAAACATTATAATTTATAACAGTCCAATTTCTTTTCGGGTAAAAACATGTATAAGACTTTTTTGTCTTCGATATCCATTTGTGGAAAATTTACCAGGAAGCGGCCGACATCGTATATTGAAAGACTCCATAAAGAGTTCCTTGGGAAACGCCAAAACAAAACAGGGGAAACTATCATTATAAAAGTATTATTATTGATTTACAATATCAAATCGCAACGATTGAAAACAGGGAAAACAAAACAGGAACAACGTCAACGCTCGCGTTTAAAGACAGGAATATAACGCTTTTGTGAGTGTACGATTAAACATAGCAGCTTCAACTTTCAACTAGTACAACTAGTTTCAATATTAGCTGGAAGTGTTACGTTTTGAATGGTTTGTTTGGATTCCATAATCTCTTTTATAAAATAAAATTCTAACGATGACCTCTGCAGTACATAAAGCTATTTTTCATGCAATTTTTTCACGATGGCAGTGATTCTGTGTCGCCAATTCAGAAATAATTCATTCAAAAAACCCCTTAAAAATGATGTAAACATTGAAATATATATATACTCCATGTTCATGCACTGTTGCAGATTTTTTCCGTTCGCCTAAAGCTTATTTTAAAATGAGCAAGAACTGGTCGTTCAAAGCATGTACATTGAGTATATATCGTTACATTAAGGTCCCAGTTACACGCGATACCAGATTAGTAGCGTACCACGGCAGATTACTTTCCAAATCAGATTCATTTGTTGCAGTTACACGAGGATATAGCAATCCGGTGCGAAATCACTTCGCTCTGGAGTGGATATGGAAAATGACCCGGTACATTTCTGCTTCCGTGTAATCCGGTATATTTTTGTTCGCTCTTCAGTTGTGCGCAATCACCGCAATGCATTTTGTTTGTATCTGGAATCAATCCAATATCATATGTATATATCGAGTCATAGATAAATCGATACAAAAACTAATCCGGTATCCGTTGTAACTGGTACCAAAGTCAGTCAAAGCCTATCATTCAACTGATTCAACTTCATGCAGCCGAGCTCGAGTTGCATCTTGTGAAACGAATACGGACTGAGGTACGAATTTGGCAATTTCGCATGAATCGTTCATGATGCCTATATACGAGATATTGCGCGTCATTAATTAATATACAGTGTCCGGACATCGATGATTTGCATGTGAAAGATTACTAGAATCACGGCAAATTATTTGTCTTTCTTTACACGTCGAAGCTGCAAGTATGTGAGAAAACAACACGTAAAACTCATCGCAAATAAAATGAGCTGATTCCACCATAACATGTCCGCATCGATACCCTGCGAGACCAGATACTCCGAGCCTTGAAGACTATGAAAAATACGTTTAAACGGCTTAGAATTTGGGGAAAAAACCTGTCGAAGAAGTTGATCTTAGTTACTGTAATTGCTCGTTTTCATAACCATTTAAAAATCATTTCAGAGAATACTAGCCTAAAAACTCTCTACTATAGGCACGGGTGACCGTATAAAAAACTCGCCATACACGTTTGAAATCAGTTTCAAATTAACGACTTGTGTATATAAAGAAGAGTGTTTTCTATAAGAATCTAACCGCAAAAATATAACCGGAAGGTAAAGTCTACATTTTTACTCACCAAGGTAAACTGCTAGAAAATCCAGTCGTGTTACTGACTACGATGGGGCAGGTAAATTCCATACCATCCAATTCATTAATTTCCAAACACTTCATGAAACGAAAGAAAAAAAAACTGTTATTACCTCGTCAACCTCATCCCAAATTTATTTGATAAGGTTTGTTGCAGCTACATCTTTCAATTATACATATATATGCAGCTACATCTTTCAATTATACAATACATATTTCAATTTTGTTGCCTGCCTCAAAATGCAATGTCAAATATCATTGTTTTAGACCTCCCGAAACTGAACAGATTCAGTTTCCGCTGGTGAATGACCGCGAAACGCTCATGGGCCCATACGGTACCTCTAATCCATATTTGAAAATACTCAAGTATCTGAACCAGCCGATCCAATCTCCAAACGACTCTTGATTGAGTAAAAGACCACCAAAAACCTATGAATATTTGCATGTAAGGAATCCGTTAGACGAAGATGGTCCTCTGCGATTTAGAACCCATTTTTGATTTTCTTTTATTTCATTCAACACGCGGTTAAAATATTAATTACTTCCATCCTAATCTCATCCATTTTTCCAGGATTTGCCTGCCTAAACACCAACTGTTTTCATACTGAAGTTTATAAACGGTAATATACATACCAGCATTATTGTGTAGAGGACGGCCGCCATTAGATTTGCCACAGCAAATATTCCAAATGTCGCACTGAAGAGAAACGCGAAGCTTGTTCCACAAACAGCGACTTGCACAAGCGTTAAAACGAAGATGAAGAATTTGCCCGCATCCGAATCAAAACCTGTAAGTTCAGTCAAGACAAAGTCAAGAACGATCTTTTCAAGGCAACTCGTGGTGTGTTTCTAACATGCTCGTGAGAGGTTGACAGTGCCCATGCAGTGGGTTGGATAATCTCAAGACATTGTCTGGTATGGTATGTCAGCCATATATGACTAAACAGTTATTCAAGACGTTAAATTTCAAGAGGTCAACAGGTTGTTGAAATAGCACTAATGCAACTACACTTCTTTCATCGACAACCTTGTAGGATGTTAGCGAAAACCGTCGCCTGACAACTTTTCTACGAGATGAAAAAACAGAGCGAAGCCCAAGGCGTGTTTTAATATAAAAAAAAGTTCAATTTGTACCAGTGTTGAAACTTTGTGTCGCTTTGAAAACGCACATGCAAGTTGTTGCTATAGTTGACAAAAACTGAACTGGAAATGTTGTACTGCATCCACAAATTGTAGCTGATCAAATTGTTTTCCGGCTCCATCAGACTGCTCACCTGCCATCCAGTAGACGATTATCGCAAACAAAAATGCAGATAACGCTCTGTACGGTAAAAATTCGGCAAAGATTTTTGCCAGAAAATACACCGAGACTCTGTAGTAACCACTCGCGGACTCGTGGCTAAATAAGACGAAAAGAAACGTTTGATTATGAGATATAACAGTAACAATCGACTCTATCCATGTAGGTGATCTGAAATAGCGAGAAAGATGGACTAGTTTTTATCCATTTCTCGGTTAAAACAACGTATGAATATCTCTTGAAATATTAATACTTTCAGATTTCGGTTTCAAATTTATGTCCAAGCTATAGTTCTTATAACTAAACATCTAAACATAATCACAAAATTTCAACTGGTTTCATAAAGAATAACGAAAGATACAATCGATTAAATACTGCAGAATGATTTCCATTTCAACAAACTTTCTGATCGCATATTCACTAAAATATACGAATGCGAAATCACTTGAATGATAAAAAATTTCCGAATACTATTTGACAAAGAAAGAGTTTCATTTCATCTCAATTCAGTTCATATCGGGTCGACGGAATTTTTCTAGGACATGGAGGTAAATAAATCGTAAAACAACTATTTCACCGGCATTCTTTTATAGTCTTTCCATGCTCGTTTACTTACACAAAAATAGACTTTTCTTTAATAAGAAGCTCAATGGAGTCCAGGTTTGCGTAAACCATGTTCATGATGATAAAGAAGAAAGCGCCAACCCTAGGAATATAAGAAATGAAGCATCGCTCTGAAATTACAACTTCTGGACGACAATCACATGTATATGCATGCACTAACATCGTCCGTGAATTAACAAGAATTACGCGCCCGTACCTGTTTTGAATTCCTTTCTCATCTTTTTCAATTTTGAAGTACAACGCGCCAACAACAAGCCCAAGGAATGCCATCACAAAAAACTATAAATGCAAAAAAATATTACACTCCGTCTCGACTAATATTTTATCACTAAGGTATAAAGTATACCTTGATTTTCACCAATTTTTTATCACTATAAGGTAGAGTATACCATATTCCGGTATATTCGAACTGCACTATAATATTTTATCACCAAGGTAGAGTATATATACCATATATTCCGGTGTATTCGACCTTCACTGATATTTTTAATACCAAGCCGGTAGAGTATACCATTTTTTGGTATATTCGACCTTCAATATTTTTTATTACCTGCATGAAGTCATACCTGGACGATTGTGGTTAACGGATTTCGTATGAGACAGCGGACAGAACGCTGACCAACAATACCCATCTGACAAGTTAAAAGGAAATCTACGTTATGGAAACTAAACTTTTCTTCAAAGTCAGAGAAATATAATAGGATTTCATCTATTTATTGTGCTGTATTCACGTATTATGTCGATGGGAACATACAGCCGGGTGGGCCAGTCTGAGAATATAATCCTGATATCCTAATTCTATGGTGTTCATTCACTGTGAAAAGTGAAAACAAAAAACAATCTTCAATTTCCAAAGAAAAGTTACAACTATTTAAAATTTGCAAAGCGGACCAAATCGTTAGACTGCCGGCGCTGCTGAAAGTGATGACTCAAACTTGCTGTCCCCGGAGTGACTACAAATCCAAAATGGAATTTTCCGGAAGATTTGACGAGCCATTAAAAAGAATCATGCAGGAATTCACCTGTTTAAACCATCCAGTGGCGTAGCGGTTTTGCTGAGCGTATTTCGTATTTATCGCGGCTTCAGAGTTTGGGTTGGCTTTCATGTTCTCGAAGATCTCAGTTACTTGCTTCTGAATTGCCTGACCTTGGGCCGAGTCTTTGAACTTCCGAGCAAGATCCAAAATGGTAATCTCTCCTTTCTCCGTATCTTTGAAGAGAAAACAAAGTCTCAGTAAAGGAAACGACATTGAAGTAAGTGAAGAAGGGAACTAGGGAATTCCGAAGACAATCAACAAATCTAGGCAGTTACCATAGTTTCGTATTCAGGTTAACTGGAACGTTTGTTTAACTAAATCTTTCTCGTTTTGGGGAATATTGACATGCTCAGAAAGTGCGGGTTTACGGCAAGGTTATCACTTTTGGATTGTTTGTTTTGTGAATCAAACTTCTCTCATTTTTCTTTTGGAACAAGATTATACGAGCCAGCTTGGCTTACCGTTTACTTCATCATCAGCCGTTTCAAGTTTCGCTGAATTTATGACGTCCAGGAAAAAATCAGGCGGGTTATTGTGCGGTTCGCATTGATACCCTGCAAGTAACAAATTAAATAGTTACACACCTAAACTTTATGCAGAACATACATTATACCTGGCTCAGTTTTCCTGTTCCTGTCATAACGATGATGGTTAAACACAATTTGCACTGCACAGTGCATATTTGGTTCAAAATGGTTCCACAATGGTTCAACATGATTTACACAGAACATGACAATGCTAATCGTTATAATAGCCTGAATCGAGCTTTAATTACCTATTTCTTCAAAGTACCCCAGCGCTTCCTGCGCAGGGCCGTTGTACATCATGTGACCATCTCCCAAGAGACAAATATTATCAAACAGCTTGAAGATGGAATATCTTGGCTGATGTATTGAGAATATGATTGTGTTTCCCTTTCTGCTCAGACTGTAAGAAAAGAAAAAATCGTCTTAGTATTTGAAATTTAGCGTCAAAGACAGGGTTGAAATGCGCTAGACCTAATTCTTTTTTTGCTGGTTAGTTTGGAACAGAAACTGATTTCTTAACATGGTTAATGAGTAGTTTAATCTGTGGTTGCTAACGGAGCTTGTTGGTGAAATGTGATGCAGGTTCAAGGGACTCTGATCTAAAAAAATCTACATACTCGTGTAGTAATTGCATGACGCTAGATGCAGTCGAGGCGTCCAAACCAGTGGTTGGTTCGTCCAAGAATAGAACGTGTGGTGACGTGATTAGTTCCATTCCAATCCCTGTTCGTCTCTTTTCACCCCCAGATATCCCTCTCACGACTTCATTTCCCACCTACAGGTCGAGCAAACAAAAAATTTCAAGGCTTAGTACGCAAGTTATGTTCTAGCCAGGCGATCTCGTGCGCTCATATTTTAGACATATAGAAATCCATTCTGCAGTATTTAATCGATTATATCTTTTGTTATTCCTCATAAAACTAGTTGAAATTTTGTGATTATGTTTAGTTATAAGAACTACAGCTCTAACATAAATTTGAAACGGAAATTTCAAGAGTTATTAAGTTGTTTTAACCGAGAAATTGATTCAGTTTTATTTGATAACTACAAGTCCAAGTCTCTTCCCGTCATTTCTGATCACGTGGAAGCTATGATACTTTAAGCTATGATACAAATGCGTGTAAAAGAAAGTACGAAGAGATGTCTTTGAAAGAGGCAGAAGACGTTTACCAGTACCTTAGAATCTGCAACTTTGCTTAGTCCTAGCTCGTCAATGAGCTTATCGACTTTTTGAGCTTTCTCTTCGCTGGTCATAGAAGAAGGCAGACGCAACGATGCCGAGAAATATATGTTTTCACGAACTGTCAGTAACCCCATCACAACATCGTGCTATAAGCAAAGAAGTTAAGATAAGTAAATTAGCTTGTATAGGTAGTTCACCACGTAAGTATTTAGTACTGCAAAGCTTTCTGTCCGTTAACTCGGGCCTTCTTAATCACGACGAACGTGATATTTGAGTGACGTGTAGATGTGTATTCAGGTAATTGCAATCGATGAAGGCCCGGGTTAACGGACCGAAAGCTTTGCAGTATTAAATACTTACGTGGAGTACCTACAAGCTAAATTACTTATTGATGTCTCCATGCAAACATACAAGAATATTATCATTAAGATAAGATAGATTTGGATCCATAAGCAATTGGACAAAGTCTATTTTTAAAACTCAAATTCTCGACTCTGACACTAAGGCTATATATTGCTATGCAGTTACCTGGACAACATAGCCGGTCATCCGTTTAAAGTTTGACGGTTTCTTTGTACCATTGACCATAATGTCGCCTGTCACTTGTGACATATCTTTGCGATCAGCCAGCATGTCAAGGGTCCTGGGCGGTAGAGAAGAACATTTAGTCAGTCTTAGTACGAACAAATTGTCAAATACCTAATCCTTTGTACCGAGTTTTCGCCAAAAGTGACCGACCATGTAATCGTGTTTTTCCCCCAAGGCTCGTCGAGAGGTTAAGCGGGCCCAGGACAATATTTAGTTTAGGTCCGATCGATGGTCATAACGTTAACTGGGGTGCACCAATATTGGGGGGTTACCCTCTACAAGCCGGTAATATAGTAGCTGTACTCCCATCGAAAGAACAGGGCTAGGGCCGAAGCTGGACGCTTAATCGGGGGGTGTATATTCATAAATTCATCTTATGCTCGACTGATTTCTTTTGTACGCTATTGTTCCTGCGGTAGCAAACATGAATATATGAATATACACTCCCCAAATAAGCGGTCTAGCTACGGCCCTGCTACAGGGCGTTTTTACATGTAGACATACAGCTGTATTTGAAGTACAAATTTAGCTGAGAACTATTATTAACGCACGTCGGCGTTCGAGATGACAGAGGTCAAGATTGGGTCTGAAATAAACCATCTGTAAGGTTTTTTATGAAATTTATTTACGAAATTAAAATATGAAATTTCATGCTTAAACTTACGTGGTTTTTCCACAACCAGTTGGACCAAGAATTGCATTCATTCCAGGCGTAAATATACCACTATAAAGAACGAAAAATAGCATGAAACTTGAAATATCATGGCTGGGTTTTACTGACGGGACAATTTCTGTTACGATTCCTCGATATAATAAGATTCATATTATTTCTCGTCCGACATATATTAGCCGATACAAAACAAGGAACAAGAGGGTGACTTGCCGGCCAAAAAAATGAGCACTTTCGAAGTGCCGCAATTGCCGAGCACTCGCACACTCAGCATGAAACAAAGAGATTTCAGTTGAACGCAGAAATCAATTATTGTTACAAAGCTCTAATTATTGAATATTATTTAAAGTGCGTTGCGGCCTTGGACGCGTCTTAAAGAGACAAATGCCCACACTATTGCCACACTATTGCCACGCGGTAAACATCTTCCACAAAATTGCTCGCGTTGGAAAGCTGCTTTTAGTCGTAGCGGACCTTTTTCCTAAGTCCATAAATCATCTTTGCGAAAACAGAGAATACACAATCGTTATTTAAAGCATTCTGCATTAATTCGGCTTCAAAACCTGGAATATTTGTAGTTTGGTTACAAGATAAACACATACATAATATTCTTAATCATATATATATAGCATCGGTCTTATATATATGGATATGTTTTAACTGGTCAGAAACCGTCGGAGTTTTCGACTATTGTAAGAAACCTAAGGGGACGCTGGTTGGTAATAGTGCCAGGAAGGTGCCGGATCAAACTGGATGAGACTGGCTCATACCATTATTTTGTTCAATAAAATCGGCCTTTGGCAGATACTATGACAGGACATGCCACAAGACAGATAGGCTTGGAAAAACCTCGCTTTCGTTCTGAATTGCACCAGAGTTAAAATTACAATTTTTGTTGATTGGTTTTAATTAATATTGAGCGTAAAATAATAGAGATAAAATTTGGCTGAAGCTATTAAACATCGATTTATATTTTATACATGATAATGCAGTTGTGTTGTCTGAGATCGCTGTGTTTACATTAGACACATACCTTATACCCTTAACGATCTCTTTCTGAACTTTCTTCCGTTTGACTTTTACCTCGACGGTGTATTTGACATTGTGAAATGAGATTGTGGTACCTTGGAGTGTAGCGGCCGGAATTGTATCGGTTTTAGCCGGGCCATTAGTAGCGCATTTAGATTGAACGTCGCTATCTTCAGTGTCATTCGCAAAAGCTGGATTTTCGATAGCTATTTGTACTGTAGTCATTTTATCCTTGGAATTCTCGCCTTCCTTAGTACGAACGCTCACCAATTCGGCCATTCGTAATCCGGAATCTCAACTTAAGCCTTCCCAGCACTCAGCATTTCATACATTCCAGTTCATTCGTGTTAAAAATCCTTTTTTACGCCGTATAATTAATGTCTGGTTTGCATGGAGATGTCAAATTAAATCAGACGGATGTTTTGGATATACGAATGTTTAATTTGCATATGGAAATCTTGACTTATAAAATTTATTACAATGACGACACATGCTAGTGATGCTACGATGACAAACACAATCCTGGTTGCAACTTTCGTAACAGTTATGCCGTGATGTGCTGGGATTTTTGCACGCAACTAATTGAACATCGCGACAGACAACCTGTCAATAGTAGGGTGGATGTGATAAAGTGCGAATTCAATGCTTTCATTATCAAAGCAATCTTTCCTAGGCGCAATAGTCATGTAAAAATATCAATTTGTTACCATTTTATTCCTATCAAAACAGTCGTAATCACGCAGGAGACGATTTGAATTGACTACCTTTAATAGTTTCGCTTGATAATAATTCATGCTCACTTTGATCATCAAAACAGTCGAAACGGAAACCAGGCCTATGAAAGTGAATGAGGCGGGCTACTTTTGTCACCAGCACCGTCGTTACTACGCAACGAAGTTATTGAAATTGTAAACTTGGTTATCATTCTTAGCTTACCGTCTCACCGTGGTCATCAGAACGCAACTGTGAAATAGTTATGTCTGCTTCACGACGCAAAACACAAATATTTACATTCGGAGAATGGAGCAAGTGTCAGGTTCAGTTTAGGAATGGAAGATTGGTGGTAAGTTAAACTTCCTGAATGACCGATCGATACGTTTTATCCAAAATTAAAATCGCGCTGCACCTCTAGATATCAACCGAAAGGACCTTTTTATTAGTCAATAAATTTTGTGAAACCCGTCCAAACTTATTAAAAACAAGGTTTTAGTATAAATTTAGGACTAATCACTTCTCTGGCACATTCCGTGTTAAACGTAAACAGCTGCGATTCATTAAAATGAACAGCCTTTTTTCAAATTATGACCTCCTATTCAAGGGGCTTTTTTCCACATGTGAAATCTCGTGTGAAATGACTTTGAATAATTGAAATGGGCAAATAACATGTCTGGCTTCAATAGACCTTTCCCCTTTTCGCTGTCAAGCGTGCAATGCGCGACGCTAGTTGATTATCAAGGTCAATTTCAGTTGTGATTTCGCCATGTTCAGGAGCGATTTAGTTTAACAAAGAAGCAAAAAGAATCGGCAAGGTTTTCTTACAAACAAAATCGGTTCAAACCAGGCGATATCACAACTCAAAGTTGCTTGATAATCAACTACCATTGCGCATTGCGCACTTGAAAACTAAAAGCGGAAAGGTCTATTCTAGCCTCCTCCGCAGGCAACTCTGTTGGTATTCAAATAGTTTTATAGCATAGATGAGTAACAATATAAGTAGGCAAAGCTGTGTAATCCCAAACGGCAAACCTTTGAGAAATTGAGTTCATAATATTTTATATTTTAGCCGAGTGTAATTGAATATTCATATGTTTTGGTCCGCAAATAGTTAGTTCTCAATTCCCTTATATTCAGTTACACTCGGCCAAAACATATGAATATTCAATTACACTCGGCGAAAATATAAAATATTATGAACTCAATTTCTCAAAGGTTTGCCGTTTGGGATTACTCAGCTTTGCCTACTTATATTGTTACTCATCTATGCTATAAAACTATTTGAATGCCAACAGAGTTGCCTGCGGAGGAGGCTAGGTCTATTCATGGGACTGTCATTTCCTGCCGAAATTGTCCTACGTAATCGTATAACGCTTTGCATCATGGTTAAAGCTGTAACGCTGAAGTAACACTGACCGCCTCGGATGGAAATAAAATCGGATTTTGGAAAGCCCGTTCTCGCATGTGACTGATTTGACCGACAAACGGCAATGGCTTTTGTCGGTGAACAAACTGACGAATGAAGTGCTTTTTGAATTCATTTTTTTTCGTGACCGGCCACAAGCAATAAATCATATCGCCGTTTGTCTGTGACATATGAAAGAGATTTTTCGGTTGGACATCGCACAGCTCACCCTAGTTCTTTTAAAGCTATTACACAGTTGCACTACCATAATGGTGACGCTGAAGTCGCAGTGGCAAGCGATGCAAATACTTTTGATTCGAGCATTCTAGGACGGAGCATAAGCCGTATTCAAACAAGAAACAAAAGCTGGATTTACTTGAGACTTGTTCTGGCCTTATCAAGGCCACCTATCGTGTCGCCCAGTTTCCTGAGCGAGAGCAGGCTAAACCGCCCAAATTTGCACATACACTACGAAAACTTAGCCCAAAATCGCAGACCTATAGTCCACGTTTAGAATCATAGTGTAAACACGTTTGTAGACAATAGGCTTATGCACAATATATTAATCAATGTTCACTATTACACCGCGATTGTCTCACTGCCGTACGAAATTATACGAACATCAGCGTTTGCACACGGAACTAAGGTGTTACTTAGAACTAAAACTTTGGATAAATTTTTCAGCGTTATACCCATATATTGCACGCTGCACGCTGTCTGTGTCAGCCATAATTAAAATTAAACACTATGATAATTCCTACTCTTTAAAAAAGTGAATTACCTTATTCCTTTGACGATACTTTTCACAACTTTTTTCCTCTTGATTTTAATTTCAACGTTGTATTTTAAGTTTTGAAAGGAAATCGTTGTGCCATGCTGAACAGCCGTATTCTTTCCTGAGCCAGCTGGCTCGGCATCAGACGATGACGAACTACAGTCTTTCGAGAGCCTGTCATAACCTTTCCCGTAACTGGAGTTTTCTACCGAGTATCCAACGAAATCTTCACAGGAGCCTTTATTTTCAACATGGTTTCGGCTGTTACTGTTAACGGTTGATATTCTGGCTAAATCCGTAAACTCTGTCGCAGCAGCCATTGTGCGAGGTACGACCCGTCAATATATTTGCTTTTCCTCTTATGAATAGTAATGAAGCGCGGTCTTCACTTGTGGAAAAACTGAACGGGGCTTCTAATCGTAAAAACAGCTGATTACATACGCACCCCCTCGGGAAAACCTCATGCATTTAAGGATAGATTTGTCACAGTCAGACTTTTACTTTTGAAGTTCACATGCAGGTCCTCAAATATTGAAAATCTTCAAAATCTGAATGCATGGCCATAGGAATTGTTCTGAACCCGCCAAAGCGTAAAATACAGGATGTATTAGGAAGGACTTTCTTGAAAAGGTCTTTTGTAATCGGGAACCATATTTGGGACATCGCTTGTACGAACAGCGTTTTTGATTAGTCGGTTCAAACAATACCGGTCTTAAGGACAAAACATGCACGTTTATTTCAGAATAGCGGCCATTTAATAATCTCTTTTGTTCCTATTACAAATAACTAACTGAACAGCAATGGAATTATAAATTAACGGTAGTGCATGAATTGTAATGATATGCTGTAATCGTTTTGATTCGAATAGCCTGTCATTCAAATATTTACCAATTGACTTAATATCGTAAATTAGAACTGGAAAAACTTTACGGCAATCTTTTTTCACTGAAATTATACTATCAAACTTTTTGCCATGATTTTGAACATTTGCTACTAAGTAGTGCCAAGCCCCCGCCGCCGCAAATATTGCGTAATGGTTGCGTAATCAAGGCGCGATTCGCATCCGCCAAAGCGTTTAATATATGAGTCTGGCGTTTCCTTGAGTGCTGAAGTTGTAAAAAAGGTTAAAAAGGATAAAAATTTGTGTGAGGTAAAAGTAACAGAAGTCGATAAGGCACGGAATTTGGTGCGAATTCACTATAGGCTACAGTGAGAAGTATGACGAGTGGAGGCCATTGAATCATATTTCCCCTTTGTGCGACAAGAGAGAATGCCAATACCTGATGCAGACTCCCTGGAGCAAAGGGCGGAATTCTTTAAACACAAACTGTATACCGAAGTTAAAAGGAAGCTTTATTCCGTTGACTTACTTGCTTATACAATATACAAACTGGGACGATTTGTCCGTCGACAATTTCTGCGCCGTTTTCGTTTATAACCGCCGCTATCTGCACAGCGACAGCGAGAATAAGGACAAAATATACCCCAAACTTCCAGGCCATTTTGACGAGCCTAAACTCGATATTTTACTAAACAATTTACTATCAGAATGTTGCCAATTTCGCGCTCTATTCAAATTTGGCGGAAACTATAGTCATAGACCTGCGCAGTTCGTGCTCACGTCCAATCCCCGAGTCTACGCAGCGCGCATAATAGTAAACATTAGTAAAATATTGCGCAATTGATCCAAAACAACTAAAAAATGACGAGCTTTCATTAACTCCAATTGCCGTAAAAATATATTCAAAACACGACCCATAACCTATATTTTAATATTCCAATGGAAACTCGTGAATAGCTGGCATGCAGAAACGGCAAGAAGCAAAAAACTACAAAATTTCCTCTTTATATTGCGGCAAATCTAGAGAAATATAATACCGCGTAATACGAGTAGACTTTTTGTTCAGCAAAAGTTTGATATCTGTCCTTCAAATTCAAGCCTGCCATAAACTATTTAGCATTGCGAATGTACAATTTAAATAACAAAGTCTCCTAGAATATACAAATCGATTTTGACTCAGTTATTCTTGACAGGACACGTACTTGCTTGAAAACTGACTTGGAGATCACCTCTTCTTGGATTCACATAAAAGGCCAACTTTGAAGGCAAATATTTTATCGTATTATATACTGCCAGTATACTGCCATATTAATGATTGAAATAGTCGTTCGCTTTTGAAAGTGAAGGCCAAAAAACAAACCTAGCTCCAATTAATGCAAAGCATATTTTCCAAGGCTAGCTGCATGGTACCTCGTATAGTTCTAGAAAAGAAGTTCCCTTGCACAAGAGCTCTCGATCCAGTCTTTTTTGCTACAACTGAACGAACGACCTAATGATTCTCTGCTTTCTTGTGGAGTCTGGTGACAAGCCTCATGGCGTAAGCAGTTCTTTGCACTGATTTTATGGCTGTCTGCACGTTTCGTAGTCGCACCAGATCCTCCTCGTGAAACAGATCGTGTTCTTCCTCGGGTGGTTGACAGTACAGAACGCAGATACGATAAACCTGAAGCATGACCAACAACGCATTCTTTGCCGTAAGAAACAGGAACGTTCCACTACCTTGAGAAGATGAAACAACATGTCTGATGTCTATAGGCCCTGTTCACAATTTTTGACGCGATTTTTAATGCTATTTCCTCCTTTTGACAGGTATGAACGAGTGGAAAAGTTACGGGTGTTTAAATGAAGGCACATAGACATCAGAACATTCATGACTATTTGCTTGTTTAGATCTTTCTAAGGAAGAACATCGCATTAAGAATTGCAAGTGTTAACAGGCCTTATGAAAGAGCGAATTTCGGTTATAATTCAATGCTCAGAAAATCCTATTAACACGAATTTAATCCTTGAGATTAAGTTAGGATTAGGGTTAGATATGGATTAGATTTAGAATTTGGATTACATTTAGGATTAGATTTACGATTACGATTGATCATACCTGTAACTTTATAATACGACACCAAAACAAGCCGAACAATAAGAAACGGTCCATCTTGCAGTAGCATTGGCGTTAAAAGTTGAATCAAATTTAGATTTCTGTGAACGAAATTTTGAAAGATTGTAATCCCTTTGACGAATATCCCCAAAACGGATTTCTTCTTCGGAACGGGATCTTTGTTCGTCTCATAGTCGTCGTCTGCGATGCCAGCAAGATCTAGCTTCGTATCTGCGTGTAGTTTTAGTTGAAGGTTCGCAATTCGGTCTTTCTGCTTATCCATCGCTTTCTTTTGAGCAAGTTTGTGTGTGTATAAGGCTGGAGCCACCTGGAAAGATGAAAAAAACATGAGAATGAATGTTTCTGGTCGTGAAGGATAGAATCCAGCGCCATGGCAAGACCAAACATCTGAAAATGAGTGAAATTGCAAACTAAGTAGTTGAATGTGGAATAGGCAGCCCTGTAAACTCTAATTATTTTTGTATCATCAAATAATAACAAACTTCAGCTAAAAATATAGTCGTATTTAGTATCTTGTTGGCAATTGCTGAATCAGATACGAATCATCCAACGATTATTTTATGACCTGGTTGCGTTTAATTTTCATGTCGCGTTCTTGTTTCTTTAATTCCTCTTGCTTCAGTAGTTGTTCCTTTAGTTCCTCGCGGTCTTTCGCTCGTGTTTCCACTCCCATTACGGTGACGGAGAATTGGAAAAGACTCATTGACCAAACTGTCAGGATTGCTCGCACTAAACTGAAGGACACAGACAAGAGATGTCAAAACTACAGTTTAGAAACTCAATAACACAGAGGAAAAGGTATCACAATACACAGTTTAGAAACTGAACCCAAAAAACACAAACTCTTCAAACATTCAGGTAAGACGAGTGAGCGGCTCCTTACTGATCGTTCCCCCCGACACTTGAATCTTCGTAAATCTCCGTGAGTTCAACGATATCCGCCGCCGTTGCGATGTAAACCAATAGCAAGCTAGATAGCTGGTCACGTGTAATCTCTCCCTTGGGCAGCATCCAACGACCAACGACCAAGAAAAGAACAAATGTTTGGTCGAGGATGGAGAGCCGCGATTCGTCGCTAGTAGTCGATTCAAATATCTGAAACAGATGATAAAAGCTCGTTGAATCTTTCTCAAGTTCTCGCCGTGAAAAGTTTCACATCAATGGATGATTTTCTGCAATAGACATTTTCATATGGATGATTTTCTGCAATAGACATTTTCATACAGGTTTTTGGAAAACTGAACGAAAGCAACTTATACTTTTGCTTGAAACTTTTACAATGGTCTTATCAACTGACTATATATAGCTTGGAATAACTAGACTGCTCAACGAAATTGTGACAGTATCTTATGCTAGTAATTATTAGGACTGAAAGGCGACCTAACATCACCCATGTCTTCTTACAAATTGTTTCTAAGAAGCCTGTTGTCGATAGCTTAGGACAAGGTCGCGGGAACAAGGCTTGTGGACAGCTAGTTTGAAAACTTGCTATATAGCATGACAAGAAGATTATTGTGACTGTACCTCGCCCAGCAGATTTGTGCTGTTGATACTTGTTGAACACGTGATTCCTTTATTGAAACGAAGATTAGTTTGTGCGCATTCAACTAACTGAAGACGCAATAACCAGAAACACGGAATCTCTGTGATCGTAAAGATGAAGATACTTGGACAAAACCTAAACGAAAAACGCAGAAAAATCACGCTATACGGCCGAGTCGTTGAACCCTTAAGGAGCACATTTCACAAACAATTTTAAGGGATGGTTTAAATCCCCGCTGGTAAAAGATTGAAACCACCCTTTCAAGTTTTATTTCTACGTTTAGGCAGTTTAGGCTACATGCACTATGGGCCATGATATCACTTCTAATGGAAAGCTCCAATGCAAAGAATTAGATACCAAAGTAAGTTAGTTCAGGTTTCCTCCTGTAGTGACACTGGATCAATAAGAGATAATCCTTACTGGACCTCTAGGAAGAATAGTTTAGAACTGATAGAGCTATCCAGTATAAATAAAGTTAGTTTACTTTAGGTTTCCTCCTGAATCAATAAGAGATTGCCCTTGCGGATCATCAGTAAAGCGAAAACGTGATGAAAATGATCTGATGGAAACCATTCAGTGTGGTGTAGACCATCAATTCGGTATAGTTTAGGCTAATTTGAACTAATCAACATACCAATAATACTCGTTTCCTCGGCGATAGAACACGGTAACAGCAGTCTCGAGAACAAGCATTGATAGAACGATCAAAAATAACCAATACATTGAATCCTGCTTAACTTGTGTCACCCACCATATGAGAAAACACGCGTGAACACAAAACACAAAACGACTTAGAAAGGCAGCAAGGTATGTAAATATCCTCTCCATTGTAACAGAAAGTTACCACAAGAACTCGTATTTGTCGCAAATAAAGCTATTAATTTACTTCTGCTTATTTCATTCACTTCGGGTAACGAGGAACGACGCTCAGATTTTGGTTGTGTTTTCACTAAAAAACAGTCCAGTAAACCAGCAAGCTATAGCGATAGCATCGGTGTGTCAAATTCTCGAGTCGTCAGGCAAACAAACCCACGTAAATTGAGGACAAATGATCGAGTACGTTGAGTTAAGTAAACAAATAAAAGGTTTCGAGGCAGCCGAGTTCATTCAATATACAATAATCTGCATTTTGTTGACTTTTGTAGCGGGACCTGTTAATACCGATTCACATTAGTGACGTTCATGCACAATGTTTTGACTGAAAATTTTTTTCCCATTTCTTGCTGACAACGAGAGCTGGAACTTCAAAGAAAACATCAAATTTGGATTGTCCAGATGCTGAAAAAGCTTCTTGCTTGTACTATTAATTGTAAGTTCAACCCTTCAAGCCTTTATAAGCATACAAATTCAACCATCGACTCTGTAGAGTGTAGGCAAATTTGTTCACAATAATAGCGAAACTCCAGTTGGAAAAGGCGATGTCTTCAGTCCAGTGTGGCTGACCAGAAACTGTGGACAGTATTGGAAAGAACTTATGACTTCTAAGACGTAATACTGGCTAAAACCCTAAATAGCCTCTCAAGTTTATCGGGCTAATCCATTGATGCCGAAATCCATAATCGCCAGCTTTCAATTAATTTATACGGTTGATGACAAAAAAATTAAATTCGGATCTGTCTAGTTTAGTTAAACCACAACGCAAATTTTTCTGTTCAAAATGAAATGAACGCAGCTGGCTAAAATACTCGGTCCACTTATAAATTGCAAGAAAAATTGACAATAACTTCGAAAAATCACCTTAAATCCTTGTCTTGTTGTCTGTAGTTCATATTTTGAGTTCACAAGATGTCATTTTTCGGAGTGTGTTTTTTCTTGTAAGAAAAAACAAGCCATCCATATAATGATGGAACATATATTTGTTTAGTCTTGATTTGATGAAACTCAAGGCTTTGTTAAAGCTTTACACGTCGAAATTCAAAACGTTTATAAGATAACAATAACTGGAACAATATTTGCACGGACTGACAAATTATCAATAATCTTCCTTCTTCGTGCGTCAGAAAACGGCAGGAAAAATATTAACAAAAATGCACCTGATAACATCCAGCAATATTGTAATGACGCTATTTTAATTAAAAACAGCTTAAATTTTGACAGCAACGTGTTTACCATGCAGTGAAAGAGTTGGCCACAAACTTCATAATGCTAAATGCGGCCGCTGTTGTTACAATAAACAGAAAAACAAATGTCTTCAAATACTCATATATAGATATAGACCGTAAAGTTGATTGTAAACTTAAGTAAAAAGACAAGTCCTTTGTTTTAAAGCGTTTAGATATCAATGAGAAATGAAGCATATATTTAATATTTGAAATGGCAATTAGATACACATATATAGTCATATACATAAAGCTAATTTTCTATATAGCGTTCCCTTCACTACTTTGGCTTTGTTTGAAAGGTCGGAAAATCTGAATTGCACGAATTTGGGCTTAATTATTCCAATCAATATAAATGCAAAATTAACTGACGCAACATGGGGAATCCTTTGCAATTCCAATGGGAACAGCATAAAATGCTTTTTTTTATAATATAAGAAGCGTACAACGCATTGCACCTAATTGCAAGGCTGAAAGCATCCCCAATCCAGGTAAAATTATGGATATTTTAAACGTCTAACTAGAGGATTTAATCTCGCCTGCGATAACTGACTGTACATGTTCCAATATGCATGGTGTCAAAATGTAACAAATTTAAATTATTTTTCGATTGGAAAATTGCGTTCCTGCAATTATTAACACTTCCCGTTATTAGAATCGAAATTAAGCTTGAATTGTTAATGAAACCTCACAGCTTTCTGTTTGCAAAAATTGAAAAATTTTCGCAAAGAAACAGAAGGTACCGTAGCCCGAACTGATTCGTGTTCAGAAGTAGCCCAGTACTCGTGGGCTTAACTTGAAATTCTATGCACAATGGTCGTCATTGACGTCAAATTTTTCAAAGGTCATAGATATATTTACATCATTCTTTACCAAAGTAAATTTTGGTCATTTTTGTCACAACGTATTATGAAACAAGTTATTAGTTTATAAGATCGCAATGATATCATTTATATCCAACTAAAGTCACTAAATCTCAGCACAACAGTTGGAAAGAGGTGAAAAACGATTGAGTTTGAAGCAAATGACACAATAAAGTTAATTTATATATATTTTTACACTTTTATACAGTAAAAAACATGAAGATACATAAACCAACTGATCTCGTTACAACTTCATGCCTACATGGAGTGTGGGGGTAGCCTTACAATGTGCAGGGTACCCCCAGACCTCACATTCAGGTGGCACCATAACTAAATACTATGGAAAGAAATAATACAATTATTTTTTCGTATGTTTCTGATCGGACAAAATGTTCATGATTTTTACGCTGTTTGCCAAGACAAGCTCAATGGCTTCCTTCACATTGTTTGTATCTAGTTCAGAGCAGATCTTATCAAAACAATCCTCCAACCTGAAAAAACAAATATCAACAATTGCAATCATTCATCAGTTTGACTGCTTTACATCAAACCATAGTCAAACACACCTGAAGTCAACTGCTTTTAAGAGGGAGGTACTCAAGCATTTGAACCATTTACCCCACTACCACACAAAAATTAAGCATATGTCCAATAGGGTGTCCCCATTACCCAGAGGGTGCCCCCACATACTTCCACAAATCTCAAGCAGTAAGGTATTTATCAAAATCATTATCCTACCTTTTCAGTTCACCTAAAATTCTGCCCAATCTTTGTTGCTCGTCTTTCAGTATCGTTCCAAAATGCATTTCTTTCAAAATCGTAGTTTTAAGTTCCAAAATTTCCCTATCCAAACTTTCTTCTGTTAATACTGTGTTCTCCTCGTTTTTCAAAGCATCGCTTATTTCTTTATGTACCTCGTCTTCGGGCAAACAAACATTGGGACTAATGACAAACGTATTCCGCAACAAAAACAATTCAATTTTGTCGATAGCCTTGTCGACGTTTTCATAGCATTTCTCAATCAAGTTTTTACACCCCTGTCGGATGGTCGAGCTCAAAATCGTGTCCCCTTTCGCAAATTCGTCGTCTAAAACTCTGCCCAACTCTTTGAAGAACTCCTTTATGTAATCGTTGATCGCATTGAAGATGCCGTCGACAAAAGCCTTCGGAGTAAAGCCGAAAAGTTGAGTGGAATATTCAAAATTGTGCACTCTTGCCGCCATTTTGTGTGGTTTTTCAAAATTAAAAACAGGCGGCAGTGAACTCCATATATATGTCTGGAATGATAATTGTGGCCGATTACGTCATTGCATTCGTCATCATATCGGACATAGTCCCCTGCGCGGTTATTACTCATTTGTTGTTTCAATTTATAAATTATAATATATATTTTATATAATAAAATATTATCATACTCCAGTTTACTTTGTAACTGTAACTTGTCATTGCTGGCAATTCTTTTTGCCCAAATGTCTAGTTCAATAGGACCATAATATTCTTGATGTTTGCATGGTGACAATCGATAAGTAATTTAGCTTGTAGGTACACCAGGTAAGTAACTACTAAGTAATTACTAATGACTAATTAATCAATTAATTAAATTATTAGTAATTACTACATAAGTAATTACTTACATGGTGTACCTACAAGCTAAATTACTTATCAATAGAACCAGTCAAAAGGTTCGGGCATTGGTTTCAGACCCCAAGATTTAAATACTTTTTTAATTTGAACTGTTCAACCTTGCCATATCAAGCTAATGTTATGGATAGCAGTTCTCACCACTTTATTTCTTCTTTTTCATTTTAATAAGGACAGGAAAATTTCTGACAACCTCAGCCAAGGGAGAACCTTCCTTTTCCTGCAGAAATATAAAGCCAATAAGGATGAAATTTACAAAGACTGAATATGCAGGTTATTCCATCAGAACTAGTTAATATCATCTTACTGGTAACTGCATATGATGTGCTAACATTTTCTGTGAACTAACTCTGTGGTGGTTCTAATATATTACATTGTAATTCACCAGCTATCATGAAAACATCAACTGGTAGACATGACGCAAGGGGATCTCACTAACCTGGCAGTAGGCCGACCAAACAAACTCATCATAATTTTCAATACATTCACAGTCAAAGCATTTAGTCTTGGCTTGCTCAATAAACTGCTCAACAGAACAACCACGACGAGGGGAGGTCATCAACACCATGCCCTGATCAGAAATTATAAAATAATGAAAAAAGAATAAATAAATAATCCCTAAACAAATTCAAACTTAAAGTCAAAAACTACATCTTTACTTACGTCGGGTTTTAGAAGGGTGCTTATCACATCAGCAAGACTTGCATGTAATTGTTCATACAACAAACTAAACAGGTGTTTTAAATTACTATTGAATGCATCAAAAAGTCTGCTAGTAAATTTCAATTGATGCATTTTCTCAATGACTCACCAGTCTGAACAAAGCACAAAATCAAAGTGACCCTTTAAGTCACTGTAATCTTCCCACATGTTCCATCTTAGCTGTCTAGCATAATAAAACATGACCTAAGTTTGCTATTTACAGTTTGTGGGCTGTAGGTTTTGTATAGGAGTTATATTTAATTTCATTTATTGTTTCATAGGAAAGCGCATCTAAAAAACTATTGGATATGAGTTCTGGGAATACTATTATTACTTACCTGACATTGACTGCTTTACTTCCTCCAAATTGTCTTTTGTTTGTCCTTGCAATTTCTTTAAGATCTTTGAAAATAGTCAAGACTTTTTAACTGTGAGATATCGCTGATCGACTGTATAAGGTTCTCGATATAATGTATTACATACAATGTCTAGATTATTAACCATTATTAATGCATCATGCATATAAAGCTCTAATTTAAAGGATACTTGAAACACCATCCATATTTCCATCTGTGATCAAAATTTCTTGTACATCAGATGCAATGGCAAGCTGAATAAAAAGAAAATGTAAGCAGCTTCAGTACAATATGAATATAAGTGGCAGAAAGGTGAGAGTTATCTACTCACAAGGTGCTACCTCTAAACTACCTCTAGATTCATTCACAAAATGTGGTATTTCAATTCAGTGTTTCAACTCACCATCATTCCAGCAAGGCCAGTCATTCCAGCACCAAGTTCGCAAACAGTTTTGCCTCTTTATAAAAGAGTAATATGAATTCAATTACTATGCAATTCCTAACTACACTGGCAGGCAAAATCACTTGAAATGAGAAAGTGAGTAATCTCAGATGAAAATAATAAATATACCTGAAGTCTTCAGAATTCTTTATACATATATATGACAATACTTCTTCAGAAGGCCAAACACCTGAGTAGGCCAGTAGGGAAAAGGTCTTAGCTAGGCTCAGCATATTGGCTTCAAAGTTCACAGATACATTACTCACAGATATTTCCAGTGTTATCAAAACCAGTTGCATCATTCCAGTTAACTGCACGAATCCTTTGTCTGTACAATGACAATATTAAAAAAGTGCCTTCAAAATTAGGTATGGAACAAAATTTTACCATTGAAACTATGTACTTGTCATAATTTTACGTATACATTACCAACCTAACGGCTAATCGACAGCTGGGGAAGTGCTCTGAGGCATATTCAAGCCACTCGTAGCCAGATTTAGCCTTGGAACTGCCATTACACACTTCATAACCAGCTTCTATTAAATCTGTTATCTTGTACGACGTGAATAAGCCATAAGCATGGCTCCGTTTATGCTGGACATCTAGATTTTGATTCTTGATAAAATTTCGCAAAATTGCCCATCTTTCTTTAGATCTATTGCATTTTGAAATTTCACTTTTTTCCATCTTTTTTTTTAAATCAAAAAAATCAAACAGGTTGCATTATTGCAACTTTTTTTATTTACGTCTTGACAATAATACTTCATGAAATCGGAATATTGTGTACCAGTCGTATAAAAGGCTAGTTTACTTTTAACTGCAGTTAATGGCATAATTGGCCAATCAGAGTCGAGTAATTAACTGCAAAGTGTAGTTAAATAGTTTTATACAACCGGTCCGTGGTCTAATGATGAATCTAACCAAGCTTCAAGCAAGAACAGTTCACGTTTTTTATATTTGACTAAAAAGCTTTACATTGAATGAAAAATTGCGGAAATTGTTTCGAGATAAATTGCATATTTACAATTGGAAACATTGTTCCAATGGTACTAATGAGATGATGGTGTATGAAAGAACACCAGAGTTACAAAATTTTGAGTGGAAGCCTCGCTTGAGAAAGATTGAAAATGACACACTGAATAAAACATTGCAAAGCCATAAGTATAAGACTGGGTAACATTGGTCTCAACACTTAACGTTTTGCAGCTCAGATAATTCTACACTTTTTTTGCTAAGAGACCGCTATTCAGTCGCTAAATAGTCACATAATAAACTATAGTTCCGAGCAATCATATCTTTTGCGCAAATAAAGAGAAACTGAGCCTAACTAAAGGCATCCTCTCTGTCTGTACTGACCAGTTCAGAATCCTCGAGCGTGCTGAAGTTCAGGAAATGAGACGGACGATGGACCTCGTGATAAAACTCTTTAGGGTTCGACAACATCAATTCGTATCTCATACTGGGCGAATGACGCACGCCTGCAAAACCCGAAAATAATTCAGTATTTAATAAAAGAGTTGTTGAAAAAAACACCTTATAGACAAGCTGTGCGGTTCTAACCATTCCAACTGAACTTACCCATGAAGTTGAAATTCCAAGAGCCTTGAGCGGGCACCATAAAGAATCCGAGAAAACGATCCGACAGAAGCATCTGAACTTTCTCGTAATGCGAGGGTAAATATCCCCTGGGGTTGTTTCCCGTATCCTTGTTGTTTCGCCCCCATTCGTAGCCAGACGGCGTGAGCTTGTAAGCCGTCAAGGAACACGAGCCTGGAGTGAAACTAAAAAACACAAAAAATACTCTGTGAAGACAAAGTTGTGACACATTTGGAGGCATATTTAGCAATATTTAGATATTTCGGCATCTATTCTCAGTCCTTTTCCCGTATTTCTAAAACGAATTAAAAGTTATTGCCACTATAAGCCAGCCTTCTAGTTTGGTAATAGTCCACTGGGGAAAACAGGGATACTAATAGTCCACTGGGGAAAACAGGGATACTAATAGTCCACTGGGGAAAACAGGGATACTAATAGTCCACTGGGGAAAACAGGGATACTAATAGTCCACTGGAGAAAGCAGGGATACTAATAATCCACTGGGGAAAACAGGGATACTAATAGTCCACTGGGGAAAACAGGGATACTAATAATCCACTGGGGAAAACAGGGATACTAATAATCCACTGGGGAAAACAGGGATACTAATAATCCACTGGGAAAACAGGGATACTGGCAGGGATCATTACCTGCAAGTTATAATGACAGTTTTCTCGCCATCCCAAGATGGATTGTCGGCCATGATTTTCGCATGGGTTGTAACGTCCTGTGGTGAAAGCTGGGGCAGTTCATTTGGCTGTGTGTGGATCCAACCGAGAGGTTCCATTTCCTACTCGAAAATAAATTATGAAAATTATTCACGATGACAGTGAACTCTAACAACAACTGGAATGTTAACTGTAGACAAACATGCTACGGTACTCTGAAGTCAAATTCAAACAGTTTTCAAACTGACTTTTAGTAAATTACCTTAAGATAGTCGTGTTGTGGCAACATATTTGGAAGGTGAACGGTCTAAAAGAAAACGGAGCCAAATTAAACTTGTTTAAGTTATTTGCTGGAAAAGTTAAAACGCCCAATGACAAGGTCAAAACGTTCAGTGTACAATGTTAACCCAATATTACCTGATGTGTACCCCACTGAGGTACCATGACGATGCAACGAATTTCCTTCACTTGCGGGTTGTCAGGTGGACTTACGCCGTACATGTATCCAGAAATCTACCAAAAAAAAAACACAAGAGCTTTACAACCACAATTCACAAGGAAGTACAGAACATTTTTAGCGCGACGAATTGCCAACTCACCTACCACCAATAACTTTCAAACAGTCGTTGGAAATGGATTCGTTTCTGCTCAGAGCTTTCAAATCGTCAAACGAACGTCAGAAACACGGACCGAAAGCAAATCATCATAGCAGAAATTCAACCAAACTAAACCCCTTTACTTTGATAATCAACCAACATCACGCGTTGCGCGCTGTAAAGCTGTAAGTGGGGAGTTCTTACCTGCGTTCTCAAATCAGCAATCACAATAAACTTCTTCAGAACGTTCTTGGGCAGAATATAAGTGAATCCAGTTTCTTTGATATCATCGGAAGATACGTAAATATGATTGGTTCTCAAGTGCAGATTCGTCGCGGAAATGGCGCGAACTCGCCATTCAGTCTTCGATGCGAACGTCTGCGTTTCGTAATTGCTCGTGGTCGATACGATAATCTCGTCACCGTGAATGTTTGTGGTTCTGGTGGTCGTCGCTGTGAGCTGTGATTGTTCCTTGGTTTGTTTCTCGATTTCTGCAATCTGCTGGCGCTGCTGTGAAGGAGCTGAGATCTCCATTCCCAAGATAATGTCACGAATCTCGGACTGTGTAAGCGATGCCACGTTCACGCTGAAATTTTAAAATCACGCTCTGGTTTATTATTTACTGCATAATTTCTGGGGGAGTTTTAGGCTTCTTTTTATACAACAGGATAGGAAGAAGCGATCATTTTGTTGCTTACTTATTTTTCTTTCCATAATCAGCCAAGATCAAATCTTTCAAGGCAACCTGAAAAAGAATGGAATGACATCAATGTATTGGGAAAACGCTGAATGAATACTCCTAACACGCGTGCTCGTGACAGATTGCGGTGAACTTATAACAGCTTCCTTCCATTGTCTATTTGTTACAAGTTTGTTGCAAGTTTGTTACAAGCCTGTTGCAAGTTTATTACAAGTCTGTTGCAAGTTTGATGCATATTTTCAATACCATACCTCGACAGACACCCATTCTTCATCGGTCAAAGTGGACCAGATATGATGTGGTTCGGTGATGGTCGTCTTATCTGGCTTCAATATAACCTTGGTACGATCTGGATTCACATGAAGTGCTCGCAAGATTAAGATCAAACGAGAAAACGCAGTGTACGAGGAGATCGTTTTCAACCAATCGTCGTACAAATTGAACAACACCATCTGAGGTTCCGTCGCTTTCAAAATCATATCACCAAGTTTTTCAACCTAAGAGAGAATTGCAATAAAAAAGTTTAAAACTCTTTATGAAAATATGGCTAAATGTATAGTTAATTCTTGATATATTGGTAGTGATTTTTGTAACCAGTATAAATTTTACTTATTTCGGTTCGGGCACCTTCAGGTAGTAACATTAAATAATGGGTCACTCAGAAGCCTCAAAATAGGGAGATCAAAGGCTTCGCTGTAGTAAGACCACTGCCCACGTTGGTTGAATTGCATCAGCACAACAAGTTTTAACCTAAATTCGTTAAAAAAAGGAAAAAAAGTAAACTTACCTTCAGGCAAGCCTGGAAAGGCAGTTGCAGTTCACTGCCTTTAATGACGATATTCGGGAAATCAAGTAAATGAACCTACAAAATGAAAGACACAGATTTGAAAACACGAAGGAGAAACAAATAATTTTTTGAAACACGGTCAATTTTGCATCAGTCGGAACTGTCAGACACTGTCAGCTCGCTTTTTGTTTACCCTCTACGGGGTGGGTGCAGTAAAACAATGACTTTCCAGATATACAACGCAAAACATATATCCATGTTAGGTCGTCGATGAAGTCTTTCTGAGTTCTCAATTCAGGGTATAATACTGAAAATTTCCACCATGAGTTTTACCTCCAGTGGATCCAACATTCCTTTCCTTGTGACGATGATTTGTTTTGGCTGTTCTTCAACGGGCAGAGAACGAATCAAAGCGGCCACTTCTTCCGCAGTTTTCCATTTAGCCAGCTGGAAGAAATTGCAAAATACATTGTGAATTGACTGACTAAAGCACCGTACAAACCTTCAGTTATTTCCACCTTACCTGACCAAGACGTTTTTGACCGGCCCACACAGAAGTGTGAATGATCTTCAGGAAAAGCTGACCAGTTCTTGGATTGAAAATGAAGATAGCTCCGTTGATGGGCTTTGTTGTCAAGTTGCCTTCAAATGTCTACAATAAAATATGTATTGAATATCGTAAACACCACACATATTTTGAAATTAAAACTAGTATGGGTCTAAACTAGACGTCTGGGGCCGCGCGGTTGTATCAAGCCCGGTTAGCTTAAACAGTGGTTGAGTGCAAAATAGCAACCAATAGTTTTACTCAACAAGCAAACTAAATGTTTTTAACCTTAATACAACGATACTGTTTACAACTGCATATTCAGTGTATAATATTCAAGTTGACTCATTCAAGAGAGATGTAAGAGGGTTATTTAATTTTGACTTATCCGCCGTTTAAGCTAAACGGGTTTTTGATACAACCGGCCCCTAGGTCAGGTTATACCTATACCTTGTGTATTGTAACTCTGTAGACATTTGTGTCATCAACAAACCATATAATCTGATTGGAGAACAGTTCACCATAGTTTTGAGATGATAAATACGGCTCGGTAGGTTCACTGGAGTACAGTTGCAATGCCTTCCTCACGCGTTCTCGCAGGACGTACAAAGCTGGGTTAGCTTTCATTATCTTGGCCATCGCTTGTTGCAGGAGAGGCTTTACACCCGGGAACCAGTTGCCAAATGCACTATATAGAAGAACCCGGAATTTAGTTTATAAAAAAGTACGATACAGCTATTGCTAAAGTTTATTATACAAAGCGTAAAGGCCCGTTTACACTAGCAATTTTTGCTGCGATTTTCTTCTTTTGATAGATGTGAACGAGTGAATTAGTTACTGATGTTCAAATAAAGGCTCTTATACATCAGAGCATTCGTAACTAATTACTCGTTCACATCTACCAAAAGAAGAAAATCGCATATAAAACGCAGAGAAAATCGCACTGGTGTAAGCAGACCTCGAAAGATACCGGCTGTCTCTAGTCTATCAGTTTCAAACCGTTCCTGGTCTCACCTGTGTAAATTATAAGCGAGATCAAGGCCAATGAGAACGCCGGTGGGTGACGGATAGATACTCATGTTATCTGTGGTATAATCAAGATATTTTGCACGCGTGTATCTTTCGATGTCATGCGAATCATAATCGCCCCATCGCAGCTGAATATCCAGCCAATATTTCTGAGTTGTTGTGCTGTCCATTATGTCTCTGAAATGTAACGAAGAAACGAATGAAACATGACACCAGCTGCTGCTACTTCAAGTGAAGACTTTTTTTTTTACTCACAAACCACAATATGGCGGAGCAAAAGTTCGCACAGGAAGTGGCAAAAATCGCGACTTTGGAGAGCTATAAAAATCTTTTGAGAAAGCCAATTTTGATTCTGTTTTCAAAAATGAAATCAGGACAGTGAGCACTTTAAATTGAGCCAATTAAAAAGGGGTCGAAAATTTCGCTGCAGTATCACTTTAAATTAGACTTCAACACGCAAAACTACAAATCAATTTCCCCAACTGCTTGGTTGAGCATGCTTTCGGAGTAGTTTCACATGGCCTTTGACCAATGTCATGCACTTCTTGATTTCATTCATTTACCTCGAGTCGGCGAGGAGCGAGGGCTTTGAAACGTTCCACTTGTAGGCAGCGAACAGCAAGATGTCCGCACATGAACTGTTCATCTTGTAGGATTTTCGGGGATGAATGGTCTCCTTTTGAACCGTCTCAATTTCCAGAGCGTCCAATTCTTGATCGAATACCTGGAAAAAGATAACACAACAATAATTGTCAAAGTGTTGACGGAAAACGAGATGAAAAGCGTACAAACTGACTAGACTCATTCAGACTAGCAGTACGGCAATGAACAACTCATGGTCTGTTGGCATTGATGAAAGTGAAGCAATATCTCACAAAAGAGTTCCAGTTGGTTAGTTTAGTTTTTTTTGCAATTTACCTGGCATAAATCCATGACGACACTTTCGTGAACTTTCTGCCACAAATGAGCACGGAAAATTTGAATCAAGGAGATCTTTAGCGTTGGGATTTTGCCATGCATGAAAATACCTGTCAAATCAAGTTGGACTTGAAAACCAACGTACACCTATAGGAAGATATTAAAATGAATTATTTCAAAAGTGACGAATGAAAAAATATCTGAATTCTACCATCAACAGCATTGAAGGCAATGCAGTTTCGTTTGAACAACTTTTTTTATCAGAATGTATTTGCATAGTGCTTGTTCTCAGTTCACACAAGCACTACGAAAACTAGCATCATTCTGGTTTTCCAGTTCTGTTATTTGACTCATTTCAAGTTAATCAACTTACATTAGCTCGGTTAATAGTGGGTGACCACCATAATGTGAATCGTCGATTTGGAATTTGATTCAAACCAGATCTTTGAGCATTCGTCAGCTTCTTGTATTTCATTGATTCCTCGAATCCACTGGCTTTCTCCCAAAACAAACCTTCCCATGTCGGGAAATACGTTCCTTTGAACAAGGTGTGCTCGAGAATGCCTTCAACTCCACCTAAGGCCTGGATCATGTCCGTACGATAGTTGTTCAAGTTCCACAGCTTGCCATCGTGTCGCTGATGTGTCCACCAGAATGGATTCTGTTTCAAAACCTGTAGCGAGAAGATAAAACGATTAAAACCACGTCAAATAAGGAGAGAATTGGTGAGATTTGGCAAACGGGACTGAAGGGCTAACATGAGTGTTTTTATCAATCTTTTGGCTTTAAAATCTTCCGGAAAACGGCGTATTCGACCATGGTCGAGTCCGCCGGAAAATGGTGTATTCGACCATGGTCGTATTCGTCATTTTCCGGCCAACTCGACCATGGTCGTATTCGTCATTTTTCGGCGAACTCGACCATGGTCGAATTCGTCATTTTCCGGCGGACTCGACCATGGTCGAATACGCCCGTTTTCTGGCGAACTCGACCATGGTCGAATACGCCATTTTTTGGCCGGAAAATGGCGTATTCGACCATGGTCGAGTCCGCCGGAAAATGGCGTATTCGACCATGGTGGAGTCTGCTGGTGAGGAGCTTTTGCCGAATGTAATATATAATTTTAAAGTAGAATTTCTAGGAGTTTCCTTCGCTGTCCAAAGCATTTTTTTCTTGTATTTCTACTTGCCTGATACTGTTTAAAATCTGTCCTAACTCTCCATCCTTTATCATAAGCCAAAGTGTGTCTATCCTTTTGAAACAGCGTGTTGATGCGAGGAATTCCACGATCCCACGAGTCCTCGAGATCCTCGAGTGTCAGACGTCTGGTAAGAAAAATACGACTTGTAAATGAATCCGAAATATACGCCTTTATACTATTGAGGTTTTTGTATACAAATTACAGTTAATATAAAGTTTAATAGAAACAAAATCTTGATAAAATAAAATACCTGTTCTGTGCGTTTGCCTCCTGGCGTTTCAAAGCGTATTCTGCCCACACGCGTTGCGAGTCGATGAATTCACTTTCCCATGGTTGGACATATCTGAAGCAAAACAAATGCGGTTTACCCACACGAAATCTTTCCTCTTCATGAAGGAATACACACACGAAATATCGAGGACTTACCGATACAAGTTAGGAATCAATTGATCTTCATCGTGGCTCATACCAGAACGAAAATGAGTGATCCCTGTGTCCGTCTGTTGTGACCATCTAAAGAGTAAAACGATTTGGTATAACGAAGAAGCCTTTGTTGGATTTATTTCAGTGTGGTTAGGTCTTCGTATGATCCACAGAAAACACAAAAGGGAGATTCAAAAGAAACCTCAAATCAGATTGTGGAATGAGAACATGACCCATGGACAGCATCCCCAGTCCTCCGAGCTCTTTCGGCGTGTAAAATACAACTGGCGGGAAACGACTTGGCATTTTCGAGTTCAGACCAATCTTGATACGAGTTTGAATCTAAGACGGCAAAACAGATAATACTAGCTATAGATTAAACTATGCACCAGGCAAGAAGTTGGGTCATGTCGCAGCTCTCGGAAGCTTTCGTCCAATTGGATAATGCTTTTCTATGCTTTCTAAAGAACGAAGCTATGCTATTGGTTGAAACAGAAACGTATTGTAAAGTTCAGCCAATGAAAATCCTTCTTGCGAGGAGCTGCGACACTACCCAAGAAGTCTTGTCTGAATCAATATTAAGTCCACTGAACTTGTTCTTTGAGAAAGTGTTTGTCGTATGTCATACTATACACAACATACTCTTGATTTATGTAAACACAGGTAATATAACACACCTTATTTTCACATTTCACGAGAAGATCAAGCAGCTCTTGCGTGTTCACAACGGACTCTCTGAAGTAGGTCATCAAGCCGATCAGAGCTGTGTTCCACTTGTTTACGATCTTCGTGAATGTCGTCGAACCGGAAGCCATAAGAATCTGGCGAACACGATTGTGGAACTTCTGGAGAGAGTCGTCGTCTACTCTGAGGAAACACTGGGCGGTCCGTTCCTTTGTGACCTAAAGAATTGAATACTTGTTGGAACGATAGAAGGAGGACAGATAATTGGTGACCATGCAATGGTAATTATAGCTTTAACAATAACACACTACAAGCTACCATACAATGGTAACCTTACCATGACTTAACTCTGGTACTCATACCATTACCAATACCACACTACTGGCTACCCCATAGAATGGTAACCTTACCGTGATGACTAAACTATGGTACTCATGAACCATTACCAATATCACACCATAAGCTACCATACCCAGGTAACCAAACCGTGATGACCATACTATAGCAACCATCCCACAACTAATATCACGCCAGGAAAACCACCCCCTAAAACACCATGTAACCATATCATATCCCTGAAACTAACCTCGTTTTGTAAATTCCACACCCCATCTCGATGAGTGAACTCTTCAAAACTCGTGCGACATTTAGGAAGAATTCTACACTCGAAACCGCTCATATCAAATAACAAGTTCGGATTATCCTTGCTGTACACAGACACGAAGCTGTTCTCCCACTCCAGTGTCGTGACTGACCGCGGCAGACGGTTCTTCATGTCCCAGAACACGGCACGTCCCAAATTCACATCGTGTTTCATGAGTCGCATTCGAGCATCTCTTGGCCAGCATTTCTTGTTGTTGTAACCGACGATATTCTCGTTGTTCGGGTCAGGATGTTCGGTCAGATACCGCTGGATTAGATCGCGGGCTTCTTCGGCTGTGAACCTACACGTCAGATGGAAAGAAATGATGTGAAAACAGAATGGAGTCTGATTTTCCATTTTGGAAACACATCAGAGTTATTGGGCAAAGTTCGACCAGCTAAAAATGGAGGGAAGTTAAATGACTGATCTCGCAATACACTGGATGCTTACTAACGAATATTAATATGAATTAATATTATCAGATTAGCGACTTGAATAAACTTTGAAAGGTGGTAAGAATTGTCTCAAACTCGAAAGAAAATCAAGTTTTGTTGGAGACTTGGAGTATCTCGTACCTGAAGAAGACGTGCAGTCGATCAACATAACGGGAATACAAGCGAATGGGATGAGATGCCTCGGTTTGTACGTCTTGATAAGTCAGGAAATCGTTTGGCATTTGTGGTGGTCCAGCCATCTCGCTGGCTCGCTGGAGACCAAGCATTAGCAGATCCAAAACAAGGCCGTAATACTGGACGATGAACGATGAAAACTGGAGACCACGAATAATGCCATAGGAATTGGTGTGATTCATATCCTGGAAAAGATTTAGATGTAAAAAATCTCCAGCAAGTTATCATGTTAGAAAGCACGCATAAACACCTTGAACACTTTCTGATAAACAGTTGTTGACAGTTTTAGCAAAAGTTTCGTTGTTGATTCATTCATTCTATCGTCAAATAAAATATCTCACAAAGGGCAAGGTATCCACACTAATACCCATCTGACCTAAATACTGATCTATTGCCTAAAGGTGTGTTAACACGATCCAATTTTGTTGGATCCAATTCACTTCTGATGGATGTTTTATGGTCTGTTGACTTGCAATGTATAAGGGCAGCAAATCAACTTAAGCCAATGCAGTGCTGCTTTATCAATAACCTGACTTCATTCCATACATCAGAAGCGAATTGAATCCGACAAAATTGGATCGTGTGAAAAGTCAGACCTTATTACTGCTCTGATTCAATCTCAAAGTCCCTTACCTTGTAGTTAATGACAACGTTGTTCTTGGCTGTCATATAATCAGCAATGTTGTGATCCACGATGAGTCGTAACAATCTGTTGAGCAACGTCAAATCAATTTTCTCATACAACTTTTCAAATTGTGCTTCCATCATCACGTTACACTCTCCTTCACCAGTTTCCCAAACATCTTGAAGATTATTGATGCCTAATGGAAGCAAAGACAGGTATGCTTTAGGGTCACCTGCGGATAGAATGCAAGCGGTAAACCTATCCCAATCTATCCTCTGTTTATCCTGACCTCTATACAATCACTTTCTTCTGTCATTTTTTTGGTCGTAATTCCAGAATCCGGGACTATAACCCTAAGATCAATCCTAAACCTGACCATAATCCCAACCTAATCTCGAGGATTAAATTCGTGCATTTAGGATTAGGATTATACTAAACATGAAATTTCAACCCGAAATAGCACAGTCCAGCACACACCTTGACACCATTTGTACACCAACAAAGGAGGGGGTTCTGTGTCGGCAGGTTTGACCCAGGGGGGGAAGAGTCTTCGTTTGTCCGCCTCGTACCACAAATACTGATCTAAATATGCATCTGTAATCTTCTCCAATGGCTCAACATCGTACACTGGAATCAGGTGACTGTAGAGATCCATAAACTCGATACCAATCTAAAATTTTCGAAGCGATCAAAATTACGTATACTCAGATGAGATTGAGAATTGCACATTTTCTTGTAAAGATCAACCATGCACCCACCTCTTTAAAAGCTCTTTGGGTGAGAAGATGACGTTTAATTCTACTCAAGGCTTCATGAGGATTGTCGTACGCTTGTTCAATCAACGCCAGTTCCTCTCGTTGAGATTGATTTAATCGACTTTTCACGCTAAATGAAAACACATACCAAGTGTAATCAAACTTTCATTCTTGTGTATATTCATTTTCTTTACCATAAAAACACTGTCAGTCACTCAGAGCTTTCAAATCTTCAAACAAAAGTCAGAACACGGACCGAAAGCAACTCATCATTGTGAAACAAAATATATTCAAAACAATAAACGTCTAACTACCTGTAAGCTTCTTTAAGTCTCTCCAACGCAAGGATAAGAAGTTTTGTGTCGTGTTTGTATGAAAGAGGTGGGAAAGGAATCGGAGAAAATCTGCGACTCTCAAGCCAATGAACGGTCGTGGTGTAGATAGCGACTGCCTCTTCTGCGGATATGTAAGGACCATCCTTGAAAGAACACAAGCGTTTGGTGTTATATCGATGCCTTTCAACAATTTCTTCACATGAGACTAAGCCGAAGATAGCTAGTAACTACACAGAGAGAATAGAAAAGACAAAAGCAAGTTTCAAAATTACCTTCAGGTAGTTATGTTGTCTTTCTTGTTCAGCTTTGAGGTACAAACGCGTCAATCTTCCCAGGTTTTTCTTACAAACGGTTTTATCAACTGTGGCACCGCGCCGAATACGCTCTCGGTTGTAATGCGCCGTGTTCGTCCACCAATCAGCTTTGGCCTTCACGTAACGAAGAATCATGTTTTCGATAGGGGTCGGCAGTCCGGGAACCTGGAAGCGAAAGATTTGGGTTATATCTCAAAGATCAGGTATATCGGGCGATCAGTTTTAAACCAATAATCTTAATCGGCTAATCCTAAAATTAATCCCAACACTAACCCTTTCCTAATCTTAGCTAGAACCCTGATCCAAACCCTTAATCACAATGCTAGTCGAAATCTCACATTGGACAAAATATTGAATTTTTGCCATATACAAGTAATGAGATTTTCTACGGGGCGTAAACACACACACCCATACCCCAGAACCTCCTCCCCCCTCCCCCTGAGATTCACCTCCTCACCTTCCATGGGATGTTGGCTTTCCAACAACGCCACGCCTCGCTGAGATGTTGCAAGATCGTCCTGGCTTTGTTCTGTTTGATTCCCTCAGGCATCATATCAAGAATATCGTGCATCACTGCAGCGCGCAACTCGAGATCGTAGTGACTCTCAACACGTTGCTTGGTGACCGTCTTGGCCACGCCTTTCGAGTGTCGTCCTTCGAATTGTCGGGCGAGCAGGTTGCCCAGCCATCGTTCCAGGAGGGGGACGATGCCGCGAAGGAAGAACAGCCAGACACGCCACCCTGGCGCCCAGAAACCACAGCCAGGTCCTTTACCCACCGGACCCTAGAAGACAAAACGATTGATATTTATAAAGGCCTTGTCGGAAGTAGCTAGGGTGACCTGTAGGCTGAACCGGAAGTGAAATGAGCGAGGGTCTTCTGAGAATGAGAGCGAATAGTTAGAACGGCGTGGGTCAAATTTGTGTGAACAGTTTAACGAGAATTAACGAGAATATAGACCTTTATACTGGAACTTTAACCGTGTTTGTGAATTATTGTGATCGTGGGGGGACCTCAACAACGTTCCCCACAGCCTGTTTAAACTTGCAAACTTTTAGTGCGATTTTATGTGTGATTTTCTTCTTTTGGTAGATGTGAACCAGTGACTAGTTACGAATGCTCTGATGTATAAGAGCTCTTATTAGAACATTAGTAACTAATTCACTCGTTCACATCTACCAAAAGAGGAAAAGCACATTTATGACAGGGTGATATTTTGTTACTTACGGTATTAAAGCGATAGTAAATAAGATGTTTTAAATCTTTGCACATTCTGATTTGCCTCATCAACTTGTATTTATACCGATACATCCCTGTAAGTTGACCGACGTGGGCGAAGACGTACTGCAGGCCATCAGCAAGCTAAATAATGATGAAATATAACATGGTTTAGATAAAATATCTCAGCATCCCAAATATAGACAGAGTACTAGCAAGAGTTAAACAAAATGATTCTAATCTGCTTTAAATTTTGTGGATGAATATCCACTATAGGGAAAACGATATGACGTTTTGAGTATCGTCAATTTCAGAAATTTTCGGTTTTCGGTTCAAAAGTTTTTGTCAATTGAGTTCGGAAGTATCAGAACCGAGTATTTCCGACGAATTTTCGAAGTCCCGCGCCTCACTAATAAGAGGAAGAGAGCGGGTTAATAGGTTATAAATGATGCCAATCAATTTCAGACCGAATCTCACCTGGTAACAGTCGACGTTTCCTAAACGATATTGCACATGGGAATCCACGACTAACTTCGTCAACCGTAGGATCTCACGACACAAATGGAACGCGTTGCCAAAACGAGATTTCTTTCGTTCCTTTGTGGTCAGCGTTTTCACCGGCTTCAGATTAAAATTGTAATCCAAATGCAGGTAGTTGAGATTCTTTCGATGGATCAGCAGATTGAGCATGTTATATCCTTGGCGACAAACTTGCAGACCAACCTCGACCCAGTCGAGGGTCGTGGTTTGAAAGAATTTTGTCGACTTGAAGGATCGGAACAAGTAGCTGGAAAAATCCGTGAAAAAGATGGAAAAACTAAATTTAGGCAAAACCAATGTTTAACTGGACTAATTATTAATTCGCATGGTCTGGTCACAGAATGCCTATCGGAAGAATAACTCTGCAATTTTTTCGTAAGTGTGATTCGTCATGATTCGTCACTTAGCAAGTGCATTTTTTTGAGGAGTCACCCCCCTGCCAATACTAAAAATTGCCTCATTTTAGACATTGGCAGGGGGGTGACCACCGCAAAAAAATGCACTTGCTAAGTGACGAATCATGACGAATCACACTTACGAAAAAATAGTATGGAGTTATTCTTCTGATAGGCATTCTGTGGTCTGGTGGAACGAAAGCAGGAGTTGACTAAAAACGACTCTTTCGTAAACGTCCCGTGAAATGATGTGGACGAGATAAGACTTCAATGGCAGAGATAAATGCCGACATAAGATTTCAAATTTTGGCAAAAGAATGCAACCAGCAAGTCAAGGAAATCCCATACCAATGACATTTTATGTTTTGCTTTTAAAACAAGGAAGAGACGACGTGTCCGAACGAGGGAAGAACGATGTCCATTACGTACCGTTTCTTTTGTGCCTTTGGTGGCCTGTGTTTCAAAGCATTCAGCACAAAACATTTGAGTAGTTTTTGATAGGAAACCCTAACTTTCACAGGGTGATTTGCGGGACAATGTTCCTGATACCTACGAGTGAGAATATTAACATAGCCAATGAATATATAGTTGACGAAAAAAATCTGTTCCATAAACCTTTTCACAATGATGTCAGGTGAAGGAAGTCTGAGGTTACATGAAGTTTTATTATCTAGTTAGTTTTGCAGAGTATATAATACAGAAGGGCTAAAATTCTTGCCTACCAGGAATTCACGAGTGGAATGTCCAGAGCTCTTCTTGTCCTCCCTGCTCGCATGTTGAAGGGCCTTGGGGCCCACAATAAAGCAATCCCTGTAAGAAATAAGAATATGTGTTTGAATGATTTGTAGTATGTGTGTTCTGTCAGGACCACACTATCAAGATATGGCAAAACATCTTAGCATTGTTTCCTTCCAGAGAATATAAAGAAATTGCTAGTTTATAAAAAATGCAACAATTTTACCATTTGCAGTGTTGTCCGTATATAATGGTGTTTCTTGTAAGAATGGTTGAAAGTCTTCAGGCAATTCAAAACTGTCGTCTTCTTCGGGTAAAGGTTCAGCGCTCTAAGGTGCAATACAATTAAAATCTTACCAACCGTCTACGGTACCAGTTGATCACAGTTACTAGAGGAGGAAACCTAAACTAACTTTATTTACACTGGATAGCTCTATCAGTTCTAAACTGTTCTTCCTAGAGGTCCAGTAAGGATCATCTCTTATTGATCCAGTGTTACTACAGAAGGAAACCTAAACTAAATTAAATTTATTTATACTGGATAGCTTTATCAGTTCTAAACTGTTCTCATTGCTCACCTTGATTGCGTGACGATGTGATATAGGATTGATCAAAGGATCAAAATAAAATGCAGGCAGATCAGGATCTTCGGTTTTGATGTAAACAACAGTTGGATAATGATACCTGCAGACATCAATCATTTCATGGATAAGAAACAAGAAAGCGCTCGCTATTGGCATTAAGTTAACAATATGACAGCAATTTCTTTTATGTTTTTCATGAATTATATGCAGAAATAAAAGTGCATCTTGCGAGGGGAAACTCATCATGAAGACGGTGCTAATAAGAGAAGATCAAGTTCAATGTCTTGCCCATGACCATTTCTTTGTAACTAATTCAAGGCTGTAGGATTGTTGTAGCAGAACTATTATTTCTCTAATGATAGTCCTTGCGCATTTTCAATCTCATTCATTTTGCCCTTACACCAAACAATGCTAAAACAGCTTTCATAGCACGTCCCCGCGTGTAATGGCTTTAACTATGGTTGAGTGAATTTCGAAAGATAGGGGTATTGGGGTTTTTTTTAATTTTGAGCAGAAATGTATAATGCATTGAGTGATTTGAGTCACCCTTTCAATTATATTAGAGTTCACTGCTCTAGGTTCAAAGAAATCCTGGAAACTAGGCAAGTCATTCCAATATTCAAAATGGTAGAAATCTTTTACACACACTGGATTACCTTGCATAAGGTACGACTTACCATAACAGATGGACTTTAAAAGGCAGGCTGTTATAGAGATAAGGAAACGCAATGCGGTACTCGGTTCTGACCGGTTGCCGGATGATAATTTTGTTGATATCATTAAACTCGTTCCAGTCCTCGTCGTTCCTGCTCACATCGCGAACCAACGGCTCGAACTTTGGCCCTCCGGGAATTGCAATGTTGAGCGCTTTGGCAGTAAAAAATGCCTTCATGTCGAACAGGTAGAAAAAATTCCCATCAGCAAGATCAGAGAGCAGTTGGTTGCCAAGACGATATAATGTAGATTGCATGGGCAAAGAAAGGTTCCACTTTCTGTATGTTGAGCCATTTACAAATCTTAAAATAAAAATACTTGAACTTAGATGCTTTTCTCATCATAAAATCAAAGTTTCGATTCCCTGGCGTTGACTTATGCTATTTTATGTACATGTTTCCTAAGGTCAACATGATTACCAGAATTATTCAAGAGTAACTTATTATTAATAATATTCTTGTAAGTTTGCATGCTTTGCAGTATTAAATACTTATGTGGTGTACCTACAAGCTAATTTACCTAACTTATTATTATGACAATTGCCAGAGCCCTTGGGTTATTTGACTTTTCAAAAGGCTGTGACAGTCTATTCATATGAACTATCAAATAGCTACAATTGATATAATATAAAACAAAATGGTTCCTGAAATATTGAGTCAAGCAAGCTTTCAAAAATAAAAACTAGTCAGTAGCTTTTTAGGTACAGTACGGTACTATCAGTACCTCATTAAATATCAATGCTTACACTTACTTTGTATCAACTAATGGTTTATGATCATAAAACCACTCGTACACAGGGGAATCCTCCTCTGGATCGAGGTCAATCTGAATCGCCTCCAGTGGTTCTACGTCCAAAATGTTGTCTGCATAATCCAAGGGCGGTTCCTCATCGTCAAACGGAGGAAAACGCATCCTTTTGAAATGACGACGATCTCGCTTTTCTCGTCGCATCATGATCCACATTGTTCTACAAAAGAAATTTTCATCAACAGTGTGTTCTTCACACATCACATCCTCTCTTGAAAGACCAGGTAGAGGTGGACCCCTTCACTTACCCCCACTGTGCAATGTACACAGGCTCCATGACCCAGGGTATTTCATTGATGAAGGTTATCGCTCCGGTGACATGATACAAAACTTTAACATCACGAATCTGTTCCCAAGGCATTGGCATGTTTTCCAACAACTTGAGGATTGCATGAGGCATGTATTTCAATGCTCTGAATAAAAGAAGGACCGACTTTGAAAACTTGATGAAAAGAGGTTGTAATGAAAGAAACAAGATGTATACTTACTACCCACATTTTAACCTACTCCTCATGAAACAAGGTATCAATTTGTGTTAAAATCTCATGCAAATTTAAGATGACTGTTGCAAACAACATTTCATTTCATTGTCAATTTTGTTAGGACTTAAATAACCATTGGGCAACCAAAATTAAAATCAAAGTCTAGCCATTTAACTATAAGTAATCTGGTAGACTAATTTGTGAACAACATAGTCATATTTGCTAAATTAGAATCGTTTTTCTGAGTTGCACACAGAGACACTTGACCCCAAACTTTTAACCATGGATTCAATTTCTCCCCTTTCCAAGATTATACATTGTTTGGTACATCAAATGCACAAGTCAGAACACAAAATGCTTGATCTGCTTTGGACAAATTGCTTTGTAAGTTATCTTATTTGTTTTACCCCAAATAAACTCTCTTGTCATGTCTGTATTTCCTGCTAGACATGTCGCCATGGTCTCGTATGATCTTTCTCACATGTTCTGGTGGCATGTCCTCCTTTTGCGCTTCCACAAAACCAAACTTTCGTTTCTCGCTGTAGCGTTTCGACTGCAACTGCTGCCATTTCCGAGCTAATAAATGAAACAGCCAGTGGTTAGGTACATTTTAAAGCGGTTCAGCGGATTCTTACGAAGACTTTATGACTGTCGTAATGCATTGGTATTTGGTAGGAATTCTCATGCATGGTACGTAAGGCATCTTTCAGAATCAGAAATCCAAACAACCAGATTGTAAAGTTGTTCCTGCTACCATTTTGAAAGAATGTGCATATTGAAATGTCAAATTAGCAGACATAATCTAGGTGAATTTCAAACATGTTACTAGTAAAATGATAGACCATATTGTTCATGAATACCACCTCAGTTCTGGTATAATTTACTATCCTTAAAGTGCATCAGCATATCTAACATTGCTGACATGCTAACCTGGTACTACCTGTAATACCAACCATCACACAAGCCAGTTAATATCAACCCTAATTCAGGACGTTTTCTAACTTTCCACCAACATAAATATTTGTTTCATCACCATATACATTGATCAATATACATCTATTTATCCATTATAGACTTCCCTGTACTTTTATAAATAATCAAACTTTGCGTATAATCTCTTCAACTAAATGCTCACCTTTCTCCTGCAGTTTTTCCTCGGTGATCTCGACACCGGGGGCCATGTAGGACGCCATCTTGAAGTATCGTGTTCAGAAAGAAACTTCGATATTTCTGTTGAGAAAATGAATCAAAGCCTCGAATCAAACGTTACGAGCAAGCGTTCATATTGGATCTTCACAAGAGCCGCAAAACATACCTCAAACTCAAACCATTTTCCAGAAAATTTGAAGGAAATTCGCAAATACTCCAAAAGTCGTTTGCTAAACGTGGTTCCGAATGAATGTAGGTACCAGTACTTCGCACGCTTCCTCGAAAATTTATCACGTGGTTACTAGAGTTGTCAATAAAATGGTTGTTTTTTTGGATCTTTTGATTTATAATCCCAATTTGAAATGCAAAAGGAACTGTATTGAATAAAGCTATCGTTCTCGACGCTAAATGTAAAGTTTGAAGTCGTCAAAAATGAAATAACACAAATATTTTTTTTATTTTACTATATTACAAGTTTTTACGAGCCCGCCCTTGCTCATAGACAGCGTTCCGTAACGATACAGGTCAACACTTCATGTGACAAAAACCATGATAGATTGATGCAACATTTGTCTCCCCGAGGAAAAATGCTGGGGTGCCAGGTTGCATTTGTCATTGCAATTTAAAAAAAAAACTATTTACATCATCTAGTTCATTTCAATTTGAAGACATATCATAATGAGAATTGGCAATGTTAAATTTCACATTTCTACATCGGAATCTAATCAATGATATTATGAAAATTCTTAATTACCTTCACGATTGTTTATTAAAACAAATTTGAAAAATAAATAACCCGTCAAATCGAGGGCAATTTCAGCACCCCACGGAACAATTTCTGCGCCAACTTCCTTGCCAATATAATGAATATGGGCATATGGCCAACTTTGTTTATTTCACTTATTTTCGTCTAAATCAGTTTTAAGTTAACCACAGCGGCAATCCAGCCCTGTCGCCCAGTATAATTCGCGGAATTGTTACGACAACTATTTTGATATCATCTACTAAGAAGAGGTAGGTTCATCCAGTAACACTACTGATATCGGGTGAGTCAGCATTACGCATCCTTCCGAATGATCGAATTTTTGGCTGCCTGGCCCTCTTCCGTCGCCTGTGATCGATGTATGAGATGAACACAATCCAGGATAGAAGCGTTAGACCGCCAAGAAGAAAAAAATAATACGTTAAGTCGTAATAGATCCCTCCTTTCGTTTTGCGCTTGAGAAGACCACTCGCCTCAAAGATTTCCAACAGGCCAGACCCCAGCAAAGAGCCAAACGAAATGGTGACAAAAAACAACGCCATTACGACCGCTTGCATGGACTGCGGAGCATTGCTGTAAGCAAATTCCAAACCTAGGGGAAAAATCAATGATGTTTAAACGGGCGATGAATCATTCAAATTTTTAACTATAGATTAAGGGCCTCCACTCTTTCCAGCTCAAAATTACTGATGGAAATTTAACAACATAGCTATAAAGTGCATCTTAAAACGAATTGCACAACACACACGAAAGCCTCGCTTAGGGCTCCTTTCCACTGCCGTGTTTTTTGCACGCACGTAAAAATTTAAACCCTTCTAAGTTGTTGTATAGTTAACTTTATGCCAGTAAAACGCAGCAAATCAGAAACAGAATCTTATAAGTGTCATTTGAATGATTTTAAACTTTTACGTGCGTGCAAAAAAGCGACATTACCGAGACACTTACCGCCAACTGTAGCAAATATTTCGCTCACGCCAATCAGTACATACTGAGGAAGTTGGTAAAAAACGGAGAGGTTTGCCGCTACGAAAGTGCGACTGTTAATGTTGGGGTTTTCAACTGTATCATTGTGAGCGAATCGGTCCATCACAGAGATCTCAACAAAACCAGCGGCAATTACCGCAAAACAAGACACCAAAATACCTTAATTAGAAAGGAAAAGTTTATTCAGTGATACATAATTATCACCACAATGCATCTATTATCATGATCATCACCATTATTGCCTTTTCCATTACCATATAATCTCACCATCCTCACTATCATTATCATTATCATCATCATTATCATCTTCACCATCATAACTATCACCATCATTATCATCATCATTATCATCTTCACTTTCATAATTATCACCATCATTATCATTATCATCATCATCCTCATCATTATCATCATCATCATCATCATCATCTTCACCATCATAATTATCACCATCATTATCATTATCATCATCATCATCATTATCATTATCATCATCATCTTCACCATCATAATTATCACCATCATTATCATTATCATCATCATCCTCATCATTATCATCACCATCATCAATCTTGCCATCATCATCCTTACCATAATCACCATCATCCTCGTCATCATCATCATCATCACCTTCATCACCCTTAACATCATCAATCTTACATTACCATTATCACTCTTACCAGATGTCATCACTCTTATCATCATCACCACCATCCTGACCATTATCATCATTAATTTCATATAAAATGTATTAAAAGGTAGCCTCACCCCACAAAAGCAAGGTTTTACCTACCAATGCTAATCCTTGTGAGCGGGATCATTTTATAGCCTCGCTTAGTCAGCCATGGATAAACAACCTTTTCCATAAAAGGCAAGAGAATGACGATAATTACGGAATTGAAGAAAGTCAACCATGCTACTGGAAAATGCTTGAAATTATCTATAGTTATCTTCATGCGCACACCTTGTTGAAGAAAGGTAGCATTTGTCTGGTAAAAAAGATATCAAACCATCATAAGTTATAAAAGTAACATAACTATCACCTGTATTTAATGAAAGAGGATGTAAAACTCAGTGACTCGCCTGATTGTCGATAGTTTGATACGGTAACAACACAATGAAGACAGGAATAATGGCAAACAAAAATTTCACTTGATCAACTTCCCAGTCAAGAAAACTTCCACCGAATTTTATTTTTGCATATTCCAACCATGGTATTTTCTGCTGTATTGAGATGGGTGAATCACTAAGAATATAATGAAAACAGCAGTCCAGATTTAGCTTTTGTACTTTGTCAATTATTGAGCAAACAAAGATATTTATTAGAGGTCAGTATTTATGGCTGTGGACAAAATTTATGCAAACATATCTTGTCTATGCAAGGTTTGCATATTTATTAAAATTTTATTTGTTACAAACTCATTTCACATTAAAAAATTTTAAAATTCAATAATATTCAATACAACACGGCCACTCGTGTAAACACTACGTAATACCTTTTTTTTGATCTTTTATAGTTTCTTCGAGCCTCCCTAATGATCTGATAGACCTTTCCAACAGTGCGTTGACATGGAAGTGTTTTATATCGATCTTTCGACAGCACAAATATGATTAAAGCCAATGTAATGGTGGAAAATGGAATTGCAAATCCTGTCACAAAGCCATGTGCCTGCTGTACATAAGCGCTTACACTAAATGCAAGCATTGAACCAAGATTGACACTAAGGTAGTAAAAATTGAAATAACGCCTTGTGCTATCTGGATTCTTGCGATCCAACTGTTCCGCACCAAATGCAGCGATGTTGGCCTTGTGAGCGCCTTCGCCAATTATGGCAATAAGAATCGATGCAAACACAACAAGTGCTCGATACAGAGACTTTTGGCGATATAAAAAATTTTTATTAATACAAAAGTATGCCGACATTAGCAGCATCCCAGTTCCAAGAGTATATATGACCAGGCCCCAAATAATGGTTTTAAGTTTGCCAAGTTTGCCATCACTGATCCAACCACCAAGCATACAAAAAAACCAGGACAGACCAATTAGTATCATCACACTGATGATAGCATTCGTAGGTCGATCGCCATCCTGACCAGCTTTAACTATTTCTTTTTGTTGAGAGTTTTGATAAACGTCGTCGGAGAAAAACAAAAACAAATTAACAATAATGCTGTAGTAGGTAAATCGTTCCAGTGCAACGACAACTAGAAAAGGTGCCATAAATCTCCTATTTAACCCCCTAATTTGATTAGTCCTTTGTCCATAATTTTCTTCCGAGATGTGTCTGCTCACAAGTCGTGGTAAAATGAGAGGAGTTCTGTCATTTGCTTCCTCGCCACCTTTCATGATTAAACTGCATTCACTGCTTCGGCCAGATGATGGAGTATTCAAATTTGTTGCTCCGGATTTCAAATCGACACTTTAAATAGTGAAAAATATAAATTGTTTTGCTAAATCATGTCCTTCACGACACCATTCCATTGTTTTGAAAATTGAAAGTTTACTCAAGAAGAAAGTCACATGAGGATTGAGGAAATTCGATATAGCATGTTGCCACTGATCTACATATAGACACTATATAGGTCAGTGTTCGATGACATTTGCAAAATCTTTGTGATTAGCATGATCTGCGTGGTAATTTTGTCAGCCTGGGCACTTACTGACTTACAAGTGCTTACAAAGTAACGAGGACTGCGCTAGCCTGCGGTTATTGAATTCAAAATTGTTTGCGAATGTAATTTTGGCTCGCTATCACTCGCATGCATAGCTTGTATAAACCTTGAGTCATTCCGCAAAAAACATACTTGGTACTAGAAGTTACTACCGCAAGGAAAGTGCTGCCGTTGGAAGCTAATTTGATTCTCAAAAGTTAGTACGTTGGGGACATGACTGTCATTGTATGGTGTTGTCATTGCTAGAATTAGTGACGTACAGCAACATCAAAGGATATTAGATATCTAAGAGATTAGTTAGATATAAAAAATTTTCATGAGTACCGTCATGACATCAGCCTATGTCTATTTAGCTGTGTGATCTATATAACACAATACACGTTATTTTAATATTCAAGAAAAATTCTTACTTTATAAAATTCTTTTAACAATATATTGACATTAACATAAATTCACAATAAGTTTTTTTTCTATCAGAAGTCTGCCTCGAATTCGCCATTTTCCGGCACTCTCGACCATGCTCGTATTCGCCATTTTCCGGCACTCTCGACCATGGTCGTATTCGTCATTATTCGGCCAATTCGACTAAGGTCATATTCGCCGAAAAATGGCAAATATACGACCATGGTCATATTCGCCGGAAAATAGCAAATACGACCATGGTCATATTCGCCGGAAAATGGCAAATACGACCATGGTCATATTCGCCGGAAAATGGCAAATACGACCATGGTCATATTCGCCGGAAAATGGTAAATACGACCATGGTCATATTCGCCGGAAAATGGCAAATACGACCATGGTCATATTCGCCGGAAAATGGCAAATACGACCATGGTCATATTCGCCGGAAAATGGCAAATACGACCATGGTCATATTCGCCGGAAAATGGCAAATACGACCATGGTCATGCTGTAGCCAAGATTGACTTCATCATCCTAGCGGACTGGTCATCGAGTTTCAATCTTACGTTGCAATATTGAACTTCCTGCCAACAAACCATTGCTGAACTAGCCGTGAAACTGAACATTCTTGAGTTGTGTGTCAGTGTATAAATACTAAATTGGTCATCAAACGTGGCTTGCATTGCATATAAAGTTTACTAAATCTTTGGCAAGTCTGGGTTTTTTTCACACATAAATGCAACCATTGTTTAATAAAGCTTCTTTATTATATTATATTGATTGAATAAATAATGTCAATAGATAACACGAAGCAACCCCGTGTGTCTCTCGTTAGCAACATCAATGTCAAAATGTGCAACGTGCTATACAAAGCTATACCATGCCTTTATATTGACGTTTTAGGCATAGATAAACGAATGTCAACGATTTTTGAAAACATAAATCACCCTACTAAATTACTGTAACCATATTACTATTATTAGTCTGTCCATAATCGCCGTGTAGGTAAACAATTGCTTGAAAAATACGAGTATTTTTTTCTCTTGGAACTTTTTGGTAGATTTTAAGCAGTTGTTCAGTCTATTTGAAACCTCGTGAGCCGAACGCATTATAACCACATAATGGCTGCGCGAACATAAATTATTAACTATTGTTTTTAATGCGTTCGGCACATGAGATGGGCAATGTTTGAAACAGGCCCTACTCTGAGCCTTTCATTGGGTGAGACCGTTGGTTTTTCACCGTGGATAGAATAAGGTAGGTTAGTCTTGGTTCCTAACATTGAATACCCCAGCAGCAATCGTAAATCTTCTATTCGGCTCTCATTGCGATAATCCGCGATGTGTTCTTGAATATTTAAGTTCTAACTTCTAAATCATCCCGTAGAAAGGACTGATGAGCTTACACAAACACCAAGTTCTTGTGAAATTTAAGGCTGCTATGATGGATATATCAAGCTAGCAACAACGCTCTTGTTAATTTCGTATGTCTTTGTGTGTTTGAATAAGATGCGTCATGCGTGTGGCTAGTGTTGGAACCGGTATGAATCAACGAACAGCAGCCCAAATGAACTCTCTTCTCGCCAATATCATGCGCATGCGCATGTACGTGTATTACACCGCAACCAGAGCAAGGCTGTGTGGTTTATGTTTGGAAGCTTTACGCCAGAGATAAACTGGAAAACCAAATGAAAACAAACAAAGCAGCCAAAGAAATATATGGACCTAAATGAAGAGGAGATTGGACATGAGCTTTAGATCGTAAATTCATGACAAAAAATACACAGACACTCAGTTCAATATACGAACCTCTAGTGTTCTTCCCCCAAACCAAACTTCCATAATTATAAACAAAGGATATTGAATTAAAGAAAAGATGGCTCCAATAGCAGCCGCTAAACCCATCAATTTTCCCAAGTGTTGCTGTGGAAATCTAGCGAAAAGACAATTTGTTAAACGCGACATTTATTGACATATCTCAGTGAAGTTTTAATTCATTTCTTAAGCTAAAACTGGCTGCCGAAATGCAATTGATATGGACATTAGTTCCAAGAGATTTCTGCTGCCGTACGTACTCATAGGTGATGCAAACACAAACAGACACATCTTTTTTCGCTGAGACTGTTTATAAATGACTGTTTTTCAGGTATGACTGATGGCAAGTTTGTACTTACAGGATTATTAGTATGCTAGTGAAGACTGTGTCATAAGCAACTTTAACAAATACATATAACTGAAACGTAGCGATCTACAAGAAAGATGCAAACAAATCATCAGCATATGTTTACGTGTGATAAGAACAGATGGAAAAGAGTCAGACAAAAATACTTCGGAATGAAGAGATCAGGTTGTAGACCCTGTGGAGAAGATGAGGGAAGCGAGGTAGAGTTGAAGACGAAATGGGCTTCTTCGCGAAGTTTAGGTCACGGAAGACGTGAGATGGTATGTATAGTGGAGAGGGGAGGGAGCAGTGATATATAGGACATAGGGGGGAGGGGGGGGATAGGAAGTGGATATGTAATGCAAAGAGATAGAGGTTAAAGATGGCGTGGATGGGGGCCTTGGGGGGTGGTAAACATGGTGGGGAGGATAACGGCCCCTATAATGAGAGATGATGGAGAACTGGTCAGAGAATAAAAAGATCAGGGGAAGATGTGAGATGGTATCCTTTGCCGAGAAGAGAAGCTGGGTTGCAATGGTATGGTAAGTAGTACCAGCACTAGGAGAGATGTAAGAGAGTGGTGGAAAGAGGAAGATGCGAGGTGGTTGAAATTGCAGAAAAGAAAAGATTTTAAAGGTGAGATGAATGGCCGCGTAATCATTGACCAGAGATAAAGGAAACTATGTCACGGATATTATGAAAAAAGAGACAAAACGACTGATTTAGGGGAATCGTAAGTGAATCACGTTTACCTGAACGGTGAGACTCGGTATCAACGACAGAAGACAGAATACTACGGTGGCTACAGCAGTGACCAGCACTGCATCGTTCAATTTAAAAACTCTCTTTCTCATACACTTCACAATGAAATCCATCGCTTTTGGGGTATCCTCAATGTCCATCATAAACTTCTGATGTTGTTTCTCGGTGTCTTTGGAAGGTTTAACGTAATCGTTGTAGAAACATTGGCGGTCAATGATGTAGCCGAATAGGGGAGCCATTAACAAGGCTCCGACGTGACTGATCCCAAATATGTTGACGTAGCGAGCAACTGAAAATCGAAAAAAGGAATTTCTTTAGCATACACCTTTTTGGGGATGATTTTGGACTGTCATGGCAGTTGTTCAGGGTTCACTAACTTTAAATCCGTAGTTATCGAAAGGCGTTTAGCTTAAACGGTGGATAAGTTCAAAATGGAAAACAAAATTATCTATTTATTGAACAACTGAGCTGAAATATTTTGATGTAAATAGTTAAATTTTCAATGGAAGTGCATATTTAATGCATAAGATAAAGGTTCAGTCATTCGCAAGATTCACTTTGGCTTATTTGGTTTAAAATCTAAACGTCTTTCGAACAACTGGCCCCAGAATTCTAATCTTCTAATCTAATCTTGAGATTCTCATTCCAGCAAAGAGCCAAAGATTGGGTTATTGTCAAGATGAAATCATGAAAATGTTTGTTGGTTCGACAATGAGTTAATTCATGCTTAATTCAATGCCATTTCACTGAACGTACGTGATTCCTTGTGTTTCTAGGTAGATATGTTTCCACCGCAATTTCCCTGTAAAGCTGCTTACCTGTTGAGCGATCACCATCACAGAGAACGGATATGAAATTGGAGAAAGTGCCGACGAAGAACCACGTACGGATCTTACAAACAGTTAAGAATACTTGCGCCAAAACATGGGGAGTGGATAGGACGCAATTCTTGAAAGATATGCCTGACTTTAGATAGGAAACTGGAATGAAGAAAAATGCTTGGTAAGTCATGATAGATTTCATAACGTAATGACAGAATACTATTGTGTCATTCGCTCTAATTCAGCGATCCATTATGATCCCATGATTTCGATAAATTCCGTTTATTTGAAACCTCACATCTTTGTTAGGTTAAAAAACACACTCCAGGCGGGGTTAAAACATATAGCGTCCCCCGTCTCTCCATACAGAACCACGTGGACGGGATGTGGTCGATTTCCCCTGGACTGAGACTGAGAATTTCACGTCGGTTTTGAAATCTAGCAAGCATGCGCAGGCAGCCCAACAAGCCTCCCCCTCCCCAAATTTTGCAATGATTTTGAAGAAAATTATTTATGCGAAATAAATTTATTTTGGGAGGGGACAGGGGTGGGGTAGGGTATAGATGGAGGCGACACCCTTTCATCCTCAAAGTCTGAAATCAGAATATGTTGGCTGATCAAAGACTCCTATTTTAGAAGCAGGAAAGCCTAGAGAATTATGAATTGAGTAAGCTAGGTTTTGACTGATTGATATTACTGAAGTTAAGGTTACAACAATAGTCAAAACCAACCCGCGGAAATTGCAGTCCACACTTGAAGATCTGTGGTTCTGTCGAAAGAAAGTACTGCATAAGAAATGTTGTTACACTACAATTTCATCACAGTGTTACATCATATGCGGGCTGTCCTTCACTGGCGGGCATGCGGGTTGAATCACGTCTTTCTATCACTGAATCGGTATTTCACTGGGTGAAGCAACTATACTTATCGAAAACGAATCGAGAATTAATTCAATTCCGGAACCACTTGCATGACGGGAATTACTACATCACGTGATCCATACAGAATGAGCTTTTTTGAATAACCGTGCATTGGTTAGCTAGAGCTTCAGTTTATATCAGCGCCTAAGTCAATATCGAAGTCATTCTTAACGTCCGTAAGTCCAAATCTCCGTAAGTTCATCGATTCTCGACATCAATAATGACAATATTCAGTGTATTATGAGATCAGTGTTTACCTCAGTCGCACATGCCAACGTTGGAAGGACAGCCACATAGTTACAAGGGTTAATTTACATGAGCCGTGTAGCAGAATCCGTTCGAAAATCCGTTCAACATGACGTTGTCAGATTAGCATGAATGAACTCGCATGCAAGCAAAGATTCCATGCGTCAAAATGGCGCAGGGTGTGGTCAAAATTGACCTCATGGGGGGAAGGTGGCATAGATGAACTATCCCGTATAAGCATAGTTAGAAATCTGAGCAGATCATTGAAGGTAACTAGAAAAATCAATAGGCAATACTGGTTCGGATGAGTTCACTGTTTGTGATTGAAGGTCGTACGATGATTTTAAGATCACACCGAGAAGGCACAATGAATCTCAGTTTTTCTTTTATGGAAAAAACCCCGCGCATATACGTTCGTTTTTTTTAAAAATTACTTTCCCGGTTTGATCTTGAAATAATCGTAATCTTCTAACCGCTGTTTTCCCAAGTACCCATCCACGATTGAGCGCGTCACCTAAAATTTCTACACGCCTAAAAGAACAGTCTCCGCATATACTAAACTCATGTAAACACCCCTGCAGTTTGCAACACTCGTTGTAGCAAATATACTAGTCGATGAAACTGAATGAACTCGACGAATTTAGACAAGACGGATTCCAGATATCCACTGCAGTTCTTCCGTTCGTTTAAAGCTATAGGTACACTTAATAGATGTAGACATAAACTTCAGTTTTAATTTCTTCCTCGAGCGGTTTGTATAACCAAACGATGTAATTTTATGGCACGTCATGAAAGTAGGTAAACCCGATCAGACTGTGAGATGGTGCTAGTGAAGAAATTATAGCCTACCTGCTTTCCAGGAGCTCTTTCATCTCGCAAGGATTCTGATTGATTTCTTCTGACTTCTGTTCTTCGTTTGGGTTTAGATTCCGATCATCTACGTCAATTTTTACAGTTCTATTGGGCCTCAAATCTTGTTGGTCGTGTCTGGGGCTGTCACATGAGCCAAACGTGGGACATTCTGCATACGTCACACCATTGATATCGCACATAAGTCCAGCAATCTTTGATGCACGATTCTGTTGTTGCGACAAATCTAACACCGTCTTTGTCCTTGTCAATTGCATTGTATCTCCCGATTTAATTGCCGTCAGCAGCTCTTGGTCTGAATATCTGATGGGTTTCTCATGAAGGCTGTTTCCTGCTTGTCCTTCACGTTTCAAGTCTTTTTCCTTCTGAGATTTATTTTCAGCCTTCGAAATATTGGGTATTAACTGGTTTTTTTCATCAGTCTTGACCAAATGACAAGGAGTATCCTTTCTTCGGTTAATCATGTGTCCAAGGCAAAGTTTATATTTTTGAAGTTCCTCTCGGAAACACGTGTGTTTTTTGGCCTTTTTGAACGGATCGTGTTTCGAGGGTTGTTTGACTTCTAACTTTTCGTCAGGTGACGGAATGGCGGAGTCCGGATAAAGAAGAGCGGCGTTTACACACAGAAATACGCACCCGACGGCGAGGAATCGGAAAAAGTGTGCCACACTCACGGCACCACTTTCGTACAGCACCTGGGAAGAGAGGGAAATGCATCGTGATATGGTATGGTTGATATATGATACAATAAAATATGGTAAGGTATGGTATGGTATGGTATGGTATGGTATGGTATGGTATGGTATGGTATGGTATGGTATGGTATGGTATGGTATGGTATGGTATGGTATGGTATGGTATGGTATGGTATGGTACGGTAAGCTATGCTATGCTACCATGATGTGGAATGGGATGGTATGGTATGCTATGCTATGCAATGGTGCCATGATGTAGAATTCGAAAAAAGCGTTCACGTGTCACTGATTTACCTTAAATCCAAGAAAAGCAAGTGAAGAGGCAACCCAAGCGCCACAGTAGGAACCAATGAGCATCGAGCGACCTTTCTTGAATCTCTCCATGCACTAAAATTACACAGATACGATAATTAGCTCTACCAGGGGTTGAATAGAATCTTTCGCAAGGCGATCAGGCACCATGGCTGTGGAACAATAGTCATTATTCATCGTGTATGAATTTCATATGTAAATAATTTCTCTTCTTTTTTTCCGTCTGAATTTTGAGATTAAAGAATAATTAAATTTGCAATATAGGCTCTCAATGCATTCCTTATGGGAACATGGGGTATTCACAATCATCTGTCATCAATAAAAGCGCCAATGGTCGCCATTGTTCATTCTAGTTCAGCCCAAACGCATCTTCTCTGAGTCAGTTTTGTAAGTAGTAATTACGTCTGTCCTACTGGGTGTTTTCATGGGGCAAAAAACTTACAAAACCATTGATACTCTATAAATCGTAAAACATTTCTACTTAATCTTTCAGACAAGTGCTGCGTATTACATTACATGTCACTTTTTATACAATATTTTTCGAAATACCATAAAAATGTTAACAGCTAATTTACGACTCAAAGTTTTGTGGTTCAGAAGTTGATTTTCAGGCTTTCTGCACGAATATATTTAGCGTTGATCTGAACCCGAGCAACAACAAGCTTATTGTTTTATTTTGCTCTTAAATTTGAGAAGTGAACTTATTGATAATTTAGGGTGCCATTAAGTCGGGAAGATTATAAAATTCCACCTCACAAAACACATTAAAACCATGCTGAAAATTGCAAGAAAAAATAAACAATCTTCATAAAATCACGTCCATTTCTCATAAAAAAGTTCATTAGACACTAACGACGGTCAAAGTCCGATAATTATATTGGAAAACCTGTTTTACTATAATTCTTTGAATGCCATGTAAGTTTGTAACCGGACGAAGCTGCCAACTCAAGGTCAAGTTCGCTTCAACGGGCGTAAACAGGTGAATAGTTGGGCAGAGCTGGACTCCCGCGGGAATAAATACAGGTGTTGAAAGTTGGGCAGGTGAACAACATTATGTCAACATCTGGTGTCTGACCAAGTGACTAAAATTATCATGTGAAGTGGTAGAGATTTGGTTGAACTTATACCACTGCTAGTCAATGGTAGTTCTATCGGTTCTAAATTGGTTTATACAACACCACGAGTACCTGATATATCGTACAGTAATTCTAGGCAGTGAATACTGTGAATAGCAATTGTAATGACAGATACCAAAAGTTGTTTTCGTGTCAACAACAAACGTTTATAGGGAATAAAGTTATTTCACAAAGCTTCGTTCATGAATTTTTGCACGCCCTCGTATAAAAATCAGCTTTGCTTGAAGGGGATTAACGCCGCTTTGAAAGTGAAAAGTTGTGTTTATCTTTCTGTTGTTGTTGGAAACATCTCAGCTGGATAGCGCTGCACCATTACGATTGTTAAAACTGTTAAAAGTACCGATTCTCACCTAAGATATGCCAAAACAACGTCTTTTTCCCGACCTATCTCATTTCTAATTAAGAGCTCCAGCATTTTTGGTTTAACCAACACTAATGAAATTACGGGCGAAAACTTCAACAGCATATTTCTGTAATTACAAAGTCCAGATCACCATGGTACCAAGCATGCATTAGACTGTCCTGAACACACAGTTATGGTATGACTATCATTGAAAGAAGATGAAAAAGCATTCTTCAGCAAAATTCTGCTACCAACGTCACCGCAAAATATCTATTCTCACAAATCTCGCTGATTTCGTGCCCAGACAAGGAATTTCGTTAATCCCCTTGGGTTATAAAATGCTGTTTCCGTTCGCCGATAGTTTACAATAATACAATTCGATATTGCGCAAACATTGCCCTTGCGCACCTGTCAAGGTCACCGCATTTCTATGCGCATAAATCATCGGCATATTTTGCGCTATTAACTCGCACGTTTTAACAGATGCGATCATACGAAGAAGTTCCCTCTTTAGCCAGATTATGTCACGAGTGTGAGGGAAAAGAGTTTTATTGTTTATTAGCATTCGATGCGTCATGCGTGTCATCTTCACGTCTTCCAGGGGGGGATGTACAGCAATTCAGGGGGGTGTATAGCAATTAAATGACATTTCTGGCATACAAGTCATTTTGGAAATTCATTTGTCCCCAAATAATGCAATATTCCTTTGAAAAAGCAATGCTTATGTACGCTAGTCTATTTAGGTTGATTCTATTATAGTTTCACTACGAATCGCTAATGCTTTGTGGAAGAAACGCGAAATAAAAATGACGGCATGACATTGAAATAGTACTGACAAAAAACTGACAAATCTTACCGCTTGTGGTGTCATGAACATCATAAGGTTTGCAATGCATGCGACAATAAGACCGACGAACAGAATACCAGGGTTTTCTGAAATAAAGATCGAAAGAGATGTTGTAAACGGAAGGTTCTTTGCAAAGGGATTTCTGGACCGAACTCAGTAAAATTTTATACATGCATGCATGAGTTTGAATTGTATATACGTTAAAAAATCTTCCCGAAAAGGAACAAGGCAAAACTACAATTATTACGACTCAATTCAACAACTCTTTGAAATCTTTTCCTACAGCAAATACGCTCACTGAATGACTGAAATTGCCTTTATTTTGGAACTTAGAAACTGAGAAATTCAAAGCGTTTCGTGGGATAATTCCCGACACGAAAACAATGAAATCAGTTGGCCTTTTTGTGGCCACGATTGTGGGATTTCATCTGGCCGATCTTAAGCATCAGGAAAATGAGTTTCCACTTTCCGTTGCAGGGTTTATTTTCCTAAGAAAACGATTCTTTACGCAAACACTTACCTTTGTCAAGATATGAAAGTAAAAAGCTTGACCCACCGAGCAAAAACCTGTAAAATTGACATCATTGAGTTACCATTGAAAGAAAACCGATTGACATTCTTATTTCGTATTCGGTATTTCCTGATAGGGGACAATAAACATTCAAGAAACGGGGTAAAATTTACTCAGTTTGGGACAAGACGACTAAAAATTGTTAAGGCTGGCCAACATTTCTACATCATTAACAATGGTAACTCCCTAGCCACAAAGAGTAGACACTCCGTAAACCGCACAAGCATATGTCATTCACATCATTTTCAAGTGTGTTTTACAAATATCTTCAGAACAAATATCAAAGTCTTGTGACTGGGAAAAAAATGTCGAAGTATTGAGAATCGGAATGTCAAAGTGTCAAAGCGTTTTGTGCGGTTATATAATATTGAATGCCGGAGTATTGCTTGCGATTCAATTCGTGCGCTCGTGAAAAGAACACCGAGGTACAAACAGTAATCGTTTTCGACTATTAAACTCTGGCTTGTTTGTGCGCTCGAACCAACAATTCAGCAATACGCAATACCACCGGTTAATAAACGGGTACTACAGAGCAGAGATCATGTATCTTGTGATCATCCCTCGTAAAGATCGATGCTGTTGTAGCTACAACACATCGGAAAAATTTAGCCATTTCAGAGAACTAAAACATACTTTATCTATATTTATCTGTCAACAGGGAAAAAATTAGATACGGCAAAGTTTGCAGGTGGCCGAAGTTATGCGTTTTGTTGTTTTTAAATTGCATGGGAAGCGTCGATTACCGTGGCCAACATAGGCAAGTCTGGAAATCAGGAAAAACCAGTCAAACATGATCAGAACGAAGCCTTAACTCAATCAAAAGGGGAATACCCAGAAAGATTTCTAGATTTAAATTGCATTACGAGCACATTTTCAACTTGTAAACCGTTCAGAACCTCGTTTAAAACAATGACATCATTTTGCATTAATTGCGCGCGCTAACATCTGCGGCGTCGCTGACCTCAAAAGACCTGGAGTGCTGTTCCTGAAGATAATCAACCCACTGGAGCCGAATTTCCTGCATTTCAAGGGTTTCTTCTGAGCTATCAGTAGGAGATGATTTGCGGTTTAATGAATGAACCTCTATTTTGTTTCACGGTTAGCCTGCTGCAATATCAATATGACACACGGTAGAATTATCTGTAAAGGCCCGATTAAACTTGCGATTTTTGCCGCGATTTCCTTCTTTTGGCAAATGTGAACGAGTGATTGGAGTGAACTAGTTGCGGATGTTCAAATAGGAGTTCGCACATATCAGAGCATTCGTAACTTATAACTCGTTCGCATCTTTCAAAAGAAGAAAATCGCAAATAAAATCGGAGAAAATATTGCAAGTGTAAACGGGGCTTTAGAGCAATTGTTGAATTTTACGTTTGCGCGAGTCGCTGTTTGAGAGTTTCAGCGTTTACTTTCTCCGCGAAGTACTTTAAAGAGCCTGGGAACGAGGCTGGGGTTTCAGCGTTAAAGCAAGTGTTCGTCATATGATGTCAAAACTCAAACCCATTTCTATTTACACAATCTAATAGACTAAGTTTGATTCGGGCCACCTGCGCATTCGGGGAGCATGTCAGTCTGGTATTTACTGCGCAAACCAACCTCACGAACTGAGCAGTAAAGACTACCATAAATGTATTTAACCCAAGTATCTATAATATTGTAACCGCTCCCATTGTGATCATGAGCATCGACACTTCAGCCATTTATGCAAAACAGGTTGAACCGTCATTTTCTACTTAGGACGCGACTGATGATAGCTGTCAAACGAACGTTGTTTTGAACCGTTTTGAGAGCTTCAAGGATACTGGCCTTTCGACCTCCAGTGAGATTTCTACTATCTTTAGGGGTTTTTTTTGGCAAAAACCAAACCTCACCGGACACATATTATGAATTTCCTCATGCATTGTTCAACTCAAATATTTTCTAGGCAAATATTCAAAGACGGCTAATCAGGTGTTCATGTTTTACGTCAATACTCAAGTAGATAAATTCGGGATTTCGTTGGACCGAAAATGCACAAACTTGACCGATAACAAAATTGGTTCTTGCCTGCCTATAATTCGCCTAAATTTTATGGCACATCCTTAAGCAACTTCCGTGGCATGGGCAGAAACCTGCTGTGAATCAGATCAAGCCAAGCAACTAGAAGAAAGCGCAGTCGTTCGCAAAATTCTATAATCTCGCTATGTCTATAGCTATATTTATCGAACGTCACATTAATACCACTCGACGAAAGGTCTGCACTTTCAACGGCAGAGTTTCCACCAGTCTCTTCAATACGACGCGACAATGCCAAGTTCATTGGAATATACTAGCTACTCAATTCTCAAGTTGAAGGTCATCTGGGGACTGTTGATGTAAAGATTAGCGTTATTCATGACGCAAATGCTCGTAATATCATGCGGGACATAAAACACAACTTCACAAGTGCGATAATAATAGACTTGGTGATGAAACATTGAAGGCATGCATTTACCGTTTGCATTTTCGTGAAATAAAAGCTATGTTTTAATTCTTTAACAGTCTAAATTACTTAGAAGGGAATAAATTGTATATGCCTATTTCATATGCAGGCTATTTGCATGTTACGAATCTGAAATGTATATATATTGTTACATCTGATCTCCAAAATTACTTTTCGTGCTTCAACCTAGCGTCAAAATAGCGTTTAAAACAGGTATAAACAATATTTTCCGCATTATTATTCAAAAGCCAAGTGTTTTTGCAGCAATATATTCGTGCGAGACTTGTTTTTCAACTGGAATATCAAGCTAAGGAGGCGAACTCGAATATTCGCTGATATTTGCTTCAAGTTCAAGGCAGTCGAGAATTTTCCATAAACGAATCTCCCCCACCCAACCTGGTTTGGACGGTGACAATTGGCACACAATTTCAGATCACACTAATGTAAAACATTTTGCAGATAACTTTTGCGTCTCGTTGCAACTGTTCTGATATTGCAAGCATATAGAATAAAGGAATATTCACATTCACATTTTCTGAAACTCTCACTGATGCTAACTCTCGTTGAATTTAACATACAAAGCTTGTATTTTGTATAGTTCGAGCGTTCAAGTGATTGTGCTCGGAGCAAGGGCAGTAAAAAGACGAGTGCCATGCATTCGCTTAAAACACGGACGTTTTTTTCATATTTTCAGGTAGTCTGTCCAAACACATAACAGCGCTTTGTGGCTAAATATGGTATGTCCTGCCTACGCTAGGGAACCCAGACAACGGGCATGACGCCATCCACGTGACCGGTTGTTTGACCCGACGTCAAGCACCAGCACTCGACCTCGTTTTCATCAACTTGTCAAGGCGCTTGCATTTTCTTAGCTTTTTCGCTACGGCAGGAAACGCCAGCATCAATTATCCTTATCACTGGTTTCCGCAAGCAATTTGTTCTCTTCGATGTACAAGAACAGCTGCGCGGAGACCCCGAATAATTCATTGGAAGGCGATTCCCCCCAAAAATTCATTGTAGACTATAGTAGACATTATTTAGCTTATGACTTGCTCTTGTGATTGCATGTATAAAAAACGCGGTTTTGAAAAACAAGTTTCCAACTAGTTTGAAGTTTAGAAAGAGCCCTGAATTTCAGTTTCAAAATAACAATACAATGGCAGAACTATAAATGATTTTGCTTGAAAGTTGAAAACACGCGCGCAAACGTTGAGCTATAGTCTATATTAGGGTTCAGGTATGAACGATAGTCGATACAGTAAAAGACATAAAAAAATCTGCTTAATTTGAAAGTACAATTACTATATAATATGCCACTGGGCGAAAAATCGTTTAATATTGTTCAGACTTGGCAGGCATGCATTATTCCACAGGTTACTTGTTGAAGATTATTGACTATTATAGCGGATGATTCAATTCAGGAAATAAGAAAGACCGATCACATTATTTTAGGCTAAAAAAATATACGGCGCGTTCTCATAAGAATTGGCTATCTTTGCTGATATTTAGGTAAATATATACTAAGCCACGGCTTTGTGGCATAAAGCTGTTAGGGCGTGCAATATACTTTACAGGTTGCCCCATTGTGATTTCCTTTGTAAATTCTTATCGACCAACATCAGCGTCTCATTAACAACTGAGAAAATATCTCGATTCAAGCAAATATTTTCATCAAAATCTCGCAAGGAAATAGCAAAGCTTTATACCAAATATCGTGGGAATTTAAATTTCGTATAAAATAGAGAAACTGTAAATGTGCCCCCAAAAAATATTTAAAAAATCGCGTAGTATGCCAGGCTTGAAAATTACCATATAATCGCCGAAATTTGACACAATATTTTTTACGGGCTTTATATGGCCTTGTAAACCTTTGTTGAATTAATTTAAAATTGCGATCAACGGCAACTTCGGATTATGTAAACAAAGAGGTAAATGGTATTACGGTTGTGTAGTGAAAGATTTGAGAGGTTTGCGATAATCGAAATTTGAAACCGTCGTCTGAATTTTGCTTTCGCTCTGATGCTGACCGCCGCGAAACATTTGTAAATTGCAACTCTGTTGCTGACGTGATATACAGTCGAGAATACGCCATCTTCGTGAGTTACTCGTAAGGTCCATATGAAAAGCCATCAAAAGATGTTATCTGAGGTTTTCAATTTTTGCATTCATACGATCGAGAGAGTTCGACTTCGACAAAATCGCTTGACCGTAAAAAATATATTCCGCTAACAAGCGATAAGCCGTTCGTTTCATGCGCACAGAAAATTGGCAGAAATTTGTAATTCAAATAGAATGGCCACAAGCATAATACAGCCTTGAAATCGGACGGAAGAACGCAGATGTTTTGCTAGCGAGCGCGTTGAATTGACAATGAACGGAGCCAAGCACCGACCAATAAGGTCTTCCTTGGGGGTTTTCGCTGACGGCTAAAAATATATACGAGTCATGCGACCTTATGGGGGAACAAAGATCTTTCAGAATCGTACATAGTTTGATGTACACATAAAACTCTATTTTTTAATCGTATATTTCTATGGAAATTCAAGTGCATAGAGGTAACGGAGGTTTGTATACACATCAATTTGCCCAATTCGACAATATCTCGTATATAGGTAATCTAATTCCGGCATAAAATACACAAATGAAGAGATTTTTACCGCTAGCAAAAGAAAAAGCGCTTACCCTGAGATAATACGTGTGAATCGTGGACGGCTAGCGAATGAGAACGGACGTGGAACGTGCAAGTATGTGTATTGCCACGTTGCAAGTGTGTATGCCAAGTTGAGCATCTCCTGTTGCGCGATGCAGTTGTTGTTTGAGGTCGCGTTGCGGATGGAAGGTCCAAGATGTGATGAAGAATTTGTACTGTTCCATTCCAGCGGAATCGTTGAAGACTCTTCGAGGCAGAGATGAGAGTATATTCCCTCTTCGACCAGAACGTAGACCAGAGAGGACCATCCCGTCTGGAAACCACAGAACATGAGCATCTCAAAAATGCTGGTGAGCAGAAAAATCCAATCGCCGAATTCAAATTTTGAAGACATGTTGATGGAATAGCTGCAGTTCCAGAGCTCTGCCTTGGTCGAAAAGATCGGCTGATACTGATGATTAGGTAAACGGGATTCCTCATCGCGGTGCTGTTCCTCTGAAATATGAAACTGGTTCGACCCGCCTCGTCAAACCTGATTTAAACAGGACGATTATCAGCGTCGCTTTTCTACTGGGGGGCTCGTATTTTATTTTCATTCCAAGGGTGGCTTTGAAGTGATAAGACGTTGTATATAGATTCTCTTACAAATATGCTATGGGCCATATGATCAACAGTGTGGAGAAATTGATATCCAAATGAAATGCCCACAGGGCAAGAGCAACGACAGTTTATAGTTCAGGGATATTAGTATTTATTACGGGAATGTATCTCTAATTAATAACACAATGCTGAATTGGCAATATTGTTACAAACTGTGTACATCTTACATTTTGTTAATCTCGACATAGCGCGGTGTTGTGTTGCATTCTTGACCCAAATCTTGATTCGTTATTCGTGCGACAAGAAAGAGAATTTTGCATGCTTTTAGGCACGGGATTTTGTATTTAAAAAATGATATGTTTTATGGTGGGAAACAAGCTGACCAAGTTATTTATGATAACTTTTTAAACTTGAATGGATGAATGCATGTATAATTATTGGCCACTGCGATTTAAAATTGTGACTTGCAATTGCCATCAAAGGTGAAGATAGAAGCAGGCATATAGCTTTGACGGAATTAAAGCTTTCATACGTGATGTTAAAAATGCCCGAATGACCTTCTTGCTGTGGAACGGGAAACAGTGTCCACATTATAACTCTTACGTCTAATCTCCGTATGCCTACGCATACAAGTACGCTTTGACAACGTCAACGTCTTTCACCGGATACGTTTTTTTTTTATTCCTAATCCTTCGTAAATTAAAGCTCATGAAAATAACCTTCGATTAAAAATCTGAAGTATCATGCAGGAACAAGGCGATTTTATACACGCGTGAAATAGGAACAAGTCCAAACCTTGCTCAGGCAGAACCGGGAAGAAGTCAGGAAGCATATACCATCGCGGAAAGCAGCCGTTTTCCTGTCGTGTTATCATCATGTATTAAAGTAAATTTTTGCGGTCTTGATCAAACTGCCAAGTGGCCAAAGTCATACTGAGATTTTAGTTTGAATTTAGTGCAGTAAATCTACCAGAATTATTAAAAATAATTGCACGAGCGTTATTTATTGTATCGGCTCTCGTAAATGGTAAATGTTTCCACGGAATCATCTGTTAAGCGTACGGAGGTTTATCGTTTTTTACCAAATATAACGACAGAAATTGGGACACTGTAAGCTTGCAGACTTGTATTGAATGTATACTCGACAAGACTGGCTCAGTGGATCTTATCACAAACTCGACTATTCAATAATTTTCATGTAACACAATCTAGCTTGAATTACCGTAGATTTGGACGGCATAACAGACTTGTGACATTTCGACCTCACAACTACACCCAATCAAGACCTAATGTCGCAAGAGCCAGGAACGATAAATTTCAGAAAAAAATTATTTTGTCACACGAATGTACTGGCAATGGCCTACAAAATTATATTGCCCATATCACAATATTGTTGAAAACATTTGCTCATTTGTTATTCAAATACCCGTTGCCATCACATGAGCCTCTTGTGAGGCGTCAAGTTTTACAAGTCATACTCGTTCAGCGTTGTATTAATTCAGTTTTCCTTGTTTTCACGCTTATGCAATCAACATAAGCTATCTGACTTGTTTTTGTCAAATTCAGATTGTTTACTTCATCCATATTCGATAGGTATACCTACAATTTTTACACGTATATACTCTGCCATAAAAATTTCTTTCAACTCACCGCAAATGCTAGAAAAAGGTCATGTTTCATTCAATCTCGCCCCCCCCCCCGACTTGACTCACAGCTATTCAATGTCATGCGCCCGCAGTATCAACTTTGGCAAACCTGTGTCCATTGTCAGCGGACATACTAAGCTCGTCCGTCATTAAAGTTTGAACAAAAGTGTAGGTAGAGTTTGTGTGGCGGAGGCTTGCTCACTGATAGGGTTTGCTATATATGTTTTATGGGAATTGAATTAAGTATTGAAACACGATAACATGACATGTGGGGTTTTTCTGTTCATTGCATCTGTTCTTTCGCAATTTGAATTGAATAGCTTAAAAATAGCTGCATAATGCACTACCCACTGAGTTGATAAAATCAGACCAATTCATAACAGCTTTGTTGAAGTTAATTACACCCCATTTAAGATAAAAGATTGCATAAACACACAGACAATAGATATCGGTAGTGCTTTTGTTTCAACACATTTTAGGCATTACATTGATTCTGGTATATGAGGCCAAAGCAGTGTTCATTGTTTTCTTAAACTGTTCCTAGCTTTAATTATGTAGAAATTCCACTCGAAATTAAGACCATTAACTCTCCAGATATAATTTCAAGATAAGAAAGTTTTTCATGGCTACGTTAAGTCGCAATCTATGTGCTAAATAAAAAGCCCGAAGTAGCACATATGAAGAAATTATTATTTCTTAGCGCAAGGGGAAGTGAACTTACACGAGCAGTACACGAGGCCTATATAGTTGTGTACATCAGCGAATGTTAACTGTGAAACCGGCTCGTGAACTATACTGACACTATACGTGAAACTTAAACTATAGGTTACCAACGTTCGGCTCTAAGAAATGGTTAATAGGGTTCTAAGAAATCGCACCGGAAAATAATCATAAACTACTTATTAATGACATCATCAGTTTAGCCAAAGGGTAGTGTCGCAACTCCTCGCAAGAATGATTTTCATTGGCTGAACTTTACAATACATTTCTGTCTCAACCAATAGCATAGCTTCGTTCTTTAGAAAGCATAGAAAAGCATTATCCAATTGGACGAAAGCTTCCGAGAGCTGCGACATGTCCCTAGCCAAACGAATTGTCACGCGACACGAATTCTTTTATTACTATCATCGCTGGAAAGCAAGCAAAAAAAGCGCCCGGTTTAGTATATCACCAAGTATGTTACACTTAACAACAGTGGTCTTAAAAAGAACTTTCTCGTTTTACGAAGTACGAGCATAAAAAACACTGCCTATGTTAACATTTCCAAGTTTAAAATAGAATTTGGAATCAGGCGCCCAAAAGACAATTGATGCAAAACAGTTCAACACCACTCGTGAGAAAAGTTGTTGGATGGATCTGTGAGATTAGTTTTATAGTAATATAGGGAAGAGCGTCTTATGTAATTGTATATAGTTAAATTAATGGTCCCTTGAAAACAACAACAACGCTGAAGGGCAACCGATAGTAAATATGTTGAAATGAACAAACAAAGGGACGAATAAATAAATAAACATGCGAAAAGAATCGAAAACAAGGTGCGCAGGAAATTAAACCGAACATGAGAATAAACAAATAAAAAATTCACGAATGATTATCTTTCTAGGCAAGGTCTTGAAATTGCTACAGTAAAGAGTTTTAACCTTAATTTGCATACGCAGCACATTGTTAAGTGCTCAGAACCAGTTGTGCTAGATTTATTGAATGATTAAACGTTCTGATGTAACCCGAGTTTGTCGCGACAGGTAAAATAAAAAAGCTGAGTAGTTTTTTTACCACAACTGTATATCTCCAGCTGTTATTAAGAAACGCTGAAAGCTAAACAAGGATCTGAAACGGGATATACGACCACGAAATGGTGACGTGTTTTCAAGTGCATTTTCCCCTTAAAGTTTTGACCTTGCTGCGGTGCGGTAAAGATGATAAATACCATATTTGGTCTTCATTTCTAGTTTGCTGGCATGGGGGTGTGGAGAGGGGGAGTAACTACCCCAGGGGAGATGTTTAGGAAACGCTGAAGATTAAACGAGGCGCAGAAATTGAACGACTATTTGATTCGAAATTGCTTGGGTCATGATTTCATGATGTACAGAAGTGTGTTTTTGTAATCTCCATATAACATTCTCTGTATGTTTCTCCATGATAATGAAACCAGAAAGGGAATATTTCGAGCACTTTTTGAGGTCATGTCCGGTGATAACATTACCGGGATATTAATTTGTGGTCTTTAAACAATTAATTGTACATATATATTACAATAAATATTCATTAAAATAAGCACCGACTTTATACAAGTCAAAACTGACTGTCCCCAACCATAACTTTTTAGTTCAACCACGCGCGACAGTTTAGCATCATACGATCTTATTTATGACATGTACTGAATAGAGTTTAGACTTTAGACATAATCCTTTGAACAATGAATGACTGTTCTTTCCCAAAATGTTTAGTTCGCATGCCACAACGCCTTACCTGAATTGAATTCGAGTAATTTCATACGACTGTAATGATATGATGGTGAAATTTATTGATCCTGAATTGCCCTTTCGACGACAATCGTAGCAAAGTCCAGGATATCAGCTTCTGGTATTTGAGTGATGTTTGACAAGTGAGAGGCAATCTATGAGCAAAGACAACGAGAAGTATAGGATTTGTGATGATACATTGGATTTGGTGTTGTTGATCACCTTTACTGATCCTTTTTTTTACCACAACTATTTGGTGGCTATTTGAAAAAACTGTTTTTAATTTGACCAATCCTATGCCGTATAATATTATCACAATACACAAGCCAGCGCAAGATACTGGTCTAATATTATGAGTAATATCTTGCTTCTCATGTGCCAAATTAAATACTGACAACAAAAAGTGTTGTAAATAGCACTCAATAGTAACATTAACATTATTGACATTAACATAAAGTATTGTTGTATATTAATCGCGGGCTCCTTTGTGTTCGTTCGCAAAACGTTTTGGTTGTCTGTTAAAATATAAATTTTACTCGAAGTGTTTTTTCTTTTTTGGTCTATAAATTTATCTCAAATTGAACAGGTTATGGGCCCAGATACTCTATGAACTGCGTCGTTTCAATCGAAGAAACGTTTGCTGTATTAAACGTTTAAAATGTCACAAGAAAACAGACTAGTTATCGACAAACTAGAGGGAGTAAAAAATTGGCAGGTATGGAAATATCAAATGCAAGCTATACTGGAAGCAAAAGAGTTGTGGGGCCACGTTGATGGGACGGCAGTTAATCCAGCTTCATCAGAAAGCAGTCCGTCCAGTTCATCGGCTCAACCGGCTTTCGAAAAAGCTCAGAGAAAGACCAAAGCCCTACTTGTCACAAGTATAAATTCAGATCTCGTACATCTGATTACTGAATGTCAAACGCCAAAGGAAATCTGGGACAAACTGAAGGAACGCTTTGAAAGAAACACGGTAGCAAATAAATTGTTTTTAAAGCAGAAATTCTTTTCTTTAAAAATGAAAGATTCTGATTCCCTCGATCAACATCTACGTCGCATGAAGGAAATTACTGATCAACTAGCAGCAATCAATGCACCCATTCCTGAAGATGAACATATCGTTGCTCTGTCACTTAGCCTTCCACGAACATATAACGCTCTAATAACTGCATTGACTGCAAAAGGTGATGAGCTTAGCCTTGCTCAAGTGCATCAAGCACTCAGGAGTGAAGAAGAAAAGCGTGGTCTATACAAGAGCAAAGATGGTGCGAGTCGTGTTGACAAGGGTGAGCATGCGTTGCAGCACGACAAAATGGGCAGAAAGTCTGTCAAATGTTTTGGATGTGGGGAAGAAAATCATGTGATAAGAAACTGTCCAAAAAGGAAGAAAGGGCAGCATGAATGTCGGAATAAATCTGGAAATTCTACTAAGTATAAAGCAACTCAAGCTGATGCTGATGGGCAAAAGAACGAGGACTCTGGCAATGTATTCATGGTAGGAATGATTGCAGCTGAAGGGGACGATTGTTGGATAATTGACTCCGGTGCTTCACAGCACATGACTGCTAATCGTGACTTGTTGGTAAATTATCATGAGTTCCCAAATCCAGAACCTGTGGCTCTTGGAGACGGTCGTTCTGTCAATGCGTATGGATATGGTCAAGTTGACATCACCATGATACTTGGAAAGAAAGAGAAAGATCAAAAGAAATCAGTTCTATTGAAGGTGCTTTATGTTCCAAAATTGGCTACTAATCTTTTCAGTGCACGAGCAGCTGCATCCAATGGGAAAGTTGTACAATTTGGGCATACCCTATGTTGGATCAAAGATTCTGAGGGACAAGTTGTAGCACGTGGTCGACTGGTTGGGAACATGTACCGACTGGACTGCAAAGTTGATAAATTGGGAAATCAAGCGTCAATTGCAAATGAAAATTGCACCAAATTGGATCTATGGCACCAGAGAATGGCACATTTGAATGTTGGCCAAATGAAAACCATGGTTTCAAAGGAAATCATCACAGGTACAGACATACCAGGAACTGGCAAGTTAAATTTTTGTGAAGCTTGTGCAGAAGGAAAGGCCCACAGAGCGCCATATAAACCAGTGGGAGAGATTCAATCAACAAGAAGATTAGAATTGGTCCACAGTGATGTTGCCGGCCCAATGAAAACTGAAAGTTTCGGAGGAGCAAAGTACTTCGTCACGTTTATAGATGATTACTCAAGATGTGTCACTGTCTATCCGATAAAGCACAAGTCTGAAGTACTCGAGAAATTCAAGGAGTGGGAGGCAGTAGTCACCAACCAAGCAGATTGTAAGATTAAGACACTTCGGACAGATAATGGTGGCGAGTATACATCCACAGAGTTTGCAGATTTTCTAAAGGAGAAAGGAATTCGCCATGAGACCACAGTACCGCATTCACCTCAGCAGAACGGAGTAGCTGAGCGCATGAATCGGACACTTCAAGAAGCAGCTCTCTCTATGATTCTGCATGCTGGACTGTCCAAAGCCTTCTGGGCAGAAGCAGTTTGCAATGCAGCCTATGTTAGAAACCGAGTGATCACGACTGCAACTGCGGTAACCCCTTACGAAAGATGGTATGCAAAGAAGCCTGATCTGTCGAATCTTCGTGTCTTCGGGTGTTCTGCTTACGCTCATGTTCCGGATGCTTCTCGCCAGAAGCTTGATCAAAAGGCAATCAAGATGAGATTCGTGGGCTACAGCCTTACACAGAAAGGATACAGGCTATATGATGAGAATCGACAAAGAATCTTTGTTCGCAGAGATGTTACTTTTAATGAAACAGACTTTGGGTCTACAAAAGTCCAAATGAAGTGCGATGAAGATAGCACAGGATGTGTCGAAGACGAAGTGGAGTCAAAAGGCGAGGATGAGAAAACCGTGCAAGGTCAGCAAGATCTCCAAAAGGAACCTCGACGCTCAGAACGAGAAAGAAATCCACCGATTTACTACCACGATGAGTATGCTGGAGTCACCACGGCCAAGTATGCAGCACTTTATGCAGCTGAAATCGAAGAACCAGAAACGTTAAAGGACGCTCTTGACAGTGAGTATGCAACAGAATGGAAAGCAGCTGCAGATGCTGAGTACCAGTCTCTGGTAGAGAATGAGACTTGGGAACTAGTTGAACTGCCAGCTGGACGCAAAACTATCAGTTGCAAGTGGGTTTTCAAAGTAAAGCACGATGAAACCGGAAAAGTAGAGAGATTTAAAGGTCGTTTAGTAGCTAAAGGTTTCCTACAGAAATATGGAATTGACTACGATGAAACTTACTCTCCAGTAGTTCGCTTCTCGTCAATTCGCGCTCTTCTGGCTTTCGGTATTTCTCAGCAAATGCTAATCCATCAAATGGATGTAGTGACAGCATTCTTAAATGGTACCCTTGATGAAGAAATATACATGCAACAGCCCGAAGGATATGTCCAACCAGGAAAGGAAGAGCTGGTGTGTCGCCTCAACAAATCACTTTATGGCCTGAAGCAAAGCTCACGCTGTTGGAACAACGTCTTCAAAGAATTTATGTTGTCATTGGGATTTGTTCAAAGCACCGCAGACTCTTGTGTATTCATTCGCGTAATCGATGATAAGCTGGCGTTTGTCACGGTACACGTTGACGATCTCATACTCCTGACGCAAAGTGAAGAAGAGATGATCGATCTCAAAACAAGCCTATCAAATCACTTCAAGATGAAAGACATGGGCATACTCCATTATTGCCTAGGAGTCAGTGCAATAATGAAGGACGGTGTTGTACAACTCAATCAGGAACAATATATCGCAAAGATTCTTCGAAAGTACAAATTAGAGAATTGCAAACCAGTGTCAACCCCAATGGATTTAAATGTCAAACTAGTCAAAGAGGATGGATATAGCAAACCAGTAAACGCTATTCAGTATCAATCAATGGTGGGGAGTCTTCTATACGCAGCAATAGCCACTCGTCCAGATATAGCCCACGCAGTGGCAGCGTTGGCAAAATTCAACTCATCACCGACCGAGGCACATCTAACAGCTGTTAAACGCGTTTTTCGGTATTTGAAGGGAACTGCTCAGCTACAGTTGCAGTACCAAGAAATCGACACTCGTGTAGAAGGATATTCGGATGCAGACTGGGCTTCGGATTCAGATGACCGACGATCAACCTCTGGAAACGTATTTATGATGTCCGGTGGCGCAATCAGTTGGACTAGCAAAAAGCAACCAACAGTGGCTCTTTCGACTTCCGAATCCGAATACATTGCGTTATGTTTTGCGACCCAGGAAGCAGTATGGCTGCGACAATTGATGCAAGACCTAAAGATGAATTGTACCACAGCCACAGTCATACACGAAGATAATCAGGGCGCTATCGCGATGTCCAGAAATCCAGTGTTACACAAGCGGACGAAACACATTGATATCAAATACCATTTCGTTCGAGAGAAAATTGAAGACGGAACAATCGAGTTGAAATACTGTCCAACTAATGAAATGGTGGCAGACATTTTCACAAAGCCACTACCCAAAGGACAATTTGAATATCTAAGAGGCAAGCTTGGACTTGTATAAACTTTTAAAATGACATATTGAGTGAGTGGGAGTGTTGTAAATAGCACTCAATAGTAACATTAACATTATTGACATTAACATAAAGTATTGTTGTATATTAATCGCGGGCTCCTTTGTGTTCGTTCGCAAAACGTTTTGGTTGTCTGTTAAAATATAAATTTTACTCGAAGTGTTTTTTCTTTTTTGGTCTATAAATTTATCTCAAATTGAACAAAAAGCATCTCAAGTGATAGAAACAGGTCCTTACAGGGTCAAACTACAGACTATGGGTTAGTTAAAAAACTGATTCCCTCTACACGCAATTTGCCGCATAGAGCATTTGTAATTTGACAGAAGACAGATGCTGCCTCAATTGAATCATGAATTAATTTAAAACAAAAGTTGCCTCAGAGAATACTTGCACCTCGACTTGCACGATCAAATTTTGTTTTATCCGAACCACCTGTGATGGACGTTTTGTAGTGACTGGATGGATGTTTTGTAGTAACTGGATGGATATTTTGTAGTGACTGGATGGATGTTTTGTAGCGACTGGATGGATGTTCTGTAGTGATTGCATGGATGTTTTGTAGTGACTGGATGGATGTTTTGTAGTGACTGGATGGATGTTTTGTAGTGACTGGATGGATGTTTTGTATTGATTGGATGGATGTTTTGTATAGTGACTGGATGGATGTTTTGTAGTGACTGGATGGATGTTTTGTAGTGATTGGATATAGTGATTGGATGGATATTTTGTAGTGACTAGATGAACTGGATTAGGTTTATGGTTTATTAGGGCTAATCGTACGTGACCTAATCCTAACCTAATCTCCTAATCTTTAGAATTTATTGAACATGGAATGATCATAATGCTTAGTTTTATCAATAGGACTTGTTCTTGAAGTAATGTTTCTCTTGAACACGTTTTTGGACGATACCGGTATCTGTAGTTTCATTGCTTTCAAACATGTTCGAAACGGTTGAAGCGTTATCGAAGTTTCTTTGTAAAACTTTTTAGACTGATTGGAATTGTGGGTGGACCATTACAATCCTACTTTCTGGCCAATCTAAACCATGGCCCGTCTACCCATCTAAAGCTTCAAACACCTAAGAAAAAAGCAAACATACCCCATCGCTCGCTTGTTCGTCCACGATAAAACCCGCAGCAGAGATCACAGCACTCGCCATTAGCATGAAATCTGAGGAAAGAACCGCTAGCTTGTGTCTGTGTTCGGCAGATCTGCGTGTCTCGCCGGTAGCCACAAGCAGGAGCTTCGTGTAGATCTCCTCGTGAAGAATATAAACAAGATCCAGCAGTTTGATGCTGATTTCGTAAAGGAACTTCACCTGTGTGCCAGCGTTAAAACCTGGCCGTTTGAAAAACACGAGTTTGAATATGTTGTCTTTGAGTTAGGAAATTATTGAAGCCGCTTGTCTCAAATGCGCATAAAAAACAATAGACAATCAGTTAAGCGATCATATCTATTGTTATTAATGCAATCAGTATAAAGGTCTGTTTACACCAGGGTCGCATTTGTGAATTATAGTGGCTAAACTCCGTCAAAATGGCCTTTTGTTTTCTTGACGGTACTAATGCAATTTGGCCTAAAATATTCACAATTTCACAAAGCTGACAGCTCTGGTTTACACAAACAACAAGTTTTGCTGGTCCAATAGACCATTACAGCTTGCATGAAAATAAACCCATTTCAGATGTTGTGATCATGGCATATATACAAACTTAACCATTTCAGACCATGTAATTTGAAATGGTTAATTTGCATACAAGTGTTAGATACTGATTTATCCGCCAACCTAGCTCAATGGCTAGGCCTAGGGCCTTCGACAGAGTTAGGGCCATTTTACATGGAGCGAGTTTTCCCATAGGCAGCCCAGGAATCTGTTTATACTCAGTCTTCGACTGCATTGTTTACGCGCGCGGTCAGCTTCTCTTGCGTGTACTAATTACTGTATTATACAGTAATTAGAGTAATTAGTACACGCAGGAGAAGCTGACCGCGCGCGTAAACAATGCAGTCGAAGACTGAGTATAAACAGATTTCTGGGCTGCCTATGGTTTTCCCGGCTAGGCGAGGTGAAAACTGCATCACATCAAAGGCTTAAACTGATTAGTCTTTCATTATATGGAGTTTTCACCTCGCTTAGCCGGGATAACTCGTTCCATGTAAACAGTCTCTTTTATTTATTATTGATATCAATGATATGGTAAACTAGGGTACGAACCTAGAATTTCCAAGAGAGTCTCGATATAGGTCAAGGGCGTATGAACTGGCAGGCAGTGATCTAGTGTCTTCAAAATCCTCAGTTCTGACTTCAGAATACTGTTGTTGCTGAAGTGATGGTTCATTGAACTTAGATATCGTCGAACTTTGCTTGCAGACAAAGCCTGAAAGTGCACGTAGATAGAGTGTTAACTGTAGTTAAGGACAGAATGGGCAATTCACAGACGTGTATTTCTGAGTTAACAAGGATTTAACTATGCAAAATGTACTTAAAAAGTTTTATACAACTGGCCCCAGACCTTTAGGTGGAATTTATTTGAATATGTAGTAAAAAGAATTAAAGATAACACTGATTACCTTGCAATGTGATGAAAGTTTGCTGGCGAGTTGCACGCAGGACAACAATCGTAGTGGCATTTGTACTTTTATTCTATTCTCCACCTCGTTCCAATCTTTCTGCTTATCCATGCCAGATGAAGTTTGAATAAACTGATATAAGCCAACGATGTGCTTGATCATAAACCTAAAAAATAAAAGAACTCTTTGCAATTCCCCACAGGTCTCTTTCTAGTTTCTGCAGCCCTGTACAGTCCCCACAACTGTCTTTTTGTGCTGCTTTTCATTCTTCGAGTTTTACCTGTCGTATATTTCAACAGCGAGATATCTGGCTTCGACTGGTAGTGTTAACGCATCACATAAATTGAAAATATACTCTAAATAAAAAAGGATAATGCTCTGTCCTTCATGTGCAGCAATGAGCAATAACAAAAGCAAGAACAACAACAAACAAATGATGATATACCAAGATAACAACGAAAATGGTTTGAAAAAGATAAGCCAACCTGCACATTTTGCGTTTTTGAAATAGCCCATATCTTTGTCGGCGTTGTCCATATTTCTCTCGTTAATTTCAGCAAGCGTTTGCAAAGAATCTTCCAGCAATGAAGGTGGCAATCCAAATGCGTCGTTAAAAAGTGGTTCGGAAGGTGTTCCGAATATTCTCGTTTTCGCCAGTTTTGCGAGGTTTAAAGGTGAACTAAACCTCTCTTTACTGTGTGTTTCTTTTCCTTTTGTGTCCTCTCACCATTCCCTGGTGTTTTTAAAGATTTTTCAGTAGACTCGTACTATTTAAATAACTTTGTACTTTGAACTCTTGAGTTTTTAAATATTTTTTTAAGAAGGGCGGGAAAGTCAAACAGGAGCGGGATAATTGGAGACACAGAGGTATTAACAAGGAGGTTTGGGGAAAGCTAGGTATTCAAGGAAATAATTCCATCTTATTGAAGTTTTTAAATATAAATTTTGGATAAAACAAACTGAGATGAAGATTTTCATTACAAATATATATGGTAATTATGGTCGCTTGAACGTTTCTCAAAGCCGGGGACTTTAAAAGATATGTAAAGTCAATTTAAATCGCATGAACCGCTAGCGCCCTGAAGAGAATGCTCATTACAAGTAATTTGAAAACTTTCAAAACGAGAATGTAGAAATATTTTGCGCTTTTTTACCCATTTACCTGCAACAAGTCCAACAACAAATAAAATGGGGAAAAAGTAGGTAAGAGACAAATCCAGTTGTATACATTCTATATAGAGTTCAGTGGAAAATGGGCTCGAAAGCGTTTCTGGGTATATCTCTTCCACTCTTCCACTTGCCAAACGTCCGCTTCCGGTCAATACTTTTGGAAAGTCAAGGCGTACCCGGGAAGCAGTGTAACTTTCCTTTCTAAATATGCCTGTAAGTTTATATTTTTAACGTTTATTTTTATGGAAATCTTCTCTTTGGTTAACCTATGTATTGTTCTACATTCTAGGCCTATCATTCTTCGCTAACAGCGCCGCGATCCCTTGGGAATATGGCTTTGCTGCCATTGAACTCAAAATTCAAAGGGCCAGCCCCTCCGGGAGGTATTTGCTTATAAATTTCAATAAACAAAAAGCGATTCTTCTTCGCTTTTTTCACCCTGTTCAACCACTTCACTTCATGTATCTTAATCCTTGTCAATGCTAGAAGTATCGCTTTCGGTATATCTCAGTAGATAAGAACAATTGATACCAGAAAGTGTTTATGTTTTGCCAGACGAAAGGGGGGTTTATAACAGTGTGAAATGTACGATGAAAATACATGAGCAATTTTATAATGAAACTTTTGTAATATTTGTCGAAATTCTTTGTCTGTTTATGAAAAAAATCTAACATTTAATTCATTTCAATACTGCACTGCAAAGATTGCTTCTTAATGCAATGATTTTTCAATGTTATAGATGGTTCAACAGATATTGTTGAGGAAGCTATCTATTTCTTCAAAGCTAATATATTTTTCAAAAACTATGAAATCAAGGTTTGAAGCAGGAAATCCATATTTGTACATTTGCATCCGTAGTTGTATAGCTAACAGCACAACTGTTCATTTTCAACAGGGTGATGCTGATCGTGTATTAATCTACCTTACTCTTTACATTTCCGAATGTTTAAAGAAACTACAGAAGGTAGCCATCCACTTTTGATGGGTCTAAGTGAATATAACTTTCAAAGCATTGTAAATACAAAGCATGGTCTTATAAGGAGTTAGATCACAAGTGCAATGGAAAGATTGCTTTGCGTGACATCTGAAAACATATTGACTACAGTGTGTAGTTGTTTCAAAGTGTCATGATATAGTAGACTTATGATAACGATTTTGACACCTCTCACTCCAGTGTCAGTCCAAAGAACAAGGACGAAAAGAACTGCAAACATTGGCTGTCACAGCATTTGACATTCCTGGGGATGCAAAGTTCCCATTGAACGCCATGTACCACAAACCAAATTCACGGCAAGAATCCGGTAAAAAAGTGTTCAGAAATGTTGTAATGTTCGAGCATATTGACTGCCAAAGACATTTCTTCTGACTAAACAATGTAGTGCTATTTGTCTAAAGGCCTGTTTTACATATTGGATCCAATTCACTTCTGAAGTATGGAATGTAGTTTGTTATTGGTAAAGCAGTACTGCATTGTCTTAGTTGATATACTTTGTATGTCAACAGACTATAAAGCATTCATTAGAAGTGAATCGGATCCAATAGATTTTGATCGCCTGAATGGGCCTTAACACAAATCAAATCAAGACCATCATCTTAATTGCCATTCTTTTGCAGATCAAATGCGTCAATATATGGTGCAGCTAAGGCAAGAACTTGGCTTGAGACTTGTTGAAAAAGTTTTTGATCCCAAAACTGACAAACCATCAAAGGTACAACATGTACTGCATACCGTATACTTCTTCTCTCTCAGTCATGAAGTGGACGGATATAGATGTACCCATGCTTATTTACAACATTACTGAATTTTAGTGGTTGATGTGTTTTGTAAAAAGAAAATTCATGGATAAAAGCCTTTCTGGACCTGGCCAATAAGCCAAACATTTTCTGTAAGGATTAATTCAATACAGTATTATGTTCAAAATTTTACCGTGGTAAACTATGTAGCTTAACTCTACCTTTTTACATGTTTTAGGTTGGGACCTATTTTCACCAACTTATACAAAATCGATTACCAGTGTTAGCACATAATTTTTCAAGATGAGCATACAGAATTGTTCAAATTACAATAACTTTAATAATATGTTTTCAAATATATTGTAAAATCAAGTTTATATCTTTGTAATAAATGACAAAATGAATTGTTGTGAATTTGTTTGGATTTGATTTGTTTGATGATCAATACAAAAAATTAAAAACTAGACTATTTTGGTAAGTTGATAAGCAAACACAAGACAATCTAAATTTGCAAAATCAGTACCTGCTGATTAGTTTAAAATTCAATATCCAAATTAAAGATCTTAGGACTGTCCATCATTGCAACGACTTCTTGTAAATCAATTTATACTTTTCAATATCAATCTGAGTGACAATAAAAACATTTTTTCTTCTCTTCAACTTATTTCTCCAATCAATAACCATTTGACCACGTGTGTAACAGCCCTGCACTTCCACAGTAGCATACACATTCTCTTGCTTTAAGATGATTTCTGGGCATGTAGCAATCGTTGCTGCAAACTCATCACATGGTATAACATCAGATGGCATACCTTGCAGTTGATCAAGGTGTACTTGATGCGAAAATGCAGTTATCTTTTTAGCGAACTTACTCCTAGTTGTGCCTTGATCAAGACACTGAGCAAGAAACTTGTGCGTGATTTCATATTCTATACATAGTTCCCAAGTTGCCATGATTATTGGGCAAGTGAACTCCTCAAGAACTATCAGAGCTGCCTCTGGGTCAAAGTGGAAATTGAACTCGCTACAAATTGTAACATTTCCTTTGCCTTGATAGTTGCCACCCATTATAACTAACTTTTTAAAGTTCTTACCAAAGTTTGGATCCATGCGGCAAGCAAGAGCGACGTTTGTCTGAGGACCAATTGTAAGCAAAGTGATTTCCCCACGGCATTCTTGGCTTATTCGAACTAGATAGTTGACCGCATGCTCACTCTGTAAAAGAGTCAGATCTGGTTCAGGGACCTCTTTGGAATCACCAAGGCCATCATCCCCATGATAATGGGAGGCATCAAACTTGACAGCTGTAAATTCAAATGTTTTTAAAATAGTTATAGCCTGTCTGGAACAACAGGATACTAATCATTAGTTTGTCTTAACATCCAGAACCCAGGAGCTAATTGTGCAAAAGGAGGTTTATATAATACACTCCATCTTGGGTGAAAACAAATGATAAATCTTCAAAGTTCATTCAGCCAAGGCTGAGTCATATATCGTTTATGAATTAACAAATGCTTTATTTCGTTGAATTCTGACATAAATGAGAATACTAACAGCACGAGAACAATTATAACGTCGTTGTTAATAACTTAATAGCGCTACAGATTTCACCATCCCTTTGAACCTGCACGAGCACCAAAATATGCAACGAACATCGATTAATTTAACAAAAATACGACCATTTTATACAAGTACTTACGCAGCAATGGTGAAGAAGCTCCTTTGTAAACGGGGATATCCAGTCTTTCAGCTGCGGTGAGAACTTTAAGCACATTTATGACAACTTGATCAACTAGTACATTGCCAGAACAACATGTGATACCAACGACGTCAATACGGTCGGAAAATTCTTTACTTAACGTAATCAGGATTGCTTGAGCATCGTCCACACCACAGTCTGTATCAATTATAACCTTCGCTTTGTTCGCCATGGTTTTTGAAGTATAAAAAGTCTCAATTGATGGAATACAACTTGATTCGAACAGCTATTGCCTATTGCAAGACATTCGATCCTTGGCCTGTTGGTTGTCCGAGTTCAGGAGGGTGTGGAGACAAAATTCGTGGATACCCCAGTTTTTTATTTCAAATATTTGCAGATGCCATGTTCTGCAAGCTAGTTTTTCAATATACTGACATATATAATAATTCTCAATTAGAGTACAAAAGACAAAGACTAATACTGCAATGTGCAATGCAATATGTATTTATTTATCATGCTCATTTGCTTCAATATTTTACACACAAGCAATATTCAGTCTTGCCAAAGGCCCATCTTAATATTTTTAAATATATGATCTACACTGTAGACAATCAAAAAAAGATAATTGCAATAGGTTGATATATTTTTTATCTGCAGACATTTTAAGTTACATAACAAGCAACTTTCCTGCTCTTCATTGCAATAGCGACTTCTTATAAATCAATTTATACTTTTCAATGTCAATCTCAGTAACAATAAAAACATTTTTTCTTTTCTTCAATTTATTTCTCCAATCAATAACCATTTGACCACGTGTGTAACAGCCCTGCACTTCCACAGTAGCATACACATTCTCTTGCTCTAAGATGATTTCTGGACATGCAATAATTGAAGCAGCAAACTGGTCACATTGTACCACATGGGTTGGTAAACAGCGCACTCGGTCCAGGTACAATTGATGCAACATTGCAGTTATCTTTTTAGCGAACTTACTCTTAGTGGTGCCTTGATCAAGACATTGAGCAAGAAACTCGTGCGTGATTTCATATCCTATACATAGTTCCCAAGTTACCATGATTATTGGGCAAGTGAACTCCTTAAGAACTACCAGAGCTGCCTCTGGGTCAAAGTGGAAATTGAACTCGCTACAAATCGTAACATTTCCTTTGCCTTGATAGTTGCCACCCATTATAACTAACTTTTTAAAGTTCTTACCAAAGTTTGGATCCATGCGGCAAGCAAGAGCGATGTTTGTCTGAGGACCAATTGTAAGCAAAGTGATTTCCCCACAGCATTCTTGGCTCATTCGAACTAGATAGTTGACCGCATGCTCACCCTGTAAAAGAGTCACATCTGGTTCAGGGACCTCTTTGGAATCACCAAGGCCATCATCCCCATGGTAATGGGAGGCGTCAAAGTCAACAGCTGTACAAAAATTCAAATGTTGAATAGTTATAGCCTCTGGTTAGCCTAACCATTAGTTTATCATCGTGAAAATTCCTAGAACCCAGGAGCTAATTGTGCAAAAGGAGCTAATTTAATCCACTCCATCCTGGGTAAAAACAATAAATGATAAATCTTCAAAGTTCATTCAGCCAAGCCATGAGCTCATCTTTTATGAATTAATAAATGCTTTATTTCGTTCAATTTTCATATAAACGAGCATACGAAAAGCACGACGTTAACGATGGTTACAGACTTACAGCTTTCACCATGCATGCTTGAGCCTACACGAGCGCCAACCAGATATGCAACGAAGATCGTTTAATTTAACAAAAATACGATCATTTTATACAAGTACTTACGCAGCAATGGTGAATAAGCTCCTTTGCAAACGGGGATATCCAGTCTTTCAGCTGCGGTGAGAACTTTAAGAACATTTATGACAACTTGATCAACTAGTACATTGCCAGAACAACATGTGATACCAACGACGTCAATACGGTCGGAAAATTCTTTACTTAACATAATCAGGATTGCTTGAGCATCGTCCACACCACAGTCTGTATCAATTATAACCTTCACTTTGTTCGCCATGATTTTTGAAGTATTAAAAGTTTCAATGGTAGGAGGGTTTGACAAAAGAAATTCACACGATCCAATTTTGCTGGTTCAAATTCAATTGACTTCTGACGTATGAATTATAGTCAGTTATTGATAAAGCAGCACTGCAATGACTGCATTAGCTTCAGTAGATTTGCTGCTGATATACATTCTAAACTGGGTGAACTCAGGGGCTCTGTCAAGAATTTACTGTAAGGGTATTAAGTTATATAAATATGGTTTCCCCCAGATGTGGTGTGACAAAACTCATTTTCAGAATACAAATTCTGAATTTAATACAATTTGAATAATAAATATACCTTTTGCTAGGCTTTCAATCCTCAACCTAAGAAGCTGGTTGCTCAAATGCATTTGGGAATATTAACACTATATTATTAAACAAACGGTGATAACAAATGCATATTTTGTATTTTATACCTCAATGATCCATGTATTGCTTAATTATACGTACAACTACTACACCTACTACACGGTACAACTTACTAAACCTTACTATTTCTTTAAAAATATAAATATGTCTTTAATTAAATTAGTAATAATAAATAAAATTGTGAAACTCATTAGCCCATAGATTTAAATTTCCAGCAACAGTAAACTTTCCAATATTCACCTCATTAAGAAATTATTCCTCAGTATGACAGTATTATGACTTCTATGATCAACATTTAAGGCCTAATTCAGACTGGCTCCTGAGAATCAGGAATAATGAATATAATAATATCAAAGAATATTGTGATATTTCAGTGACCTCAGACAAAGGGAATCCCAGACTCTCACAAAAAGTGTTAACCATGCTTATATTTTTTATCTGTGCATTTGCAACTGATGCAAAGAAAATCTAGGGGAAAGGGATATTAAATTGAAATAGGCTACCTATGCTACTTGAAGTTAGGGGGGCTTATCGTCTTAGGTGGGTCTGGAGGCTTATCGTTTTAGGTGGGTCCCCTGGTCCGGGGGCTTATCGTTTTAGGTGGGTCCCTGAAAAATTTTTAGATTCTCAACTCTCTAAAGCACATTTTCCTGCATTTTCGAGGTAATATTTACTTAAATTTTACAATAAAATATTCATTATAAGCAACATAATTTGAATGATAAATGAGCACTCATGAATTTTTTCTGGGGCTTAGCCCTCTGCTTCTAAACGTTAGGGGGGATCAAGCCTCCCCTGCCCCCGTGGTTCCTACGGCCATGCCACTAAGAATAAAAAGGCTTAACAATTTTTCACTGTGATTTTCTTATGGCATAAATCTTCCACCCTTTTATGAAGATGATCCATTGCATAAATTTTCACATCGTGACCATAAGCAATAAGTTTCAAAATTTCACAGTTGTTCTTTGAACGGATCAGTGCAGCCATGTGGTTCTTGATATCAAAAGACAATATGTGAATCACTTTCACCTTAAAATGCCTCATAGCTACCCCTACATATGCATCATCTGTGTGAAAGGGTTTTCGTATGTGGACATAATGAAATAGACTATCCAACAAGTCTGTGGACATTAATATGAAAGCTCCTGCATTGAATGGGGGGAAGACAGGTTCATCAAAGTACTTCTTGCTGATGCTCCACTTACCCCCAGCCCACCGGGCTACTGCAGTATTGGGGTATGTCTCGCCACCATAGAAGCGAGGGGGTGACCCCTGTGAAACGAGGTACTCGATAATTTTAGGTATTCGCACATAAACATCGTCGTCTGTTTTAAGAGTATATTTTGCACCATGCAAAGAAGCCCAGAGCTGTCCCATGTAAAATTTCAAAATGTTATTCAAGTAGTTATCATCAATGTCACCAATCAACATATCATTGTGTTTCTTGGCTTCCTCAATGTTTCTTTTGTCATCTTCCTCGTTGCCAACTTTTCCTAGTACAAAAACTAAAATCCATTTCTTATCTCTCACGTGCGTCTGATTTGCGGCAATGAAATATTCGCAAGTCTTCTTGCTTGCCCAAGTTTCACGAATCTTCGCCCTGCGCTGTGTAAACAAGCCACCTTTCGCACCGGAATTGACAAGAACCACAAGATATAAATCTTTCGACCCTTCAAGAGCCGGCTGCACTTCAGGATAAACGAATTTAAAGTCGACCCAAGGCTGGTAATCGTTTACCATGTCGATTTCTGCTTTCTTAGTTGGACTTGCTTTCGTAGTTGGACTTGCTTTCGTAGTTGGACTTGCTTTCTTAGTCGGACTTGCTTTCTGCATCGCTTCGGTGGGCTTACTGTGCTGTCTACTTCGCGAAGGTGTTGCAAGATCTTTCTGAACATTTTTTTCAATTATGACCGTAGAATTTCTGGAATAAATCACCAAAACCGTCAGATTGAATATCAGCTGAACAGCGATGATTATCGGAATCCAAAACCGCGTTGATCGCCCACGAAAGGGATTGCATAGCATGTTGATATTCTCTTTAATATAATTTCTCTCGAGTTAAGTTGTTATCTAAATGTGGCAACTCTGGCTCCGGTTTTGATAAATTTGGACTTGTATATGTACAATAAACGACCACAGTTATTTAATGGCGTCCTTTCCTTTACATACTCTACATTTTTGAACACAATGTCAGTCCCCGAAATCGCCCAGATTTAGGTTGTCGTTGTCACAGCGTAAACTGTGGGATAGTTGTTGTTATGGCCGGCCAAACATGCATAGAGGACGCCAAAGGCCTGGTGTTTTTAATACCGCAAAAATATGCAAGCCTGGACCCCCGATCTATAACTATAACCCTTGTTATCTGCACACCAACAATCACGATTTGCACAAAGTTTTAATTTATGTACAAGTGGCACAGGCCACAGGGTCAGACAGCAACAGGGTGCTTTAAAATTAGCACCCTCAATTGAAATGAAGCTCCTGTTGGATTTGAATCAATTGAATGCATGATTACTAATTAACCACAAAAGCATTGAAACTAGACGTTACTATTGCAAGTGAAGTGCTGCCTTAAAGGGGGGGGGCAGAAAATTGGGGGTATACTTGAAATCCATTTCATTTTAGGTGGTTCTAAATTTAAAACGTTGTGATGTTAAAAGTTGTGACGTAATTATTGGAAAGGTCTATTGAGCGTCTCGTTTTAAATTTTTAGCAGCTGCGAGTTTGGCATAATAATAAGGCATTAAAATTCTGACAAAAGTTTGATTTTAATAGCCCTGGAGGGGGTACTTTTTTATACACCCTGTAGACTGCGTTCAGACGTAAATATCATTGTGAGCTGTCTGTGGAGGGTTGGTGACTTGGTGTTTTGGAGGGAAATCTTCACTGCAGCCGAAGTTGCCATACAAAAATGTAAGATTATGTTGATAGCCTACGTCTAGGAGCGTAGTTTTTATTTTGGATAAGAGACAGACCATTTCAGCGTCTCTTGTTGGAGATTCTGTCGGCTGAATCGTTTTAGTACAGTTTGATTTCCTCTCAAGATCGGCGTCGAAAAAGGCGAGAACGCTTGCATAACATAGTGATGACCTACGCTTCTTTGTTGAGAGGTCTCAGCAGGGCCGTCCTCAGGATATTTTACAGGGGGGGTGTAAGGTAATCTAAACCGACTGATCCACAGACTTGTACCGATTACACTCTGGATGAAACTTTATCAAGTTTATATTGGATCGGTCCATAGTGTCAACAGTATGTTTGTCTGCCGACTAAAATAGCAATTTTACCGACTAAACCTAAGAATAAACTTTCTGGGGGGGTGTGACACCCCCCTACACCCCCCCGTAGCTCCGGGCCTGGGTCTCAGATCTCTGGCGTAATGTGTCTAGATCTTGGAATTTTGAACTCTTCCTTATATGACAGTTCTATAACATACAGAGAGAAGGTTTAACAGAGGTTGTGAATGCATTTTCAAAGAACTCACTCTTGAAGAATAAAGAAATTGCAAAATAAGCTACGGAGTGTCTGTATATGCATGGAAATCTTTGCGGATCTCCTTTCAAATAAAAGGCTTTCACACCAAGTGTCAGCCACGACTTTCTTGTGTGTGCATGTCATCATCAGTATGTGTCGACGCGACCATTATCTCAAAAGCAGGTTTTTGTATTTACGTTTGCTGGTTATTTGGTTTTTAGTGAACAAGCGCTGATGAAAGACATAACAGGTCAACATTTATTCACCGCCGGACGCGACAAACTCACGGTCAGAGATGATTCGAATTTCATCGCAACAACAGAACAACTGGCGCTAAATTGCGTAGACGTGACGAATCTCGTATGGCAAGAATGAAATGCTTGTGCATTGGTGTGAAACTTGAAAGAACAATGTTTTTAAGTTAGCGGCCGATTGGTTGTTTAGTATTTTAAAGCAATCAATTTATGGAGCAAATCTGTTGACCTGACATCATGCAATATGTTTGCCCCGGCTGTCATAATTCTTGCCGCCTTTATTTGTCAAGCATGCATCCACATTTTTCCCGACATAAGGGAGAGCGATGATCGAAATATGAGAACACAGAGAATTATATACGAGTTATAAAGATAAGTAAATAAGCTCGTAGGTATACCACGTTAGTCTTTACTGTAACATGCACTGCAAACTTTGGTCCGTTTACCTGAGTCTTCATCTGTGCAACATTACAAGAATAAAAATTAGGAAGAGTTTCAGTTTCAACGCACTTTTAATAATTCCAATACTGGAGTCAACTTTTCTACACGAATAGCAAGGTTCTAGTAATTCTGGTTTATCAACCTCTTTATCGCCCAACTTTGTTTTTCAAATGATCGGAATTTCTTATAAACATTATATACTTTTGTCTTTTCTGTATATGCATGCATGCAACTGGTGTTATTTACTGATTGCGAGAGAGCCATCTGATATATTTTCTAAGAGCCTGTTTACATGGAGCGAGTTATCGGGGACTTATCCCGGCTAGACGAGGTAAAAAGCGCGTCACATTAAAGCTTAACCAGGTTAGTGACCGTTAGTCTTTCAATATATCTAGTTTTCATCTCGTTTAGCCGGGATAACTCGCTCCTGATTAAGTTTTGTTCTTAGTTTTAGGAGTAACTTCAGTCTCGACAAGTTACATACATTTCCATCTAAAATTAGTACTATATATGTATTCATGTAGATTTCAGAGGAACATTTGAATACAAGCCGGTGCTGTCATATGCAGGCATTGACATTGTAAATAGTTTTTTTAAGATTATGCGCTTTTGTTATCAATTACTTAAACTGTTGTCAAAAAGTGCTAGCAGCTAGAAAACGTTTAGAATTCGAATGCGTGCAGAATGCATATATTAAAATTAATTGTCAATGTTGAGTATTGTTCACACGTGCCACTATCAATTCAATAATTTTTCAGAAATTAGATTCCATGAAACATTCACCTGCATAACGACAGCGTTTTCATCAGTTGGGTCGATGAAAAAGTCGATCACATCAACAGTTTTCGAGCGTGGTTTTGTTACGACAGAAAAATTCAAGTTTCTCGTGTAAACTTTGCATTGAACCGGGGTCGATCGAATGGGCATATCCGATCAATTTCAGAATATAGCAATTGTGGTTTGAACGTATTACATCACGCATATTATCTATGATCCGAAAAGATGATATATTGATCACCTTCACTTTGAAGTCCCTCATAGCAACACCGACGTAGGCATCGTCGGTGTGAAACGGCTTTCTTACGTGGACGTAGTTCAAGAGACGTCCTAACAAGTCTGTCGACATTAACACTAGACCTCCAGCAATGAAGGGGGGATATATACGTTCACTAAAGTACTTCTTGCTAATGCTCCATTTAAAACCAGGCAAACGGTGAACGGGTGAATTTATATACGCGTTGCCACCATAGAAGCGAGGGGGTGACCCCTGGGAAACGAGGTACTCGATAACTTTCGGTATTCGCACATAAACATCATCGTCTGTCTTAAGAGTATATTTTGCACCATGCAAAGAAGCCCAGAGCTGTCCCATGTAAAATTTCAAAATATTGTTCAAGTAGTTATCATCAATGTCACCAATCAACATATCATTGTGTTTCTTGGCTTCCTCAATGTTTCTTTTGTCATCTTCCTCGTTGCCAACTTTTCCTAGTACAAAAACTAAAATCCATTTCTTATCTCTCACGTGCGTCTGATTTGCGGCAATGAAATATTCGCAAGTCTTCTTGCTTGCCCAAGTTTCACGAATCTTCGCCCTGCGCTGTTTAAACTCGCCACCTTTCGCACCGGAATTGACAAGAACCACAAGATACAAATCTTTCGACCCTTCAAGAGCCGGTTGCACCTCAGGATAAACGAGTTTAAAGTCGACCCAAGGCTGGTAGTCGTTTACCATGTCGATTTGGATTATTTTCGTAGGTGTTTTAATTACAGGTTGAGTTGTGTGAGACCTAGCAACGGCAGTGTTCCATCCTTTTAACTGTTCGCCATTCTCTGCGGCGTCTGCGCTTAATGATTCTTGGGCAGATTCAGTTTGAAAGACTGAACTCCAAGATTTAGATGCGAAGTTGACAACGCCAAATAGAGAAAGTTGAAAAGCTATGCTGACGATAAATAGCGTGGCCGTGATGACGCATAACCATGGGCATGGCGAATATCGACAACGAGAATGATTGCATTGAAATGATTTGAACGAAGCCATTTTTTTTCACGGTTTGACGAGTTTCTCATTATTACTCTTGTCACTACTCTTCACCTCAGTCGTCACCATGACAAAATGAATATTCCCCCAAAGCATTCATATTTTCACAGAGTTGCAAAAAGAGTTCAACCTTCCTCCGGTAGGATTTCAAGTTCCGAAGACCTTAATTCCTCAAAATGACGTTACCTCGCTGAGTCAAGTGGCAACCAGCATAAAGAAATATTTGGTCCTTTAGTACATGCTGGCATGTGATCAGTTCGAGTGTTCAACTTTGAACCTTCCTCACAAACCTCATTCAAAGGAGGCAGCGTTTTTGCCAACTCTGCATTTAAAAAAACTTGCAAAGATCGTATTTACTCGGGCGACGCAAGAAAAAATATTTTGGACGGCTCACTGAACGGCGAAATGAGAAGTTTTTTATTTGAAAATAATTATAGCTAAAAGAAATATATTAAAAAGTTGTCTGCACACGATTTTTTCATCCGATAAACGCGTATTTGAATTTTCTGACTTTGACAACAGTTTTCCTCGCTGCTTGTGCAAGTATAAAGTTAATTTCCCTGTTTAAAAGCAGCAATGGATAGCTTTTTAACAGGCTTTTCGAAAAAAACTTGTCACACAACGGCAAACCTGAAACACTCAATGGGGCATTTATGCGAGGCAAAATAAGTCGCGACATATTTAAGACGCGACGTAAATCTCTATATCCCGATCTCTATATGTTAGCTGGACGCGATTTTCTGTTGCAGCCAATGGTCTAGCCGAATTGCATTATACCACCCGCTGAATAAGGAAATTAACAGGTTTTAATAGCAAATCGACTATCCCTTCCATTAGATGCCCTAGTAAGTCACTACGATCAAAGATGCTTTATTGATTTCTCTGTGGAGAAGGCAAGATCATGTGTATGCTTTCTGGAGGAGCAGGTATGATAAGTTATTTACAATTATAATGAACTAAACCATCATCTATGTACAAATTCAGGGGAACTCAGTAACACTGTAACAGCCAGTGATGGAGTGAAGCCATGACTTGTCTTTCAGACTCAGTGGTTCATAATGCTGAGTTCCTCCTGATCTCTTCTATCAGTCCAGTTCCGAAGAAGAATCGAAAGCAAGTCATTAAACTTCTGTTTTACCATGTCCGAGTCATCCTCCAAATTCGTCTGAACACATGGAATCTTCGAAAGATACGATGCTAAAAAAAGGGTTTAGTAAATGACAACTTTGTCACTGACTGAAGTTGGCCTGCAAAAGTGGGCACTTTATGACCCACATATCAACAATTTACAACAACATTGCCACTTACGTATTTGGGATCGAGCTTTATTGTTTGTTCCTGGTTTATGGTGGGCAAAAAGCATGCATTGTGAATCTCTGAGACCTTGCTCTTGAACAAAATGGACATACCTGAGGAAGAATACATCAAAATCATTGTTATTGCATTGTGTCTTGCTTAAAAGTGGTTGAAAAGTGAATAGAAATAAACATGTGTGTTACTGACAGTGTTTCGAGTTGTTTTCCATGGTTTGTATTGTCGGGATTATAAACAAATAGTATGCCATTAGCATCTTTTTGAATTGCTGGCCAACAGTTTTCAAACCTGGTTAGATATGGTGGATATAAAATATTCATAAGCATGAACAAATTATATGAACAATTTACATTTACAAAGTACTTAATTTGAGGGCATGTTTACATGGAGCTGGTTATCCCTGCTAGGCAAGGTAAAAAGCGCATCACATCAAAGGCTTAACCTGATCAGTCTTTCATTATATGCAGTTTTCACCTTGCCTAACCAGGATAACTTGCTGCATGTAAACAGGCCATTGTCACTGTGAGATAATAAGTTGACACATTATGGCTTATGTCACTAGTTAACCCCAAATGGCTAAAACTAACCCTATTTAACCCTGTTATCCACAAACAATGATCACATGTTAGTGAAATAATTCAGACATACTTTTGATCACCGCTGCAATCCCACAATTCCACCTCACAGCTCACTTCCTTACCGCCAACCGATATTCCAGAACTCTCAAATTCAAGAATTCTAAAACAGAGATGGCCAGCGTTAGCCTGAGATCTAACCAATAGCTGCAAAGCTCTATAGTTTGGATGTATGTCCACCATTACCTCACTCCTTGGGTCGGATGGTAATCTCCACCAGATATTTCTGTAGCATCTGCCAAATAATTGGATATGACTGTCTTGCCACACTAGGGAAGTGTTTGTTTTCAATAGTTAATCATAGTTTATGTAAGACATTGTTGTTGTACATCAAGATTTAACTATGTAACAATAAGAAAGGGCCTTGAAACTTTCTCTCGCCAAGAAAAAACACAAAAAGACGAAGAATGTATTAATAAAAGAGCCACTTCATATCATAGATGCTTGACAGCGAAACGTTTTCGAAGCTTCTGCGTGAAAAAATACTATAAAAGCAATGCCTAATGCTAGATTATCCTTTCTTTTTACCTCCTTTGGTCCAATGACAAGTATTTTTGCCTTGAACATACCAACATATGCTGTTGTTTTAGCGTTTTCACGTTTTCCTGAGGAAAAAAATAATGACTTTTGAATGTTTCTTGGTTACCATGCTTCAATACTTCATGTAAATACGGTTATTTGTTCCACCGCAAAAATGACGGCAAAGAAAAATATTTCCAAGTTACAAACTGTAGAAATATCTAAATATATCTTGTAAAATGTTTCTCAAACCTTTGTATATCTATGCATTAAGTCAGTTTCCTGATCATTTTTATTTATTTATTTTATTAATTATTATGGGATATTATTCTTTTGATGGATGCGATTCGAACGAGTGAATAAGTTATGTATTGATGTCCAAATACTGACCTTAACTATCGCATGGGAAATCACACCGAAAGTCAGAACAAAAACTCAAAGTGTAAGCGCCTGATTGTTCTCTTTCCATCGCTGGAATGTCTGCGCATGTATCAACTCTTTCAGTTAAAAAAAAACAGATGCTAATTGTTGCGTCCATGCAAAGCTATCGCTAATGAAGACACGATGATTCGCTAGCGAATAAAAAATCGCGACCAGCCAAATTTGGTTTAGATATTCGAGTTAAGCAAGCCCAACGCATTATCAGTAGCTATAATTGGAAAATACTTTATACAAAAAGGTTGTACAAATGTGTTTGGATTGTAGTCATTAACAGACCTCTTTGGTTCGAGTTTGCGCCACTCATTTTCCGCCTTTGAAAAGATACCAGGACCCGTAAAATGATAGGCTATATCAGAAACAAGCTGTCGAGATATACTGATACCAAATTGACAGTGTATTGTACAAATTCACGACATATGCCAGTCAAAGATAACGCGGAATTCATTGAAGTTTGGAATAAGGTTGCTACGACAACATTTAGTTCTGTGTGCGTTGTTTAACTTTTTAATAAATTCTATGTTAATTTTTGTGGCAAGCACCTGCAACTTCTAAATATTCCCAATTATCATTAAGACGACCTGCATTTTTGCTAATAGTTGTGTAATTGGAGCCGTTGAGAACTCTCCTCTGTTTCCAAACGACAAGGTTAGTGAGCCACAGCCGGCAGAGCGCGAGAAGGGTATGCTCAGACACGACTTCCTGTTACACGCCAGCTTTTCTCGCACATCGAAATTTAAATATTAATACAAGCAATTGTAATTAAAACTGTGAATATGCAGGTGCCGCCTGCATCAGTTACACTAGCAGTGCTGCGATGATCAATTGACTTTGAGGAAGGTTGAAAGTGAAACACTGAATAAAACATTGCAAAGCAGTAAGTACTAGACTAGTCAGACTAGAATTAGTAGCAACAGTCAACACTCAGTCAGACTAGCAGTACTGCAATGAACAAGAGTTACCAGCATCGAGCTACATTTTCCTTGATGACGCACAATTACGCAGTTCCAATTAGCTTCAAAGAATATGGCACAAATTGTCGCAATGCACAGAACTATAGTCGAAAAGTTACCTGTTTTTGGTAATCCGCTTCGTCGTTCCTCGTAATCAGAGTGCACATAACTTGTGGTGCTGTCGAGATTCGACTTTTGCTGACTTTGCGTTTGACGCTTTTCGCGAGCCACTTTGGATCCCTGATTCTTTTCGCTGCTACTAATTTTATTTGAAGCGTCTTCTCTATGACTATCCACTGGACAGAAGAAATGATTCATAGCATCAGGGTTGGTTTTCCAATTTCTCGATTAGAGCTATTGTTGTGTTAATTCTCGACCCTGTGCATTGCAACTCTCATAGTTTCCATAAGGAGATCCCAAACATTTGCAAATGAAAGACATGTAAAGATTGAAGGAGTCAGGTTTTCAAGAGCATAACCAGGGAAATGTCCCAAATAAAACTATTTAAAATTTGACTAAACTGCATGACTAAACTGTTGAAAAAGGGCACCTTTTCTTGATTTTGAAAGTTGGGACATGTCACTAGCCCCCAGTGCCCTGTCACCCTGCCTCCTCGAGTGTATGTTTACATGATGTCTCTCAGTCTCAGGAAAGCGCAGGCTCAAAAAAGAAGCCTGTGTTGTGTATGCAGTGGAACAGGCGTTAGATAACACACACAGCAGCAGCTGAAAAACGTAAAATTGTCACCAGAGGCGATAAATTTGTCTACGTACTTTGACGATTTCCATCAATTGACGTTTTTCGCCTATTCTCAACGAGTCGTTTCGGATCCGGGGTGGTTGTTTGCGACCTTTTTCGTTCTTCACCCGTGGGCTTCGCATTTGCCATTTTATGTCGTTCAGCTCTTGGAAGACGTCTTCTCTCCCGTCTTTTTAATTCGTCCCCTCGCCCGGCACCTATCCAAGTTTCAAAATCAGAGCTAGCACGTCTGTGTGCCTACTATATCTCTTTAGCTTTACTTACAATATTTCGTCTTCCAGAATCCAGCTGCGTTAAATCAATTATTTCAATTTCTTTGGTCACTATGTTAGACATCGGCACGAACGGAGGGAAAATTTCCTTTTTTATCGTGCATAAATAATGTGGGACTGTTTATATAAACGAACTTGTCCAATTGATACCGAGAGCAGATTCGTATCATTATAACTTCGTCACAACAGGGTTTCAAAGATTACTTCAGACCAAACTAACGGAGTTTACATCCATTTTCCACGTCATAAAACCTCTAAGGCTGTATAACTTACTGCGAAATTGTATCATAAAACTGTATCAAAGCACACAGTATTATAAAACCAGCCTAGATTAATGGATAATGGATAACTCATAACTGTATTTACACATCTGTTTCTACCAGGCAAAAAAGGGAATGGGAAATTACACTGGCAATATCCTTCGTTTTTCAACAAACGCTAATTTAGTTTCATTAAAATTTCAGTTCTTTTATAGTAGCGACTGCTGTGTAATGGCGGGAAAAATAACGTAAAAGTGATGAACATCGTGCACTGATGAATATATCTCCAAACCAACACAACAAATATTTGAAATAATCAAAATTGATTTTACAAGTTCTGAACGGGATGTCAGCTGTTGTGCTACGTTGACGAATACTCAGTGTAGACTTAAATTGATACGACACATTATGTAGTTCGCTGCTACAACACAGGTAATTCAAATAAGGGTCATTATCGATTAGAGCAATGTTTCAATTCCGTCCGCTTACCTTTCGCGGCTGTTTGTTTTTCCATTCGTATTTGAAACTGACAATGATACGGGTAAATGACAATGTTTATATACAATGTCGCATCAAGTCATGAAAATCATTAATTATGTCTCTTTTTCAAAGTTCAGCTCGGACGTTTTAGAATCCGAGGGAGGTTAATGAATCGACGATTGTATTTGTTTTTAAAAACGAAGACGCTTTGGCAACACGAACTTCGCGTTCGCTGAAGGTAGCAAGCAATACATACGAGAACCAGTTGTCAGGCGACTGCACGTTTGAATTTGAATACAGGGACCGGGCTGATCTCTATGGAAAAGCGCACAAAGTGTATTCAAACACCTGCAACTCGATCTCGAAGTTTCATAACAGCAAACATTGACTCTGCTGGAACTATCTAATAAGATTGACAATTAATGCCACATCTTACAACGAAAGGCTACTTATGTAGCAAAAAGCAACACGCAAAAAGATTAGATGAAAGCGCAAAAGAGAAAGGTGTGTTTTAAGATGCGGTGTGATTTGAAATCGGGAAAAAAACTAAAGCACGATTATAAACAATACAATTACGACTATTATTGACACATGTCTTCTTGCCAATGTTTAACCACTTTAATGTTTATTCAGAGTTGAAGATTAAGCTTGTTAAAGGCCATCTAAGAATCAGAAATCCTTACACGAGCAACTAATTGATGCGACAAGTAAAAACCTTTGTAGATTTTGAGAATATCCTGTTGTGAAGCTCTAGTTAAAAAAGAGGAAATGTACTGTTTGACCAGATGCGAGGATGATTGACACGTTGTTTACACAGTGACTATTCTCCGACTTTCCGCCTCCGACTAGACAATTTTTTAAATTTAGATTCTCTGAATACACTTCTCATTGTCAAGTATTGATTATTGAACACTGTCTGACTGCACCAACTGCGAGAACAACACGTGCGCTACGCCAGAAACTAGACTCTGATTGGCCAATTCTAGAATTAATTGCACCACCGGAAAGAGATTCGACCCGTTTTCCGAGGCCTCGATATCCGGACTAGACCGACTAGTTTCATTTTCGATCAATGGTACATCCAACCAGGAGCACAAAAACGCTTGCATAGGAAAAGGGAATACCTCACCGACGAGGTCTTTGGCCGATGGTAGCTGACCAATACTTCTTATATTTCGCAGCTTAAATGAGTTCACTCTTTCGTTTACCAAGGAATGATAGTTCAAGAATTCTTTTCCCAGCCATTGTGCGATTTCAACTATTATTCTTTCTTTCCTGCAAGAATATTTTTTGTCCTCTACAGAGCATGCCTTGTTTTGCGACGCCCTGCTCTCATTAGATGTAGGACAATTTGTTTCCCCACCTTGTTGGGAAGTCGCCAAGGTTTCGGTATTTTCCGATGCGGTTCCGAGCAATTTCAAGCAGTTTTTCACTAAACTTAAAGTTCGATATGATATTGAATTTGACTTTTTCTTGGCCTTCATCGATGATAAATATGTTTTCAACAATACAATTTCATGTTGTAAGCTCTCATCAAGCTCATAATCATAATCTATCGATGGCTTTATTAACACAATCAACAAATCGATCAACTTCAATCTCCTCACTCAATGTTACAGGCTGCGAACTTAAAGTGTCGAAGGTTTCCTGTTCCGTGCAAGAGTCTTTAGATTTGACGTGAATCTCCGTGTCCAAAACTGGATCAGATATTTGTCTTTCCCAAACTTCCAGAAGTTTACACAGGCAAGCTTGTTGCCCTTGCCGAGTGTAATATTCAAAAGCAATTTTAAACAATCCTTGCACGCTGTAAAACCAAACTCCCCGAGCTGTGCCATGGATGCCAACGACTCGGACCCCTGGCTGAAAATTCAGCTTCGTTGCAAAGCCTAGCTTTGCGTGTTTGGCATGAAAACGTGGCAAATTTTTGCTACAAATGCTAGTACACTCATCAAGAACATCGCAGCCTAAAAATAATGGAATGCACTGCACTTCGTTTTCTAATTCTGTACTTACAATATCTGGCTGGTATAGATATATGTATCTCAGTCGCCGTTCACCCAAAAAGACCTCGTTTAGGTTGATTTCAAAGCTATTTTTTGTGAATTCTTGCACGTTTTCGACCGCCATTTTGCTCACTTCCTGTATTAACCTGCGTACAGGCGGTTAAACCCCCTTCCCGTTGTCAAGACCCGCGAGGGCGCGAAGTTTACTTTGTTGTCATTTGAAGTTTTTTTGGGCAAATTTTTTCAGATTTTATCGACGATTCTGGCCGTTTTATTGGGAATTTTCGCAAGGAATTCATGACACAAGAGCTAAGCTATCTGCAGCTCAAAACTGCGAACGAAGCACGGCAATCGGACGAGCAAAAAACTGAATTCAGAAAGAAGCAACTATTGGTATTAATATTAGGTTATCTCAGTGATGAGGGATACCTGGACACTGTTAATGCTTTGGAGACTGAATCTGGAATTAGCTTGGAAAAATACTCTGTTTGTGATAACATTGACCTACCTACTGTTCTCCAGGAGTATGAATCGTATTATCATGTTAAATTCAATAGATACCCAAAAATTATTAAAAAATCTCCAAGTCCTGAGAAAGCCAAGCCAAGCAGGCCCATTAAGGGTAGCTTGAAAAATCGTAGTAGTTCCTGTTCTTTGCCCAACATAAACACAGCCAAAAATGAAGGCGACACGCCACCTAACCGACCCCTAAGTGATGGCAAAAGAAAGGTGTCTTCGAAAGGAAAAGTTGTCAAAGCCAAATCGCTAACGACTGTTAATCAAGACGAACTGAGCTTGACGGGAAATGCATTATCCAATCAAGCAGCAAATAAGGATTCGTTACAGACTGTTCAAAATATACATGGCAAGAATGTCATTGTTGACATGAAAGCCATGTTGGCAAATGCAATTAAGGGAAACTACTCAACGAACAGTAATGACTCTTCTGAGAAACTTCTAAAACCATTGGCAGGCTTTGCAGGTCTAACCGGTGAATGGCGAGAGCTTGCCGCGGTCGTTAGTAGGGACATATATCTCGACAATCCCGACGTCGGTTGGCATGATATCGTTGGGCTTGAAAGTGCTAAACGGCTTGTCAAGGAAGCGGTTGTCTATCCTATCAAATACCCACAACTCTTCACTGGAATATTATCACCATGGAAAGGCCTGTTGCTCTATGGGCCTCCTGGGACGGGCAAAACTTTACTTGCCAAAGCTGTTGCAACAGAGTGCAATACAACATTCTTTAACATATCTGCTTCAACAATAGTTAGCAAATGGCGTGGAGATTCTGAAAAACTTGTTAGGGTGTTGTTTGAATTGGCTCGTTTTCATGCACCATCTACCATCTTCCTTGACGAACTGGAGTCGTTAATGAGTCAAAGGGGAGCAGGGTCCGGTGGTGGTGATCACGAAGGTAGTCGACGAATGAAAACTGAGCTTTTAATACAAATGGACGGTTTGGCAAAATCTAATGACCTTGTATTCCTGTTAGCTGCATCAAATCTACCATGGGAATTGGATCATGCCATGCTCCGCCGACTCGAGAAACGGATCTTGGTTAACCTACCATCGGAGGAAGCAAGAAAGCAAATGCTCCTTAATCACCTCCCCCCAACAATCAATTCACCAACAAGCGGTTTAGATATTAAGACTGAAATTGACTACAATCTATTTGCGCAGAAACTAGAAGGTTACTCAGGATCAGATATCAAACTTCTGTGCAAGGAGGCTGCAATGAGACCATTGCGCAAGGTGTTCGACGTGCTTGAAAATGTCGGAGATGAAAAGACCGTGACCTTGCCACAGCTGGAACTAAACCCTGTGACAAACGATGACTTGCAGGCAGCTCTTTCAACAACCAAACCATCTGCAAGACAACTGGAGGAGAAATATGCTGAATGGCAGAAGGAATATGAGTCTGTTTAGAAATTTGTACTGTTAAACCTTATTAGGTCCCAAACTGGTTAACTTATTTAAGTCTCACAACTTGAACTTCTGTGCATAGAAGAAATGTGGATAGTAAAAAATATGTTTGGAAGTGGAAAAGAAGTTGGGAACATGAAGGAAGCACAAAACAATTCATTCCTTTTTCATTATTCATCTATGTATTATAGGGATACTGTAAATCTATATTTATTATAACTGTGTGGACAAAATTATTATGAAAACCCTATCTACAATGGGCTTATACTGTCTTTTTTAGTGAAAAAATTATCAAAAGTCGTTTATAAATCTTTTAGTGTTTTCAGTTTTGAAGAAATAACTAGTATTAAAATTTTTCATTCGAATTTCCTTATGCTAAGTGGAAGCACTAATTGCCGCATCATTGTTGCTACGCAACCGTACACAACTTTTCAAAGGTATACAATAAAGAAATTGCAACAAGTCCGTAGAGTTTAACTAAAACTTCGCATAGATTTGATGTAAAAATTGTTTTACCTGCTATAAAATATGGCGCGTTTGGTTCAACGACCTCCGAAATATCTGCCCGAAGAATGGCATCATTCAAATAAGCTAAAATACTCGAGCGCTGAAAAGGAACGAGCAAGCGCTGAACGCATTCGCGATGAAACAAGTCGCTTGGTTCTTGAGACCGACCAAACCACGTCGAAAACCCAACAAGATGTCGATGTGAAGCTAAGCCAGCGTTTGACCGATGTGAATTACTGGAAAGGCGAGTTGGATCGACAACACGCCGAGTCGATGAGCGAAATCGAGAATTTGTTGACGTTCAAAGCAAGACTGGAGAAAGCCATTGTTGACATTGAGATACCGCTAAAGGTTGTTTCTGATTGCTTGGTCGTCAGGGAGGAGAGGGTTAAGATCGATAATGTTCATGATGATGTTGAAGTTCAGTTGTTGAAGGTAAGTTGTGGAAGTAGGAGGGGTTGGAAAGGGGTGAGTAGCAGGAGTAGGGTGAGTCCATCTTGCTGGGATGACATTGGAGAATATTCTGCCCCACTCCATACATCAAACACACTTACAGGTTGCACCATGTAAGCCCAGCCCACCAATGAGAAAGAGAGTGGAAATATATACTTGGTCTCCCCAATATGGAAATATACTTGGGCCCCCCACCTAAAAAATTAACCCCCACCCAAAGCACAACCAGCTTATCCCCCAACCCATGTTTACAGGAAGTTGAAGTTCTGCAAGGTGTTGAATCATTGTTAAAAAGAACCTTGGAACAGACCATTGAACAAATCAGGTCAGAAAATCAACATAATTTTGAAGATAGATTTATTAGATCTGTGTATCAGTTGCTAATGTTTTTTAGCAAGATACAACAGTCATTTCAACTATGTTGTTACGGCTTTTTTTAGACTAATGAGATCTGCCAAGTATTACCTTGAAAAAGACATGAAAGACAAGTTCTCCGCGCTGAATATCGATAAAAATTGTTCTGAATTGAATAACAAATCTGCACATATTTTCTACTCCGATCGAGGGGCAAAAGTCGAGGGAAAGTAAGTGATCGTGTGCATTTTATATACTCTCTTTAAACCACTTTCTATTGCCATTTAAAACCCCGACAAGTCAAGCAACTAAATTTCATAATTTTGCGATTCACAGCTCGGTGACACCGGACGAGTGGCAGGATTTCTCCGACAAGAATATCTTGAAAGCCGAGCGAGAAAAGAACGCGGCGATCAACTTGCGCAGCGTCGTGGACGGTGTTCTCATGCAGACTTACAACGATCTTGTGAAGCAATTCGATGTCGTGAACGTCGCTTTTGAAAACAGGATCGAAGAGACGGAAAAGGCAAAGACCAAATTGGAAACACATTTGACAAAGGTAGGAAACTGTTTCAATTAAACAGTTTCAAACATTGTTTGAATGTGCGGATTCTATCAAGCCTTTTCCGAACACGCCATTGTGGCAAAATTCGCCTCCATTTTTATTTGAGTATTATTCGTCCTGCAGATAATGTATATAATCAGAGCCCCCCCCCAAGTAAAAAGTTTTCGACACCACCCCCGGCTTATTGCTAGTCCTTTTTCTTCCAGGTAAACGAGGAAATCGGCGAGATGGAAGCGAATATCGATAAGTTAAAACAGGCGATTTACGAGAAGGAAGCGCCAATGAAAGTTTCCCAAACTAGATCAGATCACAGAACGGACCGACCGAACGTGGAACTTTGCCGCGACCCGGTGAAATATCGCCTTATCAGTGAAAGGAACGAAATTAATGTGAATGTTACGAGGCTACAAGAATTGTTAGCGGACGCAGAGAGTTCGTTGAAAGGTTTGATTCGCAATCAACTATCGCTCGAGGAGGATATCGAAGTCAAGAGGAAATCACTGCATATCGACAAAGATGTTTGCGTTGAACATCGTAAGCAAATCAATTACGTTCGACGTTAATTCAGCGAGGAACTTTGATATGAACTGTAGAAATTTATGTGCATGTAAATTCGATGAAAAATTTTATTAATAATACTGCTTATTGTAGCATTTATGTCGCCTTATCAATCCAGAAACTTCAAAACTGTGGACGTTCAACTGGCAAGCAAGAAAGCAAAAAGAAAAGCGGGCGCAAGCTCGTGCATGTGTCTTGAGCGGAGAAATATTGTTTTTGCGTTCTAAAAACAGATTTATTCTTTCGAACGAAGCAAAGTAGCAATATTCGCCGTGGAACGTTTTCCAATGTAACAAAAGTATTCTAAAATGTATCAAATATAACTGTCGCAAAAAATATCGCAAGCGTGGGAAAAAGAACTTTACCGTGGAAAAAGAACGTTTTTTCGTGCGAAAAGAACTTCATCTTGCGAAAAGAACGTTTTCGTGGGAAAAACGTCAATCGCAGCACTTAGCGTGTGAAAAAACCAGCAAACGGATCATATTACTGGTTTTAACGTACATTAGCTGGCATTAGGTGTCTGCAGGAGTGTTTTAACTACCACAAACTTTATTTAGTGCTAAATACTGAGCACTGAAACACTTTATATAAACCAATATGACATTAAATATATGCTATCACCTCCATGAGTGAAAGATATGAGTGGTGTTTTCTTGGGGTAATAGGCAATGCTGCATTGCATCATTCAACCTATAACCATTGTCATTTGAAGAATTCAGTCTCAGAATTGAATGTACCTGCTGATCATCCACCCTGTTGCCAATGTGGTACAAAGATTGTTGATTTCATATCTTCCAGTTGTCACCTCTTTTCTACCTGCCTCAATTGTTTCTTTTTCATTCGCTTCAGTTTTCTTGTGTTTGTTATCTAGCAATGGCAAAATCTCATTTTAATGAACTGCACCATCCAAACACCCTTCATAACAAACCTGATCATGACATGGCATATCAGCTTGATGTCTGACATGAGCATTATTTTTAGAATCACACAGTCAGCATCTCAGTGAGGCTGACACACAACATCCATGACCTCAGTGAGGATTTTCTCCCACAAAAAATGAGAACCAAATATGAAACAGTAGTGTTTGCAATAATTTGCTGTTGAATTCACATCAATAACATGCATGGAATACAACAACCTAGTTTCAGAATTGGTTAGGCTTGCCTAAAGATTGACAGCATTTGACATTCAATTATTCTTACCACTTGTACAACTTGTGATTTCTTCTCATTTTCCTGCTGTCTTTGCCTTCTCTCCTCTATTAACTTCTTCCTTTTCTGAAGAAAATGTAAAACTAGTTAAGCATCAAAAATTTCATTTCAAAAATCTTAAAGTTTGTTTGGAAATGATAATAATATTCATTACATTTTATTATACTTGTGTTTGTACCTGACGTTGCTCTTTAGCAGCCTCTTTCAGCTCTTTCTCGAGCCTTTTCATCGCTTTTTCTTCAGCTTTCTTTTTGGTTTTCTTCTCCCAAGATGAGTGAAGCGAAGGAACACTGATCATGTCCGACTTTCTGGGCAAAAATTCGCAAGCAAAATTTGCCAAGTTATAATTCAATTACCAATATTTTAAACTGCAATGTGAAATACTTCAAGCTGAAGCATCAAGCTGAAATACTTACTTTGCCCCGTCGCTCTTCCAAAACCGCCCAGATTTTGGTTTTCCTCGGGGAATTTTGACAACTTCTTCGGGTTTCGTGGCGGCCATATTGGAAAATCCCACGTTTTTTGGTAGTTTCCAGGTTTATCTCTCGTCGGCCAATATGGCGGCGGAAGCAAGCTATCGTTTTGGGGAGCATATTATCAAGTCTTCCGTGGTGTTTTTTCGCTCAAAACTGTCGTACGGCTTCGTAAACAGAAAACCTGTAGTGCCGGGCCATGTCCTGGTCGCACCGCTTCGAACCGTGCAAAGGTTTGGCGAATTAACCGAGGACGAAGTTGCCGACCTGTTTGTGAGCACACAAAAAATCTCCGGTGTTGTTGAACAGGAGTTTAAGGCGAGTTCGTTGACCGTTGCGGTACAGGATGGCCCGGATGCCGGTCAGACTGTCCCCCACGTTCACGTGCATATTCTGCCAAGGCGAAAAGGCGATTTCCATGACAACGATGACGTGTATAAAGTTCTAGAAAAGCACGACCAGGATGATTTACCAGAAAGTCGAAATGGTATGACGTCGGTTGATGGAGTCGAAAGATTTCGTAGCGAAGACGAAATGTCGCAGGAAGCTGAAAAACTAGCACAATTCTTCAAATGACCTTCATATGAACCATTCAAAATAACTATTTGTAATGAATTTCCGGTTCTTACAAGCTTGTCAATTAAATAATACTAGAAATACTATTATTATACATGAAATTTTGGTCAATTATTTGTGATAAAAATAAAAAACAAACAAAAGAACATTCAAATCTCAGTTATATACATTCTGTCGGATTTGAGAAAACCCAACGACTGTCTAGTAGCCAAACGGTTTAATAAAACTTTTACTGTTGATCAAAACGTATAGAATCAACTACCAGAATGCGACTTATTTCTGAAGTAAAAATAACATTTATGATCCAACGATGTCCCTTAGCATCTACCTGAAAGTACAGGCATTGTTCATACTTTTCCTAATCAGTCTATAGCGCTATTTTCCCGGAATTTTCTAAACCATTCCACAGTCGACGAGTACCGAGCCTCATTCCACTTCTTAAATCTCCAAGAAAGCCCACCGGCGAGCAATTCTTGCCTCTCATCATGTAAGTATCATGAGTTCACAGCAAGATTTTTTCACCAGGATTTTATCACTTGACTCGACCATTGAACTCTCCACAATCGATGCAAAATTCGACTTTTCACTTACAGCATCCTAACAGTTTAAATCATTCGAGATCTAGATTAAGAGGAACCTTTCCATCATGTCAAATTACAAGACATCTGTAAACAGCCATATGTAGATAGCAAGTTCAGAGAAAGTCAAGTAAATAAACGTCAGTCGTCAGTAAACGGCGATCTAGAAAGTTCTACTTAATTAAATAAACCGTTGGAATAAATAAAGGTAACTTGGCAACGCTCGATTAAAAATTTCCCGAAATCAAATCGATAAATCATCTTTGGACAAGGTCATTTCAGGGGGTCTAAAAATATTGCAAGTTGCAAGCCTCTTCCAATCTACCTTGGGCTTTTGCCAAAGAATAATTTCAACTGTGTGTCAAAAGGTCGTCGCATCGTCAGCTCAAAGACGCGCAAACCTTAAGAACGGTATTTTGACATCAATTTCATCTGTCAAGATTCCACTTAAAGACACAGTGAATCTTCCAGAGCCTCCTTAAAGAGTTTCCTCGCGGCCTCTTCTCTGATCTTATTCCATATTGCGTCAGGTCTCTTGTCTGAGCCCACGAACTTCTTGTACCTGGTGATATGCACAGTGGAATCCTTCGAGCAAAGTTGTGCTCGGGCCGCATCGAGCACGGAACTCAGGTGTCCAGTGTCGGAATATTCCTCCAGTCTATTCTTATAGTCCAGGACGAACGCGGCCCGAAAGTCGAGCCAAGTCGCCGTGTTTTTGTCTGCAAAGTTTCGCACCCAGAAGTCGGTGGTGTAATGTTCGGATGATGGCTGTCTTGAACGATTTCGAAATACTGTACCAAGTGAAAGAGCCCTTGTGCGGCCGTTATGATTGTCGTCTTCGGACATCTTTTCCACATCCTCTAGAAGATGAAACGCAAGTTTTAGAGATAGAGAGTTTGAATGTACCCGCAAAGATTCCTTTCGAACTAAAACATGAAGAGTTTAGGAAAGGTCCAAATTGGTACCTCTTTACCTGGTATTGTACTAGAGAACCTCAACCTCAGGAATACAGAGTCACTGTTACATTCAGTCAAAGAGGCTAACTACCGACTTGCCTCGTGAAAAGTAAATGCTTTTGGACCGATCCAAGGTTGAACAATCATGTTTTAGGAGACGGCGCGTTTTGAGCAGGTCAATCTTCACTTCGTGAAACGCTTTGTATACTAAAGGTCTGTTCACACGATCCAATTTTGCTGGATCCAATTCACTTCTGACGTATGGAATCAAGTCTGTTATTGATAAAGCTGTACTGCATCGGCTTCAGTTGATTTGCTGCCAGGCATATACATTGCATCACCCGACTAATACTGCAAACTTTACATTCATTCATCAGAAGTGAATTGGATCCGACAACATTGGAGCGTGTTAACAGACTTTAATGTTGTGTAACACACTGACAGCAGGAGCCGGTTGTATGAAAGCCGCATAGCGCTATCCACGGGATAGTGGGTTTTTTAACCGTTCAAAAAATGCTCGAAAAGAGATAAATTTTAATTTTTGGAACCAACAATTATTAAAGGGGATCCTCGCGTTAGGAATACTAAGATTAATCAAAGTTATACCTAACAACGGGCAATTTTAAAGCGACTGAATAAACCACTATCCGGTGGACACCCGGCTTTCATACAACCTATAGAATTAATGAAAACAAGCTCCGTTGTGAAAATATATTGACTAAATTCACACAACAAAAATAGTTAAGCGACAGCTGTATATGCTTCAAACACAACACACAAAAAAATACCAGCTAAAATTGGGAAAAAACGGAACAAGAACTCACCGAACTCCTGACTTTGAGAGCAAGATCCAGCATCTGATTGTCTTCTGCCTCGCTTGGAAGAATTGCTTAATCTCCGTAAAAAGTTCATAGCTCGTCCGGTTGTGAACTTTTTTCTAATTTCGCACCAACTAATCGACTAGACTTGAAGATAAAGAACAAAAAACGATAACTCAATGAAATCGACGAACAATAAACAACAGAATCTGCCGGCCGAAGTTTTAATAAATAGTAGATATCACAATAATTACTATTCGTTTGCACGAATTATCCCAGCATTTCAAACGGCGTACTCAATTTACCGTGTTCTACAGCGTCAATCGATCATCGTTTAAAATTGTCAGCCATTCTGTGCATAAAACGCCATTTGAGGTTTTACGAAGCGGTAACAATCAACCGAGTTCTTAATTTGCGAGTAGCGACGCCGCGCCGTAAAAACAAAATAATACGACATCCATATGTCCAATGTATGCACTGTGTTGGGCATATAAATTATCTCTTACGAAAATATTAATGAGTTTCAGTAGGATCATATAATCTTATCAATAACAAATACTGTGTTATTATTGCATCTGCATGCTTCGCGCTGAAGTGAAGGTCAAGGGCAAATGAAGCGCTTTAACAAAGGGCTTCAACTATTGCGCTGCTTTGAAAAGCGTATTTGTACTCTCAAGTCTTAATTATATCAACTACAATTTCTGTGCGGTTCCTCTTTTGAAAGATGCAAACGAGCGATTACTTTAAATATTGATGCGCTGATGTATGTAATATAAGTACCTTTCTTTTGAACATATCAACTTGTTCGCATCTTTCAAAAGAAGAATAACGTAGGTATCCTTATAACAGTGTAACTGGCATACCTTAAATTACTTTTATAGCTAATAGAAATGCTTTACCTTGCACACTTGGCAGGTTGAACAAAAGATAGATACAGCTATTCATAGGATAGTGACCATTCAATCGCTCTATTAAATTGCCTTTAGTTTGCACTTTGCCCGCTGACTTTGATCACCCTATTAATCTGAAACTTCTTTAGTTTCAACGCTGCAAATCGTGTGTACTTCAACGGTTTCTTAATCTTACTCACTATATTCGCTACATGTACCCCACGTTCCCCCACCGACACCGACAGTACAGGACGACTGAAAAATGTCTATAGACCATGCGCCAGTATACTGACCCCAGATAATAGTTTCCCGATGAACAAACAAAATTCCAAGAATTTTAACACGTTGCTAACTTAATTCTGACTGTAACCACTCCATTTCCTGCGCACATCCAGTCATGCCAAGGTCCCTTGATTTCTCAACGTTGCATATCGTGACTCAAAAAATATCAACTCAAATCTAATTATTGAATTACGTCCACAGTACGATATCGTTTAGCGATAGGTCAAGGATTTCGGGTGCCACAAACAACAAAGGCATAGACTCATTTTACCGCTCTGAATCTTTGCCAATTTCAGATTCGATTTTAACGATAGGGCCAACTATGTAATATCACGTTTGCGACGATTGTATAGTGAAGAACTGTAGTATTGAATGTTTCATTCAATTCTTCGACCGAATAGATTTTATAGTATATATGTTGACATATTGGTTGATAGATGCATGTATGTATGTAAAGCTACTAGCGTCATAGTTTATAGCCTGCGCCGCAGACAGTAGACTACATAGTTTACAGACAGGTTTGCTTAAAGGGACTGTTCAATGCAATGCCAGTTATGCCACACCATCAAATCAATAATATCTTTTCGGACAACTGTTTGTGCGCCCTGATGTACCAACCATAGCGTAGTCCTGAATAACCTCTCACAATATTTTGATGGAAATAGAATTAATCATAATTAAGCATAATATATTGTAGATTACAAGTACGATAGCAGAAATACCTTTCAACATTGCACTTTATTGAGGACATATGTAATATTGCTTGGACAAATAATACATTTGCAAAATACTGATTCAAAACACACATTTTACATGACATGTACACTCGCTTTGCAAAGACGAGACACTTACCTACACAAATATCGATTGCCCAAGTACAGAATCCCTCATTTCTTTGTAACAACGGCGCGACGAACAATAACACAGCAAATTGATGTTCTAATTGGGTATTAATTAGTCGCCGTAAAGGTACATTGAAATGAATGTATCCAATTACCTGATCTCGAAGTTCGCTGGTTTGTCTCGAAGAGAAATGCAAATTATGCGCTACCACGGCACTTGGGAAATGACAAGTACTTGTTTGTAAGTTTAAGGGCTGATATAATGAACGGAAGTGCCAGGCTTACGATTACGTACTAAAAACAATTTAAAGCAAATTGGCACGAGGTTAATGTTCCTTGTTTGCCTATAATGGAACCTGTCGGCCTAATTCCAGGGACCAGTTGCTGAAATAAATGCAGGTTAACATAATCCCAGATTGATACAAATATGAAATCTACAAATCAAACTTCCTAACTGGCAAGTATACAAACCAGGCAACCAGACGTATAAAATTATATAAACTGAAATATGTTATCCTTTAAATCTTTCCGGATCAATATAGTTGAACTAAGTGGCAAGATTTATAGTTGACGTCACAAGTGCAGTTTGTCCGCACTTCCTACAACTCTTGAGAGTTTGACAATGGAAAATGGTTCGCTTGTATCGATTTAAATTAAAGTTAATTAAGTCTTTTTTCCCGCACGCTTTAACTAAACGATAGCAATCGTACATCGAACGTACATTCCCACAGTTGGTGAAACAGTGGGTGAAACAGTTGGTGAAATGTAAACTAGGGTTAGCGCGAATCAAGCTTTGCAAATTGAATGTTGTGGTGGTGCCGTTTGATTTTGACGTCAGGTGGGAGAGTTGGAGCTAGAGTTTACCTTGTTTCAGTACATCAACATTGCAATATTTCTAGGAATTATCACGAGGAACACATGGGGTGGGTAAACTAAGGACAAGTTCACAGAAGGTTAATGTTGCAAAAAAAAATGGGATTAATTTTGCAAACACTCGTTTTTACGTACTGTGCCATAAGCCGCTTAGCTTGCTGGAACAGTCTGTAACATTTCTACGTCGGAGATCAGAAAGTTAGCCTTCTACGGCAAACCGGCGACAGCAAACTATGAATCGTAATTTTAGAAAAGTACGTCATTTTTCTTTCGCAATAAGTCTGCGATTTGTACATTCTCAACCAGACCGTCTTATCTTCATATTTTTAACTCTTGCACAAGAAGTATAATTCTGTAGATGTTTAAAAATTTAAATCGCCCATCGAATTAGCCCAATTTCAGTCAGAATATATCCTTTGAGAAGACATATTTCCTCTGAGAAATATCAAGTTGTTGCTTTTATAAAGCAAATAGAATTGTTTCTTGATGATGAATTTTTCATCGAAGCCAGCGAAATGAAACGGCCTGGCGATGAATATTTTCTCGAGGTAAAAGCCTAAACGCTTTCGCAAAGATCTGATTTATACACAGTAAAAGCTAGTTTCCACTCAGGAAAAATCTCCTTAGGATCGGAACGGACAGAAAAATTTCCTTTGTGGGTGAGTTCTCAGGTGGCGTTTATACAAAGGAAACTTTTCTGTCCTGTCCGATCCAAAGGAGAATTTTCCTGAGTGGAAACTAGCCATAACGGACAAATTGTAAACTGGCTTGAAATTGGTGTAGCGAAACTCGGCTTTCTGCTGACAACAGAAACACGGAAACGGAACAGGGTAAATCCTTGAAGGACGAACTTCGGTCTTCGGATAGTCAAATTCGTCCGGAGCCGTGAATCCGAAGCGCAAGAGCATATATTGCTGCTGAACTGCTGAACACAATGGCTTCAGAGATAATGAGCTCTTTACAATGCTAATTCAGAAGCGTCATTATTGCTGAGCAAAACAGCTGTTCTCTTTGGGGCCTATCCTTTTAACATCGTGCCAAAAAGCTCAGGAAACGTCACACAGCACCTGTCGTATTCAACAGGTCGCCAATTGCCATTCTCACCCTGGACCCTGGCTATGCAAAACAAACACCGAACGAGGCGATCTCGACAATAACAAGTCCGCACACAAAGACTCGCGAGAGAGAATACCGTTCGTTGTATATGAAAGGAAAGCGATCTTTTCGCTCAAATTGCAATTCTTAACTGGCGAAATATACTTCGGACGAAGTATAAGAAGAAAGCAGAAAAATAATACAAACGAATTCTTTAGAGACAAGAATATAGACACGAATTTTGACAGAGTTATATTTGGATAGCTTCGCTTGAAGATACAGGTAGAACTGGATTAAAAAAACTGTGTTATTGTTAATACTTCTCACGAGGTCGACATGGAAAAAGAGGAGTCAGAAACCAGCGGAGAGGCGACAAAAGACACAATTAACTCGCAAAGGAAATGTCTTAAGCATTACAGTGAGGTTTATGGCTACGTTCCCGGCTCAACTTTGCAGTATGATACCGACAGATCTCAAGTGTCAAAGCTTAAGCTGCCGGCTTTAAATATCGGCGTCTTCGGCGGAATCGCTGCGGGAAAGTCCTGCCTTATAAATACGGTGGAAAGCGTTCTCTCTGGGGAATATAGCGACCGAGCCGGGGAAAATAGGCTGGGCAGGGAAGGGGATAAATGCATTGTGGAAGCTACTACGGCAGAACGGGTAAAGGTTCGAGTGGGACAGAAGGTGTGTTTGGTGGACAATCGGGGCTTTCCGAGGAAATACGACGAAAGCATTGCCGAAGAGGTCGTCAAACAATGTAGTAAGTAATGTTTCAGATGCGTTGAGCTGAGTTCAAACATAATCAATCAAGATATATTAAGTTCAGCGCAGTTTAAATTAGTACAGCCAGTGCAGCTCGAACTAACTCGCCTCAGTTCATATACATGACAGTCCAGTCCAGGTCAGGTCAGAGGTTAGTAAAGTTTAATTCAGCCCAGCTGTGGCCCAGCTTACTTTACAGCAGTTTGCTACAGTCAACATCAATACAGTTCAATTTATTTAAATCTCGCTTATCGACCGTTTGAGCTAAACGGGCTTGATACAACTGTGCCCAGTAAGATAAGTCCGCGACTGGCAGAAAATAAAACCTACCCTTTTAGCTTTCAAGCGCGCAATGCGTGACAGTAGTTGATTATCAAGCAACTTTGAGTTGCGATATATCTCCATTTAAAAGCGATTTTGTTTGTAAGAAAACCTTGCCGATTCTTTTTGCTTCTTTGTTAAACTAAATCGCTCCAGAACATGGCGAAATAACAACTGAAATTGATCTTAATAATCAACTAACTTCACGAATTACGCGCTTGAAAACTAAAAGAGGAAAGGTCTATTGAGAATCCCGTTTTCATCGCGTGATTGACTCAAAACGAAACTGAAAAGACTCCAAGAGTCTTCAAAAGAGACTTCATTGGACTCCAAGATTTATAAGTGGATAAAAACTCGCTAAGGCTAAAACTTTCTTTAGCCTTTTATTAATTTTGTTTACATCTTTTCAGACGGTACCAGAAAATTTGGGACTTTTGTGCCAGAAGATTGGAACAATGGCGCTTGGCAAAAATTCAAAGACTCTATTTCTGGTTCGCTTCGACGCAGATCTCTTAAGCAACGCGTTCATTGTGCCATATTAGTGTACAGGTGATTATTATCTCGAGTTGTATAAATCGATGAATAGTTAATGATAGTTATTGATAACCAGGGATAAACACGATGGGCGGAGACACGCAGATAAACACATCTCAAAGGCCGGTTCACAGTTTCAATTTTCTGCTCTCATTTTTAGTGCTATGTCCTTCTTTTGACAGATGAAAACGAGTGAATTGTTACGGATGTTCTGACGTATAAATGCGCTTATTTTAACATCCGTAACTTATCTACTCGTTCACATCTATCGAATGGAGAAAATCGGCTGCAGTGCATGGCCTTTATATCTACACTCTGTCATGACATGTCTGAAAGTCGAGGAGCGATTGTGCCAATATCGAGACTTATCTAACATTATCTAACAATAGACTGAATAATTCTATGCTGAACTTTCCATATATCCGGTTTTTAACCAGACAATCGACATTTAATCCTTAATCCAAGTGATTACACGATAAATCTTTTAACCAAACTGCATAAGAACGTAAGAACCCAAATCTTGATCTGCAGTAAACAATATGCTTGTCTTTTTAGCTTACATGATGATACTGAACCGGAAGAATTCAAACTTATAGTCGATGCTTTGAGAAAATCCTGCGGTAGGAAACTATTAGGAAACTATTGGCTATTTGGTTAAGGCTTGAATAATATATTGCCCAATTTTAATCTCCCAATGATAGTTAAACTTGAAGTTATCATGCAGCTTCTGGGCGAATATTGAAGTCGTTGGTCGAATTTTAAAATTCCCCATTATAAAAAGTAAAGGAATTTTCGCAAAAAAATTCTTCGAGTTTAAATCGGTTAGGATAGCAACGTTAAAATGTTTAATATGTCAAGATTTGCGATTTGTCCACTTATTTTTCTGTCAAAGTTTTCTGCTAAAAATATTAAATTTTCTTTCTGTGGTACAGCTTGTTAATATGAACATGTCGCTATATCCTTCCCCACTTTGAATAGATTATGCCTTTGTTGACTAAAGTAGGACCGCATGTGAAGAAAAAAACTCTTTAAAAGAAAAACGGTCTTCAATAAATTGACTTGAGATAACAAACATTTAGAAATTGTCTTTATGATATGTTTAAAATCGCAAAAAAAGATCTTAAAGGTCTGTTCAACGATCCAATTTTGTTCGATCCAATTCACCTCTGACGTATGAAATATAGTCGGTTATTGATAAAGCAATACTTCATTGGCTTCAGTGGATTTGCTGCTCATATAGATTACAAGACAACAGACTATAAAACATCCATCAGAAGTGAATTGGATCCAACAAAATTGGATCGTGTGAACAGACCTTAATAAGATCGATAAGCCGCCATCTTTTCTATCATGGCGAAAACTCTTAACCTAAAAACTCGCTTTTTTTTCTCCTTCAAATTTAGGTCGTTTTCCAATCGTTGTTCTAACATTCGCCGACGAGGTGAATGAAGATGTGTTGCGTCGTCGCTGGACTCAGTTCCAGGCCCTTCACTGCTCGCGAATTTTTGCCATCAAGAATTACAACATCCGCGACAGCACCCCCCGGGTGGAGACCGACACGACGGTCGTCGACATACTTTACAACTGTTGCATAATCTCGGATCAGGCGTTTTTACAGAGCATGGAGGAATCGTCGTGCACGTGTTGTTAGACGACCGGACGGGGGGGGGGAGGTCCGTTGAGAAGTATATCGACAGCCCCCTCCCTAATGGAGAACCGACTTGTTTCATTTTGAAAAAACTGACGCCACTTTTATGAAAATCAATAATGTAGATAAGTCAATCTAGTGATGTTTTGACGGTTTTTTTAAATAATAGAGAGAACATTTAAACACATATTTAGAGCGGGAACTAACTTATCACCATCCTAGACGCTTTTAAAAATTGATATTTTTGAATAATGATTGTGGCCGCAGGCTGGAAATAGCACGTCATATTGTGTGACATAATTCATGTTCATGTAACGGAGATGTTGAAAATGTTGTTCATATAATCATAGTTAGAAAAGTAGATAATTATATCATTTGTATTGTTTTTTGATTGATTTGTCTCCCTCATTTCCAGCGTGTCTGGTTACGTTTCCCCACCAACCCTAGGACTGCTACATGCATTAAAATAAATAAATAAAATTAACAATATACCTAAAGTTCATTATCAGATTCCTTACGATTTTCACTGGCACTTTCGAGATCGTTTTCCAATTCGCGCAATTTCTTTATCCGCGGATGGGTTTCGGGGTGCACCTCCAAAACTAACTTTAAAGCCCTGGAAACATACTCTTTCGCTTTCTCCGTTTCTCCACGCTGTTTCAAAGCTACGGCAATATTTCCGAGAGTTTCGCTAATACTCACTCCCTGGAAACCATGCTTCTGTAATTTCTCGAAAATTTTAAGGGCTTCTTCGAACTTTGTTTGAGCGGTAACTGGATCGCCACGGGCCAGATAAATATGCCCGAGGCCGTTGATTGATGTTGCAACTGCTGAGCTATTTTCATTGAGTGTTTTTCGAAAAATATAAATGCACTTTTTAGCATTTTCCAGGGCATCATCGAGCATGTTCAGTTCCCTTTGTGTATTAGAAAGATCATGAAGCACCTCAGCGACTTGATAATGTTTATCTCCGTAATACTGGCGCATAATTTGCAAGGATCTCGACAACATTTGAAGCGATTCTTCGAGATCACCTTTGGCACGATACGTGAACCCAAGAGCATATAAAGTTTGTCCCACGTTTGGATGGTAGTTGCCATGAATTTCCTCGTGAATGCTAAGCGCTTCTAACAGAGCTTCGACGCTTTCACGGTAATTCCCCACGGTGTAATAATAGGTCGATAGTGTGTTCAAAACTCTTGCGACCCGTTGATCGCGTGGGCCGTACGCTTCCTTAACCAATTTCAAGGTTTCTTGGTACGTCTCGCGAGCTTTATCGAACTCTTTAAGACGGTTGTAAACAACAGCCAGGTTTAATAAGAATGCAGCCAATCGACCATTTTCTTTTGTAGAGAAAATCTTTCTTCCAAGTTCCACTGCTTCTTCATGGTGGGTTAAAGCCGTGTCTAGATTTCTCTGGTAACGATGAATTATTCCCAGCAAGTGCAGTGACGTTGCCTTCTCGTTCTTCAAATCGTACCTTTCGGAAAGATCCAATGCAAGTTGATGAAATTCCTGAGCTTTAGACATATTTTGACCAAGGCCACGGTATATCGTTCCGATTATATTCATCAACAACACTGTTTTCTCAACCGAGTGCTCGTCAGTGTTTGATAAAGAATTCCGGGCAGAGTTTTCAATCATTCTTACGATCCGTTCTAAATTTCGAGGTTCTTGGTTTCCGGTGTTGTGGAAAAAGAGAACGGACAGAAGCAATGCAACTTCTGCCTTATCCTTCCCAAAGGCTTCCTCCACCATATCTGCAAGAAAACCTACTTCCGGCATAACTACAGCGGACTTATGACTGTTTGGCCAGTACAAATAGGCCTCGGCCATAGAATCGAGAAATGTCGAGCAAAACTCTTTCGTGATAACTTCATACATGTTCAAATCGTTTTCATTCATCTTCTTGACAAGGGACATCACCACATCAACAACTTTGAACTTTAAACTTGTGTACTCCACCATTTGACTGAGATACGGATCGTGCTTGCTCGTAAGCTCTAATTTTAGGACTTCAAAAATCTTCGCAAGTGAATCTTCGATCACGTCGTTCTTCGTTCTTTCATTAAAGGCGTCAAATGACGCATATCTCGTGATTTGATGCGTGGAAATAAGAATATGTTCGGGAGAACTTGTTGTCAGGTCGTAAAGCGTGGTTTTTCTGACCAAGTTCTTCACTTTGAATTCAGAGTAATCTTTAAAAACGGCATTTAGACCAACGAACCTTACAAGAAATTTCAAAGGGACTACAGGAGAGCCACAGTATCCGATCAAAAAGGCTAGTGCTTCGTAAAAACGTCCATGATTAGAGTCCTGAAAATATTGGTCAACTAACATCAACGAAGCTGTGAACGCGGTGAAGTTATAATCTAAACCATGTTTTTGCCATCGGCCCAAGAAGAGTCGACGTTTGACAGATATCGTTTTTCATTCAATTCTAATTCTTCCAAATAGAGGCGATAAGACGAATTGTGCCGTACATCCATTTGAATATAAACGGCGGCATCAGCAAGTGATTTTGGAAACCTGCTGAGCGCATTTGAAAGTTCAATAGCATTCTGGTCGTCGTTCTGAATACCGGTTATTGTATTTAACAACTCAACCGCTTCCTCTTCCGGCATTGGATCAAACAAGTCTTTGTAACCAGTCATTGCAGTGAGTCTGAGTGTAGGTCGGCGTTGTGTTGTCACAATAATTCGTACTTCGCCGTGTTCTTTACTTCCAGCGTTCAAAAAATATTTGCCATTCGCTCGCTTTTCGTACAGAAACGTAAACATGGCCTCTTTGACGTTATCAAATATGATGACGGGGTGACTCGAAAGAGTAGATCGTTTTCCCAAAGCCACTCGCAGTTGATAAAATTTCGCAAAGATCGTCTTTTCGTCTCCAATACACTCATAACCCATGGGCTTCGGTTCCTTGCCTTGTACTCTATCAATGGCTTCCTCTAGGCTACCCTGAAGTAGGTCGAAGTTATCTGCGTTTAATGTGATGACATCCGTTGGGGGTAAAACAAGCGACAAGTCAATATTAAAGATAGGCTTATTTTCTAACTGGAAAATTCTTTCCCCGACCTGCCTGGCGAGTTCTGACTTACCAGCTCCGGGTCCACCGCTTATAATGACATGAACTTCTCGTTCGGGATTACTCCGCGTCAGTCGATTCAATTTGCCGACGAGATCATCGACGTCGGCCGTTCGGCTGTACGTTGCATGTTTAGGAGACGTCGTTAACATTTCGATCGCCACCCGACGATAACTAATCGGAGCGAAAAGGCGCAATCCCATCAGAGAGAATATAAAGGCAATCATTAAGGTCGCCGTGATTGCCCATTTCCAACCATAGGTCAGTCCTATGTCGATCACCAACCTTAATGGCTCTGCTAACGTAAGACCGAGCTTATTTCGCACAGTGTCCCTGATATTCTGCATAATTTCGTTCAGTGTTGAGCTGAATGCGCTCTTAGCATTTCCTGACTTTACTCTCAGGTTTATTTCACAAGATTTAGCTCTAGATTTCGTAGAAACGATCACTCGATCAGCGATGGTTAATCTAATGTTGCAATAACAAGATAATATTCATACGCGCAAAGAATGATGGTTGTCTGGTTGGATTGTCACGTCATGCATGGGAACTCATGGTTGTCAGATAACACTGCAATACAGTTCTGTTAAATCCAGTATTACTAAAACACCATAGGTTATAGGCTGTATAATATGAAATTCTATACTATGTCTGAGTTGCTCTGATTTCTAGCTCAAAGTTCAACAGTTCAAATCCATTCAGCACGTTTGTTCAAATTTGATCGCGAGCGGTTATTTGAAGTTTCATGTTGTCTTTAGTATTAGCTTCGAAAATATTTACAACTATAAGGTAGCCTACTTGATCGCAAGTCTTTTAATTTTCTAAAGTAGTGAATATAAACTCCAACTTCAGCGCAGTAAAGCTAACAAAAAATGCGCACATCATTCTGACAGTTCATGATATTTTAGGAAATATGTAGCAATTCAACATAAACAAAGCGATTGTTTACATTACAAAGTGCACCCCAACCTTTGAGGCTGCATTCCGCTATAATATTGAGATCAGTGACCAAAATTTCCCATTTCTGACGCGTCGTTTTCAAGCACTATCGCGAGTCCGCTATCCTCAGCCACTGATCTTTATATAGTAGCTGAATGCAAATATTGGGATGTGGACTAGACTTGTTTAGTTGTGAAGCTTCAGCGAGCTTTATGTTAATGACATTGCTTTGAAAACTATGCATGTTTTGCAACCACAATACCTTATAAAACTATTGTACCTTCATGAACTCAAAATTAAAATAATTTCAGAAAGTAATGCATCTTGGCAGAAAAGTGGAGAACTCAAAGACCTTCACGAGCCGCAGTAAATGAGGTTTGAACAGGTTTGTGTGAACCTTGTCAGTGCGCGACTCCCCACTAACTTCACTATAATTTGTTCCTCTGTTTACCCAATTTACCCCCAAGTGTCACTGTTTGTACGTGTCCGAGTCCCTTTTCCACTGACAGCATGAATATTAGACACAAACATATACAACAAGACTAACACAAGTACGAAGCAGGCCAAGCAAGGTCTGCCCAATACCCACGATATAAAACAATACAGTAACAATAACTGAGCCCACAATCTATACGAAGCAAGGTAACGAAGACTTATCTTTGCTTCTCCAAACGTGTCGTCGCTGACCGAATGTTGGACGTGTTTGACTGGAGTCAGAGCGCGCGGATGTTTCACTCCAGGGGACAGGTAACGAGCTATGGAACCGCGCCAGTCATGTGAGGTATAGATCGATGAGAGATGGGCCCCAAACTGCAGGAAAGAGACGCTGATTTAGATGATATAATGAACACCCACCTGAAACTTCTAGCTTGTAACCCACCTTTTCGTTGAGTAGAGTCGAGGTTTTATGAAGAGCTCTTACTAAGAAGACAATTTCGAAGCTTCGAACGGGTTGCAAGTCTGGGTCACCACTGTATTGAATATCGAAACGACGGAGACCATTTGCCATCTGTGGAAAAAACAATTCACAAATTATCTAGGAGGAAATGCTGCCCCCCTTTCTTTGGGAAAATCATGCTCCCGTATTCGTTTTAACCAGATACAACTCTGTGCCCGACAGATTAACATCTTCCATGCTATACAGAAGACCAAACTCCAAGCATATTTTTACCTGATATTTTCCCAGTGCAGTCAGCTCCAGACCTCTCTCGGTTTTCTTACAATCTGGTAGGATTTCAACACTACCTCTCTGTGGAATCGATCTACTGTCATCAACATCCGCTGCCCAAGGTATCGTGGATTCGTGTACATCATCTTCAATCTAGTTTTTGAAATTGGAATGAAATGGACTGTTTTCATTCCATCTTTACAACAATTGTTTGCAATTAAATAGACATTAATTATTTTCTCATTTCTCCTGAGAAGAAATTAGATCTAACCTATTGTATAAATTTGAGAACTCTATCATGGGTTTTCTATTCCATTCCGATGTCATCGATCCATTCAACTGATTAAAAAATTACCCGATTTTAAGGTCTGTTCACAATCCAATTTTATTGGGTCCAATTCTGATGGATTTATAATAGCCTGTTGTCTTGTAATGTATATCAGCAGCAAATCCACTGAAGCCAATGCAGTATTGCTTTATCAATAACAGACTATATTCAATACGTCAGAAGTGAATTGGATCCAACAAAATTGGATCGTGTGAACAAACCTTTAGCTTGACGAATTCACATCATAATTTAGGATTTTGATATTTTTACCTGAAACGATTTCTTGAGGTTTCGTGAAACTTGTGTCAAATGTTCCTGGGCACTTGAGCTCTCGTCTTGTATCAACCAATAATTTTCATCAATAGCGAAGGCATTCTGAAGCCAGTTTAGAGTGTTTTTTATTTTCGTCCGAAACCAGCCACCATCTTGTTTTACACGATCCACGTCGTTGCCTCGAGGCTCGCGCAAAGAACGTAAAACTTCGTCGACACGGTGTAACAATTGACGAACCTAATGAATGAGAATGGAACCAATTGGTTCTAGATAAACATGAATGGGTGTCGAGGAAGGTTGAAAGTGAAACACTGAATAAAACATTGCAAAGCAGTAAGTACTAGACTAGTTAGGCTAGTATTAGTAGCAACAGTCAACACTCAGTCAGACTAGTAGTACTGCAATGATCAACTCACATCGAGGAAGGTTGAAAGTGAAACACTGAATAAAACATTGCAAAGCAGTAAGTACTAGACTAGTCAGGCTAGTATTAGTAGCAACAGTCAACACTCAGTCAGACTAGCAGTACTGTAATGATCAACTGACATTGAGGAAGGTTGAAAGTGAAACACTGAATAAAACATTGCAAAGCAGTAAGTACTAGACTAGTCAGGCTAGTATTAGTAGCAACAGTCATCACTCAGTCAGACTAGCAGTATTGCAATGATCAACTGACATTGAGGAAGGTTGAAAGTGAAACACTGAATAAAACATTGCAAAGCAGTAAGTACTAGACTAGTCAGGCTAGTATTAGTAGCAATAGTCAACACTCAGTCAGACTAGCAGTACTGCAATGATCAACTGACATCGAGGAAGGTTGAAAGTGAAACACTAAATAAAACATTGCAAAGCAATAAGTAGTACTAGACTAGTCAGGCTAGTATTAGTAGCAACAGTCAGAGGTGAGTTGGGCACAAATCTTACATCGTTTATTATTTCCTCCATCCAGAGTGGTCTGTACTGGGCCCCAGGACTTTGCATCTCCACGAAATGATGATATTGCTCAGGTTTTGGTGATCGAGATTTCTGTATGAAACCAGCTTGCGTTGATTGTAGATATGACATCAGCTCGTACTCCGCTGAACAAAAACATAAAATTCATTTGAGGAGGTTCCCGTGTTAATGCCGATCTTGAAAGAGGCTATTACTGACTAAATACTCCAGTAAAATGAGATAATTTGGGGTAGTAGCCTCTTTCCAGATCAGTGTTTCATGTTAACCCAATGTCAGGCAGGCAGTACACGGGGAGTACATGGCTGCGTTTTCATCCGCAGAGCATTGTGAATAAAAGCATTGGTATCTTTAGAGGATTTACAAATACCTTACCTTCGTGAATGATGGACATTAAGTGCTCTTGAGAAAATACTTTCGTAACACGATAAAAAAGCTGTGTGTCTTTTGATGATCTTAAGTTGAGCTTCTCGGCTCTGTTCAAGAATTCTTGCAGGATCATCGTGTAGAATAACAAATTGTGACGAACGAAAGGTTTCCTGGAAGCAAAAATATATAGAGATTGTTATTCCACAACCTCAACTGCGATGATGACGGCAGCTAATGAGTGAATTGAATATTCAAATCGAAAGACTTCGAGTGAGGATGATCTCTTATAGATCTAGCAGCGTTTGCAAAAGCATAACAGGAGGAGGGGTGGGAGTGGAAACTGACCCCAGGCACTCCCCAGAAACATTTGAATCTCGAAAAGTTGGATAATTTTTTTATGTATTGTTTCTTGATGAAATCAGTGCCAAAAAATCTTTTAACCCAGTACGCCTATGAGAAATCCTATCAATATATTAGTTTGCTTCTTACCAGAAAAGAATTCTTCCAGAACTTCTTGATGGTGAGGAGCCTTGTTCCGAGTTCATATACCTCCAGGGTTGAATGTAACTCAACCAAGTTTCCAAAATCTGGAAAAACATACATACAAATCAGAATATTTTAAACCCTTTCAGACCAGTTATTTCTTCAGAGAGAGAATTCTGAACGTCATTAAAACCGTCCCCTGATCGCAAGCCATAGCTGGAGCGGCACAAACAGTTAGTTGTATTTATTCGAAAGAGACTCATCTTGGCTGCAGTACTTACGAATCTAAAAGTTGGATCCAGAGGCCAATGCGCGAAACAATGGTGGATAAACCAATAAAGTCTTTTCTTGAATAGTTTCATAGATTCGGGCATAAAATTTCTAAGAAATAAGTAATATATACATTTAGCACTTAATCAACCCATGTTTTATATTCGACCATGGTCGAGTATGCCATTTTCTGGTATATTCGACCATGGTAGACTATACTATTTTCCAGTATATTTGACCATGGTCGACAGGTCGAGTATACCATTTTTCGGTATACTCGACCATGGTCGAATGTACCGAGAAATATATGGTATACTCGACCATGGCCAAATATACCGAACACATACTGGAAGATCACTGCTTATTGAAAAGCTGTAGTTTGGTAAAACCGAGTTGGAAGATATGCTTTGAGTAACCCCGAATATACCACGCACCTGTATGATGCCTCTTCGAATTCGTTATTTGACGTGATCGCTGAGTTGTTGTTGTTCATGCGCTCGTTCATGAAAAGATGAAGATGTTTCACCAACATTCTCACAACACGGACGTGGTCAACACTGGGCAGAAAATACTCCTTAACAAAGAAAAGCAAACTACGTCGTTGAGGGAACTGTTGCGCACATGCAAACGGTTACATCTGCGTTTTTTGTCGAAGCATCAGACTTATCACAAGGCTGTTTCAAGAATTCTGGTACATGATCTAACAATATTGTTACAATCCTTTGTTACCAAGGCTGTAGCAAGGTTGTTATATCATAGCTGTGGCAGACTTGTCGGAACAATCTTGTGTTACCAAGTTTGTAGCAAGGCTGTTATTTCCTAGCTGTGTCAGAACAATCTTGTAAAAAGTCTCATAATGTCATCGGACTTGCTACATTAAGTTGTTGACAGCTAGTACCAAACTTGTTACAACAAACAGTGTGAATAAATCTTGTTGCAAAGCCTGTAGACAGACTTGTAACAACCTGTTTACAGACTTGTTGCAACTTGTGAGTTTTTAGGAGTCTGTTCGATAAGGATTGTCGAGATAGAGTTACACAAAACTAGCAAACATCGATGAGACCTTGTTAGTGATATACCTGGCCGAGAGGGATGAACGTCTGCGAGCCTTCTCTATCAACACCGTGGTTCATCCAGAATTCGGTAAAAATCTACAACAAAACACAATCAATATCATTCATCATATGACTGCCACTTGACAAGAGTGTAGACAGGAAACTTTGAGTGTCTGTGGGATATAGCAGCTTTTGTAGTGTAAATTAAAATGCCTGTATACATCCGCATACCTGAAGGAACAGTTATAAAATGCCTGTATACAACCCCATACCTGAAGGAACAGTTATAAAATGCCTGTATACACCCGCATACCTGAAGGAACAGTTATAAAATGCCTGTATACATCCGCATACTTGAAGGAACAGTTATAAAATGCCTGTATACATCCGCATACCTGAAGGAACAGTTCAGAATAACGAGCCTGGATGGAATATTGTTCGTACGAGGGACCAGCCGCGGTGGTTTGCCTGCTGTCAATGGACTTAATGAGACCTGAATAGGACGGTGGAACTGCCTCACCAACACCATTACTAGAATTAAAAAAATAATAGAATTTGATAGAATCCACGAAACACTCGAACCAATCATACTTCGTGTAACATCACATTCCGCGTTAGACGTAATCATGAGCAAGGTCTGTCATATTAGGATTTCGATATAATTTCGGGCTAGGATTAACAAAACAAACATCATAGTTTTTCTATTATTATTATATTATTATTACGGATTATTAGGATTTCCTTATTTTAATCTTGGGTGTTCTCGGCGGCGCTGTTTAACTCTATATAAAAATGTTATTTTTTAACTCTATATAAAAATGTTATTTTTACTGCTATTTTACTATTATGCTAAATACATGAATTATTCTGGCATAACTGGCGTATCCTATACCGCTACTGGAGCCACCACCCAAGTTCGGCAACATTTGATACAAGAGTCAAATAGGGATCTTCAATAAATTACAATAACTGATTAATTATCATGTTAAATATACTATTACAACAAAAAACTGTTTTGTTGTAACGAAAAACTAAAAGTTAATTTTCCCTATATTGGCCATCAGCTAACTATATCAGCCAAAAGTCCCTTAAAACCAATGGGAAAGACTCAAAGCTCTTCATGATGATAAACTTTTACACGCCCTCCGTAAAGGAACGACGTTTGCCTCTCATTCCGGGGGAGGGATGCCCCTCCTTGTTGCTCCAACTGCCAGATTTCATCAACTGGATGGTACGGGTGAATAAATTGAATCTGGTGCAGGGGGGTGAGACCACGTTCATCAAGGTTTCCACTTTCGTTCCCTCCGTGATCCTCTCTGGCGGCAGCAAGTTGTAAGGTCAACTTTTTTATTTCTTCTTTAGCATCCTGAAGTTTCTTCCCAGCCTTTGCCATCTCTTTTTTTATTTCTTCGCAAGATTTTCTTTCCCTTTCAAAGTTCCCCTTGTAAAGAAGCAACTGGCATCTCATTGCTTCAAGTTGTTCTTCCAGCCGTGTCTGTCTGCTTGCGTCGATCACGGCATCAAGTTTCAAAGAAGCTGTAACAGAGAAATCGATTAGCTGCAATACTAGTGATAAGGGCAATGTCGGGTTCTCTTTTACGCCATTTAGAAATCAATTTTATTACATGGATGGGGGAACCGAGAACTAAAACACTCGTAGAACTCTTACGCCCCTACATCCGGGGTACAGGGCGGATATTTTCCGTATGTCACGTTTAGGGGTGACATAACGAGTTTCAAAAATTTTCCCGCCATTTTCATTGTTGTTGTTGTGAAAATACTAAATGCTGTTTAGTTCGTAAATATAACTAAATTAACGGAGATACAGAATAAAACACTTTCTCACTAAGACATCTTTAAAATTCTACCTTAAAGTAAATATTTGCTTTTATAATGAGTCTTTCGCGGCGTCTTACTTGTCGTCTTTGTGTGTATTTTTCCCCATATAATAGTCCATATAATAAACAGAACATTGCACGGTTCGCTCGAAGATATGGATTTTATGCTGTCGTGTCAAAAACATTTCCATTTCATTTTTTCGTTTAAACTCACTCGTGAGAAATTGTATTTACTACACGAATATAAAATCCATATCTACGGCCATGTTAAGGTCTGTTCACACGATCCAATTTTGTTGAATCTAATTCACTTCTGATGAATGTTTTATAGTTTGTTGTCTTGTAATGTATATGAGCAGCAAATCCACTGAAGCCAATGCAGTACTGCTTTATCAATAACCGACTATATTTCATACGTCAGAAGTGAATTGGATCCAACAAAATTGAATCGTTTGCACTTGCAATTCAATTCAAAAGTTGCAAGTTGCAGGAAAAATTGCAAGTTGCAGGAAAAATTGCTCAGTGTAACAGATAGATATACATGGGCTTATTCTTATCCCATTCTCTTTACAAATCACGGACAGCGGGAAATATACAGTATAGTGTCAGTGGGCGGCCTGTCTACACGATGCAGGAAGAATTTGAAAACGCAAAAATATTTATCCGTTAAAATATTTATCCGCGTCCACACGTAAACACAAAAACGATCCGAAAACGGTAAAGTTATTTGATCCCGCAATACACCTGCATGTTTTCTACCCGCGTGTAACAGGTTGGTTGTCGAATTCAAAGCAAAAAGCTACCAAATCCAAAGTAGAAAACAAGAATTGAGGACTTTGTTTGGACAGACGACAAGCCCGAACTCATAATTATTGTTGTTAAGTATCTATTAAATGCATATTGTGTATAAGAAATTGTGTATGGTTATACTCCGACATTTTGGACATGTTTCTCTCGTAAAATACTTCCGCAAATGCTAAAAGAATTGGCAAAAATTTTACTCACTATGAAAATAACCCAAATAAGACTTATTTGAGGCTAATATAGCAATATAAAGTCGAGCATAAGCCACCAGACTTGAAAAAAGCCTCATTAATATGGAAACGACTTGATGCGTGACGTTTTCAAATTTATCGTTTTCAGATTCTTCCGTTTTCAGTGGGCTAAAACGCCGGATACGTGTGGACGATACGCGTAACCGTAAGAATATTCTTGCGTTTTCAAATTCTTCCGGGATCGTGTGGACGGGGCCATCCAAATTCTTCCGGCATCGTGTGGACGGGGCCATCCAAATTCTTCCGGGATCGTGTGGACGGGGCCATCCAAATTCTTCCGGCATCGTGTGGACGTGGCCAGTATGATCGTACTATAGGGGCCAGGAACTGCGTAACCGAGTTTAATAACTGCATTGTATTTATAACAATGGAGAGGACAATGTATTTATAATCGTTTCCGTTTACTTATATATAGGCTGAATATTAATGATATGTATATATTATTTGCTGCAAATATATCAAGAATTGCTTGTAACTTGCTTCAAAGGTCAAAAGTAAAAATTCGAACTCCGTCAATCGATGCGGAATATTGCTTAGAATAATTGTGCCAAGTTTCATTCCGATCAAACAAGTAATGATAGAGCCTTAGGGTTTTTTTAAAGAGCGTCGCCCCCTAACAACAACAAGAAAATTAGCAGCGGTAGGAACCAGTTCCTGGTCCAACAATATTCACTGACAATAGCCATCGCTAATCAAAGGTCTCAATCATAGGCGCCCAACTGTGGCGATGTTTCCAACTTCCAAGTACGCATAATAATCTCACTTTAATGCGACCTAGAATATTTCTACCAGCGAATAAAAGTTAGGCCAACATTTGTGGCATTCATTGTAACAGGCTCCGCATGGTTGTGAACGATCTTAGATCCGTTTCAAACGTCGAACTTTTTATGTGTCGAATGCAAATGAACTTAAACAAAGACTTTCGCTCATGTAACATTAGTTTCATCTTGGAAAGATCCGTATGATCGAGTATGGGAACTGTATGGGGAATAAAAACGTCTGGTATAGTAAAACCGTTTTTGTAACTGCAATCCTGTAGTGTGAATTAACACAGAGTGTCGTCAATGTTTTGACCATACGATGCTTTAAACGTCACGAGAAGCAAGGCAATAAAAAAAAAATTAAAATGAGCTTTGCATTTACCTTTTTCTTGTTGTTGAGCTTTCACAGCTTCAACTGTCTCCTTTTTTTCATTTACTAATAATATTCCTTGCAACTCTAGTTGATTGTTACGCATTTTTAAATCACAGTTTTCGCCTTCGATTCCTCTATTTTTCTTAGCAAGCGCTTCATATTGCATTTTCAACCGTTCGTATTCTTGTTTCCATCCATGGTTAATCTCCACCAACTCTTCGTATCTTTTCTTGTATTTGCTGATATCTAGATTTCGATCTGATTTCGAGCGAGTGCGCGCAAAAGGTTTATTTGCCATTTCACTCGCGCTGCTTTGTCACCACGCAATATTACTTATTGCTACACTATCTTCCGGGTATTCCCTCGCCTCCTGACATCACACCTCACGTGATAAGTGGAAGAGGGAAAATCCCTTAATTAAATTGAATTTTCATGCATAGATAAAAAAGTCTATTATGCAAAAGAGGTCTATTGCATTGATAGATTTAAGTTCTCAAATATTTCTTAATTCCGAAAAATTAATCAAGCGTCGTCATTTACAATCATTGACAAAAAATATTGGGACATGGCATGTAAACATCCCTTTTTTTTACGAAAGTCTCAAAATTAGCATTATTCACCTCATTCCCTCCCCCGCCCCACACCGCAAATCAATGTTGACGTAAGTGAGGTAAAATCACTTAAAAATTTTCGCTGCAAAACAATACAACATTGTTTTGGGGGCGTGGGGGGATTCGTTTGGCAAAAATGATTCATCGTTTCAATGAAATTGTCAATGATTGTATGTACTTTGTATTACAATTCATGTGTATATTCTGATTGCACTGTAAGAAGTTCACAGATCACTTACAAGTACCTCCTTGGCGTCAATTTCGGCTGCTGCTGTGATCTATTTCCAGACGAATGTGCTGGTAATGTCACGGTTTGCGTTGGAAGGAAATACTCCAAGAATTCTGAGAACAAGGCCGTGTAGATTGTGTCATGGCTTCGGTCAGCCGCTCTGGTGCTGTCCTGTGAAGAAATAAAGAAACATTGACTTCAAACTCTTCAATGAGAGTTAATGAAACTCGCATTTAGAAGCATAAGAACTATTCCAAGCATGACAATGAACTCACCCAAGGTGAGCTACTTTGCGTTATGAAATATGCAAACTGATAGAGAAAATATTCCACAGCACCTATAAAAGAAAAATAGCGTTGCAAGACCTTCAGTTTTAAATCTGTTTAAAATAAAACGTGTTTAGCCGTTGGCGGAAATTTGTTAAAACATTTTTTTGTTACCACATCAAGCTCGAATAACCTTGTACAATGCCTTGATATTGCCTGTTCTAAGTGTTCTTGTTTATGGAGACTTTGTGCGGGGTGATAAGAACAGTACTGTATTTATGAACACGTTGCGGATTGTTCAGAACAAAGCCGCTAAAGCAATTCTTGAACTTGATTGATCTTCTTCGGCGGAAGCAAAAGCAAAACAAACCTTGGGGTTAATGAAACTCAACCAAAGACGCAAGTTCCGTAGATAAGTTGCAGTTTATAAACTTATGAATAACTTAATTGACTTAAATTCAAAATTTCTACTGAATAAAGATATTCATACGTATAATACTAGACGCAAATCTGATGTATTTGCAGCCTTTTTACTTGCAATTTTTTAGCCAATTTCCAATACGATTTACTTCTTCTGATAGGTGTGAACGAGGGATAAGCATGTTGTTATATTTTGCGGATTGGAGAAGTATTTCCGTTTGTCAAAAACGTAAGTTACGTAACTAATGCGGTGATTACTTATATAAGGTTAATTAATCAGAATTGCGTGACCAAGCTTTGATATTGATCTTCTTCGATCTTATAGCACACCCACACTGCCCACACACGTCATTTTTAAAGCTTTCAAAGCGCCTGGGTACGAGGCTGGCATTAATGCTAAGTTGTTTGAAGACGCTGCCACGCTGCTGCCTGGTTATATTGGAACTCTTCTTCGATCTTAGCTAGTAAAGATCGACACAGACCGGACGCGATGCGGCAACGCGACGCGAATTTTGAGTTTTCAGAAGCACATAAATTAAATTCTAGAAGCAAATTTTGGAATCTATGGACGCCAGAGCAGTCAAAATGTATTATTGTTAAGTAATCTCCAAGAATATTATAAATATTTAAAATTTATTCGCTTTTGGAAAAAAAAAGTTCGCATCGCGTCCAGTCTGTCTGTGTGGCCTTAAGTCGCATTTTTCGCGAAGTTCAAAAGCAAAGAGCGATAAATTACACTCTTTTTTAAAACAAAACAACAAGATTTGCTGATGGCGCTATATACCTGTGCTTAAAACTAATGATGTTCTGCTGTCATTGTTGAACGACACTTTGTTATAATACATTGTTGGAATGATTCCTTCAGTAAACAGACGTTGAGTTGGTTTCTATATAAAATAATCACAAAACAAAACACGTTCATCCACTGCTCCGTATACTTTCCCCACACTTGACCGTTTGCCCAAATAGTTTCTTTTTTATAAATCAACGATGATTAAAAATTTATTTACAATTATATTCACGACAGGGGCACTTAAACGTCGGAAAGGTTGGACTCCAACAGCGCGCTTAGATTACGATTTTTTTATACATTCTGCAGATACACTGCTTAAACAAACGAAAACAGGATCATGGGGGGGGGGGGGGCAACATTGCCTTTGCTAACGGCGTGCGAACATTCACGTATCCTGTAATACCAGTATCGCTAGACCGGGTAGCGACTTAGCACCCGTGCAAGCGCGTTGAATGATCTAGGTAATGAATGATCTAGGTGATGAAAGAGCGCGTTAGCGTGTTGACAATGAAGAAACGCGAATGTACTTGTGAAAAGCATTTGACTTCCAACGACCAATGGTAGAAATTTGAGAGTCGGACATCCCCTGCGCTGCCGCGTACGAAGCCGCACCGATGCGAAAACTATGACCTTTATAGGCTTTCCTTTAAGGTCAAAAGGGTCAAATCGGACATATGTTGAATTGAAATAAAGTATTTCGTTAAGAATATAGTTGTAAAACTGCATTTTCCGTGCTAGGCAGATGTTAATAACGTTATACTTGAATGCAGATTTCTTCAAACAGCTAAAAATACCAGTAATCTGTCTGTACTGAAATACAACAGAACCAGTCTGGCCGTTTTTACCGTATAAAGGAAAGCGCCCAATGTTTTATATATTTTCTGCCAATTATATTCCTAATATTTGTAGATGATAAAACACAGCCTACTCGTGTTTTGAATTGTCTAAGGGGCTGTTTACATGAGCCCGGTTACCCGAGATTCAACGAAGCGTGAGATGATTTTGAGGTATTGAAATAAGCAGATAACATGATCCTGGCAGTCGTATAATCACCACAACAATAGCATGTGCTTGTTTGGTGTCATAAAGACTTAGTTCAATACCTTAAAGTCCTCTCACGCTTTGTTGAATCTCGCGTAACCATGCTCGTGTAAACTTGAAAATTACTATTGATTTGAACAACCCATTCAACTTACTGGCAAGCATATCACAGGAAACTCGTATCGAAGGAAAGAATCTCTGTCGAGTTTTTCAACCAGACTCCACACCGGACCATGGGGACCCAGGAAATGACGGAAAGCCTCCAGTGATCTGGAGTGTGGGGTGTGTAGAGCCCAGCCTTTCCCTGGAGTCACACTGAAAATACTTGCAAGAAGATGGGGGTATAAAACATGGAGATCCTAAAGAAGAAAAATATTATACCTAAAATACTGTACTGTATCATATTTCCCCCTGGGCATAGGGACCCCATAGGGGTGTAGGGCCCTAATTGAGAAGTTTTCAGGATCAATCAATGGTATATAGTCAGGGGGTTGCCGGACCTAAATTGAAGGAAATGTTTAGAAAAAGAGACATTCTTTTTGAAGGGGAGGTTCAAAGTGGGAGCCATGATAAAGAAGGGACCTCAGAGAACTTTAGAGTGGGGGTATTGTATAAGGAAGAACTTCAGATACGAAGCTGTTATAGTTTGAACAAGGGGAAGGAAAGCCTTTGGGGAGTACTTATAGAAGAGGTCTTCAGCAGAGTTGAAGAACAGGGCATATATATGATGAGGGGCTACTTTGAGATGATAAATGGGTAAGGGGAGATATGAGGAAGTGTACTTAAAATAGGTGTCGCTTTCATAGGTCGGACTTATAAAGGGCAAGGGCTTTTCCAAAGGCGAGAGGTGGGTGCCTACAAGCAACATTAACATATTATTTGCGAGTAACATTTTAATGAACTGCTCTTTGCCAGATTGCTTCGGTGCCGTTATATTAATAAAAACCAGGAGTATTTTGACATTTGAATGATCTGATACCTTGATATTCCATTCCTGTACCATTTTTCTGACATCTTCGCATCGTTCAGGAATAGGTTTTTGCAAAGATATATGGATTTGATCCTGAAAGTAGAAAATCTTTAAATCACCGTACTAATAAACTACACAACATTCGCGATTAATGGTGATCAAAGATCGTAGTTTACTTTATTCATACCAAGAACATTGCTTCCTGTCCAACTCTTGGGATCTGTTTTTGAGCGCTAAAATCTTCAACACGATTTCGAATCATATTTAAATTGAAGATGAACACTTCAGGAAGCGTTTAGTGGTTCTTGCATCGAAAATTTAAACAAGATACAAAGAAAAAGTGTAAAATAAACAGTCGATGTTATATTTCCTATTTGAAAACACCACCATTTTGAATGTCGGGCCCAGGTCCTTTCACGTTTTACCGTCGATTTTACTCGCCCATGGACACTTACATGAATACAATTTTGCAACAAAATATTAACCAAAGTGATTTATTACTTTTATTAGTTCTGAAATGTTATTTGGGTAAGAGTGATTTTTATTTTGATGGGGCAGCAGGATGCCCAATGGTTACGCGAAGTACGAACAATATGAAGAATACCACAAAAAGATAAAAAAATCTAAAACTTTGCAAATTTTAAACATATCTATTATGAGACAAAAACTCAAAGCCAGTTCGTCACAGACATCTATTCCCCCCCCCCCTTCAAAAAAACACCTTCAATGGCTCTTAATTCCGGAGGAGGTGAATCTCAGTGTTGTTCCAACAGCCAAAGTTCATCATCAGGATGGCATGGTTGAATGAATCGAACATTATCTTCGGAAGTAGAAGCACGCCCATGGTTACCAGGGAATCCACGTTGGATTTCCCCTTCTCTTTCTGCAACAAGTTGTGAGGTCAAACTTTTGATATCTTTCTCCGCATCTTTAAGTTTCTTTTCACACATTTTCATCTCTTTTCTTAATTCTTCGCAAGATTTTCTTTCCCTTTCAAAGTTCCCCTTGTAAAAAAGCAACTGACATCTCAATGCTTCAAGTTGTTCTTCCAGCCGTGTCTGTCTGCTTGCGTCATTAAGCCTACGCAGCGACGAAGAAGCTGTAACAAATATCGAAGTTCGTCTAAGTTTTTTGTTTGAAATAGAATTCACACAATCGCACAGCGATTATTTTAAAATAGTCGAAGTATTTTAAAATAAGCGTAATTGAAATGGTATGCGTCTCAGTGTCCCGTTCTAGAGGCCCAGCAAATATTGCAATCAAGTAGTTTTGACATGGATATGGTTGCAATTATTCGAAGTTACAGTTGTAAGATATCTATTTTTAAAGCAGTACACGGAGTAAAGATCAAACCGTTTTTGCGGCGCTGAAGCCTAGACGACACGGCCGTGAGTGCATTTAATAGATTGTACATCACGTGCAGCGCATATCGGGCGATATATCAACTTAATTTTGTTCCCAACTTCCAAGGTAATTTTCGCAACAATTAGCTATTTACAAGTGTGCTCAGATCTTGATTAGATAAAAGCACACTTGAAAACAGTTGAGTGGTTTCACAATCACTTTGGAAGATTCCAGAATTTAGCGTTTTGTCTTCTGTTTTAACTACTCCAATCTTGAGTTTACAAGATGATGTTATTTGGAGTTTGTTTTGTTTATATTTCACTGAACGGTCTGCTGGTAAAGGATTTTCAATCCAATGTTTTTGAGAAATAAAATGGAGTTAGGCTCGATACGCATGTCACCTTTGCGTCACAAAAAGCCTCTTTGGGAAACATCCAATAATCATCAAAAATGATGATCCATACCTTTGCTCAAACCTCGCAGCTATGTTTTTCTACTTCAGTTTAATGGTAAAAAAGTAGTACGTTACCTATTGCACTTTTCTGAGCTTCCAAAACTGCAGCCAATCTCATGATTTCATTTTCTAAAAACGTCTTCCGCTCGTGTAAACGGCCAACACATACTTTTAAATCAATGTTTTCGTCTTTAAGTTGTCTGTTTTCTGCATTTAGCTCGTCAAACAAGAACTTCAATGCTTCAAATCTTTTCTTATAAACGCAACCTGTCATTTTTTCGAAGACCTCTGTCGATCCACAGACTAACTTTTCATCAGGATTGTTGGATCACTTCATCCTTGTATGTGGCTTAAACTTCTATGATATTGATCCGAAACTGCCTAAAATGCATTCTTCCCCTTGTCATGGAAACGAGTGATTGTGGAAAGTCAGTAATGACTCAGTACATTTTCTCCTCGAAGTTTGATTGACCGGCAACAGTGTAATGAGAGTCTCCATAATAATGATAATATCATGCAGTTAGACTTCCCGCGTTTGAAGGGTCTATATTGTAACTCTCTCGACATAGATGATATATGATGTTATATGGTTATGTGTTCGAGATAATAGGTTACACATTCAAGGAAAAATTGTATTTCTGTGCACTGGCATATAATATATACTGATTACCGAATATAGTTTCTGTATACATCATTTGGTAGATGAACACTAATAGTCACGAATAACCCTCATGTCTACTCTCCAGCCAAAAAACTACACAAGCAATGCCCTTGATAAAATATATTTGCCTATATATGTATATTGTGTTCTTATTTTATCCATCGAAACTACCTTCAACACTGCAGACGCACTTTTAACTGTAATTAGGAGTTATTACCTCTAAAATTATAACTTGTCTAGCCGGTCTTTGTTGGTCTTTGTTCTGCACTTAGACACTGACGCAATTTAGTGAGAAGAATCGCATATCGAAGCGATGCGGAGGTCGTGGAACAGTGATTTTTTGTGATATAAACTATTTCACTTAATTTCAAATGCTTTTATATTCTATAATATCGAATGTATTCATCAGTTTTGATCGATATCGCTCGTTTAGAAAAAGTGATTTTTATTTTCATCGAATCTTGAGTTTACAAGTTTTAGTTACAGTATATAAAATATTTCGGAATATTGTTATCAATAATATCGAAGATTATGATCACAAATGTGTACCGTAAAGATTCTCTGAGGTCACACTGCTGGGATAGTTGTGTACACTTAGGGTATTGACATTTGGTCCATAAATTTCCTCTGGCATCACCGCGCAGCTATTCTGCCTATCACCTGGTCGGTTAATAGTGCCGACCGATAGATCACCGTATATGTTTTCCGGTGGGACAAAATTGCCCACGGATAGATTAACGTAAATGTTTTCTGGCACGAGATTATTACTTCTTCCGTATATGTTCCCCGTTGAGACAAAATTACCCACGGATAGATTACCGTATATGTTTTCTGGCACGAGATTATTACCTCCTCAGGCTCCTCTGTATATGTTCCCCGGTGGGGGAATGTTAACTACAAATCGGTTACCGTATATTTTCTGGCAGGAGATTATTACCTCCGTATATGTTCCCCGGTGGGAGAATGTTAACTACCGATGACGGCTTGTAAACTACACTTACATGCTTTGTTTGACTTCTTCACATACAGGTTCACATCGGCTGAAACAAAAAAAGAACTTGTCTTTCACGGGTCTTATGCATGTGTTTACCATCACTGTGGTGGGCAGAATATATTTTCAGGCTTTGCAAATTGAAACCCATTGAAATGGCTTGAATTTAAGAAAGTTTCGCCCAAGTGGGCTTTGATTTCAGCGAGGAAAGAAAACCACAGTAAATGAGAAAAACGTTTGATGAAAGAAGCAACTAATTCAAGTAATTATAAAAGCAATAAACTGCCTAAGACATTTCGGCGTATATTATACGAATATTGTGATGACGAGTGAAGAAATTTGTTTAATTTATTTCCGCTATCTTATAATGACGTCAAACGTGGAAGGCTGACACGACGTTTGAATGAATCCGCGAAACGATCGAGCCAATCATACTTCGTGTAACATAAGGTTTCCGCGTTTGACGTCATCACGAGAAAGGTCTGCCATATTATAGGATTTCGATATAATTAAGATTAGCAAAAGATACATCAAGTTTTTTTATTAGTATAATATTATTATTAGGATTGGCCTATTCAACATCGCTACTGGATATCAAAAGTTCGGTGCGGGTCAATTACTTATCTTGGAAAATTCATGAATAATTAAGCAGTATTTTAGTCACATGCATGTATACATCTGTAATGCCCCATAAAGTTATAGAATTAGTAATTTGTATATTAACTTTGATACAACTAATCTTAATTAGTATTCATAACTTTGTTACACATATGCCCTAATATGCTTTAAGCTTAATCTATTTATTTTACAAGCATGTTAAAATACGTAAGTGGTACTTAATAAACTACCATAACCTCGATTAATTATCACGTTAATTATGTTATTACAACAACAAGGTATTTTTCTGTAAACGAAAAACTAAGAGTTGATTTTCTCCCCCAAATTGGACATCAGGTAACTATGTCAGCCAAAAGTCCTTTAAAACCAAAGAGAAAGACTCAAAGCTCTTCATGATGATAGACTTTTACACGCCCTCCGTAAACGAACGAGGTTTGCCTCCCATTCCGGGGGAGGGCTGCCCCTCCTTGTTGCTCCTGCCAGATTTCATCAACTGGATGGTACGGGTGAATGAATTGAATCTGATGCAGGGGGGTGAGACCACGTTCACCAAGGTTTCCATTTTCGAACCCCCGTAAGAGGCTGCAACAGAGAAATCAGTTAGTTGCAATACTAGCGATAAGATAATACTCGGGTTTTCTTTCACACTGTCTGTGTTCTCATTTAAGAATTTTCATTGGTAAATCCCAAGTTCTAAATGTTTTGCAGCGAGTATCACGATTGAAGTAGCTGAGTGTTAAAGTTCCCTAGCTGTTCCCTGTTTTAGTTTCTTTGAATATTTTTAACAAATAATTGAAACTTAGGATATGACGTTTGAAAATTGCAACTGTGATCACAAAAAATTTGAGTGTAAACCGAGCCTTAGAAAGACAGAAGAATTCGTGCCTGTAATGGACCATTTGCGTAATTTATCAACTTCTGAGTTAGATAACAAGAAAATAAACCACCTCTAAAACGAGCATAAGTAGTCTTCAAGTCGGAGTTTGTAATAAGCGCCGCGGCGCTTAATCGATCATTTACGGTACGCCCCCAAATTCGTATTTTCTACCGCACGTAAAATCCCTGACTTACGAAAATACATTATTAAGCACTACTTCACATGCACATAAGCCTGGTTCTCATTAATCACCGACTTCGGCGTCGATGTATTGTTAGTGGCCTATATAATTCACTGACGAAGAATGTTTTCTACAAAATAACATAACGTTTTGTCACTTTGCTAAATACTCAGAACTGAATATCGTTTTCACAGCGTCGGTAGACATGCAGAGACTCGACAATATATATATATATAGGAACGCGTTTGAGCTACGGTCTACGTCACAAGA